CCGCGGAAGGCGCGAGACTGGAGGCGTAAATTAGCATGTGCGCATAATAATCAACGAGGAGTACTCACGCTTGAACTTGATAATGGCGGCTCTTATATCCCGAATATCGCGGTCGTTAAGGTTGACTACGTACTCGGCTGGGTTCAGCTCGTCCCCTTGCCATACCATGGGTCCTGTCACAGCTGGGGCAAGTTTATCAGGAGAACTGAATATGGACGAAGAGTTACTGTGCAAACTCTCAAAAGAGGATCTCGCACTGAGTGCGGGAGACGACATGTTGACTGATCGGTTACTGTGGATGTTTCGTTGTAGAGTGAGGTTCAAATTGAATATTCTAAAGTTCGTATTGATCGACTGTAGGTGCGTTTGTAGATGTAGTTGTAATGTTGCGATTCAGGAGTGAGCCTGAGGAAGGCGTTCTTATACCGCATTCTCGATGAATGGGGTTCTCTTGAGGATGTTCATCGCGTAATCGCACGCCGCCGTTGTCACGGTGTGTGAATTTAGAGCTGACGGAGCCGCACTTGCTAACGAGAGACTGACATCGAATTTTAGTCGCCGGACCATTGGAACAGGGCCGAAAGCTATTCCCGCTAGCCTGGACGGTTGCGGGTGGGTGGGTGACCATGTACCTATGTGTATCCTTCCCGTCTTATCGTGATTCGTCACCTGATGCCATATACGCTAATGCCTGCCAGTCAGCCGCCGCGGCAGTGGGAAAATCTTCACTGAACCACCCTACAACTCGGGTCTAAACGCTCATGAGGGGGGGAGGGGGACGCAGCGGAACGCATCGAAGCTTTGCCACACAGGCGAAATTGGGTCTTCTGCCTCCACCAACTTCTCCACCGCACTGATCAGACCTGCTTACTGGCAGGTTCTTCCTCGGGAGAATCATGTGGCCCCATGATTGCCACAAAATTCACTCTAAGGATCGTACTTCAAAGCTCGCGAAGGCATGCCGGTGGCAGAAAGCGATGCGATGCGAAGGCCCGCCGGAACGTGGCTCTGATATTGATAGACGTTCGCGCGGCACATCGAAACTTCGATGTGTGCATGCGATCCTTGAAGAAGCTTGACCTATAAAAAGCAGGCACTTCCTGATTTGCATCAGCCCTATGTCAAAGAGCTTACCATTGTTAGGTATAGTAAGTCGTCACTATTCGCCCAGCTCCTGCACATGCACGTGGATTGAAACAGGCAGGCCTGATATCTTCATCGGATCTTATCTCCATGCTCAACTCGTGAAATGTCAGCATGTGGTCGAAAGCACTAATTTCTGATCTGAGACCTATCCCGCGATTTGCGAAGGTGATGGCAAGGATTCTTGTACCTCAGTATTGAGCCTTGGCCTTTCACCGTACTTGATGAACAGCCCATAAACCAACATACGACTACCATACATGACAGCAGCTGTGGCTCACCGGAATCTCTCTGCAACCAGACGGCATGATAGCGTGTTGCTGGGCAATATGGGCAGCGGTGGTCCGGGCCACGCTGCAGCTCCAATGCAAGACGCCTCGGAACCGCCCATCTGCGACCACGTTGAGCTGCGCAACGGTCAGGGTCTGCAGATATATGCGCTTTATTGGCCAAATAGGTTCAAGTTGCACTGCCGAGCCCTCAGCTTACGAGGGTGACCTTTTGCTATTGGTGTATTCCAGTATTTACAGTGTCTGCACCCCTCCCATGCCAACACATCCTAGTGTCGCATCTGTTGGGCCCAGGGTTGCAGTAGTCGAATTCCGAAGGATACGGCCTACGTAAAAGAACCATCTCCGGTGATCGCGCTATGACCTGTATACCTTTAATTGATCGAATGATGCAGTTATCTACTCATAGTTGAGGCATTCGTTTCTTCTCAACCGCTCTGATCACAATTATCGGGAAAGCTTATGTGTACTGGAGGGCACTCCCGTATCGAGATCTAGCTCACCGCTAAATGCGACTGGACTTTGCCTGATAGGAATATGACACATCCGCTGCCGGGCCGTTCGCTTGTCACACGCATGTAGTGAAGAGCTAGAGCGCTTGAAGAAGGGCGTACTGCACTACGCATGACTAGGGCGGCATCTTTACCGTAGCCTCATGACATACCTTAATAAGGGTACTTCAACTGCGCATCGGTTTAGTGCCGTATATTGTAGGCGTGATCAGCTACATCCGCTGTAGCCTTCATAATGTGCGTAATTATTGCATGAACGTGCAGCTAGTCGGCCAGGTATGTTGAGGAGATCACGCCAGTTGCAGCGTCTAGCTCGCTTCTGAGTATAATATGGTCCTTTGTACTCAGCCTTGCGGCGCGTCCCCAACTTCATTGCTTGCATAACGTTATATTTGCACTGGCTCGGCTCCGACTGCTTCTGGGAAGTCGGCAAGAGGCATGTTGTCTTTTTACAGACATATACATCCGTAATTACACACGTGGGTCGTTGTGGGGTCGGATCAATATCTGTATCGGGATGCATGTGTATTCGATTGGCAATTTCACCCTAGATTCGCAGGTGGCTGTCATGCCACCAACAGATGGGGTAATATTAACATCGGCTCAGCGTTGATAGTGCTCTAGACCTGGCTGTGCTTGGAATAAGCACATAACCCTTTGGATACCATGTTGATCCCGTACTGAAGGAAACTTGGATTAATGAAAAGCCTGCTCGCAGCGTCAGCTGAGCTAAGTATGCTCAGTCATAACCGACCTCCTATGTGAACTTGTCTGATGCGCCATTCCTCTGATTTTATTGCGATACATGTGAGCTTTAATGGGTTACTGTTAAATTGCGGCACAAGCTCAAGAGGAAATTCGGCCCAGTCTCACTAGCGTGTAGTCGGTGAAGTAGAGGTAGCTTGCGCGCTTATAATGTGGCGCATACGTCGGGCAAGCTCGCCGAGTCTCAAGACTGTAACTCTCGCTAATTCGAATGGGCCTGGTCGCGAGCACTGCCGAGTTGAGCATTGTGCTTCCACTCCTTCGCCATAGCCACACGCGAGGCTGCCTGGGCCTGTGAGGAACAAAATAAGTATACGTTTCGTCGAAGGAGTACGTCTCGTACATAACCAGTACGATCTTCAGGACATGTTGTGTTAAATATGTCGGGCTCAAATGCTGAACTAATTCTTTCGATGCGTAGTAGCTCCCATTTCTTTCTAGCCTGCCCACGCTCCTACATCCAGAGCATCTGACGACATCTATACATGAGGAGCAGCAGTTTTGGTCACGAAAGTGAACCGTTGGTACCCATAGATGCGGGAGATCTTGCCGAACCTAACGGATGAGCATCCGTAGGGCCAGACATGAGTTCGTGGGTCAGTACTGCACTGCTTTCTCGCTTGAGGCTGTATGGACATGGAGAAGAGCGCGTATAACGACCGTGACGACATGATGTTCCAATGAGGAGATCTCGTTTGTGGCTGCTGATCGGTGAGCGAAACCTGGAGTGAAACACGAGGTGGGGCCAGGGGATGCCGGATCGAGAATATCGCAATTTTCGTGATGGTTTATGAGCTGCGCCCCTGCGAAGAGGCTATCGACGATCCTATGTAAGAGGAGGAGTTGGGAAAGAAGTTAGATTTCCTTACAGGCGTAGCGACCTCGGCCTTGTTCATATTCGCTATTAGCTTGCTCTTAGTAGCCAATCAATATCCTAGTCGGCTCTTCCGTTAGTGTCAGCAGGGGTCCGAGCACATGGCCTTTTCATGCACGTCACAGGCGCTATAGATGCTAGCCCCGGCGCGTACCCATAGATACAGGGAGAACTACCCCAACGCTTGGGCGCATCACAAAAGGCAGGCGCAGACGCCTGCCTTTGCTGATTCTTATCTACAGTACCACGCTCCTTAAATCTCTTTCTTGTCGACATCAATATTTATAGGTATAGTGCCCTTCGCACAGGAGCTTTAGTACGCTACGATATCAGCATTGAGTCGACTCTCGATCTCTCTGATGAGGAGAGTTGGTAACCAGAAGAACAGAGCTGAAAATTCCACCACGAGAATCACACTAACTGGAATCGTATGTCATCATGATACGCCCTGAAACGATTCACCACGCAAACGATGATTAATCATAGCTAATCTTAACTAATGCCGGGACGCTACATCTCTTCTTATATAACACGTTCCTTACCTCAGGGTCTCTTAGCTCACTTCGGCTTCATGCCGACTTCCTAGGATGCAAAACTACACATGATATTGTGACTGGGTAGCTATCTCAATGTCTGAGGATCTGGTGTGGGTATGCGAAGGTCTAGACCGCACTGGAACTTCAAAAGAGGAATGAGGGGGTGTGAAGAACAGAGGGACTTCGGGTGTACGGCGAATTTGGGCCAAGTTGGTGTAGGATTCTACTGGCCTGAACCCTACCAATTTCGTTGTACGCGTACTACCATGCGCATGAGAGCCAAGACCAGTATGCCGAGATCACAGAGTGCGAGACTGTGACCCCCAAAGCTTTGCCTGGAGACTGGATAAGAAAAGGGAACTCGTAACGAAGAACCGTCCACTGCTCGGGCAGTCGAGATACAGCTCCGTCTTCACTTTTTCGAAACAATCTAATCACTCGACTCTGTCTCCAAAGCAGCTCAACACGGTCACTATAACTCGTGAGGTATTCAATAGGTTCCGTATTCTGTCGGTCTTTCCTGAAGGATAAGAGACGACGTCATATCTACCACTCTCTGGCTTTAAGATTCCAACAGGAATGTCAGCAATTGTAACAGGTATACAGAAATTGTTGACCCCGTAATATCAATGGGTATATATATGTATACGTATCTTTACACCTGAACCAGTCAACCGTAGTGTCGACATTGAAAGACATTCTGTGGCAAACAGTATATCAGGATATATCGGAGATAACAAGCAATCTTCGCTGTAGACGCCACTCCCCGCATAGCCAGTCATGATGCAATCAGCGAGGATCAAGCCTCGGCGAACAGAACAACAGCAACGAGACTCTAGAGCAAGATCAATCTTTGGTAATCCTCGAAAAGAACTTAACAATGCCGCCCTCGGGTCTTGCCATTCTCATCGGAGCCGGTCCTGCTACTGTAGGTTGTCCAGTAAACGCAACAGCATACATATGATTCTAACGCCAAGCTTAGGGCACAGGAATTGCACGAATCCTCTCATCTCCAAAACACGGTAACCTCGCCGTTGCGCTGCTAGCCAGGCGTCCTGAAAACCTGCAAACCGTCATCTCCAAAGTCCACTCCACCAACGAAAACGCGATACTCGAAGCATTCCCGAGCGACACCTCAAAGGAATCTTTGGAGAAGGCTTTCGCAGATATAAAGGCACACGAGAGCTTCGAGGGCCTAAAGCTGAAGCTGGCGATATACAGTATCAAGCATTCGAGCAAGAAGCCGTTCTTGGAGGAGACAAGGGAAGACTTTGAAGAAAGTTTGGAGACGTATGTTGGTGGAGCATTCACATTTGCACAGGAGAGTCTGAAGAGGTTCTTCGTGGATCATGGGGAGGCGGGCTTGATGGATGGAGCGGAGAAGAAGGGCGTAAGCATGACCTTCAACATCACGATGTTGGTATGAAACTAATCATGTTTAACAGACCCTCATATTCACCGGCACTCTTGGTGCGCTCCGATGTAATGCACAATTCGCTGCGTATGGTGCTAGTCGCGCGTCCGTTCGTCAACTGGCGCAGACATTGGCTCGCGAAATGAGCGAGAAGGGAGTACATGTCGTACATACGATTGGCAATGGCGCGATTGTAGATGAAGATGGAGAAGATCAGAAGGTGGGCAAGAAGATGAGCGCCGATGCGGTTGGCGAGACTTATCTTTGGCTACATCAGCAGAAGCCTTGCCTGTGGACTCATGAGCTGGACATGAGACCCGCCTGTGAGAAGTTCTAGACATTCCATACAGAAGATGATAGTAGTATTCAAGGAGATCTATAGCGCCATGATGCAAACGAGTGTACAGGCAGCAGATAGCCACTATGAAAGTATAGAAATCAAGACAGCGATCAACACCGTCACCAATACATCTATAAGCTGATCATTCCTCTAACTCATCGAGCTGGTGGCTGCGACCAACGTCCTAACATCTGGCCAAGAGCCCAGTTCCATTCGTTGATGAAAGCGTTAGTGAGTTGGGTAATTTGCTCAGCAGAAGGCGTACGGCCTGCCCACATGGCCGGCTGCAACGCCTGATAATGCGCATAGTATAGAAGAAGCTGGCTGTTTTGGCATCAACAAGGTTCCTTGCAAGTTGGTGTATGTCCTGGCGAACGTACTCAGTTTGTATCTTGTTCAGAACTAACCAACATAAGTTCCACGAACGGTTACTTGCAGGATCGGCGTAGACACGCCTTTTCGCTTCGTCCAGGGCGTCGGAACTTGGACGGTATCAGCTTATACACTGGAAGCGATCATGTGCGTTACTAGAACATGTTGAGGGCAACTCACCTGAAAGGATAGTTTCTTGTCAGACCGCGGAGCTCGGTCAACAAGCTGTGCGATTCAACGTAGTACTTCCCTGGTAAGCAATTTTAGTCTTCTGTTCCAAACTGGCCAGGTCTGTATACGCTTACAAGCCGATGTCATGGGTTCACTGCAGTCTGGTGTACCGAGCTTTGCAAAAGCCTGCTCGACGCGGACAAGTTCAGCTATGGTATTGAACTGGTGGGATCGTAGCGCTTGGATGTATTGTGCCTTTTCAGCCTATTGCAACACAATATCAGCAAGACTAAGATCGAAGTCCATACAGCGAATGGAAACATACGGAGGTGATTTTTCGTGTAGAAGACATCCTGGCAAACTCTAGTACTCTATATCTGCGCGCTGGTGGATTGCTGTATTCACTGTGCTCGGTGTCGATGGAGGATGTAGAGTGAGTGGACATGTATTAGCGATCGAAGCTGAACTGGACTGGCTAGGTGACGTCGAAGTTGATGTAGGTAGAGATATGAGAGAAGCTGCTTGCTGTGATAAATCCATCAGTTAGTAGAGATAGCTGCAGTGTTATATAGGAATCTTCCAGTGCTCATGTAGTTATGGTGCATGACTCTCGCAACTATAGTCCAGTCATGCTGGATGTGTGTATGTCGTGAGGCAGTTCAGGAGCCAGCAGCCAAGATCGTATGCAATCAAACTCCTAGAGGTCAGATTTGGACGCCATATCGTCATAAAAGCTCACAGTAGTCCAAGACATCAGTGCCAAGTGTGCATAGACAGCTGTGTATGATCAAATGTGGAAGATCAAGTAAGATTCCGGATCCTATAGGTATGAGAATGATCAGCCTCGTCCTTTTGAGAGTCTCCGTGCGCTTGAGATATATACTATAAAGTTAATATTTCCATTCTGATAGGCCGTTGACTTGCATCAAAAGGTCTGCGGCACATCAAACGCAAGTGCTATGGTCAGATTATAGGTCATGGATAAGGGCTATGTGACTTGCTTGTGGGTCCAGCGGCCCGGTAGATCTGAGCCAGTGAGTTTTGTAGGGATACTATGATGCTAATAGCCACGGACCCGATGCCGAGAGAGTGGGAAGATCGCTCATTGGTGGTGTATTCGATATTGTCCAGCCTTGCGAGCAAAAGTGGGTCCACAGCAGAGTCTAAAATAACATCATCGCCGTTGGCAATGCGGAGAAAACTATGTATCTAGTTAATGCTATGTTGAAAATTGACAGGTAGCGTAGTAGCTGAGCTCGATGATGTAGAGATATGGAGTTGATCAGGTAGGCGCAATCCTAACGGAGACTGCGAAACATGTTCGGAAAGTCGACTTTCCGTCGTATATCTGGATACGTCTGTGTGATCAAGAACAGCTAAGCAAAATCGGTCGTCGTGAGGCTGAGGCTGATTTCTACCCGTCTCCGTGCTGATGGTAGAAGAACCAGGACAATCGGATTTGTCCGCTGTGGCTGGTCTAGCCTGTGGCTGAGCACCGTTCCTTCTACAACTTCACCGCTGTTACCTACAAATCCTGATGTAATTCAAGAATGCCAACAAGAGCGCTATCCGGATAACATCGTTTCCGAACGATGCCTGACAAATGCGCTGCTGAGCAACTAGGCGTTCTGCGTTCCATGTTTGGAAATGTCCTCGAACACAACGAACCTACACCATTCATCCCATCAGCCAGAGGCATAAGCACGGCGTGGAACCTCCCTCCCGGATCGCGCGACCCTGCAAAAGGGCTAGTAGTCCCTAACAAATCGACATCACTTTTCTTGGGGCTTCTTACTGGTTCTCGACAGGCGCATGCGGATAGGTCCCTGAGGCTGAAATCCGCTCATCAGCCAGCCCATGTCAGAAAGAGCCTCAAGGTACCTAAGCTAACGTCCACGTGCACACAACTGGACGCAGCTACATTAAGCATCTGATGATCGTCCGCTAGAAGTTATGCTTGTTGCATCTCACCTCATCTCACAAGGCTACTGTGAAGTTGCCGCCAGTGCTCGAAGCCTGGAAGACGAATGCGCCAATGAAAGTAAGTCAACATACCAAGTGGTAGGTGAGTCTCTCATCCAATCTCACACATATGACATGTTGGAGCTGAGTTGTGCTAGTCCTCACCTCGTCACTGCTCTTTGATGTCTTTGATAGCTTGCAATTGGAAGGTTTCCCTTCGATCTCGTCTCAAACCGCTCACACATGTCAACACGAGAGCAGCTCATTGGGCACCAAGGCTTTCGAATGGACCAAGGACGGCCACATCAATCTTTCGTAAAGATTCATGTTGATAGATTCTTTTACATGAGCAGGCAGACAGTCTTTCGACCCTGCGATGCCTCTGAAGTCGTCATCCACCTTTTACACCCAGACACCTAGACTGGAACAGCCTATATGCTCAGCGCCATGATGGAGTTTACGATATCGTTGTCGTTCTCCTTGAGGGCCTTGACAGCCTTCTTCCGCGAAACGCTGGCCTGCTGCATGACGAGCTCGATGTCCTTGGCCTCAAGACCAGAGTCGTCGATCTCCTCATCGTCGTCGTCCTCCTCCTCCTCCTCGTCCTTCTTGTCCTCGACAGCCTTGCCCTTGCCCTTGCCCTCCTCGTCGCCGTGGTCGTGGCCGGCGTGGTCGTGGGATGCGGCCTCAGCTTGAGCGAGCTGCTGGGCGGCGGAAGCCTGAGCCTGGGAGTTCAGGTCCTCGATCTTGGCCTCACCGAAGATGCTGGTGCGGGGTCAGCAGGTGGCATGTGCAATGGAGGGGCAGCTACCTACATCCAGGTGTTGCTTGAGGGGGACTTGTAGACGTCGGGCTGGTTGATGACGAAGAGGATCTGAGAGGGTTGTTAGTCTGGCCCCTAGCAATATTCAATGGCCCTGCCCGCAGCTCTTGTTTGTTGACTCCAAGGCTGCGGCTTCCTCGAAGCATTGCGCGGAAAGCACTCACGTTCTTCGGTCGGCGGAGGGTGACGCGTGTGATGCCGTCAATATGCTTCAGTCCGAGCTTGGCGATGGCCTTGCGAGCCTTCTTCTCGTTGCGAGAGTGGACAGCAACGGAGGAGCCCGCGGGCACGCTGACCTCGCCCTCCTCGCCCTCGGACTCGTCGCTAGACTCATCCTCCTCGATCTGGACGTTCTTCTTCTCGGGCTCGTCGGGGAGCTCTTCAATGCGGGGGTTGGCCATTTTGTCGGTTTGTGGGTGACTACAGGTGTTGGTGGTGCTGCAATATCGAGGTTCGCGGAGTTGGGGTCGGAGCTTCCAAAAATGATTTGTGGGCGGTTTAGCGCGGGCAGCTTTCAGTACAGCAGAACTGGCAATGACGAACTATCACAATCACTTCCAGGGCTTATGTCGCGTATTTCACCCAAACAATCATTTCAAAGGGGGTATCAAATTGCAATTCTAGTTGCACTTTTCGTGTGTGTTCATGAATTTGTGGATTGAACTCTCTTGCTACATGTGGAATGCATGCGAGAGCCGAGTAAACCTTTCCCAAACCGAATTGCACCGTGCCAAACATTGGACTTATTCACCCGAAACCAGGTCTTGAATTTTTGAATGCCTTTGAGGTCGCCTTCGGAATGCTCATGAAATGCACGTCATGCCTCTCCGTCACCTGCATGCAGCGACCACCACAACGCCTGTCTCCCGACAGCATCTAGACTACCTATGCCTTTGCGCTGGCGCGGATCTTGGCGAAGGTCTTCTGGACCTCGAAGCGAGCCTGCATCTTGTTAGCCAGCGTGTTCTTCAGTCGCATCCGATGTACCACATGTGGTCCGAATAGTCGCATTCGAAAGCACAGGTACACGGAATAACGTACCTGCTTCCTGATCTTCATGACCTTGAAGCGCTCAAAGTCGTTCAGTCCCCGCCTCTTCTGCATAGCCGCACGCTTCTTGGCCCATGCGCTCTCGTCGAACTTTTGTTGGACCTTGTGCTCCTCCCACTTCTTCGCGACGTGGCCAACACCGGAGGCGCGGGGCAGCTTGGGGATGACGATGGGTGTAAGAGAGAGTTTGGCAAGCGCGATTTCCTGGCGAGGGATGGGGGCCTTCTCCGAGGGACCATCGATGAGGACCTATGTCTCTGTGAGCCGCTGAACAGCACCTGAATCGCGGATTCTCCATACACGCTTGTGGTCAATGATCTCGACAATGGCAGCGAGGCGGCCCTCGTACTGGCCCTCGTTGAAGAGAACCACACGGCCGACCTCGACCAGCCTCCAGGCGCTCGTTGTGATTTCGGCGTCACCCATTTCGTCGATATGTGCTGCAATTAAATGTTAGGTTGCGAGAAACGTCAAGTATTGCAGCGTCGAGAGCGTACCGGTCGGAAATAGGATTCGGTGTTGATGTTCTGGTCGGGAGTAAGTAATGTCTGATGTCCGGACAATCGAATTTCGCGTGTGGTGCCGGGACCGTGCACAAGCGAAAGGCGCCTTGGCACTAGCGCTTCCTTAAAGTTTTCCGCGAGCGCGACTTCCATTGTCTTCTCATCAGTACCGCAAACTCTATGCTTTGTCTTTACTCTCGACAACCGTCGCGACTATATGCAGTCGCCAACGCGCGTCTCACGACCACTATCTCCTAGATCATTCGCCTCATAGATGCCAGCGCAATGCACGCTTGCGCCTGCTGCTCAGACGCACTAATCTGAAGACCGACAGCTACGATCCAACACCCATAGCTCCACTGGTAAGTCTCCAGCCTCCACACCACACCTCCCCATCCTAGGATGACATAATTTGCGATTGAGCTCGGCGCCGGAGACCCTCGCCGGGGTCTCTTAACGGCGTCGAGTTTATGATATTCAATTTCTTACATATTCTGAGCCTGCTTCACCAATCCAGCTTTTTTCACTGCACCGACCTAGCGACAAAAGCTGACCACAACAGACTTCTAGGGTCCCAACCAGTAGACGCAAACTCACTTAGTGTTGTTATGAGCTTGCTTGCTTGCGAACTGCAATCGGACATGTAAACGTCTGATGCCGTTGCAGCACACACTCATTATCCACAGGTCAGTACAACCTTTTCCACTCCATCGCCCACCCCACTTCCAATGATTACAACATGCAATAGATAGTATATGATCTCCATGATTACTATTTTATCACCAAGATCACTGAGGAAGATCACAACCACGCATCTGCTTGACAACGCTTTGTACGATACAGGTTACTAACAAGCCTGCAGGCAAATTCTCATACAAGTGTGTATGAAGCCGGAGCTCTATACTGTGGCATGCGTCACGTGCATTTCTTGCCTTGATGTACAATCACGACCGGACCCTGCCTCAATCAAGCAGCGTCGTTGTATCGGCAGCCCGCGACACATGTTCACGGTGAGGCAAATATCGATGAAGTAGTTCAACATTTATAATGTAACCAGCACGACTTGTGTAAAGGTAAGCAGCAATCGCTGGATATTTGTCCCGTCTTCATATACGTAGGCAGCTAGTCTTGATCATCAACTACATTATCTTCCGCAACTCTCTGCTCTGGTGTTGTTGCCCTCCTCCGTGTGATTTTCCTGCCATAGTTCCGATACAGGTTCATCAATAGCTCTCTGACCACGCCATTGAACGCCGTCCTCGCATCGAATCTGCTTCCACCATACGGGAAAGGGACAATTCTGGGCCAGTCAGCATTGTCTTCAAAGTAGAACTCAAGATCAAAGGCGTCAGCATCTTTAAGCATGTCCTTGATCGTCTCTCCCTTGTGACCATTGACGTCTGCCCATGCCCACAGTGCCGGGTCATAGAAGTCCAACGTGTTTGATGCCTCTTCAGCGAGGATTTGTGCGTTGAAAAGCAAGTGTCGGATGATGTTGATGTTGCAACCGCAATGTATGATAGCGTACTGCAGTAACTCGGTAGTGATGCCTTTTGGCACACCCAAAAGCACAGCGAGCGCCGCCACCGCGTGCTCGTTTCCATCTTTGATGGCCTCTTTCATTCCCGTCTTCGCCGCTTCGCCTGCCATACTACCTTCCCAGTCGATCTCTCCGTTCAGACTGACCAATACGTAAAGCAACGACGCTTTGTCCTCGGTCCACGGCCCATGCAGCAACTTCTCCGGTACGTGGAAACCTTGTGCAAAAGCCAGATGTGGGATTTTGGTAAACTTGTATGGCCACAGTCCGTCGAAGTAGGACACTCCCGGGATCGTGACTCCAGTAGCTTCCCAGGCTTTTCCGCGTAACCTGATCATTGCATCTTGTGCGCTCTGTACATATCCCAGGAAGAAGTCGTAGGTAAAGAAACGGCAGGCCAAGATGTCAGATTGGAGCGAAGCGTCGCTGGTAACAAGGCGGTCCCGATAGTTGGTGCGGTGATCAACGGTATGGAAGAAGGCTTGCATGGTGAAGTCCATCGCTATCTTGTGGGCCGAGAGTTTCTTGCCTAGATCCGGTGAGCAGCGTGGAAGCGCTGTGTTCATACTGTAAAGAAAGATCATTTCCAGTAGTTCCTGGGGAAGGCCTTGGAGTGTCGGCATAGCCGGCGTAATGTCCTTCTTCTTGGATGTCGACTTTGTTTTCCTTTGTCGTTTGGGCTGAGATTTAGATGCTGAAGAATTTTGTGTAGGTATCGATGGAGGTTTACTTCTGGAAGAAGCAAGTGCTGGGTGCAGGTACCTCCTTTTCTTGCCACGTACGATAATAGGTGTCAGTTCCATCAGCTTATAAGTGGCCGTTGTGACCAGGCAGCACTGAAAAGTAAGCCACTTCCGATTGCATGCAGCATGTGCAAGGTAGATGGATCGGGAAAGGCTCCGCGTCACCTTAGAGGTCGCACGCTGCGCCACATGTGATGTGCACAGGCCTGATGTGGCTTTGCCGCGGCGTTCCTGGGGCTAGCGCTAACTTTCCGCTCGTCTTCTTGTCGCAACAACAAAAGACGAGATTACTACACCACGCGCGTTCACCACGAATCGAAGAGTGAAACCCCAAACAACATTAGGTGAACAATCTGTAGAGATGCAGGTCCACGCAGTACCAGATTCTGAACGCGCGTTCGATTCAACAGGGAGGAAGCTGCCTTGGGCGTATGAGTTTGCGGAGTAAGTCACTCTTTCACTGCCATTGCCGTATGAAGCCTTTTGCACAGAAGATTCTAGTATGGCGACAGAGAAGACCCGAGAGTAATCTACACAAGCTTCTCTATTCTACCCCACCACTATGGCAGACTTCAACTGGGACACTCCCATACTCTCGCGCTCGCTGCTAACATCAACCCCCGACAGTTCAGATCAAAACCAACGGCGCATCCCAGAAGAGAAAGGCCCCTTTGGCAAGGCACGAAAACGCGGTACTTCACGAGCAAAGACACCATTGGGCGCCAACAATGCAGCCGACGAAGCAAGACTCCATAACCAGCGCGCAGAGGACGATATATTCGGCCGTTTCAAAGCAGAGGAAGACAAGAGGCGCTCAGTATCTGCGCGGCCGTCCACCGCGCTACCCTCATCAGCTTCGGCGCCAAATCTCATAGACGCGAGCAACGGACTGGGCAACTCTTTCGCCGCAGGCGCGTCTACCAACGCTACTTTCGCACAAGAACCCAAGGAGGTCATACTATACGGCTTCGGCGCTGAGCAACAATGGGCCGCGATAGCACACTACGAGAAGGTTTCTAACGGGATGATCTACGAAGAATACGATCGGGAGCCGCCCAACCCCAGACTCGGATATAGTTTGGCTGCGCAACGCTCATCGTACTACCCATCTTTGGAACCGAAATACATGGCAAGGATCAAGACATATATAGGAGGTAATCACTGGGTCAAGGTTACCTTTGAGAGTGCGGAAGCTGCCGAGCGCGCTTGCCACTACAGCCCAAAGAATATTCATGGCTACACAGTATATGCGGAGATGTACAGGGGAACAGAACCGCAAGGTGGCGACAGACCGTTACGCGCAGAAGGAGGAATGTCACAGATCGCATCACCTAATACGATATCTTCAGGGACCCTGGGACTACGCGGCGCATCGCAGTCTTCCGCAACCGCTTCCTCAGCCACAGCCGCAGCTCCCCAACCTACAGCATCGCAAGCACTCGCATCACGACCAAATACTGAACCAGCCTGGCTACGTAGCACGACTGGCGCCTTCCCAAGCTACCTCGACGAAATGCCCATTGAGCCCGCTCAACCACAGGAATCACACCAAGCTCTCGACCCAAATACCGTTCCTGCACACACAACAACCACAGCATTAAACCCCCGCTCTCAACGCGCAACCCTACGACTGAAAGGCGCAAATGTAAAACCCGTCGTATTCCTCCCACAAGAAAAGGCTTTCCTCCCCGCGAAACCTCGCTGGCAGCAAACGTTTGGCTCGTTACCTGTCATCGGTTGGGTGATTGGTTCGGGACAGGGTATCATCGGTGATCATGTGCCGAGAAAGGAGGACGGAAGTTTTGATATGAACAGTGCGAGTTTGTATTGGCGGGTGTGGTATATGGTGGATAACTGCTTCGGCAGCGACTTTTGTGGGGTCAGAGATGCGGAGTACGATGAGTAGTGGAGGCGGGGTCATTCTGGTGTGTAAGATCAAGGGGTTTTTGTTGAGCATTGGGCGGCGTTTTCGAAATGGCATTATAGCGATGTGACTTGAGTATTGCCCGGAGGACTGGTATTGGATGCATAAGTAATGAAACACAAGTAACATCCTGAGCAGAACGCGTGTCTACTGGCATAATGTGACTCGTGAAATTGTCCAGTTGTGTGGAAATCAGAAGTATATCGTTCCCAAACGTATGAGCACTGGAATCAAAGTTGAGCAATGCATAGGCAGGATAACGCAAATGGTCAAAATCTAGGGTGCATTTCCACTCTCTGGAACTATTCACAAATACGTAGGTAATACAACCCAGATCGGGTACATTTTGGCTACATGGAAAGAAGATGCTTAGAGGACGGACAGATCGCCGAACTTCTCCTGCGGGGTTGTTAGTACTTGCAGACAAACCATTCTTGTTGTTCCAAAGACTTGCCTTGTAGCCGGGAACGGCCCAGCGACCCTTGGAGACGAGCTGCTCGGTGCGCTTGTCGATCTCGGGCTGAGCAGCCGCAACCTCGTCCTGTGATATTGGTCAGCCTCTTGTCCCCCACTTGCCCGTAGTCGTATATACGTACAACAGTGAGGTCAGCGAATGGCCTGGCGTCCTCGATGTTCTTCAGTGTCTTCTGGAGATCGCTCAACTCCTTGTCGACAACGGCCTTGGTCTGCTCTGCGCTCTGGACGGCCTGGGCCTCGAAAGCCTCAATGGCCTTGATCTGCCTTCCTACATCGTATGTCTGGGGCTTGAAAGCGTTGAACTGCTTCTCAATGTCGTCGATGACGGCCTGGTTCTTGAGGATGCCGCGGTAGTGGTTGAAGTCGACGGTCTGGGACTGCTCGGAGAGAACGGTGACTTTGCGACGCGCATCGTCGTTGCGCTTCTTGAAGGACTGGAGGGCGGCGGCGGTTTGGCCCTTGAGGCCGAGCTGGGTGCCCAGCTTGGTCCAGTCGAGCTTGAGGGCTGCGCTACGCTACAAGAGGGGACATGTTAGTTTTCTTGATCTTCAATTCGAAGGTGCCATTGCGGGTGAGGGGCTACTGCCGGCGCAGCAATTGGGCATCCGAGAGCTTCGACGGGTCTTCTGAAAGGGGTTTGACGTACTCCGACGGCCATTGTGATGGATTTAGACGGGGATGCGGTGGGTTTAGTTCGGGAGGGTTGATGTCCAAGTTCTTCGCGAGAGCTCGGAACAGCGCCGCCAAGGACAAAGTGCACGGGCCATATTACTTCCGCCCTCGATCGCGGCCAAGTTCCCCCAACATTGATCTTATCCATTCACACTCCACAACTTGCTCCTTTACATTCAGCCAACTGTCTAAACTCGAACAATACTCGCAACTATGTGGATTATTGATTGGTGAGTACTCCCGTCCTCTACTCATGCTGACTTCTTACTGATCTTGCGCCAGGTGTAAGTTTACCACCTGCCCTTATGATATCCCGAACTGGATAGACGAATGTGGACATCTTTGCCGCACGATATCTCGAGCATGCCACAGCGGTCCCGTACAACAATACTATTGCCTTCCGGGACCAGAGCCCTCGACACAGTGGTAGAAATTACCAAGATTAGACTTATCACGGGCGCATCGACACTACATAACCACTCACACCACGAATGTCTGCCGGATGGATTAATCGCTTGCTTGGAATACGTTTGAACATGGGCTGATAATGGAAAATAGTTTGGGATGTTCTGTCCTCGCTTGGACTTATGAACAAGGTAAGCAGAAGCATGGTCTAGACTTCATCACTGAAGCTAACACAACATCACAGCATGCCAAACTCCTTTTCCTCGGACTGTACGTATCCTTGTATACCAAAAGTTCCGAACACACGTAGCTGACTAGGCTTCAGTGACAATGCAGGAAAGACCACGTATGGCAATCCAACCGGACACGCGAGCTTCCATTAACACGACTAGGCTGCTGCACATGCTCAAGAACGACAGGGTCGCTGTCCTGTAAGTAATATGTCGTCTTTGTTCATTGCTACCAGCTGACATTTGCTCCAGCCAGCCGACCCTCCACCCCACCTCCGAGGAGCTCTCGATAGGAAACGTCAAGTTCACAACCTTCGATCTTGGAGGTCACGCACAAGCCCGACGACTTTGGCGCGATTACTGTACGCCAATCTTGCTCCTCCAGTCGTTTGCATCCAATTGACCCTCTTCTAGTCCCCGAAGTTTCCGGTATCGTCTTCCTCGTCGACGCCAAAGACCACGAGCGTCTCTCCGAATCGAAAGCCGAGCTCGATGCTCTTCTCGCTATGGAGGAGTTGAAGAACACCCCCTTCGTCATTCTCGGAAACAAGATTGACCACCCAGACGCCATCTCCGAGGACCAGCTCCGTTCAGCACTCGGCCTATACCAGACAACCGGCAAGGGCAAAGTACCACTCGAGGGTATCCGACCGGTCGAGGTTTTCATGTGCAGTGTGGTTATGAGGCAGGGTTACGGAGAGGGTATCAGGTGGTTGAGCCAGTACGTCTAGACGCAATACCACGACAACCATAAGGGCGTCAGTTGGACGTGAAGCAGATGGGGGAGCAGAGGGGGAAGCATCTGGCAGTTTGGCTCTTTCGATGGTGTGAGCTAGATGTAAGTACAGGACATGATTGTCAAACGTATGTTAGATGTACTCTTACGGGCGTTGGCGTTAGCTCTTGGAATAATATTATATCGCACATATTAAGATCTATATTAACGTGGAATGTGATTAAGCCGGCTCGGAACAAGCCCAACCAATACCGAGGCATATATGGTGTAAGGCTTAAGATGGAGCGCAGTTGTGGCTTGGATTCCAATCCGTCGGCAATGTGTTTCACCGAGGACAGATAATTGCTGCTGCTCTCGAACTCTTCCTACGTCTTTTCAAGCTTAGTCACAACAGAACGAGGCGAGTGCACTGTAGTTAGGACTGTCAAAAGTGTGTTCTCATCACAGCAGAGTATGCTGACAAGAACTATGTATGAACGGTGGATATATCCAGTCTGTTGAACCTGGTGGTTGCAAGTACAAGTGAACTCGTGGTGTTCCAAGCTCTAGGGTAACGCCTGAATGGGCATGAAGGCTGGCATCCGAAAGAAACGAGCATATCCATATGATCATGACGTCGCATATTACCTATAGGATAAGCAAATCTCGGACAACAAGGCCGATGAGGAGATGATCATACAGGCAAGACAACATGACAGCATTTCCGGATCACACAGGAACGGAGCTGAGACTGCAAGGAGGCAATCTTGATAAAACACCAGTCTCAACCAAATGAAGCGAACGAGACGACACCTTAACAAAAGAACCAAAAGACCCTCGATTCGTCACAAGAAAACAATACTCCGCCACACAGAAAACGTACTCACTTTCACTCGCTAGACTTTTCACAACCTCGACTCGGCGCTTGCAACATAAACCACTTGTTCGTTGAGCAAAACTCACAATCAACCAAGCCAGTCTAGGCTCGCCAGCAAGCGAGAGGAAAAGAAACGAAAACGGCACGCAAGATCTCGCACCGCCACAGCTAACAAACCTAGCCTCACGTTTGACCTATTAATACCTTCAAGAAGACTAAAGAGTCTTCGATTCCGCTTGCGAATAGTGTACCAGACGGCGCATCATCCCAACGAACCTAGTATATGCATGCGTGTCAATCGATAACGCGGGCTAGAACTTAGTCTTCATTAGTTTGACACATTGGCTGATTGATTAATAGCTGTTAGTGTGAGCTGTCAGATGGATTATGAGCTATTGGTTTTAGAGAAGCAGGGACAAAGAGCGTATGCAGGGTGAGGGCTGACGACGTTGGTCTTTATAATTCCTTTTGGTCAACGACATCGGATTGTTTGTTTGCCGGGATTTAGGAGCTTTTTGCTTGTTGTTTTACCTGGAGAGGTTTTGGTATTCCACGTGTAAGACGAAAGGGGTTGGTAAATTGGGGAACGATGTAAACTTGACAGTGGCCTGATGTTGCTTATGTACCATTTACATGCATTTGAAAAGAAATGTGGAGTATATCGCTTCTTCACCGGAAATTACGTACACAGTCTGTCGGGATGGAAAGAGACATATGCACGACACTGCATATCGAGGAGCGCATGCAGAGGCAAGCGACCAGCGTACCCCGCGCTACAATCGCTGGTGTAGGAGCGCGCTGTGGCACCACTAGGATACAAATCAGCATGCCAAAGCAGGGAAATGCGTGTACGCGGCGTTATGAAGGACGGACGTCGTATGACCGTTTTGCTGGGATGTTTGCAGTAGTTTGTGAGTGATCGAGACGATAGGCATGGAAGAATGGTAAACAAGCATTTCAGACGTGGGCGGTACAGTACTTGAAACTTGTTTCCTCTGAAATTTACATCACGAAATAGCAACGCAGGTGAATGTGTTCATTGTTAAGTTTGCATTAACATCTTCGTCGCATCGAAGTGCGGTGCTACCTATAGAATTAACTAGAGCCATGGCCTTTTCCTGCAAATCAATTATCCAAACACCTTGCCGCCCATGTTTTAGGTATATACATGGATGTCATATATGCATACAGTCATCAAGGAATGTCGCAAGGAAATCATGTCGTCCTCCATTATCACCTTCATTACATGGTCGTCGGAGCGACCCTATTCCCTGCTTATGGTGCGCGCAAACTCAGGGGTACTTCTCTTACAAGAGTGAGAAAAGGGCGAAGAAACCAGCGGCAAGGGCACCAATGCTGGCGGCGCCAGTGGCGGCAGCACCAGTGAACTCGGACATAGGAGGCATGGTAGCGTTGCCGGTAATGTTGCTAGCGGGGGCAGATGCCTGGGGCTGGCCATCCGAGATCTGGGTGACGAGAGGGGCGGAAGCCTGGGGCTGACCATCGGAGATCTGGGTAACGACGGGAGCGGAAGCCTGAGGTTGGCCATCCGAGATCTGAGTGACAACGGGAGCAGATGCCTGAGGCTGGCCGTCGGAGATCTGCGTAACAACAGGGGAAGAGGCCTGGGGCTGACCGTCAGAGATCTGGGTCACGACGGGACCAGGAGTGGAAGCCTGGGGTTGACCGTCGGAGATCTGGGTGACAGCGGCGGAAGTAGCCTGAGGTTGGCCATCGGGGATCTGAGAGACACCGCTGGTGCCCTCTGACATAGTTGCCTGGATGTGGATGGGAATACACTGTGCACCGGTCGACTGGCTGTACAGGTTGTAGAAGTCACCAGATAAGCACTGGTAGAAGACAGTGGAGCCCTGCAGGGACATGGATCCGTTGCTGCAAAGACCGAAGCCCTCAGTCTCGAGGGCACCCTCTTGAACGGGAGAATCGAACTGGAACCTGATAGGATATTAGTCTTGATCGAATGTTTTCAAGTGTTGTGCAAGACGTACTGGTAGTTGGCAGCGATGTAACCGGTGCGACCAGCCTGATCGGTCAACTTTCCGTCCTCAAGGGACAGCTTGAGTGTGCCGTCAAGCTGACGCCTCTCGATGCCGCGCCTGGTGGGAGCCTCGGTGGCATTGACAGTGGTGATAGCAAAGGTGCCGTCGGCGGAGGACACACACTCAGAGCCGGAAGAGGCCTGGGGGTAGGCGGCAACAGCGGCCACGAGGCCGGCAGCAACGAAGGACTTCATTTTCGGAAGTTCGGTTGGGATGGTTTGTCGGTATTAGAGTATCGGGCGTACTTGACAGCGAGAGTAAGTAACGACGCGGAGGAGACTGATGAACGAGGTATCAGTAACTCTAAATATACAAGTAAGCAAGACTGTTGATGGTGCTGGTATCCACGACAACGAGAGTGTGAGATGTTCTGGATACGTAGAAACGCGGGAAGGTAAGACAGCTATATAGCAATACCCAGCCGAGTAGTTAGTCTATTCAATCTACCTCATCGAGCATATCACCGCGGATCGGACATGGACAGAAGCCTCAGCGCTCGAGCCAAGGCTATGGATCAACTCCACGCGTCAATGCAAATCTACAGCAGCCTAGCGTTGACGCTTCTGACGGCAGCAAAAGAAGGCTGGAGTAGGCTCGCTCGTGCCGCAACGACAAACGCTGCGGAGTCTTCTGCTGTATTACTGGATACCCATTCATCCGACCCCTCATTTAGTTCCCCACCATCTCTCTGGGAACGCGCGTGAACAAAGCCCGTTTCGCCTCTTCTCCAAACTTATCTCGTTCCCAGCCCGCGATTAACTCCTGAACGCAATTACTGCCATTGAGGTCTGAACTGGGAATGGGCAGTTTCAGCATGTCCAATTGATATCTCTAGCTCGTAACCATGCCTGGTGAGATTCTGTGTAATAAAAATCTCGAATATGTTGAGCTTTTCCCGCGGTATGCAACGTCTAAGACAGATGTTCAACCGAAGCCTCGCATCAGCGGGCTTGGGCCGATCGCTCCGCGGTACGTCCTAGCGTCTGAACTAGGGCAATATGCGTGCGTTCTGTAGGTCTCAAGGTGGAGTGTGGCGGGGCGTCGTTATTCATCTCTTTGTCATGTCTCATTGGTTGCCATGCACGAGGATTTGCAGGGTGGTGTGTGGTGAGGATGTAGCTCGCTCAATTGGACTATTGAGAGGCAAAATGCAAGGATGGCGTTAGATGGGATTGGTGTCAAGGCGACAAATGCCTAAGTGATGTCAAGATGGGTTCCCAATTCGGAACGACGCTTACGTGCGCTAGCGCAGCACTTGTGGGGTATATGTGGCTTTCGCCCTCCCAAGCGTGTTCAGCCGCCCCATCCACCGTCTGCAGTGGAACCGTTGCTTGGGAACGCTTAAGACGGGCTGGGGGAGGCCGGTATGCTGGCTATGCGGTTGCATATCGATAGTGTGCCGCTTGTTGCTGGCTGGCTGGCGCATCTGCATCCGTTGGCTGGCTAACCCTAGAATACGCCTAGATTGTTGAGTGAGACGACTGGTTGAATTCGTGTGAATACTGTGCGATGGAAACATGGCATTTCGAAACACCAAGACTACGCTTGGCTACGATATGAAGACGCTGACATTGCAATGATCCAACGTATCTGACATGGGGCGCGCATGCCAAACGTACCATTGACGTCACGCAGATTTATTCTCCTCCATCCTTTGTGCTGCTATATGCCGCAATCATGGCGCTAAACATCTGCACGCACTGGACAGCCAACCATCGATAGCCAACCCCATTGCAGCTTCTCACCCCGTCAGTGACATGGTGAGACTTTCAGCGAGTGACGAAAGCGGCCTTGATCATCTGACCCCGCACAGCTCCTGCCTTTCACAGACGCACAGATGTACATCCAGCACCGCAACAAGCGCATTACAGCGAACCGAGCCGACCGGGTCTGTGTTGGTGAGGTTATTCGGCCTCGGCGATCACGATCTCATGATGGATGGACCCTCCGCTAGTCCATGGGACAGTGACGCTCCAGCCGATAAATTAGTCCCCGCAGGTCTTCTTTACTTCCCTTCGGTGTCCTTTGAACTGGTACCCCGAGGCAGAACCCGGTTGACTTCTGACTGTGCCGTGGTCCTATCCTGTCCGCGATGCTCATGTGTCTGAATCTGGGAAGATATTCTTTCGGTCTGACACATCCGAACCGATCGTCATCCTGTAGGGAAACTTCGGGGCACTCGGCTGCAGCGATCTTGAGGATCTGGAAAGCTTCACGTAGCCGCTGCATCGTCCACTTCGGCGCATTGTTCCGGCAACGCAGTCTTGGACACATGTCCGATCACAATGCCTAAGAAGCCCATTAGAGTTAGTGTAGCATACTGGCGTCACAGGTACATTACGAGATATGTACCACTAGATTACGCGAAAATTCATGCTGGTAGCATCCTGTTGCTGTGTGTACTGTAGTCTGTCCCCCAATGATACGCCTCGGTAGTGTCAATATGGTATCAGCCTCAGACCACTATGATATCTCCTTCTCTTGCCCAAATCTAATCCCCATTTATTTACCCTCACCAGCGCGTTTGACGCCTCCTGCCACGTCGTTTGCGCCCTTTTCAATGCTTGTGGAAACATCAGAAATGCCTCTCGCAACAGGCCGCCCGGCACTGCCAGTGGCGCCCTCCACCTAAGCAAAGGCGCCCAAAGTCAGTGTATGCTTCGAATGCAGTTAGTACGAGTTAATTTACCGTTTCACCAACACCTCGACCAAGTGCGCCAACAACACCTCCCAAAGTGTTTGTAACGCCGCCAACTGTATTGCCTACAGTGGACGTGACAAACTTCACGCCAGAGGTCACACCGCTTTCCTGTTGGCCGATGGGCATAATGACGATTGGTCTTGGATCTCGGTCGAATTGTTTGTTTGTTTCGTATTGTTAGATGCCGGTGATAGTAGAGTTTGTTAGATTCCGGCTAAGGTGATGCGAGCTTGGTGGTAGTGCCCATGGCGTCTGTGCTGCAGTGATGCATTTATGGATCAACGGACGGAATGACGTCAGCCGACTTTCGAACAACAACGCGCGGTGCGTCCTGGAAATCCTGCATCGTGCAACCGCCAACTCTTTCCTCGTGATTCAAGGCATGGTCACGATCCGGTCCGTGTGAGATGGCTGTTGCGCAGCTCAGTTGTCGCCTTGTCCACATTCTTTCGCGCAACTATCAGCCTTATATGTGGGAACCACAGGCATCGTCCGGGGAAGCATCACGAACTCCTCATTGGTATAAGTCCATCGGCAGCAGCTGCACGAGAGCTTGCCGATGTTGCGTGGACAATTGCCATCGATCGGCTTGGCCATGGATCTTCCCTGTTGCCTTGACAGCAGTCTCCATACGCATGACTTACCAAGAAACATTCCAGAGCACAGGACATTGTGCCGTCGTGTGCCAACAGACGCAAAGATACAGCATGTTCTCTACAGAAATTGTTTCAGTGTGGGCGGACTCGGAGGACGGAATTTTCAGACCCAGCCACGCAGGACGCCTAAGAAAACCGCAAGCCACGGAATGCGAGCGCACCGATTACTAGAATATCATTGGTAGAACACAGGTATGGCCTGATAGCCAGTCAGGTCCACTGTAAAGAGACAGCAGGCAGCAATCTTACTTGCGGCCGAAATTCATCGCGACCGGCGTCGTATTGTCTCCGACTCAGCACTGCGTCAGGATGTGGGAGGTGCAAAAACGCTCACATACTCGCAGATAAATTGTGTTGCTCCTGTACATTCAGTACGAAGTATAATTCCAACGTGTTGACTACTCCTCTCGTAGCTTGTTACAAGGCCGGCCAAGCTTACATCGTTTTTGAAAGTCCGTCCATCAAGGATCAGGATCGACCACGGTCGAATCTTTACTATCGCAGTTCCATTACTTCCAATCCTCAAACCCGAAATTTTCGCAAGCCGCGCGAAACGTACAATATGACGTCTCTCTTCCCACATCCTCAATACGCCGAAGACCAACCATACGCACGCAGCATCCTCTACTTACATGTTATGCGTGCTTCAGCCATGTCCTTCTCCTTCTTTTCGCTTTTCCAGTTCCCAATCTCCGTGGTCGCGGCACGTTCTCGCAAATCACCAGTCGACTACAACGTAGTCTTATCTCGCACACTCAAGACAGCTGGTCGCGGCCTCGTTCTAGGCACGGCAGCTGGTGCAGTCATGACGTGGGGGCGCATGAGAGGCCGACAGGAGGTAGAGTGGAAAGATAGGTCTTGGAGAATACTGGAAAACGATGGCGAAGTGAAGACAGATTGGGTCACGTTGGGCGCGGCTGCTGGAGGAGCTGTTGGGGCGTTGTTCGCTGCACGGACTGGTACGCTACCTTTAAGTATGGGCAATGCCATGCTTGGAGGAGCTGGTGTTGGTATGGCTGGTGGAGTACCGTACATGATCGCGTCATTCGCGTTGGGAAGGAATCCTGCTTAGAGGTTGAGAATGCGAAACTGGCGTCTGTCTCTGATAGATGGACGACCCACGTCGAGTTCTTGGTAACACCGAGAGACATCTGCTGGCATCCTATCGTCCGACCTTGGCAAACGATTATTCAAAGTTGGTGTGTGGATTTCGGATGTATGAAGTACTCCAATACGGTGCCTCATGTTCAAAAAAGGTTTCCTTAACACAGTGTTGATCTTGGACAGTCTGAAGATATATTAGTGTAACTGTGATAGAGTTCTAAGAAGTCACGTAAGCTTGTCTTGGGTGCGTACTGGAAATATTTAATTTGTGCATCGCGACAAAGATGACATTGACGGAACGGTACCAAGAGCAGAACGCAGATGTCAACCTGTAGTGGATAATAATGGCTAATGCTGCGCCAGTCTGGACGATCTTTACCTAGGCAGAGCTTGAACCATCTACCACGCACTCTTTGTGCTTCGCTTCACAATCCCATACCGCCCTTCGTCGTTCTCTTTTTTGCTCTTCCCCAGGACTGCTTCGGCACACATGTGTGTGGTTTAGTCTCAAGCGTTGTGAATATGCTACAAAAGCAGGCGGGCAATAGGACTCGGCTCACCACCAAATGAAATCCTCGGTCCATCACATAATCGTATTTTCAACACTTCCATTCACGATTCAGCACAACAAAAAGGCTGCCCCACCAGCCGATGACCTCATACGGCCAGACTTACTGCGGGCGGTGCAATATAAGAACGCACAGATCGTCGGCAGTTCCCCCTGATCTTGTTCATCCGACCTTCCGCTGTCGCAATAAATGAAGGTATACAATATGGCGATCTCAAGGGGGCATGTACGGAAACGTCAGTGTAACTGTCTGAAACGGTCTTGGGCCGAGTAGCTTCCGCCGTTGCATCGAGGGCGCGTTACCCAAAGGTGTCTTCTCGAAACATCGCCGGAACGTGATACCTGCTGAACAGGCCTAAGCTCCTGGAATCTCCACGCATTCACGGCCTGATCCACCACGAATCCTTTACCTCCGAAGTCATATTGTCAAATTGCGCTATTCCCATATCCTATCCTCTCGCTTGTCAGCATCTACACGCTACGTGCTGTCCGCTGCGTCGCATTTACTATGCGCGTTACCTTTGATTGGGCCATGCACTTTAAGCGGCGGCCCCAGATTCGCCTACAACAGGGATCGGCTGCTTGACACGCTGTGATCGGTCCAGGTTCTAGGAAGAATACGTTACACCGAGCCCTCCGTGCTAGCGCTGGCGGGTCCCAGGTTGCGTGAGAACAATTGGCGTCTGCACAACACCCACTTCTCGCGTCTCTAACAGCCACGAACCGAATCGCGCAGAAGCCCACATTGACGCCGTCCGGCTACGCAGTTTCCGGGTTGTTAGAAGGCAGCCAAAGATTTATGTGGTGCGCTGTTCGTGTAAGAGCATTAATCAAGGCAGATGGAAGGAGCGATGCCATGTTCGTTGTACCATGAAATACGACCGGCTTCCACAGCGACACCAAGCCTTTTGAGTGGCAGGTGTATAGTGTAGCTATTAAGCAGATCCACGTGAGTGCGACCGACGGGAGACTAGACCGTGGGGCAAATAGAAGGGCCTCTGCTTAACTCGTTTCTGTAAGTGTTAATATGCAGTAAGTAACAAATTGCGGGGGACGTCTTGTATGGCGACCGGCTGTGCCTGCCCTGGGCGCGCACAAGGGGACAAGGGTTGCGCTGCCCTTGTCCTACCTTGTTCCGGGTTTATATGAGATTGCCCACCCACAAGCAGCGCGAGATGTGGTTTTCGCGATTTCTTCAGGTTTCTGACAGTAGGTCGTCGAGATGCCTACCTATCCTCTCCAACTCACCTGCCTGGGGGTGATCTATGGCACACCCCTCCTGGCATCGATATTCGTCATTCTGAGGATATATACGCGGCGGAAGCTGAATTTACGGTTGAGCTGGGGTATGATGTCCAATGTATCTTACGTGAATGGTATTAACGCATTTGAACAGATGACTGGCTCATTATCCTTCCGTTGCTTTTGTCCATAGCCCTCATAGGGCCCTCGCATCGACGTAAGTACAAGAATAAGCACTGATGCTCATTCTCGCTAATTCTGGATAGATGTCAAGATGTGGCATGTGGGTGTACACATCTGGCAGGTGCCAGTCGATCAGATAGAACCAAACTATGACGAGTACTATGCCGTAAGTATAGGTTTAGGAAGCGACGAGGAGCTTGCTGACAACTACAGGTTGTCATGGCGTTCAATCTCTTGAATATCCCCATATTACCGCTCGTCAAAGCATCAATTATACTTCTCCTGCTTCGAGCCGGCTCCGTTATCGAATGGCTCAAGCGAGTACTCTACGCCATCTTGGTCTTCACTGTTGGTAGTGCTTTGATACCATGGTTCCTGTACATATTTATATGCCCACCTCTAACGGGCAATACTTGGAAACCGAGAACTTTTGGTGGACTGCACTGCATGGGCAGACACAAGATGGGCGAGATGTTGATCTGGGTCACTTGCGCAAACCTGCTCACCGACGTCCTGATTCTTCCGATACCTTTCATCATCGTGCGAAGGATGATGAGCGCTCGACTAAGATCCCGCTTGGTGGTACTGGTAGTCTTTACTTGCAGTCTCGCGTACGTTCCAATCACGGGTTATTCAAACAAGACTAACGTATTTACAGTGTTACTGCAATCGGTGCTGCAAAGATCTACCTATCGTACCGCGACCGACTCTACACACTGTTCAACCCCGATTGGACCTATCCAATCGACTATTGTATCAACCACATCGAAAACAATGTGGCCATCATCGTAGCCAACATACCAATTCTACGCGGTCTCGTCACACGATGGATCTTCAACTTCCGAACCAAAGCGACGCCCATGGATCGCGAGTTTCGAGGTGATTGGCAACATTCGAACAAATCAAACTCTTCAGACATCAGCCGTAACACAAGAAAGAACCGTGTGGTACAGAAGATTCTCCCCTGTATACAGGACGACTTCTCGAGTAGCCTGGCCACGCGGTCAAAAGGCGACGTCAGCATACGAGGGGACTGCCGACAGGATTTCCCACCTCGAGCGGTCACCACAGGCGAACTACGACATCAGAAACGAAGCTACTTTCCCAGATCGCGAAGAAATAGCTTGGATCGGTATGAGACGGCCGATACCTGCGAGAAGGGTGACTTGCTAGAGACAGTTCGGAGTGTGGGCAGTTTAGGGTCCGCGCCAACGCTCGTTGAGAGCAAAGATGTGGGTGTTGGGTGGAAGAGTATGGATAGCCCAACGCTGAGTCCGACGACCTCAACGACGAGGTTTTCGAATTCGACGCTGAGTCCGATTGCGCCGTTGACGCCCGCAAGGCTACGAGGAATTGAGGGTGATGAGGACGACGATGAGATATACCCATACCCACGATTATGATGACACCATAGCGAATGAACTTTTTATTTTCACAACTTGATCTCTGCAATGGTTCGCTGTGTACGTCCATATATCGCTCTATTATCCACATCTATGATACTACAAACGCGCGAGGAACCGCATTATCTCGTCTTTGCTAAGATACCAAATGATGGTCCGAAATACGTCGCCCGAGTCCACGTAACCCCGGACCCCCTCATGTCGGCAGTCGCCCATCTGGTACGTATCTACCACTCTCGAATCCCGTACGCCGTATCCGCCATGCCGTTGCCTCAATTTCCCACAAAGTTACCAAGAGTCCCACCCAACCACACCAGCGCGGCGCTCAGGCCCGTTTGTCCGCAGGGGTGCGCATTGAGTTGGATCTGGGGTACAACCGTCACAGTGCACTTACCACGTCAAGACGCAATCCGAGCCGTTCCTTTTACTGCAGGGGTGGATTGCTGATCATGCTGCCTGTGCGTCAGCGCGTGTCTCGTCTCCTGTCATGTCAGTGTATGGTTATTTTCCTGTGATGAATGTGTTTGTGAAATGATGCGCTGCAAACGTTGTTCACGAGCCCGCCCTGTATGAGACTTTCCTTGTTGCGGGAGTAGACACGCCTCCAGGGGTTGCGGCCAAGTTCGGCCAGATCAGACCACATCAAGCATGAAGTTAACGATTCCTGTTACATTGGATTTGTGAATCCGGGGGTTTAGGCTTTCCCTCCATAACGGCACGGAATCGGTCTCGTGACTCTCGCCTACTATCAAACGGAATCCTTACTTGAAGCAGTACGATTGTCCGCTTGGGCAATAGCCGCAGTGCTACGCATCCGCGTATAATCTTCATAGCAAAGTTTCTCGTGAGTCTCCCTTGCATAAATGGAGGAAGGAAAGATTAAGACTTGAACACCTGGCGACGGCTTAGCAGCATGACCACACATCTCACACATGCGATAATGCACTCGACGGAAAGGATCTCACCGCGCCTAAGCGAGGGAATGGGTAGTTAGTATCCTCCACTCAACACCCTCTTCCCACCCCCCTCTCTTCATACCTACTGCAGCACACAACGAAGATCGCAAACCCTTGATGAGTGGCGAGTACCCCTCATTAGCACATTTTCCTGCCTGTTTCTTCCTACGTATTCTCGCTTTCGCACGTTACTTGTCCGTTAGTATCCTTAGCAAGTTGCCCATGTAATATATCGGATTTCCCCTAGCGCCCGTGGCTCAATATGGATAATCTCCCTCCCTCGGTACGGTGCGCGCGCACGGCGGGGGATGTGCAAGATTCAAATGCGGAAAACCTGTTCGGTGGTGTCATTTGCCTAAATGAACTGCGGAACTGGGCGAGTGGGTGGGTCGGGCGAATGCGATCGGTAGTCAAGGTTGATGCCGTTGTGCAAGGCGTTTACAGTGGTCCCCTTCGGCTCTCTTTCGGATGGAGAAGGGAAGGGCGCATTTGTTGGAGGATTATCGTGGCGCTTTGTGTGATAAGCGGTTTACGGACAAAGGAGGATGCAGACGATGGCAGTAAGTGGTCTGATTATCATAGGTCTGCTTTTTGTTAATTGGTCCTCTCTGAGTGGTCTCTTGACTTGTGAAGGGCTTTTATGTCTTGGACTTTTCTATTTCCACCAACCGGTCTGGCTGATTCTTTGCACTAACAGTATGCCTGATGACTTCTTCCTCCAACCTCACGCGATAGTATGGACTTTTCAAGCGAGTGTAATGTGGCTTATCATTCGACATGTGTTTTGCGCCGCCCCAATAACTACAAGAAAACGCCACTAGATGTCCCTATGCAACGACCCAATCGTGATAACATACACAAGTCCTTCCCATGAACGAAAAGGGAAGATACGAAGAAAAGAGATTACAATCATAATAACATCACCGGCGACTCCGATACTGAAAAGATTGCGGAGAGATGACTGCGCGCTGTTCTGGACGCGATATGCTGCCCATTGCCACGCGAGGTTTTTATTGGTAGGGTATCCATGCATGAGAAATGGGCTGGCAGGCTTCGTCGTCTGACGTCTCCAGCCAGCCAGCCTACAAAGATGAACGACAGAGAGGAATCGAAAGGACATGACGATCATGAAACGGGTGTTGAAAGAAGGTGACGCACAGCCTCGCATCACCGATGCTATATCGATATTAAACCTAGTATGATGACGGCAAGGAGAGCCATAGTGGGAGAGCTAGGCGTGAGGCTCTGAGCGGAGGACGCTTCGCCCGCAAGCACTTTGTCGTCATTGCGAACGCAGTTTGTCTTGGCTGTAATCTCCGCAGGACAGACCACTCGTTTGAAGTTTGCACTGCGTGACGTTAGTCTATATATTTCGTGTAACTTTTGGATCGCGATGATATTTACCTTGGGTACGATGCATCCTCGAACCAATCAAAGCGCCATTCGCAACCGGCTCTCAGGTTTTCGGGTAGATTTTGGCAGTCTTCTGCGGAGCGGACACCCGCCATGTTGTCACCAAAGACGGATTGGCTCACGCCATACTGCTGGGCGCATGCATTCGTTGATGTTGTGTTACCGCCAGGAACCTAAGTGAATCAGCTTTGCAATCATGATATTTGGTTCTCAATGGCTTACTGCAAGTGAAAACCGGTTTGCGTTGGTCACATCGTAGGCGGTATTCGAGGCTTGTACAATCATGCTCTTGCCGATCAGAGGCTCACTGGTAAAGTCGAGTTGGTAGCATGCGCAGCACCAGGCGTCCTCGATACCTCCTTGAGTGAGATCTGGTGTGATGTAGACACCAGCGTAGCCATATGAAACAGTGTCGTTGATGGCCCATGGCTGCTGGTTGGAGCACTGAAACGCACCACCGCCGTTGCAACCAGTACCGGCGGCAATATCCGTAGGCTTGTCGTCGGCTGTACACGATTCTACCGGTCTCGAAAACTCTGCCTTGCCTTTCCAACCACAAGACGGTTTACAACAGTCCCAGAAGCGAGTTGTGACAGCCTCTCCAGTGTAGTTGAGATCTGCACATCGCGCAAGAACCGCGAAGAGCTCGATAGTGAGGGCGATAGTGCGGAGATGTTGCGGCATCATTGCGGAGTGAAAGATATAATGTTGAAGTAGAAACCGAATGGCATGGTTTGTTAGCCAGAATGATCCGCCCGCAGTGCCAGGAAATGATATTTGAAGGATACCAAAAAAGAGGGGTCCCTTCTTAGTCCGGCTGCAAGGAGAGATTAAACTGTTTTTGATACTCGTGGCCGAGAACCATCATGCTGTACACCTTGCAGGGGTCAGCGGAGCTTGGGTACTGAAACGGTATCCGGGGCAATGGCATCTGAGAGGTCAGAGAGCCGCTGTCACCTTTCCCACTTCCTGTCAACCTACCCGGTGCCTTGACTTGCATTGTCTTACCTTATAAACAATGCCCCTGTCATCGCCTCGTGGTTCATTTTCCCCACACTTCCCACGCAACGTTGTATCGCTCCCCGCAATTCGGCAATCGCGATACCTGTTCACAAGGTCGTTTAAATGCATGCCGGGAAGGAAGCAACAAACCGACAGATGCGCAAAGCTGGGGTTGCCTAGTGCGTTGCTCCACGTTCGCTTTCGTGTTGACTGTAAGGTTTGCCCAATGTCTCACGCTCCGCCCTGTCCCCATCCAGGGCTCATCTCGGCTATTCTCGCGACCGTTCAAAGCGAACTTCTCCGCTTCTTCAGCTGCAACCGTTCACACCGCCGTATGACGCAGCCTTGAAGGCTGGTAAAGAATCCGTGTATGCGGAGCACGTGGCTCTCGAAAGGGTCAAAAGTCTTAGCTGAAAAGGGAAGTAACCTACCCGATTGGTGGCATCTCCAATATTGCTACCAGACTAGAGGCCATACTTGAGCAGACAACGTATATTTCGCAGGGGAAGTTTGTAAACAAGTGCCAGCATTCTTCCGGCTGAATCAACGTCGTCAGCATCGTAGTACGAACACACGTGATAGTGCGTTTGTCATATAGCAATCGCCATCGCCAACATCGCTAGAGGACGTTTGCAGTTTCGCGATTGGTAAAGGACCGATATGCGTGGACACAAGTATGGAGCGAATGTTTGGTTGAGAAGGAAGGCATGAACGGCTACCATGTCTACTATCTGCCAAGTCCCCGATACACGAACTCTGCCCCACTATACGTTCGCAGACAGAGCCCACGTCTATGAGACATCAAACGCTTAGCATCTTGGATACCGATACGAAGTGCTGCATGGACATGGCTTGCACTCGCGAGCACGATTCATGGGAAGAGTGGAGCTGTATGTGCATATTGAAGCTGAAACTCATTATGCCGATTCATTGCTACTATTCATACATCGTTAACAAGTGCACATGCTCGTGATATCTTCCTGTGCATGCCGAAATCCAAATGCTCCTCAACGCCGTCAAGATATGCTCGTTATGCATAATGCCCTTGTCTCTTCTCCAGTCCTCTTTCTACCGGCTCTCTCGAGGCGCTTGAGGACCTTCAGTCGCTTCTCAGCATGCTCTCCACCAGATCACCCAACGGGCCCCAGAAGTCCTTGCTTCCACTGGCCAGACCATGCTCGTCAATAAACAGCACATAGTGCTTGAAGCTAGTGTTGAGATGTGGCTCCAGACCCAACTCGATGATGACAGGGTAATGGTGGCAGTAGATATGCGCATAGACACGGTATAGACGTTTGAACATGTTCCGGATGAGAGCTGGGAAAGTCTTCGGGAAGGGTACGCCGATGCGCGAGGGAAACATGGACTCATTATCGACGTTGGACTGTATCCATGCCATGAGATGTTCAATGTATTCGGGTGCGGGCATCTTGGTGGGCTTTTTGTAGTTTTCGGAATCTTGCCAGAGGTACTCGAATCTATTTGTGGTTAGCCGTATGCACACCAAGCGCTTCGTGTAGGCTCACTCGTCGGTTGCCTTCATTTCAGGACAGCTTTGAGGCGAGCAGAATTCTGTAATGGAGCCATAGAGCAAGTTGATCTGGTTATAGAAATCGACAACTGCAGTCTAACGTCAGCCTGACTCCTCAACGCGTTCAGCGATTGCCCGTACCATTGACGGCTAGCCACTCGTCCTTGTCTTCGCCTTCGGGTAGCTTGACGGCCTTCCTCAAACTACCGCTACCGAGTGTGGCCTCGGCATACTGCTTTAGCTGCCAGCTGCTGGTGCCACGGTTCTTGGACGGCTTGAACGGCGCGCGAGTTCGCGGGTTACTAACACAAGACAAAGGTCAGCCTGTGCTTGCAGAGAAACGGGCGCTGTGTTCTGCCCGCATGTGCGATCCAGAAGAAGGGCTGATGGTGTTGCTAATATCGCGCGAATTGCGATCATTTGACCCAGAGCTCCAAGTTCCATGATCTCCATGATTCTCCAGCTGTCGAGCAGCCGCTCAACTTGTAGGTCCAAATGCCATCTTCCGGTCTCCAATCGCAGACGCATTATCCCCGAAGCCTAACTAGCGTCTGCATGGGACTATGCCCGTGGGATATGCAGCTCAGGCTCAGCGCGAAGGTAAGGAAGAGACAGGAGCGACTGCGGTGGTGAGAGAAGGATAGGTAGACGAACATTGTACTTATAAACCCCGACATATCGAATCTCGAACCGTGCTATCGTATCGACCGTATCGACCGGTATTGCGTGTCTACTGTCTGCTGGAGCGCATTCCGATGGTTAGCCAGGCAAACAGCGGGAGAGCTACGAACTAATCACACGTACCAAGTAAGAGGGATTTTGGGTGAAACGGGGTTTAACGAGCGACAAGAAGAGGGTAGCAGAGAAGAGGAGTGTCAATGACGTTGGGTGGGGAGATGGTGTTTGGGGAGACCCCCGCCGCAACAACAATCGCGACTGCCTCGCGCTAACGACCTGACAGCGCCAACACAATTGGTCGAGTATGTCACGTCTGCTTTTTCCTACTGACCGCCGTTGGATCTGATGTGATGGCTGAGTTACCGAATTTTCTATTCCCGCGTTCAAACTCTACTATACTCCATGTACGGATTTCGTAATATTTTCACTGGGCGCACTATAGCGAGGTGTCGTAGCAGATGAGTTAGGGATTGAAGAAAAATATCGTTTTATCGTAATAAGGTCTACTCTAGGTCTAGGATATAGGGCTCGCCTGTTAACAACTTCTACCGCTGATGATTACTGCTCCGAATCAGATCCCCGACATGTCATCTGACGGTCCTTACTTGCTAAAGTACGGATCTTGTTCAAAGTAATCGCCCTTGTCACGTCCACGACCGTTGCGACGACCACTCTGCGTGGTAGGTCTTGAGTCGGAACCGCCGTCTGTCATGGTCTCGAACTCATCTGGTTCGTAGTCCTGCATGCCGGTCTTGATGCGCTGAAGCTGACCACTGACATAGTGGTGCAGACGGTCTTCCATCGCCGACTTCTGCTCAAGCGCCTCTTGGTCCAGAACACCGACGGAGTTCTTGCGCTTGATCGGGCTTGTGACGTCGTCTTCCTCGCCATTGGTCGATGTCTCGCCCCAGTCACTTCGGAAGCCTATGCTACGGCTTGTCGAGGACCGACGGAGAGTCTGGCGCTTGGCTGGTTTGCCTGTCGTAGTGAAAACATCGTCAAAGTAATGGTCGGCAGCACCTCCTGGTGTGCGTGGCGTTTGTGGGAGACGACAAGTCATGCTACACATCGTTAGTCAAGGTATCATGCAACACGTGATCGAACTTACCCAGTGTCATGGATCATCTTCGCGATCAGACCGGTCCAGCCGCACTGATGCGTCGCTCCCAAGCCACGACCCGTATCACCATCGAAGAACTCGTGGTACCACATGTAATCTTTCCAGTTCGGGTCAAAGTCCAGCATTTCATTTCCATCGTTGATGGCTCTTCTACCGTCATCTCCGCGAGCAAACAAATGCTGGAGACGATGCTGAATCTCCTCTGCGACGTGGCCGAGATGCATGTAGTCACCCGATCCGGTAGGGCACTCTACCTTCAGGTCGTTGCCATAGTAGAGATGGAATCTCTGGCAAGATTCGATAAGCAGGAAGTTGACGGCCAACCAAATGGGTCCTCGCCAATTGCTGTTGCCACCGAAAAGGCCACTGTCCGAGTCACCGGGAAGGTAGGCGACTTCGTACTTTTGGCCGTTCACATCCATGGAGTATGGATGATCCTTGTGGTATTTCGAAAGCGATCGGATACCGTGGTCAGCAAAGAACTCGTCCTCGTCCAACATCCTCTTCATTATGCGCTTCAGCCGGTCTTCGTTGACAAGCGACAAGAGCATGCGGTTGCCTTGGCCACGTTTTGAGAGCGTGTGGATGTTGCGCTTCGAGGTTTCAGGGCGGTTGGCGATGAACCATTCCACTCGTTTCTTGAAGCTGGGCAGGCGGTTGATAACCTCAGGCTCCAGTGTCATGGTCGAGTAGAGAGGGATGAGACCGACCAGAGAACGGACAGGCATCTGATGAGACCATGGGCCACCCCAAGAGATAGCATCGTAGTAGAAACCGTCCTCCTCATTCCACAGTGGTTTTGACTCGCCCTCGCTGCGGAATTGCATAGCGTCGCTGATCATTAAGAAGTGCTCGAAAAACTTGGAGGCCATGTCTTCGTAGATGCGTCGTCGCTTGGCGAGCTCGAGACAGATGTTCAACATGTTCAGACAGTAGAAGCCCATCCAGCCAGTGCTGTCAGCCTGTTCCAGGACACCACCGGTCGGTAGAGGATCAGAACGGTTGAAGAGACCAATATTGTCAAGACCCAAAAAGCCACCCTCGAAGATGTTCTTTCCGTCCGCATCTTTTCGGTTGACCCACCATGTAAAGTTCAGCAAAAGCTTCTGGAACACGCGCTCGAGGCAGTCGAAGTCCTCGCGTCCGTACATCTTGCGCTCAATCTTGAAGACCCTGAACAGCGCCCAGGCGTGTACCGGAGGGTTCACATCGCCAAAGTTCCATTCGTATGCCGGTAGTTGTCCGTTAGGGTGCATGTACCATTCGCGCGTGAAGAGGTCCAGCTGCTTCTTGGCGAAGTCTGGGTCGATCATGGCAAGCGTAATGCAGTGGAAGGCACTGTCCCAAGCGGCGAAAAAGGGGTATTCCCAAGAGTCCGGCATGGACAGGATATCGTCCAAGTGCATGTGCTTCCACTCGTTGTTCCGTATAGCCTTTCGACCGGGTGGTGGAGGAGGCATGCCGGGGTCACCGTTCGCCCACTGGTCCCAGATGAAATGGTAGTATTGCTTACACCACATCATGCCGGAAAACGCTTGACGCTGAATGTTACGTAAATCATCAGCGATTGGGAGAGGACTTATTCTGTAGTAAAATTCGTCGGCCTCCGCGCGGCGCTGCTCGATGATGTCGTCAAACATTTCTTCGTCAAGGAACCCGTCGTTTCTCCGTGACAGCCTGAAGCGGACTACAGCGCACTCGCCAGGTGGGACACCATCGCCTTCATCGAAAGCGTACCAAGCACCACACTTGGTGCCAGTGTTCTCGGGGTTGACAGCGTCTAGCTGCTCGTCTACAATGCGGCGATGAATGCCGTCCTTGACATATGGGACTTTATTCTCGACGTTCCATAGCCCCTTGTAGTTGGTGTCGTTGTCGGTGAAGAGGAGCTCGGGCTGTACATCTTCACCGCTTGGACCGGTGCCAGGGGACGGTGAGAGCTGGAAGTAGCGGTCTCCCAACTTGTGGTGTTTCGACTGCGCTGTTGTTGGGCCGATCTTGGTGATTGAGGGCTTCAGCTTCTCATCCTCGTGACCCCATGCCCAGGTATTCCTGAACCAACAGTGAGGTACAATATGTAGCGGCGCCGGCTCTGGTCCACGGTTGTAAGCCGTAACTCGGAAGCACAATTCCTCAGGATCGTCGGCTTCCTTTGCGGTCTCAATGAAGATATCCCAATATCGGTCGTCGTCGAAGATGCCCGTGTCAACGAGGTTGTACTCCTTGTCCAACCGCGTTCGCTTTGCGTTCGTCTCGATGAGGTCTTCGTATGGGAACTTTCGCTGAGGAAGTTTGTAGAGGAACTTCATGTACGAGTGCTGGGAGTGGAATTAGCAGTGTAAACGTAATGAGTCAGGTAAACGTACAGTTGGCGTGTTGTCCAAGTGGAAATGGCACTCCTTGAGCGACTCGCCGTGGTTACCCTGGGGGTTCGACAGACCGAAAAGGCGCTCCTTCAAGAAATCACTGCAGACAAGTCAGTATATTAGTCAAAGATTGCACTAGCGCACACGTACTCCTTCTCGTTCCAGAAAGCAAAGGCAATGTTCTGGAAACCGTGCGAGTCGGACACGCCAGCAATGCCGTCTTCGCCCCAGCGGAAGGCGCGCGACCGTGCCATGTCATGCGTGAAATCTAGAGAGCATTAGCGACTGTGAACGATCCTGATCAAGCATACTTACGGCTCCAAGCATCTCCATCAGGGCTAAACAAGTTTGTTAGTAGCAGACTATGGCGATGGCAGCAAGGGTACTCACGAGTAATCTTCGCGGACTGTATAGAGATTAGAATGGTTCGAATAGATTTACGAGGAAGACTGACCAGTTGCCCACTGCCTCTCGGCAACATAGGGACCCCATCGCTTCCAGTAAGCGGTGCGTTCTCTGTCCTGCTTCAGACGCTTTTCCTCTTCGCAGAGGTATTCTTGATTCTCGATGAGAACCATGGTAACAATGTGTGTTGGAGTGGTCTGGGATGAGTGCTAATGGCGAGGAGTGAGTGAGGTTTTGGCGACGGCGCGTGGAGCGGTGTCGAGGGAATTATTTCCTGCAGGCAGTATGGAGCAAACAATGGGGTAATCAGACGATTAAGATAGTGGAGAAGAGTTAGGCGGGGTAATGTATACCAGAAAAGTGGTTTGGAGAGGAAGTCCAATGTTAGGAGGAGATGCACAAAGGAAGAGACAGAATGACGGGAAGTTTTTGGGCAGGGCTCGTGTCTTGGTGGTAGCTACCACAAGCCTGTCGACGCAGGAACTCGCGATACATCATAGGACGGCAACCGTGCATCGCGGGACTTATCGCGAACGGCTGACCTAAGCCCACTCTAGTCTAACGCCCTGCTCGGCCAGGTTTCAATCCCATGTCAAACGTGCCGCAAGAAATTGGCCAGAAGCTTGGAAATGTTCATGCCCATCGCTGCAGCAGCGTCGGCTACACGTGTCGGCCTTCTGTTGAGCCGCCTCCAAAATCTCTGCGTCAAAGTGTTGAACGCGCTTACTGGGGGCGACGCCAACCTTGGGAACAAGCAACCACGATAAAGACGTTAGTCTCCGGCCCTCCCCACTGTGCCATCGCCGATCGGAGCTGGCCAGCCTCGGAGGCCTTCTGGGGTATGGAGTTGTGACAGCGGACCCTGGCATTGCGATTCGCATGCCAGAAGTATGCAATTCTGAACGTGGTGGCGTCCCTGCTTCCGCGGCATGCAGGTCAGTTGAGGAAGACTTAACATGCGCATCGTCGCGTTCTGCGCCTAAGACGCCAATTCACGTGATGTACCACCGACAGTATGTCTTCCACGGCTGGAACGTGCGCCATATTATCGCTGGTAAACGCGATGTGCATGATGACGTCACCGGCTTCAAGATATCAGTCCGAGACAGAGTCAAGTTAGTCTGAATAAATTGTGCTGTGTTAACGCATGGAACATGAGAACCGAAGCGTTATGGTTAGCGACCGCGCAGAAAGACAGTAAGACAGGCTAGTAGCCAGCCACAAGTCTCCTTACATAACACTACCAACACTCGCAATAGATAGATTGTCTGCATGGAATGAAGATCAAGCAATGTTCAACCCTCTAGCCGATCGTAAATCTGGAACATCGTTCGGGAAAGTTTCCATAGCGGTGCATGTTCCTGTGCTTCTGCATTGGCGGCCATGCCCACTTCCACAGATATGTCAACCAGACTTTGGATGTTCTTTAACCGGACATCATTACCGATGAGGAGTTCCGAATAAACGATCATTTCGGTACATCGTTGGGGTGCACGAGTTGGATGGCCTTGTCAGAGTTGAATTTTTCCAGATCAAAGCTTTGGAGCGCTCATGCTTCAAAAGCAAGCTGTTGACTGGTCGAGAAACCTCTCCAAGCAGGTCTCAAATTGTTGCTTCCGTATATCGAAGGAGCTGACATCTGGCATAGGAGTTGCTTCTTGATAGACTCCCAGCAGAGGCCAAAGCGCACTTGTGTGGGATATAATTCTTAAAGTCAATTGCACATGCTTACCTTCGCGTACTTGATAAGTCGGACAAAGAGTCGCAATCCTGAAGCAAACCTTGTGGAGTAGAGACAGATGATTGTTCTTCGCCGCAAGCCACTAATAATTCCATGTACAGCACTCCGTAGTATGGTGTTTTGAACAGAGAGGAAGCATTGAGGGAATGCAAGCTTGGAGCATGACCGCTAGCGCTTGCCACGGCGATTCTTCGGGCCGCGCCATTGATGCTCAGGTACGCGGCAGCTCAGCTGTACCAAACAATCCACGCATCTGTAGTCCAACAACCTCACACATTTGCACACAAAATGCTCGTCTCTCTCACAGTTGGAAAGGTTGATGCCGGAGTAGCCGTGCTACTGACCGAAGACAAGCGTCTTGTGAGCCCCTCAATGCCTCGCAGCGCCCAACCCAGCGCAAGCGCATCCTCGCAGTTCACCCTGGCTGACGTAGAGCTAGATTGAGTTCCCCTCTATATTGCTACCCCCAGACATCTCGTCTGGCTCTATGGTGGACATCGACGTGGGAAGGAACTACAAAGCCGAAGCCGACGCACAGAAAGCCTTCCATGAGCTCCAGTCTGAGATCTTCCGCACCTTTGGCCAGCGCACCCCCTCAGCCCCCGTCCTCAAATGTCGCAATGCCACCCAAACCTCTGTTGTACTCGAGTGGGATCCTATCGACATCGCAACCGCCGAACTGCGCAGCCTCACTCTATACCGTAATGGCAACAAGGCGGGCACAATACCCAAGCCCAGCGACGTACACAGCACCAAGCTAAGTGGCCTGGCAGTTGACACGGAGTATCAATTTCACTTAGTCCTCAAGACTAGTGCGGGCACATTCAGTAGCGAGAAGCTGTTGGTACAAACACACAAGATGACGGACTTATCTGGTATCACCATTACCCCTGGCCATATGCCCGCTGCTCTCCGCGAATCGCTGCAGCGTTCTGTTGAACGAATCGGCGCTAAGATTGCGGACAATGTGCGCATTGACACAACGCACTTCGTATGCACCGAGGGCAGAGGGCCTGCATGGGAAAAGGCTGTCGAGAACAACATCCCTGTAGTCGTGCCAGACTGGGTCATAGGCTGTGAGAGGGAAGGCAGGATTGTCGGTGTGAGGGGCTACTACCTGAACGCAGACCCTAGGTTACGAAGTGTCGGTCCGGGAGGCTCTCAGCAAGGCTCTCAGCAATCATCACAGCAGCCCCAGCAACAACAGCAACGACAACAACAGCAGCAGCAACCCAGAAGCCCCATTATGAGCCCGCGCACAGAGGTGACACCACCTACACCCGAGCAACCGAGGCGTGATCTCGATACAGACGGAGCAGCGCCGCCCCCTCCACCGCCCAAAGACAACGTCAGTGAGAAGAGTGAGCGGAATTCAATCGAGCCGAAGACGCAAACAGAAGAGCAAAAGGCCCGAACCGAAGACCTCAAACCGCAATCGGAAAAGGAGAAACAGCAAGAGGACAGCGAAGAAGATGATTCCGAGCCTGAACCGAACGATGAGAAGTCCATCGAAGCAAGCTTACCACAACGGCCAAAGCCTGGGCAGCCATCAGCGGAAGATGATGGGGACGGGTCAAGCTTCCAAGACGTGGAGATTTAGGAGATGAGTTGAGAGAGCATGGAACACCGTGCACGTTGGTAGTGTTCATATCTGGCCTTTAATAGAGAGCATCGATTACGGCCAAGTTTATACATTGTAATAACACCAGTCCTGGGATCATGGTGCAAAACTTCCAAGATCTTCATTTGTCTGGCCACACCTTGCTGCACTAGTCATAGACGGTATCAGGCACCTCAGGTACATGAAGGATTCTCACGCTAACGTACTCAAACAACTCTTATTGGACCGAACCACCATACCATGTCAGCCTGTATGGGCACATACCCACGGTAAATAACACTTACGCTCGGTTAACACATCATATACAATATTATATAAGTTCCATCGTACGCCATCATCCACCCTTTCCTTTAGCCGCAATCTCCTCGTCCTTGCAACTGCACAGTCAATATTGTAGCAATGGCCCTCTTTCAACTCCCTCCTCAGATCATAACACTGCAAATCCCACTCCTCTACTTGATCAACATTCTCGCTCTCGCCGCCGGACCCAATCACCACGTCCTTCGCGTTTCCATCACTCTGCCACTCGTTATTCTACTCATCACCCAGTCTTTGTATAGAGAATGGTATGCTGGTTGGGGAAATCACTATGCTATCAATTGTACGGTGTGGAGTGTTGTGTTCAACTATGTTGATTGGGTTTTGCTGGGTAATCCGGATAGAGAAGGGTGGTACAAGATAAGATATAAGAACGATGGGAAGAACGGAGATGACGACAAAGACGAGAAGAAAGCGGAGGTTTCAATGAAGACGTATGAAGACGAACCAGGTGGTGCAGGAAGGACATTCCCGAGTAGAATTTGGTGGGCGCTTCGTCTCGCCACAACAAATCGGTACACGGGATGGAGTAACCAAGTCAAGAACGTGTACATGGAAGTACCGGCTGACTACCCCCGTCTGTATGTCTTCCGTGTTCAACCCCTCCTTCCCCTCGCCTCTAACAGGACTAATTCCACTCCAGCAACTTCATCGCTCGTAAAACCCTACGAACACTCATCTTCTACTTCCTAAGAGACGTGATAGCCTCCTACTCTGCCGGTACTCCCTATGGGTCATGGGTCGATATTCGCACCGTCAAGCCCTTCCAACCTATACCATCATCCACTCCCTTCTTCACCCGCTTCTGGTACACATGGGTTCACATCATGCTTACCTTCACTAGCTTGGAAATGATAAATTCAGCTTACGGCGTTGTGAGCGTAGCTACCTACCTCGCCAATCCAAGGGACTGCCCCTCACTGTTTGGCAAGTTGAGCGATTTGTACAGCGTACGTAGCGCGTGGTCAGGATTGTGGCATCAACAGTGTCGACGCATTTGCTCTACTCCTGGTATTTGGCTTACCAGGGAAGTGTTGGGTTTGCGGAAAGGGTCTTTTGCGTCCAAGTATGTTCAACTTTTTGCGACGTTTGGCGTATCCGGATGGATACATGGAGCCGGGAGCATGTTGGTGAATCGCGAATTTGATGATGATGGCGCGTTCAAATGCTTCTTGGGACAGGCGGCAATTATCATGCTGGAGGATCATGCTATTGGCTTCGGGAAGAGGATGGGGCTCAGGGACGGAGTGTTTTGGCGCGTGGTGGGCTTTTTTTGGACGCTAGGTGTGGTGGGATGGAGCGTTGAGGGGTGGGCTGTTAAGACTATTGGGAGGGGTATTTGGGTGCACGATCGGGAGAGAGATTTCCTTGGTATAGGGCCTGGGATGGTTGCATAGAAGTTCTTGATCGCCTCTTGGAAGGAAGGTCCGGTGAACATTCGACCTGCTAGTGCAGCGTGTACGTCTTGACTGGCTTGCCGCTATCCAGGGCTTCGCCGTGCATGTAACCATGAATATATATGTCACCGACATAACGAAACTCGTTATGTTGACCTTCCGCACGAAGCAAGATGGGGGTTGAACAGCCGAATGGCACCACAACGATGTCTTCGCGGCTCATGAAGCCGGTGCCCATGCCCATCAATCCATTCTCCGTGATGCAGAAAGTTCTGCCCATCTGTGATTAAAATATAACGTTAGCAGGGAAGATGAAAGTAGCACATAATGACACCTTCAGCTGCGATGGTAAGAACACGAGACCACTCTTACCATTCGATCACCAAAATGCTTTTGTATAAACTGTCTCAACTCATACTGGTCCCACATACCTGGATTTCCGTGTCGTTGGAACTCCCAATCCAGCCGAAGACGTGGAAATCGCTCCTGAATCAACGAAGAGAAGACCTGGTAACAAGCTTTCGTCCAGTGTTGCTCTTTCCCCTTGGGCGATTGTCCCAACGAGAGCGTTCGACAGAAGTCATCAACGAACGGATGATGTGCTTCTTCATGTTCTGCAATGTCAAAGAAGGAGAGAAACAGCATCCGCCAGTTCATAAAGGCCATGAGATAGTCTTGCAATGAGCATAGAGTACCCACAGCGATGCCAGTCCTTTCAATCACGCCCAACTGAATCGCGTTGACCTCAAGTCTCCGTAATTTGTCTTTGAACTTGTATTGGGCGCTGCTGTCGCCTGCGGCACAGAAGTTGTCCTCTCGCAGGGCCGAAGTTTCTGGTACTTGCGACCAATCTGGACACCATGTAGGTAAATTGGTAGAGCTTATTTGAGTAGGGAAGTGGATCGCTTCGCGTATTACGTCAAGATGACCTGTGGAAGAGATAATCACTTGAGCAACGTTCAGGTACAGAGATTTGACAGATTTGTCATATCTCACCTGTAGGCGTTGACGCATGTCGTTTGGGAGTATGCCTAGCACGCCGAAGATCTTGTCCCGGGGGTTCTCGCTAAGCTTCTTGCGACAAGCTCGCAAGATTTCCAGAAGAGAGTCCGAGCCTAGCGCCGAAAGATACTCAATGTCTGGGAAACTACTTGGACCCGTGCGGAGGTAAGGGTCGCTTTCATGTTGCCAAAGAGCATCTGAAGCTTCCTTGTAGATGTCCCAGGGGAGTTTGGAAGAGCCGCAGTAAACAGTCTTGCTTCGTGCATGATAAACCTCTTGCACCACCCAAAGTCGGTTCCAATAATCTCTCTTGAAGAGAGAACGCAAAGCATTTCGGTCGTTGTAGTCTCCTAATTCGACACATTCGCTGATCGAACGTCCATGTCTATCTCCGCTCAACAGCCGTAATACCTGCTCACTATTGTCCATTTCAAGCCCAAGCCATATGGCAACATATACTGCTTTCTTATAGATTTGATCCATCAACTGAATCTGTGAAGCACGTTCGACTTCGTTGCCTTGATCAATGGAGAGGCCGTCTATCCAAACAAGAATGACTTTGTCCCATTCGCGAAGTGCCATCAGGGCGTCATGGAGACTGGTGTTGACTGTAAAACAATCATCGTCTTCTAAGGTCATGACTTTTCTGTCAAACCCGTCTCCCCATGCATACGAAATCGCGACGTATTCGGGGGGCTCGTGAAGGGAAAAGTGCGCAATTCTACACTTCAATCTAGACGTATATCTGGGGAGGACTCTGACCAATCGGAAGCTATTTTCCCCCTGTAGTTCTCTATATGCGAACTTGTTTGCGCCAAATGATCCCGGAGAGCTGCTTGTCGCAGCGAAAGGACGTCCCGTAACGGGCCTCTCTTGGCTGGAGAAATCGTTAATCGCACATGTCGAAGAGCCAGTCCCTAGATCATAAGATCTTGCGCGGTAGTTAAAGCGTTCTTGTGAAGAGGGAGCGCGACTCTCTCTTCGTTCGAGTTTAGTGGTGGGAGGCGCAATTAGGCCGCTAGGTTTCGTCAATTCGAAGGAATGGTCACCTCGCCGCTCGGGGACCGACACTCTAGCCGATGGATTTGGCGCGGAAGAATTTGACGCGAGTAGAATTGACCCGAATGGAATTGACCCGAATATTTTTGATAGGAGTGGTTCACTCCTTGGTCTCCTATAGTAAGGCTTTGGTTGCCAAATTGATTCAAACCACTTCACATCCTCCTTCTCGCTTACAATAGTAGATCCAGATGGATTTAATGGATTTTGTTTGTCATATAGTGGCCTGAATTGTCGCTGGTGATCTGTTTCACGAAAATTATTGACGGCGATAGCGCGATGATTAGACTCTTGAGAAGGCCAACGTGGACGGTCGGGGTCTTCTAGCCTGCGCTCAAAATACATTTTGACGCACTGTAGATGTAAAAGTAGGAATAAACCTCGAGAGGCGTTATGTTCAGAATAAAGTGCCGCCCACGAGCATTGTAGTTGGTTGTGATGATGAGTAAAGCGACTGCTCACAATGTAGCCTTGTGCGGCGGGTCTTTAGCTATCATGTGTCAGCCAAACTGCAGCCCATTCGCTAACTGCAGCAAGGATTCCATTGGACGAATATTAGTCGTTTTCAGCATTGCATATTCGAGATGAACAAGGCATTTCTAGGAGCGGGTTTGACTGCAGTATGATGATACAATTTTTGACCGGTTTTCGTGATAGGACACAAGAAGCTCGATTGTCCAGATTTCTCGTATCGACCCGTGTAAGAGTATGCAGCCGAGAATGTGCAAGGATCGTACTCCCATATATAACAACAATGAGGATTCTGGTTAGGTTATCTCGTCGACGGTGGGTAAAGCATACCGATAGCACATCGGTGTAGCCTAGTCGTTCAAGTAAGTATGAAAAATGGCTCGGTCCTAAGCCTTCTGCCCCTGAACGCCACATATGCATGTATGTTCGTCTTTTTGTTTACATGCGAATAGCGCATCTCATTCCCATCTCCTTGTATCTACTCATACCCCCTCATAGCCTCCCCCGCCCTCTGTTCGATATAGTATCCCGGATCCGGTCTCCTCGCAGCGCGCATTTGCTCCTTAGTCATCGGGTTCTTGACTTCCTTGACATCGACCAATTCTTTTATCCTCATGATTTGACCGGCAACGGACTGTGTAACGGGGTGGTAGACGGTCGTCATACGCTTGCGGAGACCGAGCGCTTTGAGTACTCCTTGCGTCTTCTCAGGCATACCAATGCCGGAGCGCATGAGTGTTATCCGAAAGTATGACATTGTGTGTATGTACTGTGGACAGTGCGAGCTTTCGCGAGGTTTCGGCGCGTTTGCGAGCGTGGGCAGAAGTCGCGGGTGCTGGGTAGTGGCGTTTGGTGTGTATTTTGCGACAGCACGGGTGTAGTATGAGCTAGCGGTACGTTAGATTGAAGTGCAACGGATGTCTTAAACAGCTTCGCATACCGTTTATATGGCTATGTAACGTTGATGCTCGCCTACGCGCTCGCGATCGATGTCGTCAACTTTTCGAACTTGTGAAGATGTGACGCCTGTCCCGATACGGCCTAGATTGCCGCGGAACTAAAGCCGAACCACGTGTGCGGAACCTTCACTACTTTCTTCTCATACATCTCACATGCAAGATGCTCAAGGCGTCATGACTAACGGATATCACCTAAGGAAGTAGCGGTGAGAAGATATTGACAGATGTCATTGTTACTACACGTAGGTCGCCTTCCTTCCGCGTCTCTGGAGACGGTACTGCGAAATCCCATTCCCATCGCAGACGTGCATTGGTCTTGATACTCGCAAGGCACCACTCCTCCATTTCCCTCAATACTGTATACTGGACGAATGGGATGCGATGCCTGATACTTCCCCTAAATGCGTCCACCCGTTCACCTGTACGACCCCAACAGTCTGGTTCTCGTGAAATGACACATCAGTAGCATTCTTACACGCCTCCAGCAGCAAAAACTCCAAATCTCAAAAGTATTCGTTTTCTGTCTAGTCTGATTCGAAGATCTTTTGGTGAGGTATTGTTTCCATGTCCAATTAGATCTCTTTGTCATGACTTAGTCTTTTATTACTCTCCATCTATGGTACATTCCTGTTATCGTAATCAGCTTACTCCACTTTTTTCTCTAACAAAACCCTCCTCATCAGAGTACATTGTGGTTCCGACTCTGTCTCGCTACGAATTTTCTACAATGACATGTCCGATCCAAGAGTAACTGTTGCGCCTCCATGCAAGAGACCGCGATATGCATATCAAAAGGATATTAATCAGAAAGGCATTTGAAGCACAAATATCGAAGATCTGTATCACATGCACTTCGCCTAAGCTCTATCACCAAACGAGTAACCCAGCAAACGGCACCGTACTCCAATACTGAATGTATTACGACCATCCCCACAACCCGGTTAGGCCTACCGACGGCACGAAGCGTAGGATCTCGGTGTCTCTTTGTTGACTTCGGGAAGTCGACACTCGAACGGACGAAGCGATGTACATGTCCGGCCGGGGAAGGGAAGTCAACATGGCCAACGAGCTTTTGATTCAGATGCATTTGTACCGTTTGAATCGCTCTTTTGACCGCTTCTCCACGAACCAGTCATTAGATGGGTGTATGGCGATATAAGAGGACTACTCTAGTTCCTACCACAATGACTTCCTCAACAGTTCCCGTTCGTAGAGTCGCTTGTCACTATCCTTCAGGATAAGTCTTGCAATCTTGCAAGAGAGTTCATTTTTGACGGCACATCTAGTCATCTACATCCCATATCCAACCACAAGCCATCTTTGGAGACACATCGATTCGGACAACACCATGACAGGTAAACTTTCAAACCCCCACAGGCTTTTCAAAATGACATACTGATATAAAAAAAAGCACTGTATACACTCACACAGTCCCATATTGTCTACACAACACCAGCGTCGACCTCTGCCCCAACCGCCTGGCCTGCCCAAGTCTACCGCGTACACCGTACCAGCTCGCAGACTCGCTACTCCTTCTCCACAGGCTTCAGTTCCAAGAACCAAACTACAATTGTTAACTACACCTCCGCACTATCTCGCTTCGGTCTTGCCCACCTTAACCAGCAAACCAACATCTCCTCTCCCTTCATCAGCGTGTATGACAACCTAGCCCACGCGGAGACAGTGGCCAAGCACTTCGGCGAGCGGTATGGCGAAGACACTTGGGTTGTTACGGTAGACCCAGCGCATTTCGCTAGGGGCCCGGTGTTTCGCGCGGTGGATATACTGAAGGACAGTGCCGATGGGAAGGAGCCAAATGAGGAGTGGTTGCATCATGGCGAATATCTGGTCATGTATCGTATCCCGCCTCAGGCGATACGAGATGAGACGCCTGTTTGTAGGGGAGCGGATCAGCGGTGGAGAGCTGTGGGTGTGATTGGCGGTAGTAAGTAAGGTGTGTTAATGATGAATGGCAATGTTGATGTGATCAGAGGATTCGAGGGTATGTTGGCTGCTTGTAGGCTTAGCAACGATATTGCGTGATCTCCCACTTTTCTTTTCCGTCTTTGGAGTTGTCATTTGCGCTTTCTTTGACGTTCGGTTTGCCGGATAGTTCACCTTCTAATCTTGATTCTCACTCTTGCGCAATTTCGCTACAGCTTCAACCCCATCTAAAGCCTGATTGAAACACCAATCAATCCCACACCAGAGTGCCTTTATACCCAGCCACAATGGAAAGTACTCGAAACCATGAGATCGCTCTTCTTTGGACGGTGAAACCAGTGTGGTGGTTTTATAAGCGACAGCAAGGCTGTTCTTCCGTAGCGACGAATGAGAGCTATTTTTGCATCGTTGAGGTGCTTTCGGAACGAAGTTAATCTTGAGCTTTGAGCGAGGGAATCGTGAAGGCATCTTAGTGGAACCAGGTGCGCTACATCGGCTGTCGCAGTCTTTTGTGGAATTGGGCCATTTATTTTGAGGATGTGTGTGGTGCGAGAGTGCCCGTGGTATGGAGAGGGAGACGGTACAGAGTTCACAATACAATATGCCTTGGTAACGTGTGTGCGTGACTCAAAATTTTGGGTTTTGATTATATTAGACTATCTTTGATAGGGACAGGATGGCGGCTGTGCAATACCTGAAGTTTGGTACTGGTCCACGGGTACTACAAACCAAGTAGATACCACCCCATGAGGTATCAAGCGTGAGACTTAGACCTAGCTTCCAACACCCTACTCTAAACAAGGCAGGTCTTTCAACGCCTTCTTGGAGAACTTCTAATGTTGGACTCGAGCATTATCTCTACGTGCCCGTCGTCTCTCCCTGCGGCCTGCATGGCATCACGAACATACCACCTAGCGCAGATGATGAGGACAATCACCATCAGCGAAGCGTCGAATACGTAAATAGGCCACTCGTTCGCGAGGAAATATGCATCGGCTATGTCACGTTAGCTTTCTTTCCAATTAAGGCTAGTGAAGTTTACTCACGTCCCATGGCGTACTCGACAACTCTGAACAAATTCCTCACTGTGATGAGGATACTGACGATATACAGCATTTGCAAGTATGCCAGCCAATCGAATGACCTAAACGTGCATGCCTTGTCATCATGACGCTTCATCCGCACGTGCCAAATCGCAGCTACGACGACAAAGAATCCGAAGATCACCATCTGCAAGCACAGACCTGCAAGAATGACTCATTTTCCGAGATCCATACTCGACTTGTCATCGCTGCCTGCGAGGATACCACCCCCTGCAGCTTGAACGAGAAAACAAAGTATGTCACCTCCAACAAAGATCTTCGTGACCCAGTTGATGCGAATAATCGAGTAATCGGAAGTGTCCGTGGCTCGAATGATGCGGGCGAGGAACATGTATACTGAAGCGGCGAAAAGAATCGGTGCGAGCAAGACGAACAGGCTTTGAATGATGTAAGGTAGGAGTACGTCGGGTTTGGATTTACCCAGAGCGCGACAAAAGAAGCCGATAATTTCAACTAAAGCAACATTAGTGAGTCCTTCTGGTTGAGACGAAACCGAGAGGTGGCGAGAAGATAACATCAAGTTAATCACGAAATGTACTCACAGATTGCCCCCACCACAAGGGGGATGCAAAACCACGTTCGGGTCTTCAGCGTTTTGAAGAGGTGGAATACAGCCAATGCTGCGAACAATGCGACAAATATGCCCGCTGCAGCAACAGAGGGGACATATTTGTAGTAAGACTTCCGTTCAGACATGATGTAGGAGGAAAGTAGAACTGTCTGTGGAGTGGGTCGGCGAAATGGTATTGAGCAAATGAAAGCTTATAGCGCTGTTTGGTGGCAGAAGTAGGACAAAAAGGATGGAGTTCTAAGCACTGTGAAGTTCCTGTTGGTATGTAGAAGCGGCAGTCAAGCTCCGAATGATGGTAGAGTAATGAGTAGAGGCCATGCTTAGGTATATAACTGTTCACCAAGAGTTTATCGTGACAAGAACGCCCTGGTGCTTACACCAGGCGTATTCGCTCGCTCGAGGGTACGGCTTTGGCGAAAGGGCCGAATGGCTAAGCGATCGTGAACGAGTACGAGAACGAGAGTAACCGAAAGAATCCAAATATGGAGTCAAATCTGCTTGTCAAGAGCATATTGCCAATGGCCATAAACACGAATCATAGCAGATGGTTTACACTAATTCTAGGATTAAAAATAAGTTTGCTAACCTGTATGCATAGTAAGCATACTCGAACGATCACGCACTTGATGTAATTTCAGACAAATGGCTGAGATCCACTTGCACTTGACACCACTGGCTGATCTGATCCCAAGCGGCTCCGCAGCTATCAAGTGTAGCAGACAATCTTCTCACAAGCCTCTTTCCAGAATACTTTGACCACCACGTACCATCGAGTCGATACAGGAGAACACTCCAGTGCATGAAGACAGCTACCGCCATAGGACATTCATTCCGGAGTTCGTCCAGGAATCCTGGTTTGATTCTTATCAACCATGGGAGCATTGAGTTTGCCTTTCTGGACGTCTCTTCGAGTTTTTGAATTGCATCTTCGAATATCTGATGCTTACAGAGTTCACCGTCTACTTGGTTTCGAGTGTCGCTGTTGCTGTTGATGAGCATGTCGTTTAACCGCCGCAACTCTCGTATTGGGAAGGACTCTATAACGACTGACGGGTCCCTTGGCACAGAGCTACGTATGGCGCCACTAAGAGGCCCTTGAAGAAGCCATTGATGGCTAGCGTCGATGATTGAACCGGTGCCTCTCATAATATCCATTAACGGCAGGATTGTGTCTGGAATTGTCTTCATCTCATCCAAATCTGTATGGAGAAAGGGTGACACGACTGCGCATATCGCAAGCATTGCTGAGAATGCAAATATTGCATTGCAGGTTGACGCAGTGATGTCTGGCAACACTTCTCTCAAGCCAGATAGCGCCTGATCATGGTACTGAAGTGCGGCTGCCGTGCACGAACGAGCAGTAATCGCATTTCCGGTTTCGGTCGCGATATGAAATGACGTTAACGCTAGCAGAGCATTCATAAGAAAGTCATATCGCAGTGCTTGTTTTCCAACATCGTCCTTGAAATGCTCCGTTAGATGGGGCGTAAAGCCATGGCAGGTTCGCGTGCACCAGTGGTGCATCAACTCCAGCTCCCTGGATTCGATGGAGCTCCATGCTGGTGTGCCAAACCTAGGCGCGCTGGTGTTGCAAATGATGGGTGTTGTTATTGGTCGACTGTTGGTGCGGAGATCGAGGGTCAACTCGGAGGTAGCCGCGAGTTGACCATTACTAGACGAGGGACGGCCTTCCACAGAATGCGCATAGTGACAGCTAATGCCCCGAAGCATGCAGGTTGAGCAACAAGGCCGCTTCTCATCGCATTTCACGCGTCTTCTTCGGCACTCAGTGCATCCGTGTCGAGATTTCTTGTGTGGCCGACGGTGGGGTTTTTGTTGACGCGCTGATTCAGACATAGCGAGAGGCAAGCGACATGCAAAAGAAACAGTTTGGGAATGAAGTTGAATACGAAGTAGTCGAACACTAATTTACAGCCGCGCTAAATACGCTCGACCGCAGCTTAGGTTGCTCAGCCACAGCCATCTTGGCCAAGAATTGATTGACTAGGACAACGCCTGTAGCGCAAAGTTCCGGACCGAAAGTAGAAACAGCGATAAGGTGTATATCATGTTCCCACTAGAGAAACATATAGGGATGACTGTAAGGACTTCAACGAAATCTGTAGTACAGTTGAAGGATTGTGGTACAGCAATTGCTGCACCGAATGTCAAAGGGGCACCTACATCGGATCAGCTTGCCTGTTATCTGTTACAGAGGTGAATTATCGCGTACACTATTCCCTTTGGTTGTGGTTCGGGTATGTTTAAAAAGTGAACAATAGCTGGAGATGGGTAATATGTTGCGAAAAGAGCGAGCTGGAATATTGATATGCATGTGTAGGCGTACCTGGGTAGCATGTACTCTAGCGCAAGTGTGTTTAGGTTTCGCGAGGTCACGGTTTTGGGTGAAGAAGATGGACCAATATCACATGGAAGGAGTTGACAGAATGCGACGACGCTCTTCTTGATGTGACCATGAATCCAGTGTCTCATCCGTAGAGAACGAAGAGGCACCAAAAAGTGGGTCTGTACCTTAGCCCACTGTTCAAGAGTGGCAGCCATCCTCAGCTATACTTGCAGAGCCTCCTCGTGTGTATCGCCCAAACAACAGCTCGCCGAAAAGGACGCTTCCGGTAACAGCGAATAGAAAGCCGATGTTGTAAGTCATGACGGCAAGCATCCTACCAGACCGTTAGTATTGCTGTCATCGTTTCCATAAGTCTTATCAAAAACATACAGAATGTAACCAATCAGTGCACGAACAAACTCTAGAGCTGCGCTAGTCCCGTCCTTTTTGATGCTCCAAGGTGCTTGCGCTATCCAAAAACTCTTCCGAGACGTATTTGAGTCTCGTGAGATGCCAGTTTCCTCAGCTGCTAGTAGTTGTGGCTCTGCCGGACTCAAAGGCTCAATTTCTTGCCTCTCTTTATCGTCCAGTTCAAGAGGCTGTTGTCGCAGGGTGCGGCTCCATTGTCGTGCGTGGCCGCGAGCGCCACGATCGAGCTTCTCTGCGTTTGGTATGGACAACAGGGCGCTCTTAGCCTCGTGCTTCGTTTTCATTTCATCTCCAACTGGCTCTTGAACGCACTTAGAAATCGATTGAAGATGCCCAAGAAGAAGAGAAAGAAGATTGTCAACACGTAGGTTCCCGTTGTCGTCGTTGTCCATTCGGTGAACCATAGCGTGACACGGGTCTAAACGTAGGTGTACGAAGTCAGTATATGTCTCACATGCAGTTCGTACAGGGGCACTTACACTACTCGAAAAGGTTGATGCCATCCCGGATATGTCCATTGCTGGCATGGACGATTGGGGCCCCATGAATGGCATATGGTGGGCATGAGAACCAGTTGAGGTTGCCGAAGGCATTCCCATGTTCATTAGCATGTTCGTATTCATACCGATCGATAGTGAGATGTCGTCGGTCTACCAGAATGGGCACCAGGCAGTGAAGGAATGGCTGAAGACGCAGGAAGACTGATCCTGTAGTGCAAAGGATATATCAACTGTCAAAATGCCAAAGGAACGCATTTCCTGGTTCTGGGCCACCAACAAGAAAGGTAAGGAAATGACAATGGCCAAGATCGCCAGGCACCGTGATGCGCAGATGTTGTGCGCCAGATGAGCAAGTTTGAGAGCATAGGCGCGCGACGGCCCGCAATGCGAAGCAACCGCAACCCTGTTTTGAGTTCATCGCGGCAGTATTTATGGAGCTCGTCTGGGCTCTTTCGGTGATCCTTTGATAGCTCAGTGTCCATCCTTGTGCAAATGAAGGATTGCAGCTTTGGGCTGTTCGCTAGAATATTGTTAGCGCTCCGCTATCTAAGATCGTCATATATTCACTGATCTAAAGAGCAATTTACACTCTTACTGCTATTCGCACTCATGATCATAACGCATAGAATGCATCTACCTCTCACAAACCCGTTTCCCATATAGATAGGCTCCTAGGAGGACTCTCAGGATAAAGCCAGATTGCTGTATGTACGTAAACGTAGCTGATCTACACACCCCTCTTACATACACCAGCTTCTACGCAGATCAAGACTTCTAGAACCCGGGGTTGGTAAAAGGTTTCCCAGACTCCAGGTATAGAGACATGCAGCCCCACTAATACTCCTTTAGGACGGACGATGTGTAAAGTCACAGAGACATTCGCCGTCCTCGGGTTCCACGCCGCGATCTGCTACGTCTAGCTGGACAGTTGTCTCGGTGTTTCGATGGTGGTACAACGGTGTTAAAGTCGGTGACAGAGGCGTTCACGGTCGTGTGATGAGAAGCGTTGACCATTAACGGAGAATGCCACTAGTGCACCGCCATACTGCCCTGCCACGACGCGCATGTTTTGCGGCGTTTGGAGCAGCCCCATCGGAAATGGCTCCGCCGGCGCGGTTTCATCTCGTTGCTCTGTGCGTTGAGATCGCATGTCGATGGAGTTGGAAGACTGAGAACCTAAGGGTAGACGAACAAAGAGTGGTCATGTAGGAGATATATCTAGCGTGCTCGGACCGTCGCTTGATCTGGAATGAGCGTTGGCCGGATGTGGAGTTAAAAGCAACGCGCACGTGCTTTCGAGGTTGTTGACCCAAAATGAAGCCAAGACAGGCGGGAGATGTGCAACAAAAGTTATTCACCAATTAAACACCGGCTGTAGCTTCCCCTGCGTTTCCCGTCTGGATACGTGGTTGCGAAAACGGTCGGGTTAACATCTTGCAGAGGTACAACGCGACGGAGTCAAGGGCCGATGCATGTCCACGGGGGAGATGCACACATATTGGACGCATTGACTTAGAACGCGTCGACGTGATGATGATATCCAACACCCGAGGCCAGGGCCATGCTGGTGATGATACGAAGCCTGTGCCCCGAGCGCCATGCATGCACGGCTGCTACCGCATGGCGCAGGCAAAAGTTATCAACATTGCTGTCTACGCCGTTTTGTTTGCTAAACATAATTTCTTCTAACACGCGACCCTTTGTCCTCAGACTACCAAAGCCACACTGTAATCGCCCTCGCGCAGCTCCAACATCGGTCGTGCCCCGCTTACCATAATAAGGTTCTGGATAGCATCCCCAGATTTCCCATCGGTAATCCCATCAGGGGCATCCTGTGCAGCAAACCCATCAGCACCCAAATCTGAAACTCTCTGGAAGAGCGCCCGAAACATACAACCTTCTGTCGACTGCTCGTGATGCTCTGTCGCCGACTCCCCCCAATATAGCCCGACACGTCTGGTGCCATGCCGAGCTGGAGACCGCTCCCGCGCATCGCGTTCGCAATATGCATATACCCCTTCCAGCCCTCGTCGCCCGCCGACCTGCCCCTCGAGATCGGTGACGAGCTGTACATCATTGAGCAGGGTGGTCAGGATGGGTCGTGGTATCGAGGATACTTGGTTGCGCCGCCCTCGCTGCTGGCCGGCTTGACGAGCGTGAAGGGCCAGACGCTCGAAGCACGCGTATTCTCCGGCATATTCCCACGCGCGTGCGTTGAGGTGCGTGAGGTGCTGGGAGAGGGTAAGGATACGGCGAGCCAAGAAGCTGCAAATGATTCGGGGCGTGCAAACCACTACGCGCATCCGACCAACGGCATCGTCACGCCCACCGAAAGCACACGTGCAACTTCTCCCTTTGCAAAAGGCTCCGGGCCCAATGCGCGACGAGCCTCGAAGAGCGACACAGTCTCTGTGCTGCCTTCGTCCCTTTCCCGCCCGCTCTCACGACGCAAGTCTGCCAGAAAGCGCGCTGGCAGCACCCACTCGCAATGGACCTCCCGCGAAGAACACCTCCAGCAGTTGATGCTTCCTCTCTCGCCGATATCAGACCCGACCGCCCCCCGACCGCCCGCGCCAGTACCCATGCTGAAGATTGGTGACGAGACACCCACATCAGCCCAAGAGCCATTGGTCGACGAAATCGCGTCCTGCCTCCGAGAATGGCACTCCACAAAAGTACACGAACTGCTGCTAGCACGCAAGTACGGTTCGTTGGACAAGATGTCAAGGCTAGTAAACCGCCTGGACACGGCCCGCCGCCAGCTGTTGCACAAGGTGCTCACAGCCAAAGAGCTGGAAAAGGTACGCGAAGCCACTGTCTGGGACCTCGTGGCAGGCAATAAGATGCTCTGTGGAGATGTCATCGTGCGCAGCCCCTCGCAGCGTGGCCGCATCTTGACGGGCGACGACTCGGCCATCGAAGTTACGAAACTGCAGTCGATGATGAGCCTGCTGGACAGCCGACCAACGGCTCAGGTCGATGAGCACAACCTTCATCATTTGTTCGTCAGCCTGAAACATGTCGTGGGAGACGTCGTACCAGGCGCGGCTCAAATCAGCATGTATCTGTGTCTGAAGGCGCCAGGATCAGCCCCACAACCGCTTTCAGAAGCATACTCTTTCGATTTGACTGGACGAGACGGAGCAGCCATATCCCTGAGCACCGACAAACTTCGCGCATTGCTTGTAGACCTCAGTTTGACCGACATTGGCGAAGGCGCAGGATCGGGTACTACCTTGTATCTCGTCTTCAGGCTGATGACAAACGAGCCACTTCGCGCGGCGACTGCAGCAGAAAAGGCAGGCACGAGCAGGGACACAACACCAAACAAGGGGTCCACGGTGCAGCCCTCCCAACAAGGCAGCATCAAGGGTGGCAGGCGCAGCGTCATGTTCGGCTCTAAGAGGAAAGAATCCACCAACTCCCGCCACACAGAATCACGACACACAGACTCTTCGGATGAACGCCGTCGCCCAAGCCTTGAACAGACCCGGTCACAAACGTCTGATACGAGGCCAGGCTCGTCGGCAACAGCGAGTACACGAGCCCGTGCTCTGTCAAGGGACCAGAAGACATTAAAGAGGTCTATCGCAGTTGGTGTAGTGCCTGTAAATCAGATACTTCAATCCGAGTCAGAGGCAGATCAAACCGTCGAGATGTACTGCACTGCCCCGGCTGGAGAGGACATCTCAGAGAGCGATGGTGGTTGGGACAGCGTGTTGCCAGAACTATACCCAAGCGCCAGTGGCAAGTACAAGTTGAACGCACCCATCAGTCGACTTACCATACACCTAAAAGCCTTTGTCCATGCCGACGCTGAGGGCCTCATCGAGAAGATTCCCACCATGTTGCACAACATCAGGCAATGCCGGAAGATTGGGTTCTCAGGTGCGCCAACCAAGCCACGCAGTGACATTTACCTCACGCTTGTCGAGCCTTTCCTCCCAAAGAACGCATTCCTGGCCCACCCAAAGACTGGCACTGTTCCACTAGTGCAGTCCTCTCCAATGACTAACCTCCAGCTCACCATCGAGGTCAGAAAAAGCTCTGGAGAGCGTATCGAGGGGTGCATCTACCCTTCAACTAACAGTGCAGGCCATACAGCTTGGCGCACCACAGCAGCCCAGCGCGGCGAAGGCTGGAATTCGACGATACGGCTTGCCATCGACCCCCAGGACGTTCCCGGGTCGCACTTAGTCATGAGCGTTGCCGATGCACCAGGATTTCCATTTGCCCTATGTTGGATGCCCCTTTGGAACCAAGATGCCTTTGCTCGTGATGGCGACCATGCCTTAACCCTATACAGGTACGACGAATACACCTCGGGTATGATTGCTGGCAAGGGCGCATACCTTGGCCTGCCATGGAGTGCGAAGAAGAAGGACGAGCATGTTATGGGTCCAATGGCATCTGTCCACGTCAAGACTTTCCTGTGCAGTACACGGTACTCTCAAGACCCGACCATCCTGGGTCTCATAAAGTGGCAGGAGCAACCGCCAGGAGAGCTTGTAGGACTGCTGCGCCGCTTCAACTTTGTTCCGGAGATTGAGATCGTCAAGCTGTTGAGCGAAGTCTTCGACGCCCTCTTCGCCATTCAAAGCCATTACGCTGGTAGTGACGAATACGAGGATCTCGTCTTTAATGCTGTCGTCATTGTACTAGGCATAGTACACGATAGACGCTTCAACCTTGAGCCTCTGGTGGATCAGTATGCGCGGACCAAGGTATTCCATTCTCTTGTCACCTCGTGCCTGATGCAAAGTCTTGGCCGACTTCTCGCCAAGCCTACAGATTCTGAGAGCTCTCGACGACTGCGCGCAACTTTCAAGGTCGGCAAGCTCATCATGAAATTCCTGGTCAACGCACGAGAAAAACAGAAAGCGAAAGAAGAGAGCATTGGTATAAAGGATCGGACTCAGTTCAGCAAAGAGATGAGGACCCTCTTTAAATCGTTACAGGCGTTGATGGAAAACCCTTCGCCTGTTCTCATCGGCACCAAGACCCTCCTAGTACAGAACCTCCACTCGTGGCTTCCCGAACTTGACGGATGTATGCCGGCCACAGAGGTCTTCAAGCTTACGGCGGGCTTTGTTGACTCTTGCTCCGAAGTACAGGGAAAGCTCATTCTCTACAAGCTTCTCCTGATACACCACCTCTCTGACCTTCAGATCTTCCGGTCTCCGGACGTACGTCGCATGCTTTTGGCGAGTACTGTTCAGTGGTTAGCGCCATACTGGGGTAGGGTGGAGACTGTCACCGACCAGTGGAAGGATCAAGTTCGTCTCTGCTGTTCGGTAGTTGCATCGCAAGTCGAGGAACTGGGAAAGGAAGCTTGCGAGTACATGCCAAAGCTCGTAGACTCATACCGCGCGATTCAAGCTACCCCTCGACCGGCTAAGAAGACACTCTCGCTGCTTTTCCCTACGAGTTATCCATTTCAATCACGGGCGGCGACCGCCGAAGCTCCGTTTGATGAGGCCATGGCTGAGATATCAGCTGTACTTGCCGCCATGTCTAGCCTACCTACTCTCTTACATCCGGAGCTGCCCAAGGAAGAAACTGCAGAGTTCCTCTTCTCGGTACTACAAGTCTACATATCTATTCTGGATTGCGAAGCTTACCCTAGCTCGTGGCTGAGTGTGCACATCTACCATCACAAAGCCACAATGCGTGCATTGGAGAAGCTGTTCAACATCTTACACGACTCCTTTCTCCCTCTTCCCGACGAAGCGGATAGCTTTAACACGGAGCTTTGGCGAGCCTTCTTCGATGCGTTATTGAAGCTAGTTGGTAGCGATGCTCTTGCATTAGAGACCTTTCCAGAGCAGAAGCGACGTGCCGTGTGGAAGATTGCTGGCGATGTTCGTGAGCATGGCGCAGATCTGCTACAACGCAGTTGGGAAGCGATCGGTTGGGAGGCCAGTGCTGAGGACAAAGGCCAGTATGGACTTGAGAAGATGGGCGGCTTCCAAGTACAATACGTACCAGGCCTTGTGGCACCCATCGTCGAGCTTTGTCTCAGCGTACATGAGGGTCTGCGCAGTGTAGCCATTGAAGTGTTGCAAACTATGATCATCAGCGAATGGACGCTGAGCGAAGACCTTGCTCTCGTACAAGCCGAAATGATCGACTGTCTGGATAATCTCTTCAAAACGAAACACTTGACTGAGGCAGTTTTGCAAAAGCACTTCATTCAGGAGCTAGTAGAACTGTTCGAACCTCTTGCCCAGGACCCAGAAGAACCGTTGCTTGCAGCTTTGAAGGACCTTATCTCGACCATCGATGAACTGCTGGACCTCCTCGTTGCTGTGCATAGCACAGACGCAACTGGCGAAGTCTTCCACATTATGGACACCTTACATCTCATGGAGTTCCTGAAAGACATGCAGAAAGAAGACATTTACATCCGATATGTGCATCAGTTGGTGGAATTGCAGGTGGACGCGGGGAACTACACAGAAGCAGGTCTTGCGCTCAGATTACACGCTGAGTTGTACGAGTGGGATCCGAACTTGACCGTGGACCCGCTGACCGACCCCAATATGCCGCCACAGCCTGCGTTCGAGCGCAAAGAGCAGCTCTACTTCCAGATGATCGATCATTACGAAAACGGACAGTCATGGAACAATGCGTTGGCCGCCTATACGGAGCTTGCGGCGCAGTACGAGTACAATGTATTCGACTTTGTTAAGTTGGCTCGCACACAGCATGCAATGGCGAAGATTCACGAAAGTATCGCAAAGGGGGAACGCTCAAATCCACGTTACTTCCGGGTAGTATACAAAGGCCTAGGGTTTCCACCGGGACTTCGGGATAAGCAGTTCATCTTTGAGGGATCACCTAACGACCGGTTGGCATCTTTTACGGATCGAATGCAACAGCAACACCCCTCAGCGCAAATCGTCAACCCAGGCGGAGAGCAAGACCTGGAGGGCCAGTACTTGCAGATTTACCCTGTAAGCCCACAGAAAGACCTTACTCATCCGATTTATCAACGAGCAAAGGTGTCTCAATCCGTCAAAGACTACTATTTGCTGTCTCGTCCATCGCACTTCACGTCAGCATCTCGCCGGTCGCCGTCTGCTCACAACGCAAGAGACGCAGCAGCAGAAAAGACGCTCTACACCACAGCAGAGAGCTTCCCCACAATCTTGCGAAGAAGCGAGATAGTAGCGGTTGGCACGGTGACACTGACACCGTTGCAAATGGCCATTGAACGAACCTCGCGCAAGACCGGAGAACTTCTTGCTATTGAGAAACGAATCACGGATGGCGACGATACTACGTTCAATACACTGACCCAAGAACTCATGTACGCTGTGGACACCAACTCCCGGGATTGTGTTGCGAATTACCATAATCTGTTCCCTCCTCCGGGCGAAGAGGATGAAGAAGATGGTGAAAACGGACGAATGCCCAATCCGCTAGAGAACGGCTTGCGGGTTGCGCTGATTGACTATGCTCTTGTCATTCGTCGCTGCCTTTCATTGTATGTGAGGCCTGCTCAGCAAGCCACCAAGTCAGACCTCACGCAGCGTATGTACCGTCTCTCCCATACCCTGACTGATGACTAACTCTCGCAGGTTTCGAGTCAGCCTTCTTTCGCGAACTGTCAACGCTACTACCACCGAACATGGCCCCAACATTGCGCTCGCCTACCGGGTCATGGCTCGCGGCAGCCACATCTCGCTCTCAGATAGCAAGTCCGACGCCCGACGAGCCTCAAGTCAATGGCGATAGGGGAGCCTCGCCGGTTCTCAACGGCCGGACTTCACGCCAAGACAAGAAGCGACTTAGTTTGGCCTTTCTGACAAAAGAATTCCTCATGGGCGAGCCCGAGAAGGAGAAGGAGAAGGAGACGAAATCCGAAAAGGCCTCGGCCGACGACGACACATGTACAACGGTGTCGTCACGAAGTCGCAGCAAGGAGACTCATAGCAGGAATCGCTTGAGCTTGGGTTTCCTCAACCATACGCCAAGCTCACCGCAGCCAGAGGCATTGCCGAGCTTCCCCAGCCAGGCACCAGCAAATCGAAGCGAAGGCAGCCTCCAGCGACAACCCAGCCAGAAGCGGCCAGAAACGATCAAGAGCCAAAAGAGCGACAGGTCGCTGTCCTCACGAACTGACAGCGTAAAAAAAAGGCTCAGCTTCATGAACATGTCGAAGAAGAGTAGTAAGAGCAGTGTCAGGGGACGCGTTGATGATACCCTGGTGGAGGAGTAGTCCTTTTGTAATTTTCACTTGTGCACATGCTAGTTGGCTTGAATTCTCGGCAGCTTACGAGTTGTCTAATGCTTGTTTTCAATAGAGTAGGGAATATAGGGGGCCGACGGGCGATCTGAAGGGGTTCTATGGGCACATTCGTCTGGGATGCGTTGCGAGGCACGCATATTTGTACAAGGTTGGCGATGTTTTTGTTTATACCCTAGTTGTCTTGGTGTGCGTAGTAGCACATGATAGTTGTAGGAAACTTGCGATTACAATACACATTTGGATCGACATGATAAGGCTCTGACATGGATACATTGAGTGAAGGTGAAGGAGGTGGAGCCTAGCAGTGGGGTTTTCCACTAGGGCTGTGCAGGGCTATCGATAGCGTACGGCAAGATCCCTGCCCTGTCAAAAAAGTTCGAGGCCAAAAAAGCGAAATGTTGCAGCGCAGTCGTCTACAACAACGCCATAGTTGCCCGTCATGTCGCTCGAAGAGAGACTGACCAAGATCCGGGACAGCCCGAAGCTGCAAGGCCAGCAGCAGGTATGTCGCATTTTCTCCTGCATGCGTGTTTGCATCCTAACCAGTTCAGACGCATGTCCTGCTCTCGGCCATTGAGGACACGCTCCGCCAGCAGAAGTCAGACTTCACCCCGACGGCCTACTTTGCAGCGCTGCTGTCGCTGCTTGGCCGCCAGATAACTGCGCAAGGAATCGCGAACAAAGACACGGCTACTGCGACCATCTACCTCCTCGACCTCGTCACGCCCAACGTCCCCGCCCCGCTGCTACGAAGCAAGTTCACCGATATCCTCACCAACCTCGCGCCCGCCCTCACAGCACAAGACGCCGATGCGCCACTCATCCGATCATCGATAGGATGTTTAGAGTCGTTGCTGGTGGTGCAGGATGCGCGCGCGTGGGAGCTGCCGCAGACGACCATCAGCCCCCGGAGAGCTGTCGCGGGTCTGTTGCAAATCTCCGTCGACCCCAGGCCGAAAGTGAGGAAGAGGGCGCAGGAAGCACTGAAGAAGGTGCTGGCGAATCCGCCACCGAGCCCTGCTCTAGACCACCCAGCGGCCGACATGTGCGCTGAGACGGCTCAGAAGATGCTCAAGGATATCGCAGCAGAGGCGGCAGCCAAGGCGCGAAAGCACAAGGGAAAGAAGGATATAGAAAACAAGGATCCCGATCTGATACATGCACTGCAACTCATCAAGACGATTGCGACCTCGTCTGGTGGCTGGCCGAGCAGCAAGATCGATGTGCTGTGCGAGCTGTTGTTGAACATCTCCAAGTCGACCAACGAATTCCTGACCATGGCTGCTTTTGACATTTTCGAAGTCATATTCGCCGGCATGGCCGATGAACTGGCTTCTGCTAAGCTTCCCAGACTCCTCGAGGTCATCTCCGAACTGCAACCCTCCAAGAACGATTCACAGCTTCTCCCTCCATGGATAGCTGTTATCTCGCGCGGATACGAAGTCTCGGCGCAAATCGAGCCTGAGGACACTTTCATGAAGCTACCCGACTTGTTCATCATGATTGCCGAATTCCTCACGTCCTCCTCGCACAACATCCGCATATCCGCCTCCGAGTGCCTCATCTCCTTCCTCGTAAACCTTGTACCCGACAGCGTCATCCTCGAGCCCTCCATATACGATGAAAAGACACTTGAGAAGGTCGCAAAGATCGCGCAGGATCTGTTGAGCGTCAAATACCAAGCTGCATGGATGGAGGTATTCAGCGTCTTGTCCGCCATGTTCGAGACTCTCAGGTGGCGCTCAAACCCTATTTTGAAGCCTGTGTTGAAGGTGGTTGGAGACCTGAGGGGCAACGATAGCTTTGCTGGTAAGAAAGAGGCGGATTCGGTCATTTCAAGGGCTATCAGTGCAATGGGACCCGATGTCGTACTGGACATTCTTCCATTGAACCTGCCGCGACCACCTCCAGGACAGACCGGAAGAGTCTGGATGCTGCCGCTTCTCCGCGATTCAGTCCACAACACAAAGTTGGCGCATTTCAGGACCGAGATGGTGCCACTGAGTGAAGAGCTGTACCAGAAGGTCATTGACCACGGCGAGAAAGAGAAGACAATGGAGATCAAAGTGTTTGAGACCGTGGTGCAGCAAATTTGGTCGATTCTTCCCGGATACTGCGACCTGCCCTTGGACCTGGTCGAGGCCTTTGACCAGAGCTTCTGCGAAATGCTAGCAAACCTCCTCTATGGCCAGGCTGACCTGCGAACGGACGTCTGTCGTGCTCTTCAGAACTTGGTTGATAGCAACAAGGCAATCGTGGAGCTGGAGTCTGACGATGACCTACTTGCACAAGCTCGGATATCAAAGGCCGACGCACAGAAGAACCTCGATCATCTGGCGGGTTTTGCGAGCAACATGCTTGCAGTCCTGTTCAACGTTTACAGCCAGACTCTGCCACAGTACCGCGGCACTATCCTGAGGACCATCAATGCTTACCTGAGTATCATTCCCGAGCGCGAGCTTATGGAGACCTTCGAACGAGTTGCATCTAACCTTGAGGCCTCACTACCTGAGCCTGGCTCGCAGACGCAAGCAGCCAAGCAGAAGCAAGAGACGGGCCCGAACAAGATGCCGCCGATGAGCCATACCCTGATGGATCTCATCATCACGATTGCCCTCTACCTGCCACGCGACAGTTACCGCTCGCTCTTCCGCATGGCCGAGATCATGATCAACAGAGAAAACGAGCCGCAACTACAGAAGAAGGCTTACAAGCTCATTCCTCGTCTCGCTGAGTCGGAGATGGGTAAAGCAGCCTTGAAAGAGCGCAACGGAGAACTGCAACAGCTGTTGATAGGAAGCGCCGAGAAAGCTTCTGCTCCAGCGCGGCGCGACAGGCTGAATGCATTGTTCCAAGTCATCGAATCTCTACCTGCAAGCGATCTGCACTTCATCCCAGCGATTCTTTCTGAGGTAGTGATCTCTGCCAAGGAGACGAACGAAAAGGCGCGAGAGGCAGCCTACAACCTGCTTGTCGCCATGGGTGAAAAGATGGCAGAGGGAGGTCAGGTCGTGCAAGCCAAGGTACCAAACATGCCTGCCGATGCGCCAACCGTCGAAGCCTCGCTTGAGGAATACTTCACCATGGTCTCTGCTGGTCTGGCTGCTACCACACCGCACATGATCTCTGCATCCATCACTGCCGTCACTCGTATCCTCTACCAGTTCCACGCCCAAATATCCAAAGACACCATAACGAATCTTTGCGACCTCATGGACATCTTCCTCCAGAACCCCAACCGTGAGATCGTACGCAGTGTGCTCGGTTTCGTCAAGGTTGAGGTCATCTCTTTACCAGAATCGCTTGTACGACCACGTCTCAACACTTTGCTCAAGAACTTGATGGTCTGGAGTCACGAACATAAGGCACACTTCAAGGCCAAGGTCAAGCACATTGTCGAACGCATGGTCAGGAAGTTTGGTGTGGAAGAAGTCGAGAGGGCCACACCTGCCGAAGATCGCAAGCTCATCACCAACATCCGTAAGACACGCGAGCAGCGTAAGAAGAAGAAGCAACAGGCTACAGAGGACGGTGAGGAGCCAACCGAGAAACGAAAGGGCAAGTTTGAGAGCGAGTACGACCAAGCTGTATACGGCAGTGAAAGTGAGGAGAGCGACGGCGATTCAGAAGACGAATTTGTCAAGAGCCAAAGCAAGCAACAGCGGGGCGGTGCTAAGGGCAGCAACACATACATCATCGAAGACGAAGATGAACCGCTTGATCTACTCTCCAAACGCGCTCTTGGAAACATCTCTTCGACCAAACCCCTACGCCAACGCAAACAGCCGCAGAAGATGAAGGCCCGCACAAACGAAGACGGCAAGCTTGTCATTGGCGAGTCTGATGACGAAGTCGAGATCAAGGGCAAGAAGTCCAAGAAGCACGAAGCCGCCGAAGACGACGTCCTCATGGATATCGACGACCAAAACACATCCCTAGAGGCAGGTATCAACGCGTACGTTGATGCTATTCGCGGTCGCGACACAGCCCAGGCTGGCCAGAAGGGCAGACTTAAGTTTAGCAATAAGCGCACACACGAAGATGACGAGATGGACATGGACGATGACGGTGCAGAGGCGGATTGGCAAGAAGTGCGAAAGGCGAAATCCGGTTCCGGAATGGGTAGGGGTGGTGTGAAGAGCGGAGGCGCTGGGCAAAAGAGTCAGAGGAGAGGATTAGGTCAGGAAAGAACAAGGGGTGGCAACGCAAGTGGTGGAGAGGGTAGAGGAGGTAAGGGCAGAGTTGAGAAGACAAGGAGCACACGCGGTAGGGGCGGAGCTCGTGGTGGTGGCTTCAGAGGAAGAGGAAACGGCCCCAGTGGTAAGTGGAGTGGACCCAAGTAGGATACGGAGATAAAGGTAGTTACTACAGTAGTCGGACAAAAAGGGAGGAGGGGCGTTGAGGTGTAATCGCGATCCTTTTGCTAATTGGATGTAAATATCCCTATATTCTAGCTTCACCTTTCTTCCAACGAAACATGCGTGTCGGAAGCCAGTGACACACATATGAGCTCGGTCATCGGTGACATCAGAGTGCGAACACAATCCGCTTACCAGCATGCTTGCAGGAGTTTTAGACAGGATCAAGCGGTGGAAGCTGCCGTGACATGTCCAGATTGGACACTTCTACGGACGGCGGATCTTATTGTGTTGCCGATTACCAGTAAAGTTTGGGCGGAGCAGGGCATATCATCGGTAAGCCTTCTCCACATACCGAGCGGACGAGGCACTACTGCGGGGTTAGCCGCGTGTGCAGCCCTGCAGTTCAAGGGCTCACGAACCAGGGTACATCTAGCATCTCAAGCATCTCACACACACACCACGCTTCGGAAGCTTAATCATTGTCGGAGACAAAGACAAGCCGTAATCCGACATAAGCGGAAGGCAGATAGTGGGGTACGAGCTTTACTATTCATTTTGTGAAAGGTGGAGTACCATGAATCCTGGAATGTCGGCAGATAGTCGTGTGGAGAAAGTACGTGTGGTCATGCGATGTTCTGCTACGCTGGACTGGGATATGTCGATAGGTACATAGGGCTCAGAGATCTACGCGTGGATAAACACTTACCTGGTAACTATATAAAGGTTAAAGCAACACTTTATACCGAGTCTTACCTGTCCTACGGTTCACCTACGGCCATCCTTTCCATATATTTCCACCCGAACAACAAACTCCCTAACACCATCCACCATGGCGACCACGGCCACCCCATCCCTCCCTATACTCACCCGAAACGGTTCCGCCATGCCCTCCTCATCGCCTGCCAAGTCAGAAACACAACAATCCACACTCCCACGAGTCCGCCACCCCGCCGGCGCACCAACACCCTACCTGCTCCCCTCGTACACAGGCGAACACCTAACAATCCCTGGAACAAAATCAGTCTTCCGCATCATGTGCTCCACCGCCGAAACCGACAACACAATGAGCGTCTTCGGCATGGACGGCGTTCTAGCCGACCCCCCAGGCTTTCACTACCACAACCAGGCCCACGACGTCTTCATGTGTACAAAAGGCCGCTTGAAGGTTTGGGCCGGGGACAAATGCCGAATTCTTTATCCCGGTGACTTCGCATACGTGCCACCGGGCGTGGTGCACCAACCGCAGTTATTAGACCAGGGTCCCAATGCAACAATGGGTCTTGTGACACCAGGAGACTGGGTTGATTTCTTTCGTTTTGTAGGGGAGGACTACGGAGGTGTGTTGTGCGATGAGTTTGACAATAGGAATACGGGGGCAGTTTTCGGACCCAAGATACGCGAGATCAAAGAGCGGTTCGACGTTGTTTTTCAACCGCAGTTCCAGGGCGCAGACGTGGCCGATTTTGAAGACGGCGAGTGCGTGTTACCAGAGGGCCAGGAACCGTATTTCTTGAAAGCAAATACTGGACCATGCTTCTTGCTTGAGGGTGTGCTCTCCAGGCCGTTTATCACGATGAAGCAGAGTAAGGCGCCGAAAGGTAATTTTGCGATTACGAGTATCGAATCTGGGAGCGAGCTGAGCAATTCGGTGCTGAGTAAGGGGTTTGTTTTCGAGAAGGTACATCAGGTGTATCATGTTTTAGATGGAGCGGTATTACTTACGGTGAACGGCGAGTCGGGACATTTGGTCAGGGCGGGTGAGACTGCGTTTATACCGGCAGGGACGGAGGTGGCGGTAGAGTTCGTGGATAGGTATGTGAGGTTCTGGTCGTACGCCAATGGCAATGGATTGGAGGCATTGATCGCAGAAGCTGGAGGCGCTTTTGAGGGGAAGATGGTGCCTGATGAGATAAGAAGTGTGGATGCGGACAAGGTGCGGGAGGTCGCGAAGCAGTTGAAGATCAAGGTCAGTATATAGTTGATATTACCAATTGCTTGCCTGAGCTTCGAGCTTTGCAGAGGTCACACGCTTCCTTGCCATGCCAGAAATGTTACCCTTTAAGTTTCCTCGGATTTAGCCATCGCCCTCCTCTTCGATTCCATGACATTATTTCACACCACGAGTCTAGTATAGGGTCAGAGTGAAGTGATAAATTGCACTTCAATGCGTGAGTACATGTGCGCATGCGACGCGACAATAATACCATGTATCTATATGGCCATTGGCTTGGGCGACTTGCTTAAAGCAACCACTTTCTTGAGTTGTCTCTAGGGGCTTGGTGTTGGCCATGATGCAAGCTGGCAACAATTCTTACTTACTTCATTGATGCACGCTTCGGAATCTAGAATGTGTTCTACTTCGCTGATGGATTGTTGATGGCGCAGTCCATGGAATAACGTGGAGGACGCGAACGTGGAGAGCGATTGACATGCCGAGGCCCAATCCACTGCACGCCCTGCGTCATCGTTCGCGTTCCATACGCGTTCCAATCTATAGGAAGGAGCTGAGCATTGCAGATCGTTCTTCAGCTGGAGTACCATGAATAGCACTTGCCATCCTGTCTATACATATACTCAAGACACATGGAGCTGTGAGGCAAGGAGTACGACCCACTCTTGGGCAGGAACGACCGTTTGAGTTCTCACCGCCTGCACCGCGTTGTCGTCGAACGACAACAACGAAGATGATTATTCACAATCTCTAGTATCTTCTTACGACACGTCACTTTCATTTCTCTTCGAATCACAATGCCTACGCCGTGGCCCCTTGTGATAGCTATCATCGTGGCCATAGTATCAGTCACGTACACCAACTATCAGAGCTTGCTTCTCTTTCGGCTCGGTCTATTACCATGTCCTGCGTCGTGCCGGTCGGACTCTCTAAACACTCACTCTGGTTATCTTGGACATGAATGCGTCGAAAAGCCTTACCATTCGAGCTGGGATAGTTGGTTTCATCCTCATCGACGCGACGGCACCAAGTCCGATCATGGCCTTGGTGCAGGAGCTGTAACCAAAGATTGGAATATCCTATACCATCTTGGTGGCAATGGACCATGGGTGGAGAAGGTTATCGATGTCGTTGAGGGCGGTATCGCGCCACCGGAGGGATGTAAAGTGGTACAGGTCCACATGATGTCTCGGCATGCCGAGCGTTATCCTACTACGAAAGCCGGCAATACCCAAAAAGCAGTCGTGCAGCGCATGAAAGGGTAAAGCGCCTGCCACGAATAATGTATATCACAATCGGCTAATTGCCTAATAGTACGTTTTGTTGTATACGATAGCTAGGGTAGGAGAATTTAGCGACAACGTCTGATATTCTGCTGCCTACGTGAGCACCTCTAAGACCACGTCTAAGCTCCTCTTGCCTCCTACGTAGGCAAAGCCTAAGGATAAATTACTCTAGATTACTGTTCGTGCTAACAGTTTGATAGGAAGTGGCAAGATCTTCACAGATAATCTAGCATTCTTCAACAACTGGGAACTCTTTTGGTCTTCAGATGATACCCAACTGGAACAGTTAACATCCACCGGCCCCTTCGCTGGGACACTAAGCTCATTCACTACCGGCGTGCGTCTGCGCACTCGATACCAAGATCTTTTGGACCAGGCTACATCCATTCCGTCAGGTATTCCGACTACGTTCTGGGCTAGTGATTCCAATCGCGTCATCGAGACGGCTAAGCACTTCGCCGCAGGCTTCTTCGGCATCGACTACAATAGTACCAACAAAGCTACACTACAAGTCATATCCGAACACTCCTCGCTCGGTGCCGATACGTTGACGCCTGGACGAACATGTCTGGCGAACAAGAAAGACGAGATTGAAGGTCAACGGAAAGGATATCGTCTGGCGGGTGAGTATAGGGCTACCTACATGCCCGCCATTCGCGAACGTCTACTCAATCAGACGGGTATGCACTTTGAGGATCACGAAATCTATGCCATGCAAGAGATGTGTGGTTTTGAGACAACAGTACGTGGCCGCAGCGACTGGTGCGACGTCTTCACTCGAGACGAGTTCCTCAGCTTTGAGTATGCGCGAGACATCCTGCATTACTATCGTGCAGGACCGGGCCAGAAGTATGCAACGAGTATGGGGTGGCTGTGGCTAAACGCGACCACGAATTTGCTGCTTGAGGGGCCAGAGGCTGGTCCGTTGTTCTTCAGTTTGTAAGTCTTTGTTGACACGATGAGTATGTATATAAGCTAATGGAAGATAGTGTTCATGATGGCGATATCGCGCCTATGATGACCTCACTAGATGTCATCAACGACGACGAACACCTCCCCATTACGCATATCGCCCACGACCGTAAATGGCGAAAGTCTCAGGTATCCCCTATGGACGGGCGTATCATCTTCGAACTACTATCTTGCAGGAACAACACTCAATCTTCACCTGACAAGTTCGTCAGACTCAACATCAACGATGGTATCACCGCTATACCGGGTTGTGATAGTGGCCCTGGGAGGAGTTGTCCGCTAGCAGAATTTGCCGCGAGGACGAAGAAGAAGGGAGAAGAAGTCGAAAACTTCAAGGAGTTGTGTGGGCTGGATGATGGTGCTACAGAACGGATCACTTTCTTGCATCAAGGACGCGGACACCCCATACAAGGGAAAAACTAAAAGAAAAAGTATAGAGATAATAAATGCTCTATTACAGACTACAGTAACCTATTATAAGGAAGGTTTCAAAGCTTAACAGTGTTGTAGACTTCTAGGTTATGAATAAATTCTATATAGTACTTTGCAACCCTTCATGTAATAGGCAAGAGGGAAGAGCGTACTAAGGAGTGTTCGGTTTTTTTTTTAAAATCTTTTCAGAGCCGTCGAATCTGTTGCTTTCACATATGTGTACCGTGCTGTATGCATCCTGCTGGTTCGGAGATATGCATCCGTCTTTGGGAACGAATTCAGTGCCTTAGTGGTGCTCTGCCGTAAAAGATTTCAGGGCGATAGCGCCCGCGGGCTGTCGGGTACAAGGGACGTCCCGCAGTCTAGTCTTTTACGAACCAGCATTCTGAATGAATACAACTCCTCAATGCTCTCAAGTTTGCTCCTGGGCCCAATTCCTCTTACATTTTTCATCGCATCATTCGAACGAATTACGTCAAGCAAGCAAATGCTGTGTTTTTCGTCGAGTATCGACCTGAGCCAGTCTGCTGCGTTGCAAAGATGTGAGCCAAGGGTTGGCGTTGCAGGAGCAAGTGGCACGCATCTGCAAGGAATGAAGCGGCAAATTTCAGTTGCCGGAGGAAGCGGCAAGCACGTTCATTGCATCACGCAGTTGGATTGTTAACAACAAATACCCCATAGTAAACCTCGTATCTTGTCGTATCATAGTCCCGCAAGCGCCACAGATTCTTCTTAGCGAGATGGAAATGTCATCAGGAGACGATCACCACGAAAGCTAGACGTCAAGGCGCTAAGGAAGCTTGGAGGCTTGGTGTCGTGTGCCTGACTAGCGTTATGAGCATTCGACCTCTAGTGTTCGACGAATGCACAATCATCACCACGCCTCAGAAAGGGAGCCGAAGAGTTACACCTAATGTAGATTGCTGCCTGCAGCTATGCACAATGAATCTGAAAATGACGCTTTCACCTAACAAAAGCACCGCCTCCGCTTGCGCCCAACTGATTACCCGTCATCCAGCCACTCTCCGGCAGACAGGCGATACCTACAATACCTGCCACCTCTTCCAGTGTGCCCGGCCTACCGCCAATCTCGTCCGCCAATCTCAAGGTTTGTTCACTGTCCACTCCTGGTCTTTCTTTCGCCAACGGAATCAATGCGTTGTACATCCTCAACGCCTGCTTTGGCGCCTCGGGCAGCCCGTTCAGAAGACCCGTGTCCATCGGACCAGGGCTCACACTGTTGACAGTTGCGCGTTCAGCAAGTTCACGCGCCCACACACGCGTCATCGCCTCTATGGCGCCCTTTGTACCGGCATAGGACGTCTGTTGGATCAAACCCCATGTCGTTGTCGCCGACGAGATGTTCACGATCCTACCAGATCTGTCGTGCGGGAGGTAGGGAAACGCGGCTTTGATCAGAAGCGCAGGAGCTTTGCAGTTTATGTTGAAGGTCTGGTCCCAAAGATCTACATCGAGGTCTTGAATGGGTTGCGCATTGACGACAGCGGCGTTATTGATCTGCAGAAGTGGAGGTGCGATGTCAGTATGTGTCTCACATGGATTTTGTACATCAGTACTTACCAATATGTCGATCTGGAATGAGGGTGTGGTCGTGGGGTTCGTGAAGACGGCCTTTGCCGCATTGATGATAGTCTCGGGAGCGGAAGGGTCGAGGAGATCGGCGCGTACGGGGAGTGCGGTGATGTTGTACGTTGTGGAGAGATGGTTCGCTAACTCCGCCGCGATCTTATCCGAAGACGATGTGGCGTAGTTGATTACAATGTTAGCACCGCGCGAGGCGAAGTGTGTCGCAAGTGCGGCGCCGAAGCCTAGTTGTAAGTCAGTTCCCTATCTATTGGTACGTATTCACATCGTTCTGAAAGAGGAGTATCAGTTTATGGCGGAACGTACTTCGCGAAGCGCCAGTGATAATGGCAAGCTTGCCTTCGAAGACTCTAGGTGGTGACATGATTAGATCTGATGAGTTTTATGATACGTATCATGGGTATGCGACCTATACATGTATCTACGGGCCGAGTACGTGTACAACGCCCACCGCTTGCACGCCGTGATATAGCGGGGAACCCTTGACCTTATAAAACTCGAGGGTCTGTGTAAGAATGCCTGGTAGTGGAGACTCTTATTTCCTGATGTGGGTCGTAGCGTGAATTCCCCGAAGTAGCGCCATGACATGCACAACTATACCGAGCATTAGAAGACCTGCTTGTACAGGTAGCATTGCGATGTTATCTGTGTTGTTTCCTTGTAGATGAGCGAGACTCCACAGAACCTATTTCAGATTCTAGGCTTCTCGTTCGAACTCATCTTTTCGCTGATAGCAATGCGCGTGGGGGGTGGGGGTTCAGTTCAACAGACCTTGATGCTCACCAACTTTTGGCAATTCTCCACTGCATCCCCGTCCATACAGCACTTGGCGATGTGCAAATCCTTGTACGGGATAGTTCTTGAAACAGGACTGACGCGCATACGCAGTAGGTTTTTCCGGTGCACCACCTTGCACAAAAGTCTGGACTCAACCTTGAAAATGCATCGGTCCATCCGAAGCTGATACGTAAGGATAGTGGAGACCTCTCTACGTACATTCAAAGGACTCACGAATGCAATCCGAGCAAATTCAGTCACGCTTGAGTGAACTAGCTCTTTGAACCTGCCATTGGCTGATATGAGTCGAGATTGTTGTGGAAAGTCTGTTCCCCAGCATCGATAGATCCAAAAGCATCAGACATGTATCGAACCGGGAACTACTGCCGATGGGTGACAGTGCCGGCACTAGGAAGCCTCTGCCGCCCCGTTTGCCCGTTACCGTTGTTAATATAAAACCTGCACGGCTTCAAACGGTTGTCGCATCCCAGATACTTGGGACCGAGACGATCATAGCCTGTTATGGGGTACTGGAAGGATGGAGGGCGAGTCTTCTGTGGATGGGCTAGTGGCGCTCCTTTCTTCAGCCTCCGTTGCGTATTCTTATTGCTTTGCATGCCCGGTGCTTGCACTGCGTAGATTTAGGGAACCTTATTGTCTTTCTATTCGAATAGTCTTTTGTGAAGGTCAAGCAACGCCATGGCGCCGACCTCTCGCGACATGGCCCTGTCGGTCTTAATTCCACTACCATTCGACATAATATCGACCGTCTTACGCTTCTGGATCCGTTACAAGAGGAAGGCATGGGGACCAGATGACTGGGCTATGTTGATCAACTTGGTGAGCACTACAGGTATCAAAGCTTCGGCATCTACTGACACCAAGTCAGCCATTCTGGTCGGTGAGTACTATAGCCACAATCGCCATGGCTTGGAGTGGTGTTGGTCAGTACGATGGCTCTTTGAGCGAGTATCAATATTCCAACTCTTTGAGGGTATGTTTCAGTCTTCCCTTGTCTCGACCAGACTTGTTATTGAGAAGATGAACTAACGACAACCAGTGGTTTTATATCTTTCAGGAGCCCTGGTGCTTCACTCTCATCGCCATCAAATGTAGCATCGGGTTCGCCTTGATCCGAATCGCGAGCGGCAAGAAATGGATCGAGATGGTCATCTACACCTGCATGATATCTTGTTTTGTCGTCATGGGCGGAACAGGGATGTACCTTTTCTTCCAATGTTCACCGGTACAGTATGTTCTCAAGACTTATTTCCCTCGAGAAAGACAAACCTCTGACGGAGAAACAGAAAGAATTGGTATGTCAACATGGAGGGCGTATGTAAAGAGCGCAGCATCCAGACGGCACTGTCATATGCCGTTGCCGTGGTATCAATTTCGACAGACTGGATCTTCGCGACCCTACCCATCTTCCTGCTGTGGGATGTACAACTCGACTGGCGAGTCAAAAGCTCCGTGATAGCCATGCTCGGCTTGGGAATCTTGTAAGTGAATCTGCAGTCTTGGCCAACATCATCGAGCCTCGCCACTAACGCAGAAGCCACAGCGCCTCCATCGCCCCAATCGTGCGTCTCAAGTTCTTAATCGGCCTGAACGACCCGAACCGGCTTCTCCAGAACCTCGGTGAAATCCTCGCCTGGGCCACCGCAGAAATGAATGTCGGCATGTTCGTCGCCAATCTACCCGCATGCCGACCCATACTCACCAACCTCATCACCCGTTTTTCTACCTGGTCCGGAAGCCACTCGCGACCTTCTCATGGCTTGTCGAAGAAGCCATATGCCCGAGGTTCACTGCGTGGCGGCGATCCGGCCTCGAAACACTGGATGGAGCTTGATGAGCGACCAGAGAGCACTGGGCTGAAGAACCACTTGGGAAGCAAATCCAAGGAAGTCGGTGTCGAGACGAAGATTTATGGCGACTTGGATGAGTTCAGCAACACTAGTCTGGATCATGATGACGGGAGCCAGAAGCGTATCGTTAGCAAGCGACCGAGTGGCGATGGCATCCAGGTCAACGTTCAGAAAGACTTCAAAGTGGAGATTAGTAATGGAAAGCAACTACCAGCGTTGCCGAGGTTACCATCGGAATCTGTCTGAACTGTTGAACGTCGGTGTAAAGATATAATGGTAGAAGCTGTAGATGTAGAGTATCATCACAACTAGCCGTGGTCCCTATATCCTGCCTTTTACTCAGTTGATCTGGAAGGCATTCAAAATTAATACCCATGTTTCTTCAACTCCTCCTCAGTCCACTCCCACAACTTCTTCCTCAATCCCTCATCCCTCGCGTATCCACTTCCCGAACCCTTCTTGCCCACAGGCATGTAGAATGCGCCATTCTCCAAATGGTCCTTCGCAGTCGTGGCACACCACGTCGTGTTCAACGCGCCACCTTCAGGGCCCTGGTAATGACCCGGCAGTATCATGCCCACGAGTCCATATATCCAAAGTCCGACCTTCAAGAATATGTTTGAGCGGAGGTTGTTGAAAAGATCTGTTAGGATGACACCTGGGTGTAAGGAGACAGATGTTATCGTAGGGTATTCAAGTGCGAGGGAGCGGGCGAAGAGAATGTTCGCTAGTTTCGAGGCGCCATAGCGACGCCAAGTGTTTTCCTTCTCGAGCGCTTGTTGGTCGAACTCAATGCCATTTGATACGGCGAGACGTTCGCCCATACTGCTTAGATTCACGATCCTGACATCAGCACCGGGTTGTTTGGCGGTGTCTAGCATGGTCGGGATGAGGAGCTTCGTGAGCAGCGCGTGGCCCATGTGATTCGTGCCGAATTGTATCTCGTAACCCTCCTTGGTTGTGCTATATGGGGACGCCATAATACCAGCATTGTTGATCAGTATATCGAGTCGCGATTCTTGACTCTTAAATGACGATGCTGCGTCGGCGATGGAAGAGAAGGATGTCAGGTCGAGCGGTAGATGTACGATCTCGCAGGCATTTGGCACGCTGTTCTTGATGTCGGTGATAGCATCACGGGCTTTGGATTCGGTACGGGCGGTGAGGTATATGCGCTTAGGGTTGTGGGCGGCGAGGTATGCGATAGTTTGTTTGCCTAAGCCAGCGTTACCTGTTCATGGGTTAGATCGATGATACAATAACGCATGTTTGATATTGCGAGATACGTACCACCCGTGACCAAGATAACCTTTCCCTCCAGGCTCCCAATGTCCCGGGCTGGGTCGAAAGACTTCCCCATATCGATGCTCGTTATCTAATCGCGGAATATGGGTGTTACGAAGCCGTGTCTGCGCAATAACAACGTGAAAGGACTCCTCACGATGTGGTTCAACTTATAGAAAGAGCTGGACAGTGTCGATTCCGATTGCTTAATTCGTTGTGGCTGTGCGTTTGAGGAGAATGTTGTTTCTGGAATCCGCGGGCATCCTGTTCGTCGCCATCGTCTGGAGTTGAAACCGTCCATCCATCATTAGCCTACGGAGCGGTCCGTTCGCGGTGCTTTCGTTGTGAAGTGCCGAGGTCGAGAACGCGCTATGACGTCTTCCATTCAACGCGTCTTGTGCAACGCCTCAGAACGCATGTGCAAGTCGGGAAGCGATGTCAAATTTGAGATGAGTGTGAGGTTTACGTTGATACGATATACGAAGTTTGCTGGCATGGAAAAGCCGCGTCGTCGAAACAATGCCAACTAGTGCTTATGACCTGCAGCATGCACGCCAATACGGAGAGATCATAGTAAGACAATATATTTACATGCACTTCAAATGGGGTATCACTATACTAAAGCTCCAAAATATAGCCTATAATAAATGGCAGTGCTTTCACACTTGCCTTGTTGAAGCGATTCCTACACTATTACCACTGCAAACCTATAACGCTCGACGCCTTGAAGTAGTAAGTCCAGCTCGTGGATTATATTAAAACCTTTGGTAAGGATTATTTGTAAGTGCCGGTTCTTCGTCAGAGTCGATATCATGTATGACTACATGGTCACGTGGTGTCGGAGCAGTGGACGCTTTTGCTGCGGGCGTAGCTGGAGCTGAGTGTTGCTTTGCTGGAGATGACTTGGCCCTGAACGAGGAAAGAAGATTCTGTCGCTTTTCCTCAAGCTCGTTATCACTGGTAAGGTCAATATCCCCTCGGTATTGAGCAGGAGTAGGGCGTGTAACGCTTTTTTGCTTCCTGCTATTTGGCTGGGGCGCTAGTGCAACCATAGCTGGTGTGGCTGACAGAGAAGCAGACGAAGGTACTGCTGGTTTCGTGGCAGAAGGCGCTTGAACTGCCATTTTTGGAGATGCAGACGCCATGATGCCCTCCCACTGTTTCTCTGTATGAGTTGGTGCAAACGCGCCGCGGCTTGTGGGATAAGCTTGGGTCATGTTTGGGGTTCGCGATAACACCGTTGAGCCGGTGTGTGACCCTTGGTTTGGCATCGTGTTCAACTGCGGCGACGCGGACGTTGACTTGGTAGATGGTTGTTGTTGAAGACCATATTGGGCAAACATGTTCCCAACTATAGGATGTTTCCTTGTCACCGCTGCTGGACGCATTCGCTCTGAAAAATTAATACTTGCGTCCGTCATGTGTGAATTGTAGACATCTTCGTGTACAGAAGCAAAGGCTAAAGTTTGAGCGTTCGAAGGTCCAGGATCAGTCCGTTGTCGCTTCGCCACATCAGTATTTTGTCGTCGCTCGTTCTTCATGACGACCAAATGCCGCGGTGGTATGATGGACAGTGGTCCGTTCGCAGATGTTGCTCTTTTTTTTGAAACGCTCGGCATCGAAGAGACTGTTGTTGTTGCTATTGCTGTCGCTGTCGCGCTAGATGGCGTCGACCACGAGGCTTGATCCAGCTGGTTCCGATTCACTGTAGTGCCGTCCACCGCACCTCGAATTGCCTCTAAGTTTTCGATGAAGTCCCAGACAAACTTCCAAACCGTCGTGTGTAAGCGAAGATCCTTGAAGTGCTCACGAAGCGCTTCTCGAAGAGCTTTGATATCTCTGATCAGCAGTTCGTTATTACTTGTTTCCGAGTACATCGAGATAAGGACGGTCACTGCTACCATTTCGACGGGTGCAAAGGTTTGCACGCCACTTAGATGCTTGTCAGCATTCGTGAAAATGTCAGAGTCTCTCTCTATAAGTTCCTTGAAAGTAGTCCAGACACTCGCAAGATGTGATTTGATAGCATCATCTACAACGCCGGTGTTGCTCAATAGCTTTGGTAGTGCGCTGTAGTTTGTCTTGAGGATCGGTACACCATTCGCGGTAGTTGGATGCTTGACTTCAACGATTTGGCTGAAACAGGCTAGGGTGAGTTGAAAGTCTTTTGCTCGCGCTCGGTCTTTCATCAAGTTGTAAATAGCTGGAAAGTCTTCAACGAAAAGCTTCGCTAATTCTTGCCATGGGCCTTGCTTCGCGCGCATCTTCTCGGCCACAGTGAGTTGCACACCCATCTGGACTCTGGCGAAAAGATCTTCTTCCTGTTCCGGGCTGAGCTCTGTGAATTGAAATGCGACAAAATCTTTTTCCAAGAACATCTTTTGGCTTTCCAAAGAAAGCACTCTTTTGTGATTAGTACCAGGAGCCTTGCAGAACCACCTAAGGCTATTAGTGACTCGCTGCAGCACAAGGCTTGGATCGCCTACCATTTCTCTCCTTTGTGGTCGTGGCAAGGGATCTTGCCTTTTACGAATGCCCTGATAGAAGCGAGACGTTGCTTCCCATCCACACAAACGAGAGTGTCGCATGATATACTGCTGTCCATGCCAGCATTCTGCTTCTTATTCAGAATGATGGGCGGGATATAGTAATTTTCTATGCAGAATTTAGCGAGCTGCGGTGTCTCTGTCGTTGTTGGGGGACAATACCCATTAGAGAATTAATCAGACCTGTCATCCGCTCGACTATCACTGTTAGCATACTTCTGTAATGATCAAGTTGAACGCTCTCACCTGTCCAAACAACCTCACGTTGGTATTCCGGGTCAACATCGATGACGCCGCTCACAAGTTCCTCTGGCAGCTGTAAGTGAATCATCCACTAGTTGCATCTGTTCGGGCCTTCACTTACTTATCAGATTCGCCAAGCTTCGCATGTTGACGTTGGGTTGCGGCAGCTGAGGGCGAGGTTTGTAACCAATTTCAGGATCGCTGTCGCTATCGCCTCCCGCGAAGGTGTCGCCATTGTCCGCTTCGTCTTTGATAGCGGAGGGGAGTGCAGAATTGTTGCCGTGCGGCTGAGTAGCAGATCCGCGATGTGTATTGTTGTTGTTAATGTTGTCGACTTCCATGCCAGCGTAGAACCCTGGGTAAGGGCACTGTATCGAATCACGCAGAGGCTACCCTGACGTAGAACCAACCAGTCTTATATTGGCTTGGGTAAGCTATGCCTAAACCTCGTATATGCTAGCTAGATCAGGACTTGTTCTAGAATATTTGTCCTCACTTCCACTATCTGGTGCTAGTAGATTGGTGGAGACGTGCTTGCAAAGAGTAAAAAACGTCTTCTTCTATACTTATATACTAGTAGCTTAATTACTATAAGTAATTATGGATATTTTTAGTCTAAAATCTTCTATATAATAAATTAGTAGGCTCTTTAAACTAGTAAAGAATTACTATAATGAATAGCCAAATCATCACACATTGGCCAGCACACGAATCGCTTCACAGCATGCACATCATCTTTCGGTTTTCACACTTGAGCTTCAATGGACATGTGCTTCATTGTACGTTTCAGTATAGTTTCGGGAAATCGACCTAGATATGAGCCTCTCGTCTGCCTGCTCTCCCTTGTTGCCTAAGAATCGAAAATGTAGCGGAATGCTAATACTATAAACGCCGTGCATGCAGCTATAGGATGGGTGGCAAAGGCCACGCCGTTAACTAGAAGACATATTGTAAATAGCAGGTTACATGTCCGCTCATCTGAATCGAAATTGACATTAGCTGCCTTAGTCGTCGTACAGCGAGTCGTGGTCATCCTCCTGAGCAGCGTGACCAGCGGCGAACTGCTCCTGGAACTGGCCCTCTTGTCCGTCTACGGCGTCGTGCTCTTGTGTCTCTTGGTCTTGCGCCCCCAGCTGTTCTGCGATGCCTTGTGGATCGACTGCCCTATCGCCTTTAGTGATGCCGTCATCCGCTTCAATATCATCGCCATCAGACTCTTCACCGTCGCTGATATTGACGGCATGCATCGCCTTAGCTTTTTCAGTGAGCTTGAGGCTGATCATTCCTAGATGTCGAGGCTGCTGAACGTCGAGCATGCCCTTGGAGCCGAGCCCAAGTACCATCATGAAGCCCTGACAAGCGATCACCTTGGTGTTCTCAGTGGGCGGAAGGAGCTCCTCAAAGGCGATTTCTTCAATGTCAGCAGCAGCTTCCGGTTGGAGCACATCGGACATATGTTGTAGATCTGCTTGAGCCCGCTCGCGCTTCTCGACGATGCGTTCATTCATGAAGGTAATGAAGTTCTCGCCTTCTGTCGATAGAGCTTCGCGGACGCGTGCGGACGGTTCTTGAACTACTAGCTCAGGATCATCTGAGCTGGGACCCGATAGGCCAAATTCATCACCGCCGTAGTCGACATCACTCGTGAAGTTCTTCAGTCCCTCAAGCGCAATAGGCTGTCCACGACCATGTAGAGGAGAAGCAGAGACAAGGCGGCTTCCAGGTCTAGAATGATCAGTGGAACCCATCATACCCACGCGCCCGCTTCGAGGAATAGCTGAAGAGCCCCGGTTGGAAGCACTGATGTTCCATGGCATCGCAGAGAAGATCTGCTGGTCATCAAGAGCGGAAACACCTTCGCGAGGCAGTTCGATTGCGATGTCATCATCGCCCAGCATGGGAAGATCCTCGTCGTCAGCTGAACGACCAACCTCAGGTTCGCCGGTTTTCTGGCGCACGCGACGAGATTCTTCTTGAGTCGCATCATCGATACCACTGTCGCGGTCGTGCTTTGCTCTAGTTGGATTGTTGCGACTTAAGCCTGTGATAGTCTCAAACAGGTTGTCCCCGATGAACATGTCGAACGGACTAGAACCTTGACCGCTGAGAATGCGTTGACCAATATCACCGATACCAGAGCCCCACACGTAGTGCTCAGCATTCTTCCTAGCTTGGCCAGCAACACGGATCTGGATCTTCTTTCGAGCAGCAGCCTTCATGTTCTGACGATAATTCTTTGTCCAATCCGCCAACTCCTTATTACGAAGCTCAATGGCTGAGTCGGTAGGCAGAGTGCGTGGTGCCCGACGTCGGTGCATGGGCGCAGCGAACGTGTCGGAAGATTCGACAACTTCTGAATGCTCACTGGACTGTTGCTGGCCGCCTGATGAGAATGCCTCGCCTCCAGCGGGATCGTCGCCACAGATTGGAAAGTCCATATCAACTTGATCGCCAGGAAACTGGTATGGGTCAGTCTCCATTTCGAAGGATAATGATAGCGAGATATATAAAAATGATGAAAAGCCGAATTGATGAAAGGGCAGAGGGAATTGGAAAAGAGAAAAGGCGCAAACCACAAGGCAAATAAGGACGACGTCAAACGTCTGAGTGGGCTTGAGTAACGGCGGTGAGAGAATGCCTTGCCATGTCTTGGACTTCGAGTAAGGGCAGCTATGCCAGACCGCAAGACCAGTGTCTGATATCGCGATGCAAAAAGACGTGAGAGAACGCGGTAGAACTCACTTGATTGCCAGCTTGCAGTCCTTCCTCGTGTTCTTTCCGAATGCGCGCGCTCGCTTTAACATCGCCAGACATCGTCCCAGCTGGGATTCTGATTGGCGTTCTAGCCACCGAACGCTGCGCTGAGAACTGGATGACCTCGCCGTTGTCTCCGAACATGAAGTCTGGGTCTTCAATTTCGGCTATATCCCCAGCACCCGACATACCACTTGGTGCGCCGGCAATGCCTGCTACATCGTCGCCTTCGAGCCTGAACTCGCCTGCCGTAACAGGAGACGACGTAGGCAAGATGAGTCCGCCAAAAGCATCGGCATGGGAGGACAGTAATCGCTGGGAGCCGAAAGGAGTCAGCGATTGAGAGTCGCCGGAGCGTGTGATGTCAAGGTTGAAATTGTGGCCCAGCTCTGAGAGCAACTCCGGGGGAGAGAGCGCGAACTCGGGAAGAAAAGACGGATCATCCTCGAAGATGAGTCGCTCGGGTCTACAAAATATCAGTGAGTGAAAGGCTGAGGGTGTGAGGGTCATGTTTGCTTACCTAGCTTTGCCAGCATCTGGATCAAGTGCGGTATTCTTCACTGTTCGAAGCATAGTCCGCAAGGTGTTGTGCGCATCCTCTGCATCCGAAAGGACATATCCACACTGTTTTAAGTACACTTGCGATACACCATACCTGCATGCGTCAACGATCTGTCATCCAGAGCAGGTATGGCAGCGTAACGCACAACAGATTGCCTTGCAGACGCAAAGCCATAGGCGCCACAGGATCGACAATGGTCTGGCATGCTTTGGATACATCGACTTCGAGGATTTGCTTGCGGTTGATGCGCTTCAGGCCGGACTTTGAACCCAATGTCGCCACCAACCTGCCACCTCTGTCAGTACAGGGAAGGGGCGACCAGACGCTTTTCTCACATACCACACGGTCGCCACGCCGTATTTGCGCGACGTGAGCACTACAAGAGTCAATTTTGCTAGTTAGAACTGAAGTCTCGGATTAGGACTTACCTTCGTGACTGTAGAACATGATGGTAATACTTAACACATGGAACGAATGATTGTACGGACGTAATGTAACGACATAGGAGAATATGGCGTCTCGCGAATAGCGCGTTAATTTATAACAGAAGCGCAGTGGTAGACGGGAGGGAGAAGAAAGAAATCCTGGAGGTGAGCGTCACGATCATGGATGAGAGTTGGCGGCGAGCTTCTACGCGTTTCTTGTACGCGTGGTGAGGTGAGGACGAAAGGGGAAGAAAAATGGCGAAATGTGCACTCCACCAGTCTAATACTGTGTCTATTAATGCAAAGTCTTGAAGTCATGCCATCGTTACTTGAGCTTTTGGCGTATCGCCCGGTAGCCTTTCCAGGCGGTACAATGCCAAATGCCATGCATTATATGCTGCTCCGGTTCCGCTTGCGCTTCAGCATTCTCGTGCGCGCAAGATCTAATGAGATAGGCATAGAGAAACGTGTCGAATCAGCCTATGAGTCGCCCATCTGCACGTCCTCGTCGACGACGGGTAGAGGAACAGCGCGGTAGAGGAGAATAAGAGCCGAGTGGCTTTGGCCTATGATATGTCAGTCACCAGAAATTCCGAATGGTCCAGGATACTTACCTCCACCAGACAAGGTTTGTATCCTCTCGGCATCAACCTCGGATACCTTCTCGTCGTTGAACCACCACCATTTGCCGTCCTCTTCCTTCCGCTTGCCAGTGTTAGGATCCTTGGCACCCTGCTTCTTTACAAAGGAGGTGTAGTGGCCACTGTCAGCGCTAGCGCCCTGGTGGGTGATGACGCCCCTCAGCTCGTAAAGACCAGTCTGGTTGGCGCCTTCGTCGGCAACCATCTTGGAGTCCACGAGAGCGAGGAGCTCCTTCTTGGCAGCGAGAATCGATGCAGCACGTTCCGCCTCAACTTGAGCGTCAGTCTTGTACTCAACCTCCTCCATCTTTGTATCCTCAACCGGCTTGCTGGCGTCCTCCTTCTTCTGCGCAGCTTCTTTCTTCTTCTGCAGAGGCTCCTTGCGAGCAAGAGGATCACTGTCGTTCTCTTCGCCAGCCCTCATGCGCTTTTGTCGTTTGCGGGCACGCTCCACATCCTCCTCTTCCTTGCGAACTTCACGGATCTTGTCCCGAATAGGAACAAGCATCTTCCTCAGATCATCTGTACAAAACTCCAATGCGTCCAGCTCCTCGGGGAAAGTGACCTTGCGCATGATCTTCGCCTTCTTGTTGGTATCTTTTCGCCAGTCGAAACGCACAAAGTGGATGGGGAGGTGCTTGGGTAGACGGGCGATTTTGGATGTCTTGGTGTAAAGGGCGTTTCGGCCCAAAACCTCTGATCGCTTCTCGATCTGCTCCTTCAGGCCAGCCGCCAAACCGTCCCTCAGGTGGTTTGTCTCTACGTTGATATGGCAGTTGAGCTTGAAGAAGAGATCCTCGCTGTGGACGGGCTCCTCACCGCCCTCCTTTGCTGCGGGCTCATCGCACTCCATGACCGACTCGAACTTGCCGGCCATGTACTTGTCGATCCAAGATAGCTCCTTTTGTTTATTCGCATCGGACCCTGTCTCGTTATCGGTGATCCTCAGCTTTTGCCGCAGCTGTGCAACAATCTGTGACCAAGCCTCCTCTGCATCCTGTTGTGCGTAGCCGTGGCCGTCCTTTGATTTCTGGGCGAACTGGGGAAATGCGGTTCGGAGAGCGTTCAGGAACATGAGTGGGGGGAAACCCTGCTGTGTCTCGGACATCTGCTTGAATAGATCGCGGAGAGAGCCGGTAAGATCGGTGGAGGCACCGAGGCCACCGAGACCGAACTGACTGAGCTGTGCGGCGCTAGATGAGCTGGCACCGTTGCTGGAGATGGTCAGTAGGAGCATGTGCAGGCAATGAAGGGAGACATACCTGTCCGAGTATCGCAGAAGTTCTTCTTGCAGTTCGGGAATAGAGCGTAGCGCCTGCAGGGTAGAGTTCATGTAACAGGTGTTACCCAGGTTCTGTAGACCGGCGGGTGTGGCGCCTTCCAACTGCGCGGCTTCTGCCTCGTCCATGTCTTCGAGGAACTTGACAGGGACCTTGGGCTTTTCTATGACGACTCCTGATCCCGAAGGCGTGCCCATCATCATGAGGGTCTGGTTCGGCTTCAGGCCCAGCTTCGACATGTCGGCGTCATCCTTGAGTTGACCGCCTTTGACGATGACCTTTTGACGCTCTGGCTCGACGCCGGTGATGGAGAAGAGCTGGTACTTGAACGTCTCGCCGGTGGAGGTGGTGTCGACTTCGACCTCGTGCTTCTTGCCCTGGTGCTTTACGATTACTACAAACGGTGTGAGTTAGTAGTCTTGGAATGTTGAATGGAGCGGGAGCGCTGCACGTACCTGGTATAGACGCCATGATGGATGTTCAACTATACCGCAGATAGAGTATAGAAGACTATGGGGAGCGGAGGCGAGGGAGTGTTTATAATGTGGTCGTGGGGCAAAAGTTAATGGAAGCATGAGGAAGGACGGCCGCGCCAAGGTGAGCCGCCGCCCGGAGCTGCTACCCCACTAGCGCGACCAGCTGCAGGCACCGCCAACTCGCCGTACTGGCATGTCATAGCAGCCCGCTCTCCCCCGACGGCAGCCCTACCATTCCAACGTAGAGCTGGTGCTGAGCTCCCTTCGCAATGGTACTGTCTCCCTCTGCTAGAACACACTGATTACGTACTCATACTTACTGACACTCGCAGTCGCAATCACTCCGCCCGTACCTCCAGTGCGTACGCTCGTCGCTCACAGCCGCCCTCTCCCTCTCCAACTTTGCGTCCCAAGCCTCGGAACGTCACAATGTTCCCGAGATCGAAGCTGCAAGCTCGCCCGAAGTCATCCTAAACCCGCTTACCGTGTCGAGAAACGCCGAAGAACGCGTGTACATCGAGCCGAGTATCAACAGTGTACGCATAAGCATCAAGATCAAGCAGGCAGATGAGATTGAACACATCCTGGTCCACAAGTTCACACGCTTCTTGACCCAAAGAGCCGAGTCGTTCTATATCATGCGTAGGAAGCCAGTCAAGGGCTATGACATCTCGTTCCTGATTACCAACTTCCACACCGAGGAGATGCTGAAGCACAAGCTGGTCGACTTCATCATCCAGTTCATGGAGGAGGTGGACAAGGAGATTTCAGAGATGAAGCTCTTCGTAAGATAGCCAAGGTCTACCTATTTGCGCACTGGAGCTGACACATTGCTAGTTGAACGCAAGAGCACGTTTCGTGGCCGAGTCTTTCCTTACACCGGTATGTCCCACACTGCTGATAGACCTGTGCACGCATGCTGACCCAAGCTTAGTTTGATTGAGCGTTTTACCATGACGGCGTTTGTATATATTGGCTCATTACGAATTCCTGGGCAGTCGCAGCTAGGACGGAGAATTGCCAATGGCCAGATCGTTGGCCACGAACAAGTGTTGGTGTGGAAAAGTTGCTATCTAAGCTGAGCATTCGACCAGCACCCAATACAAATACGAACCTCGAAACCCACCTCGCACTACACGTACACTGCCGATCCCTCAAACATGATTGTAAACACTAGACGGATAAAAGTGGTCGACTGACATGGCAGGAAAACATCACGTTCACGTTGCTTTCATACTGTCATTATTCTTATTTGGATGTTTCATCTACAAGATGCCGTCTAGAGTTATTGACATCTGCAAAGGTCCTCCGAAGAGCGAGCGTACAACGCAGTCAGAGCTTACAACTTAGCCAGAACGGCGTCGGCACCGGAGACCTACAAAGTCGTTAGCAACGCATACTATCACATCTCAACGCGATGATTTGCTTACCGAAACCTCGCCGGGGCTCTTCTCGTTCTCAGCGTAGATGACCTTGCCGTGGTCGAAGACCATTGCCCAGCGACCGTTGCGGTCGCCCATACCCGCCGGCCAACCGTACTCCTTGGAGAAAAAGGTCTTGGTGTCGCTGAGGAAAAGGACCTCGTCGTTCTTGACGCCGTTGACCTTACCCCAAGCGTTCATGACCCAGCTGTCGTTGCTTGCAATGGTAGCAATGATATCAACACCCTTCTCCTTGAACTCCTTGGCCTTTGCGATATAGGGTGGCAGATGGTACGCTTGGCAACCCGGGGTGAAGGCACCGGGAACGGAGAAGAGGACGACCTTCTTGTCCGCCCATTCCTTGCTAGCATCGTATACTTGGGGACGGCCGCAGGCAGTCGGGTCGCTGTCGGTGATGGGCGCCCATCTACATGAGAGAAGATACAATGTCAGCGTGGGTTCTAAGAGCTTCAGTGGTGAGCGGAGCTCGACAAGAATGCACTTACTCGAACTTGACGCCCTCGGGGAGCTTGTCGCCGACTTGTAGAGGAGCCATAATGATTAATTGGTTTATGTGTATAGAATTTCGTGGGAATGTAAGAGCTTTGCAAGTTGAAATGCAGAGTGAGAGAGAAAGTGAACTTGTTATTGTGGACTATGCCGATTAGTTATTTGGAGGGGTAGCCCGCCTGCTTCCCAAGCTTGAAGCTTCGAGATCGTAGTGGGGCACAGCTCCGGCATGTGTCCGGCCGAGGCGTATGACGCCAGGTACCAGCCAACGCATTTCGATAATGCAGGGTATGTTTGACAAATCTTTTGGGCCTATTAGAGACGTGAGTGCGCGTGTACCTGAGTGGGCAGCTAAAGGAGAGTTGGCAATGCAGGCTCGATGCGAACTCTTGTAATTGATAGTATTTGAAAGCTTGGTGGAGAGAGCTATCGGTTAGCATTCGACAACTACGCCGTATTCTATTATGTTCTCGACAGCTAGACACAGATGCTGGTGTGTCTGCATGTCGGTGTTTGGTCGGTGTAGAAGTGATCGTCTCTTTTGCTTCTTCTAGTTCTAGAATCTTCTTTGTCGGAGCTCTTGTTGTCACTCGTCGAACGCCCATTCTGGTTGCACTAGGTGGTATGGCCATCCGTCCTTTTCATGTGAGGTCTTCTAAGTCGAAATGCTCCGTGTGTATCTCAAAGTAGCTGAGCTTCGTTTCATAGGGATGCATGTAAGCACATGTAAGCGCATGCCGAAGTGCTGATATGACGCATCCACCGCACGGCATCTCTTAGATCATCATGGATATATTGCTACATCAGCATCACCCGACTTCATGACAACAGCCTTTGATATATCGAAGCTCTGACATTGATTCTTACTACGTCCCATCCCGAGCTATCTAGCCTTGCTTATTCTGAACATGTCCCTCGTACCGCCTTTCACTCAAGAAACCGCCCATGCCAAGGTCAAAAAGGCTCAAGACCTTTGGAATGGCCAGTATGTAGAATCTTGATTTGGCTCTTGCCCTTGCTAAGTATGCCAGGAATCCCAAGGTAATCGCACAAGCCTACACACCTAACAGTATCTGGCGCAACCGATCGTCCTTCCTTTCCGGTACGGCGGAGATTGAGAATCTTCTCACCAAGAAGTGGGAGAAAGAGAAGAGTTATCGGCTGCGCAAAGAGCTATTTGCCTTTACTGATAACAAAATCGCCGTGCAATTCTGGTATGAGTTCCAGGACGCCTACGATGGTATGAAGTGGAAGCGGTGCTATGGTCTTGAGGACTGGACGTTCGCCGAAGACGGGAAGATGCGTAAGCGGCAGATGAGCGGCAACGATATTGAGACTGATGAAACCGGTAAGTACTCCAAGCTCATACGTGCAAGTGGAAGGGTTGACACAGATTTGCGTAGAAAGATGGTTCAAGGACGATGTGGACGTGAACGCAGTTGAGATTAGTGAGTCTCATTGGTAACTGACGTTCTTGCTGTATCCAAATTCAAACGGATGGGTATCGTAACGCTTGCGGGGGTTGAAAAACATGTGCGATCAGTTCGTTGTATGGCCTATGCTGGAGGGGTGTCATGTATAGCGACGAGAATGAATTTGGGATCTTGAGAAGTTAGCAAAAGCCCCACCATTGAGAGCGTGAGAAACCTACCGGGGACGATGACCAGCTCATTCTTCTTTGTTCGCAGTCTGAGGAGTTTGACCTCGTCCTCCTTGTCAAGCTCATCTACAAGGCTCCCTGCTGCTGTCAAGAATGACCAGACCATGCTTGCAACGTCTTCAGCACTGTGTATCCCGCTTTCTTTCCTGCCGTTTGAGTAGTTGTCGGATGCAGCTTCCCCAGAGGCTGGTAGAGTACTGTTTGGGTTTGCCGAAGAGCTGTTCGATATGAGACCGGAAGTGCGTATTATAGTACCGTTCTCGCGCGACAGGATGAGGGTGCTTTGAACGCCGGGCTTCTGGCTCAGTCGCGTGAGTAGCGAAAGGGTCTCATCTGGCTGTGCGGTCATTAGTGAATTGTAGTTGCAAGAGATGTTCAGTACATACAGCGTTCTGAGCCATGGTTTGTGACAGGTACGAGTAGAATAAGAGATGCAGTTGCTGTTTACAGACCCCGGGATGCTAATAATGACATCGGCGTACATGGCTGTGGCTGGACCCTGCCAAGAGTTTGATGGCCCATGTTTCTTTAGTATTAGCGGCATATGTAGATCTTCAATTTTCCACCCATCAGTAGAGAACGCGTCTTTCAATCATTAACGCGAACATATCAGTTTCCTTTCTCGATATTTCGCGCGTTGGGAGAACATTATCGATTCACGGGTTCGCCAACTCAATCTGCGGAGCTCTGATAGTCCGTCGCCATGACCGCAAGCTCAAAGAAGAAGAAGGAGAACAAGAAGAAAGACTTCCAGGTAAACATGACCAAAACAGCTTCTATAAACCTTCCAGGCTAATCAAATCAGAAACCAAAGTTAAAGGTTGGAAAGGCGAGACCAAAGGCAGCAAATAGCACAGATACGAGTTTCCGGGCCAAATGTGAGGTTTACAACACCAAATCTCACATCCTTGACTAATGTATTGTAGCAATTGCTCTCAAGCAGCAGGCACTTTCCACTAGTGCCCCAACTCTAGAAGCGCAATGCGCGCACCACCTGGGTCTACTGAACCACAAGTCAGATACACAGCGAAAAGAATCCCTGGCTTTCTTAACATCAGCCATTACGAGCAACTCGCCAAAAGTTCCATTGCCGCAACCTTCGTCTGTCATCATTCCTGTGGCACAAAAGCTCATTCTAGATGGATCAAACAGTGTTCGTCAGCAGCTGCTCAAGCTTCTGCAGAGTCTGCCACCAATCGATATCGCTAGCCACGCAGACCAGCTGCTACTTCATACAAGAGCTGCGATGACGCACTTAGCAACTGAAATTCGTATATTTGGCCTCGAAGTACTTGAATGGCTGCTTGTAGTTACAGGCGACGAGGTCGTCAGTTGTGCTGGAGGCTGGGTGAAGATGCTCAAATGCTTCCTCAGTTTGCTTGGGTGGCAGAGTGAAGCATCGAGCAAGTGGTCGTCTGGGAAATCGTACGGAAAAGCCGATACAAAGATGCAAGTCAAGCAAATGAATGCGTTGACTTCCTTCCTGCGCACTGGGCTCTCCCATGCGCAGACTGTCGCTTCTGTCGACGCCAGCGAGAACACCTTTCTGCTTTGGCACACACAGCACCACGTGCTTTCCGAACGATCAAACGTCTATGCGCATCTAAACTTATTCGGCGCTGCCAGAGATGAAGAGGCAGAGATGTATGAAGACCGCGAAGACCGGCAAAGACTGTTTCGAGACCGAGCCGAGGCTGCCATCATCACAGGATTGGAGCAAGCTACCAAAGGTGGTGGAGAGCTGGGTAGAGCGGGTGCCCAACTTCGCAAGGCTGTGAAAGAGGGAATGGCGGACTTCTACCGAGAAGAGCCGACCGCCTAAAACCGCGATTCTTCGTTCGACGCGTTTCAAGGAATGGTATGCCGCGGCTTGCCATGAATCAGATATGCACGAACGATCGCACATATCTTGTACTACTGGGTACCTACAGTTCACCTTGGTCAGATACGCTTCGCCACACACGGCTCATCACTTTGTTCAACAAATGAGATTGGACCTTCTCTAGAGATGTTCTTGACGTCTTCGTCAGTTGTCTCGCCCATCTGAGCAGCATATTTCCCGGAAGCTTCATCTTTAGTCTGCCGACGATGTATTTTGATGCAGCGCTATTATAGCAGCCATAAGTACACCTGAAGATGCGAAACCCCCAGAGACTGTCTGCAGCGAAGCAACCCAACCTTCGTGGTCTTGGGCAGGGTTGGAAGGCACTATCACTTCGAGAGCTGGAGAAGTGCTGCCAACTACCAATTCGAATATTCAACTACGTCAGATACATCCCAATACACTTCCTGGAGGACCTTTAGTATTGTCCAGTGGATGCATTCGAAGACACTGACGTCGGAACGTCACCCAGTCATCATTCCTTCAGAATTCAGGCGACCAGCGTTCACCAAGTTTGGAGACAGCCTATCTTCAGCATGGTCCATATCCGCAAACTTGGGCGATGATGGTCATACAGTCCGACAATCATGTGACCCTTCCGTACCTTTTCGCTTTCCGATTTCCTTCTTCGGCCAGACAAATCGTTGGCAACTTGTAGCCAACGCTCGTTATCTACTTTGTGCCGCGAAACACCCGTTCCTCGCTCTGGGCAAGGAGTTTCTGAACACGATATCTGGATATCCTTCCGTACGGTTTCCCACTGGGTCTGGTCGTTGGACTGGATGTCTCCGCCTAAACTTCATGCCCTCACACGCGCGTGACGAAACTTCAACTTCGTCGACCCCAACTCTGCAACACCGTTCTCGAAATACTTCCAAAATTGGTCCGAGTTTTTCATTCATTGCCCCTTCCCCCTCTGGAGTCGTGAATGCGCTCCACGGCCTAGACCAGATTGGAGATAAGCTGTGTGAACTTATCGAGACATCTGCTGGATCCGTAGGGGATTGGGAAACCGATACACGAAGCTTCGATGGGTTGTATCGAGAAGCTTGTGGTTGGAATCAAGGGCTTTACGAGTTCTTCAATGTACTCTGGGTAAAGTGGGTGGAAGGAGTTCATATTGCAAAGCGATTGGGAGGGTTCAGAAAGACGTTTGGGAAAGTGAGGCGAGGGATAAGACGGAAGCTATAGTTAGGTAAAGCGCAGACAGAGGCGTGCTTACGAAGGTCTTTCTTGATAATATAGACGTCTTCTTAGGTTTGCTCAAGGTCATTCCGTTTTGGTGTTTCGCGTTATAGTCTATTGATGCGCCCGTGAAGAAGCTCCAAGCTTAAATATTAATTAAATTGCTCGCATGAACAACACTTGTACCAGTCAGCTTCAACAATGTTTGCGACTTGCATGCTTCGTTCTAGCAAATCATTAGGCCGTCAAATGGCGTACTGGTCGTTTCGCGTCGATCTCATCTTTCTGTATGCATAACTTAGTAGGCCAGTAAGCATACATTGGTATTACGATGGGGCCATGAGTGAGAGGGAGATACAACTCGAGGTACTATGGAAGAGCGGTCCTGTTTAACGCAACGTTGAGCTGCACGTCTTGATTGACGTCACGGCGGCCGCGGCTGGGCGGGTTAGCGGGATGGCGGGACGCGACGAAACATTGTTGATACTCCCGACAAAAGTTGATGTGCTGGCCACATTGATGTACATAACTCTACTTACGTCCCCACCTCTTCCTCTGCAATCACCTTACCCACGATATCTCTCGTCGTCCTCTTGCAATTGGTCAATCATCAGCGTGAATATTTGTACCCCCCAATCAGCAACAAAACCATGTCGATAGTATCGCAGACCCTGCAGGGCGCAGTGCTTAGCGTAACTTCGAATGTGCTTGCACAAGCCATATCGTCGTACCAAGACGGCGTATGCACTATTGCACGATTCCTAGTTATCTGGTGCTTTGTAGCTGACACGTATTCAGACGCCATTCGCCCTCAACTATGCCACAGTCTTCAAGTTCGCGCTCTTCAGCATACTCAGCACCCCACCCAACATTGTTTGGCAAGGCTACCTAGAAGAACAATTCCCTACCAACGTGCCCTCCGCCGCTCCATCGTCCGAAAAGCCAGGCTCAAAACCCGACCCTACCAAGACGTCCCTCAGCAAGACCAATGTCCTCATCAAGTTCCTGCTCGACCAGACCATCGGCGCTGTCGTCAACACGCTCATGTTTTTGAGTTATATGGCCTATGTCAATGCGCAGGGCAAGCCAGGCGTAAACGCCATGGACGTGGTTACGAGCGATTGCGCGAACAAGCTATGGCCAATGATGAAGGACGGATACAAGTTCTGGCCTGCGATAAGTCTTATCAGCTTCTTGTGGGTACCAGTAGACAAGAGGGTCGTCTTTGGCTGCTCTGTGGGTGTTGTGTGGGGCATATACCTGAGTCTGGCAGTGGGCGCATAGATGTGTGTGCGATACAAGGGCGCGCGCTGTGGCTGCCGATGTTTTGAGTGTGATACACCCTCTTCGATGCAGCTGCTATTCCAAGGTGCAGAGTGCGCGAACGCGAAGCTACGAAAAATGGTTCGGGTTTGCTGGGTTGTATCACTCAACATAAAAACCTATTCTTTATCCTAGAGGCATTTGCTGTGTATTGCATGGTATCGTCGTCATTGTGAAATACGACGAACACCTGTCTAGGACCTTATAATGGTAGGTACAACTCTTGAAACATCGGGCTTCTTCGTACTGAGTGGCTCTTCCAATCGCGCCACACCTCCAACCATCAACCTTTTTCCCAGGTACCCGCACGGGGCTAACGATTACCATACCTGGCTTACGATTCGAAGATATTGTGTTGTCTTTACAGTGGAGCCTCGCAAACGAGATGCGCTCGTACCAAGGGACTTGGTCGCTCTATCGAACGATCAGATTGGACCGCCCACTGAACAACCAGTTGGGCGTACACCATGCGAACACGTGCTCCATGAGGCCATTGAAATACTGTCTGCTGGTCCCAGTGTTCCCAATGCGTGCATATGTCTCGATTTTGATATTAGGCGAATATTGATTTTGCCGATTACAAAAGGGCTGCTGCTTTGTATCCCTTGCTCTCTCCTCACAAACCGTAACACCAGCGCATCATGCAGAACCTCACAGAAACCCCAGATATAATTCATGTAGCAGCCCCCGCAGGTGCCCTGTCAGAAAAAGTTCACGAGTCCAAAAGCACCAAGAGCAAGCAACTCTCCAAGGGTAAGCAAGCCGTGGGCTCTGGCTTCCACTACGGACCCGTGCCAGGTCAGTATTTCCGCTCACGACGGGTGAAGCCCAAGGATGTCCAGATGCCATGGCTCGACAAGCCGCACCCAAGGCAGAAATGGGGCACTATACTTCCTCTCATCGGCTTTGGACTCGGTTTGATAGTAGTAGCTATCATGATCTGGGACGGGTTCAGAGTTATAGGCAGGCATAAGTACTGCGAGATTTACCATGACAATTTCACCTCATTCAACGAGAGCGTCTGGACTAAGGAAGTCGAGCTAGGCGGCTACGGGCAAGCCATCTCAGACCATTGTTACGCATGGACTAACTGGTATTTGCAGCAACGGCCAGTTTGAGATGACTACAGGTACGGAAGAGAACGTCTTTATCGAAAACGGCGAGCTCGTTATCAAGCCAACGATCCAAGACGAGATGTTCATTGGCAACAACTACACTATAGATCTCCGTGGACATGGATGCACTGGTTCTGACTGGACCGACTGCATCGCCACTACCAACACAACCAACGGCACGATCGTCAACCCCATTAAGTCTGGCCGAATTAACAGCAAGCTCGGTGCTTCAATCAAATACGGCCGTGTTGAGGTCGTTGCTAAACTGTCCACTGGCGACTGGCTATGGCCAGCTATCTGGATGTTGCCCAAGGACAATGTATATGGCGCCTGGCCTCGCTCTGGTGAGATCGATATCGCAGAGTCCCGCGGTAACGCACCGGGATATGCGCAGGGCGGTAACAACGTCGTCTCCAGCACACTGCACTTCGGCCCCGACGTCAATCATAACGGCTGGTGGCGCAATAATGTCAAGCGCCAGGCATTGCACACTACATATGCAGCCGACTACAATACCTTTGGTATTGAGGTAAGTCTCCTAGTCTCTTGTTAATTTTATCGTACGCAACACTATTAACCATGCGTCCAGTGGAGCGAGAAGTACATCTTCACTTATATCAACACGCGCCTCCTACAGGTCATGTATACACACTTCGATAAACCTTTCTTCAAGTACGGTAACTTTCCTCTCGCCGATGCCAACGGCACCCGTCTTGAGAACCCCTGGAAGCACACCAAACGCAACACAGCTCCTTTCGACCAGGAGTTTTATCTCGTCATGAACCTAGCTGTTGGCTCCACGAACGGTTGGTTTGAGGATGGTAAGAGCGGTAAACCATGGATTGACAGGAGCTCCCGGGCAAAGCTTGACTTTTGGGAGGCCAAGGACCAGTGGCTGCCTACGTGGAAGGACGGCGGACAGATGAAGGTCAAGAGTGTCACGATGTGGCAGCAAAGTGGGCACAATGGTTGCAAGGCTTAGAAAAGGCACAACTGCCGACCTTCTCGTCGAAATTACTGCCCAGATACAAGCTTGTACGAGGAAGCTCACTTATTCTGAGTAATACTACTCAATGGGATAACGTATCATGAAGATACACACTATCTTTGTTTGAGTAGTAGTTTAACGCGAAACGCGGCGAATACCTTCACGAGCTGTTTTGGGCACATGCTGGGAGAAACGAGCTCCATTGTATCGATTTGCAGCGAACCACCAAACACGTTTCTCGGACTGGAATGTGGTTCAGCAGAATTCTGTGCACAAGCGTGGTGAATGCGATATGACCACAAGTCATGTTCAACAGCGGCCAATCTGCTATCCTATTATTTGCAAGTCCAAACTGAAATAATTAATGAATCCAGCAAATACTGGTACCTTACATTAGAACGTCTCCGGAAAGTACTTGTTGCGCGACTTTCTCCGTCAATACGCGCATAAACTAAGAGCTATTGCAACTTTCCGGGTACTCCTTAACTTTAGGGTAGGTATGCACGACATGACGGTCCGTAAACTTGGAAACTAGTGTTCAGTTGGGAAGGTGGGATGACCTCCGGCTTACCATTTCGGGCTATCACGATCAAGCAACCCACTTTTCGACTCCAAACGCCTATCTTCAAGCGCCATGTCCGATGTTCGCACTCCGTTACGTTGTGACTAAGCCCGTTATTCTCCGACATATATGCATTTCTGGACGTGGTCGAGCTGCTATCGCGATTCACCACCAACAGCATTCTACATCCCATCGATTCTACCAACAGCTTGTACACATCGCAACCATGCCGTACTCTCCCAAAGTGGGCGACTCACTAGACTCGCTGGATACGCCTTCTATGATTGTGGACCTGGATCTTATGGAAGTTAACTTGAATAAACTCATGAAACAACTCCTCCCCACTGGTGTCAACATCCGTCCGCATCTGAAGACTACAAAGTCTGCCATTATCGCGAATAAGATGGTTCAAGCAGGTGCAAAAGGTGGATGCGTAGCGAAGCTTAGCGAGGCAGAAATCATGTGCGAGAAGGGTTTCACAGATTTGCTGATTACCTGTGAGATTATCGGCCCTGCGAAAGTGAGGAGGCTAGTGGAACTGGTCAAGAAGTACAAGGAAGTAAGAATAGTCGTCGACAGCAAAGAAGGCGCTAGCGCTATCGACCAAGCACTATCCGAAAGCGGCTTCCAAGGCACAGTCATGACGCTTATCGATCTCGATGTGGGATTACATCGCACAGGTGTGCAACCGGGTGAACCAGCCTCAGAACTAGCACGTTTGGTCGCCAGCTCAAAGCATCTCAAACTCATCGGTGTACAAGGGTACGAAGGCCACCTGCAACACATCCACGGCCTCGAAGAGCGCAAAAGCCAGTGTTTGGAGAGCATGGAGATTCTCACGTCGACTGCAGAGGCGCTGAGAAAAGACGGTCACGCAATCGATGTAGTAACAACTGGCGGAACAGGCACAGCGGAGTTCTGTGTCACCGTTCCTGGAATCACAGAAGTACAGCCTGGCTCTTTCCTCTTTATGGACACGGATTATCGCAACGCCGTCGGTTCGACAAACTACGCTCAGAGCCTGACGATCTTATCTACGGTCATTAGTAAACAGGGTCCGAACATCATTACTATTGATGCGGGGCTTAAGTCGCTGACGACGGACTCTGGGCTTGCAGAATGCAAGACACCGGGGTACACGTATGGGGTCTTGGGTGATGAGCACGGCAGCCTTGCTTGGGAGGAAGGCAAAGGTAATGAGTTGAAGATTGGAGACAGGGTCGAGATGGTACCTAGTCATATCGATCCGACAGTGAACTTGCATAATGTGTATTATGCGTATCGGAAAGGGATTATTGAGGAGATCTGGCCGGTGGATAGTAGAGGGTGTGTGCAATAGCGTTCGAAATCAAACAATGCGTCTTTGGATATCGAAAACAACATTTCGTATACAAATTGTTGATACATATTTCACACACTTACATCTCCCACTGCTCACATCTTGTTTTCAAACTTGATCCAGTAGGTTTTCCTTTAGATATTTCACCGGGATTTTGGCAAGGGGATCTTTGCCAGTGAATGATGCAGCCGCTCTTTCTGTTCTGCTCATCTTGGTAATGTCATATTTTTCACCACCCAACGGTTCACCCTGCCTCTTCTTGTACGCTTGAAACTTTTCATGCCAGTGCCATGAGTCTTTCTCTGCCTTGTTTGCATTCTCCGCGTTCTCCGTAACACCCAAGCCCCTCTTCCTCTTACCTTTTGCGGTTATCGGCGGAGAGACAGCCTTGTCGCCCATGGCCTCTGGGTTCGCGTTCTCCTTGTCCGCATCATCATCTTCAGGAATCATTACCGGGTTTGCAGCCGAGCTACCAGCCGATGTCTCAAGAGCCGTGGTTCCAGTCGTGACCTTCTCAGTGATTTGATTGGTTTCTTTAATGCCGTCTTCGTCTGTTTCGGAGTCACTTACTTTTGCCAACTTCTCAAGGCGCAGCTTCGTTGCAAAGATTCCCTTCTCAGGATCGAGCTTGCCCTTTTTGAAGTAGTTAACGGCTTCGTTGCGCCAAGCTATACATTCTCCTTCAATGCCATATGCGGGGAGATCGTGCGATAGCTCCAGATAGTATGCGATACCGAGGGTCAAGTCGAGGAAGCGGGAGTCTGGTTTGAGCTCGCCTGCTGCTTCAATGGCTGCGAGCACAGTAAGTAGTGCGCAGCCCAGTAAGCCGAAGAGCTCGCAAGTTGTTTTGCCGTCTTCATTGCCGATGAGCGGGCCGATGTGGTCTTCTTCATTCAGCCAAAGGCCTACTGCGCTGACCACCGACCACATCTTTTCAATGCGTTCATCCTTGGCCCGGAAGCTTTGGTTGAACTCGATCATCTTTGCGCTGTCAGCTTCCAGCTAGCGTACCCAGTCGATCATAGCACATACCATGTTCTCCATAATCTCCTGCATTCCCCACCCTCGCCAGTCATTGCATAAGTACATGCCGAAACTGTCTGGGTCGCAATATTTGGCCTTCCTTCCCAGCAAATCCGCCTTTAGCCAAGCATCCCACATCATCACCCATTTGTGCTCTGGAAATTTACTTGGCGGTGCTTTGTAGATGCCATCCTTTCTGAACTTATCATCAATGGGCTTGTAGAGCTTATCGAAAATTTCCGACTTGTCTTCGATGTAGGCGTCTGGGTCTGAGGTCCAATTCAGCCAGTTTCTGCCTTCTATGTCGAAGAAAGGATGAGGTATACAGACGTAATCATGCGGTGCTGGATTCGCAGGCTTGTCTGACTGGTTCTTGTCCGTGCTAGTACCGTCCTTGCTTTTTGCACTCTTCTGTTTGTCGTTCTTGTTGGGCCGCACCGACTCAAAAGCAGAATCCGAGCTCTCGCTGCCCGAGCCCTCCAGGAAGATGCCGGAATCGCGCGCAGTCTTCTGTTTCTTCGCCGAACGCATATTCACGTACGAGGTGAGATGGAACACGACTTTGATGAAATTTGATCAATGATCTGAGATGAATAACCGATGATCTTGATGGATTGTGAGTGTGGTTGATGAGGCTTATCCGGATGTTCGTCGAACCATGACATGACATCAACAAGGTTTCGTCATCGCTTCGACAGCCCCTGAACAACGCGAATCCATCACGATCGCACGTGGACGGCGTTTTTGTAGTCGCGCGACGCGTCTGAAAAAAACAAAAGAAGTCGAGGAATCTCCCGACATCATATTCATGGACGAGATTTTGGTATTGTTCCTTGAGCCAAGAGTACAAGTAGGTTTGTCTATTCCGACCAAAGCCGAAATGGAACCCATGGGTGACGAGTCAACGCTGAGGCAGACTGAGCAACCCGATTTGGCCAACATCCTTCAACACACCCGTCTCAAGATTTGCTCAAGTCGACAATTAACCAGACCTTCGCGCAGGCTTCAAGTCTTCTTCAATCTTTCGCAAACTAGAAAAGCATTGGATGAGTACCTAGAGTGGGTGATGAGGCTATAACTCTGCTGGACAGCCTTAAGTCTTGTTTGGGCTATCTTAAGAGAATATGAGCAAAAGCGGACATTAACTGACAGGTGCTGCTTCCTGACGCTGGCAGCTTTGCTCGCAATTGGTAAGACACTATCGATCTAAGCTCCGATGGCATAAAGCCTGGTGTCGAACAAGTTATGGTTACACAGTTATTTCTGGACGTTTTGACCGCGACGCACAAGTTTAATGGGGGATTATGGATGATCTGTCGAATTGAAGAAATTCTCGAATTGATTTTTGACGCGGATATAGCTCTCTTCGGCTTGTATGAGAGCGCTTGCCTATGGGATGTATTAGCGGAGACGAGAGGATTCCTCGCTATTGGCACACACGGCGAATACCTTCGGCGACGTAGAGCTCATATTGCGAATTTTTTGTAGTAAATGGAAGAGCTGATTATGGATTCTTCAAGGAGGTGCTCTGGCCCAGACGCCTTTTTTTTCAATTCGCAGACGACCCGTATGAACTCAATTTATGTCTTTATAGACTGAAGGCGAATGAGGACCAAAGTTGGCAACTGACAATGCATCAATCGATCATGCGCCAGGTTGACCAGCTTCGTCTTCAGTAAGATATCCAGACCAAGCGGTCGCATTGACGACCTTGGTCAACGTCGTACGCTTTCAGTCTACAAGTGTGCATTCGGATGAGCCCCTGTGTTTGGCGAATATACTTCGCATTGATGTGAAACGGTATTGCGAGAGCGAACTAGTCGCGAGAATCTTCTTCAGAAGCACCAGCGGCCGGTGTTTCCATGTGCATTCTTTGGGGTCGTAGTCGTTGGGTTAAGAGAAGCACAGGCCGCCTAGACCCTGGACGTGGCTGTCATGACGGCGCAGCTGTCAGTCGAGACCCGCCATCTTTACCAACCCTCAACTCGAGTTTGCTGCCGTTGCTGCTGTCGTGGGGGCCAATTTCTAGCAGTCGCCATGCCGATTGACCGCCGTACCAGATGAGCTGCTCACAAGATCGCAGCCCGCGCCGCTCAGCCTTGCTACCATGTCCGCGTCCAACATCCGGGTATTCGTACAATGGAAGGACTCTACCGTGTTCGCCGGTGAAGACATAGAATGCACTATCACATTCAAGAATGTAGCCCCGCCTGAGGGACGCGACCGCTCCCCAGTTCGGGGGCAGAATGGCTTCGCGACGGGTGGGGAGCGACAGCGCAAACTACCACCAGTTCACTCGTCGACAAGACCTTCGGTATCCCGCAATTCGTCCTTTGCCTCGCAGTTGCCGCCTTCACAGGTTCGCGGACACCGTCCTGCACTATCACTACACACGCCGTCGACAGTTGGGGGACGCCGATCGCCGGTTCCGCCGAGCGTCATACATGCGAACAACACGGGAACACCCAAACACGGGAGGTCCGTGTCCATCGTGTCTCTGGGGACAGATGTCGGAACCGAAGTCAGCCATGAGAGGGGCATACCAATTCGACGGCCAGCAAGAGGGCACGGAAGATCAGCAAGTCTGCAGGTCGTGCCTGGCAGGCCAAACTCATATCCAAGTATGAAGGACACGCGCGATATACATCTCTGGCTGACATGGTAGCAGTTGCCTCACCAGGTCATCGATCAGCCACCCATCCCTCTCCACTATCCGGCGAAGCGTCGTCTCCAACAGTACACGATGCGAACGATTTTGCCTTTCCCGCGCGTCAGACCAGGAGACGGCCTGGTGTTACAACCACTCCAAGCACCCCAGCTCTCCCGGCTACAGGGCGGAAACCTTCCAACTCCTTCTCACAAAATTTCAAGTTCCCTGCCGCCCCTCCGCCCGACGATGCTACCGCACAGCCGCAATCTAGCAGCAGCCCTACCAAGCAACCGATACACGTACGGCGCAACTCGCCCCAACCACCATATGACCATCTGCGGGTATCAGGGAGCGCTAATCTCGAGGTGCTTTCGCCTGTTGCACGCATAATATCTGGGTCGAGCTTGAATGACACTCCGCGTAGTAGTGGAGAGTTCTATTCGATGAGCAACAACTCCAACGAGACACTGGCTTCGGAATATGCAGCTCATCCGTCTGCGCGTCTGCTAAACCGTCCCACGTATCAGCGGCGATTATCGCATTTGGCACCGTCCAATAGACAGGCTCTTCCAGAGTCAATAATGATGGGTTATGCGCAGATAATGGGTTCCTTTACGCTGGATGGATCCTTGATCAACCAGGCACCTTTTGAAGAGGTAAAGAGAAAAGGTGTAGTAGGTGGTCAAGGTGGAGGCGGCGTTGTAGGAGTAGAGAAGACGAAGCGCGAGAGTGGGCTCTTTGGTGCGCTAGGCTGGGGCAACATAGGAGAGTCGCTGGGTGGACTCCTGGGCGCATCAGAACCATCAAGTATCCGAGAGATGAGAGGCGTTGCCAGCTCCAAGACCGTCCCGCTCATCACCACACCCCAGTCTATTCTATTCGTTGATTTGAGGCTTGCGCCTGGGGAAAGCCGCAGCTACACGTACAGCTTTACAATACCCCGAGGTCTCCCACCTTCGCACAAGGGGCGGTCGATGAAGGTAGCATACAATCTCATCATTGGCACGCAACGCGCGGGCTCCACCAAAGAACAGCAAGTGAAGCATGTCGATATCCCGTTCCGGGTATTTGGCAGTGTGAACAGTATGTTTGGTCCCAGTATGAATGCTTTGATATGCTAACCATATCCAGGTCGCGGCGAGATTCTTGGGCATGATCTCATGTCTCCATACATTATATTGCGCGATCAAGCTCGAACAGCCAGTATAGACCCCTCGTCGGGTGCGAAGCTTTCTCCTACTAAGAAGGGTGCTTCTTCGGGCAAGGCGGAAGAAAACACTTTCAGCGACTTCCTAGAATACGTCGACAACCTTCTAGATCGACCTAGACAAAATTCTAGCATGGGCTTGCTTTCACCCACGGGTACCATGCCTGGGCGGTCATCGATTGCTGAAGAACCTCAAACCATGAAGGAGGCCATCGACACGGCCATCTTGCGCAGTAATTTGACGGGCACCGCGAACCAAAGTGCCAATCGCTTTGAGATCGCTCGCAGCGGCCGTCGTGTCGCGGTCATCATGTTGGCGCGACCCTCCTACCGGTTAGGTGAAACGATGACTGCAGTAATCGACTTTACAGACTCACGCATTCCCTGCTATTCCATACAGATCTCACTTGAGACTTCCGAGAAGGTCGATCCGGCCATAGCACTTCGCTCGAATGCTTCGATATACCGCGTCACGAAGAAAGTGCACGCATCCTTCTCAGAAAACGTGCTATTTGCGCAAAAGCTTGCTTTCTCGCCTACGATACCGCCCAATGCGACGCCAGAGTTCATTACTAGCGGGGTCAGTCTGGAGTGGAAGCTTAGAATCGAGTTTATCACTCCACGATTAATGCATGAGGACGGCGAGGAGACGACACGGGACGATCTGTTGGAAGAGATTTCTAGTGACGACCGGGGTGTCATACTAGCAGCGGCGCAACGATTACCGGCTGAGAGCTTCGAAGTTCAGGTACCAATACGGGTATATGGGGCTGTGAGTGGGGCGCCTGAAGCACCCGATGAACAAGGACTTCCTGTGTGAAATTGGCCATATAGATGGCAACCATTATTGTCGGCTCAGCACTGACACGCTACGCAGCAACGACGCGTTGTCGCGCTTCTGTTCTAACTCTTTCTACCTTGATTTCTACAAGCCTGTTGACCTCCCTAGGAGTCGACGTTACCTCTGTACATGACTATGGGTGTTTTGTAGAAAATCTGGGGAACAACAGGGATATTGGGAAGTGCCTTTGTAGTATACCAGCTCATTACTGGAGCAAATACAGATCCCATGGTAGGGTCTGCGGTCCACAGTAATCTCATCGACCCATATACATTTACAGTTCTCTGCCGTGTCATTTGGTATAGCTGATACCCTATAGGCGAACCAAAGTCCCTTTCGCACAGCACCACCATCTAAAATCATATTTGAATGACCCTGCTACATATCATCCTTCACGTCTTCATTTTATATATCTTTGCACTTTCATGACTCTTCCAAGCCCTAAAACAAGGCAAACCCCTGCCTTGCCTAATATGTCAATTCCTACTACTTCTTTCGCCGTTGGTGCTGCTTCTCTCGAGGCAATGGAGCATCAGCTGCAAAAGAGCATCAGTGAGCTAGATATGAGACCAAAGAACACGGTTGCAGAGACTTTGAAAGAAGGCATCAGCCTTAAGATCGAGAACGAAGGCGGCGAGATGTACATTTCCCTTCTTGTCTTCACCTCACCCAACCAAAGCATGACTAACGTATACCCTTCTTCTAGTTTCTTTCGCACACGCGGCACTCTCATCGGCGGGCCCCACGCATTAGGATGTTCGGCACTGAACATCGAACTCAAGAATAATGATGGAAATATCTATTTTGAACCCGTTGCCTCTTCCAACCCATCCTCTAGTTGGTTTACAGGCGTGTGGGTTAAACTCCTGACCACGGCGGGAACACTATACATCTACCGCAACGAACTCCGCATCATCGGCCGCGGTATGCTAGCTGGAGCGAATCTAGCCATGGATCGGTGGGAACAACACCGCCGTCAACAAGACAGTGATAGCAAGGGCAAGGCAGCAGATAAGAGAAAAGAGCCAGGAAATGACTCCAAGACCTCCGCCACGCAAACAGAAGATCATGCCACCAATTACTCGCAGCCGCTCCCAAGGACTCGACTCACTCCTGATTGGAATATACCACCCGGCTATCAGATCCCGCAAGCAGGAGGTGACTGTGCACACCAGTACCAGCAATCCACTCACGACACCTCCAATCCATATTGCAACTACTATAACCCGAACTTGTGGACATATCCAACGCCAGGCTATCAAGAACCAAGCTGCCAATCTGTACGGCCAACAGACTCTACATTCATCCTCCGTCCTGAGAAACAGTTGGCACACAACAGTATGGTCCAAGAGAACCATTGCAAGATCGGCGAAGATATCCTCGGAAGGGATCGCGCTCCATCAACTCCATTGGATTGTGCGGGTAAAAGCGTTCCTCTTGCTAGCAGTGTAGATGAGTATGTAATTACCAGTGATGGCAGCTTCACTGAACAGACTGATGTTCCTGATAGTGGTAGTGCAAGCGTGGGGCTAAAACATTCCTACGACAGCAGCGGATGTGAGGCAGACGTGGAGGTTAGCGAGGAGGAGCCTATGTACTGTGCGGGAGCACGTGTTGTTGGGTATCAGATGGGCAGGGCGTTATGAATCTGGTCTCGTCTCATCACTGCCCAAGACTTGAAAAGTACTCAACTCATATTCATGTCATGTATTCATCATGTTGAGAAAGTGTATGTAGATGTAATCGCGGTTCGTCGCCAAAAAAAGCCTTCTTCACAATCGATATCTCACGAGTGTCATACTTCTCCTTTTACGTTGCTGGTCGCTCACATTACATCATGCTTTGCCCTCATCGTTACGCGCTTACAATCCACCGGGTCCGGCAGCTGAATGTGCGCTGGCACCGACGCCAGGGCCCATGGTCGCGTGTGTTGCATCGCGGTGAGCCGCTTGACGCGCCTCCCGCTCCCTGGTCTCTTGGGCAATGTCGTCTTCGGTTTTCTTGTTGCCTCGGGCGATGAGCTTCTCGAGGAGGCCGCCCTTCTTTGGGGTGTCGTGCTTGTCTGAGTCTTCGAATTCTTTCAGGTAGGCAACGCGCTCTGAAGGGGGCATCGCAGCGAGTTCAGAGTCGATCGAGTCACGGTTCTCTATCAGGATATGTTAGTCGTGGGCTAGAGGAAGGCTGAGGAGTGACGAATCAGGGAGGCGCGTTGTTGGAGGAAGATTACTCGTGACGAGCAAGTGTATATTCTCCTGGATCAATGGACGCGACGCTTGATATAGCATTCAGGATCTTTCACTTACCCTCGATTGTGCCGACATGACCGGTGCTGGTGTTGACATCGTTTTCATTCTTGTTCTTGCTGCTGCCAATGTGAAGCTTCTCCTTGATCTTGTCCATTGTCGATCGTTTTTTCTAGGTCGTGGTCTAGGGTGTCTGGGGTAGGTGTGTATTGTTGACGTAGAGGAATATTGAGGCAGAAGTTAGGTGTTTGGTGTGTTGTCTAGGTTGGAGGAAGCGCGCGGGGATGAGGGGTGGTAGCTTCAGCCATGCGTGTCACCTACGTCATAGCTTCAACATAGTCCATCTACCAGCTGCCCTGTTGGAGGTGGACCTAGTCAAGCGCGATCCATGCATTCACTTCCAAGTTATGCAAAGAACGCCTTTTTGTGGGTTGGAATTGCAGTGGGCCTTCCCGCTCAGGCTTGGGTTGCATCGGATTTCTGCTTCAGCCTCACGTGTGGAGTCTCTCGGAGCCGGACCCTAAGGAAGCGCAAGTGATGATTAGGGCTTTAGCACAGTTGTACCTGCATCTCTACATCTCATCTGGGAAGTCAGAGAATCAGTTGTGTCATACTCAAGAGTGTGTAGATTACAGAGCCACATACAAGATCATGGCGTGCGATACTGTGGTTCGTAGGAGCACCATGAAAGCTGTTCGCATGGAAACATTACCCACGTACGCAGCCGGCCACCACGCACATTGAAGTCATCATCGTTCATATCTCCACTTTTCCAAATAAAGCTCGTGAAGCCAGCAGGCCACAGCTTCGACCTCGTGCCGCAGCCCTTGCCACAAAGCATGTGCATCCGTCAGCCCTACGAGCCGATCACCCGGGTACTTCTTGGCAAGTGCTCTTTGCCTCGTAGGAACCCGCATTAAGGTCCCAAGCGTTAGGTCCCAAGCGTTCTGCAAACCGTGTCAGGGTTTTATTGGCTGCACTGGCTTTAAACAAGAAGGTGTTTCGTGGAATGACTCTGGTAATGGAGTGGTAGGCTTTTTGAGGAACCCTAACTATTATTTTCGTATTCGTGTTCCAAGCGCATCAAAACCTACCCATGCCCTATACTCGTGTGGTATCTCTAAGAATATGTCCGAATCCAAACGCCTCAGCGGGGCTATCGCCCAAAGTGCAAAAGCGCACATGCTCATCCATACTTGTTGTGTGGAAATTGTGGTGACATTGGCGATACACCAGAGCGTAGTGTAAATTCGCCAGTCGCGTATCCGTCGTCGCTGGGCACGCCACTCCCACTGCGGCTTGTGCTGCTCTCTGCACGCATCTCGTGTTGGAAAACCGGGTGCGGCAGCTGTACTTCTCGCCACCTGGGTGTCACTGGCAGTATGGACTCGCCATGCAGCTCCTGTGGTTCGTCTGTCATGTCGATGACTGTCTTTTGATCTTGCGGATACGCATGGCCGGTGAAATGGTCGTTGACAGGGGAGGCGAGTTCAGTCAATGGTGTGCCGTGAAGTTCCTGTGGGCCTACGGCTTTGTGGGGTTGGCTATCTGCGAAGATATTGGCTCCGGAATCAATTTCCGATATGTGCTTGCCTGCGATTTCATATCGCTGCTCCTTTTGCTGCTTACCACGACGTTTCCGGAAAAAGAACACCCCGAGCGCAACCAAAAGAAGAGCAGCGATTGCACCAATTACTATCCCTACGATGGCGCCTGTACCGAGACCTGAAGATGAAGTTGAAGCTTGTGTGGATTCAGAATCGCTCGGTGATCTGATCGTAATGATATTTGACGCGGGCAAAGGATTGGGGAAGACTGCCTGCGCAACCGTGAAGTTTGCCCGCTCATAGTCTACTATGAGATATGCTTCCTGCAGCAACGTCCTGCCAAGTACATACTGTGTATCGTTCGCGGCGCGGCGAATCGGGAAGTAATTTGTTGCGTTCGTGTAGTATGGGTACGAAGCTTGGAGATCGAAGGCAGCATACGGTAGTTCTATGTTGGTATAGTTCGTAGTTGTATCTTCGAGTGAGTTGACAAGCTTAAACGTAAGAATCGGATTCTTCGACACGAGCTCTTCGTGGATCGTGTCGTTGACAAGGTATAAATCTGTTTGAGGATCGTAGGTCAACCCAAAGGCTGTCTCGAACTCTGCACAAACGTCTGCGGGTAACCACAAGTGTGGGACTGTAGAATCGATGACGGAGAAGTGTGCTCCAGAGGTCAGAGAGTAAGTGCCCCTCAGCGTGTTCGTAGCCATGATCGAGTCCACTCCCACAGTCAGGAGCCGAGAGGGATCTTGTGAGAAGGTGAACGAGAAGTCGTTCGCACTGGGCTCGAATCGCGTCGCATCGTAACCCCCTAATATCAGGTTACCAAACACGGATTTCAATCTGTATTTCGCCCCCGCTGTATACGCATACGCGAAACTGGGTATCCTTTTGCTCTCGCGCAACAGATAGAGAAAAGAGTCGACGGGCTGACTTCCACTGTTGAAGCTGGACTTTGCCTGACCCAGACCAAGGATTCCCAGATAGTAGTCCGGATCGGCAACGGCAGCAACGACCTGGCGCGTCAGCGATGCAGAGGAGCTGCTATCCGCAGCTGCGCCTAGCGTGACAGTATCAAGGCCAAACAGTCCTCTCCCTGTGTAGTTGAGCGCGTCCTCCAAATCCACGTCGTATTGTCCTATCGCCGACCATGTTGTCGACGCGTTGACCTGGAAGCCGGTACTTTGCGCGCTTTGGAAAACCTCTATTCCTCGGAGTTGTGGACAATCCACAGGATCGACTCCCTCCAAACACCCTTCTTCGGCAATGACGTATGTGACGCCTCCTTTTGTGCTCGGCAATACACGAAAGTCCTGTCCTGGTGTTCCCACGCTTATTTTGAAGGTACTCCAACTCCCATCCGCACCGTCAAACTTATCCGAAGGAGGCACGACATACGGCTCTGGAGCCTCGGTAGCTCGCGCTGTGAGGCGCATTGTGTAGCGAGCGAATCGTAGTGAAGGGACTCTGATGTCTCTACATGGACCTGGAAGCGATCGATCGTCGACTTAGATTGTCTGGGGCAGGTAGTACATGGCGCAGTTGTACATCGGAGGATTTTGGAATCCCGGGTTGAGTCAGCTCTGATACCGGGAGTTCGGTCTCGGAAGACCTATGGGGTCCAGAGCGGTTCATGGACGTTTTGTTCAAAGAACCCACAGCAACACCCGCGAGCGCTGCGTGACGATTGCCCCCAGCCTAAATCGTTAGGCCGACATGGCTTGCAGCATGATTCGATGTCAGCAGCATTGAAAGCATGGCTAGTTTCCAAGGTTCGTCAAGCTGAATACGAGGTATCATGGGAAAGGCGCATCCGATGTCATGCTAAGGGGTAGCGTGCTGTTTAGTCCATCTCCCCACCAATGACGGTGCTTGGGACGATCCCCCCGCTGATTCCATCAGCCTCCTTTTGACACCATTCCGGCCCAAGCGGCCACACCTCAACGCCTTCGTCATGCTACCTGATGTTCTCTTTTGATAGCACTCGAAACATGCAGGTAGTCAGCGGTGCCCACTCAGCCACTGCGAGTGGATCGGCTAGACGAGCAGACCCTCCATTCAGGACTATTACCTGACAAGCTCAACCTATGCTCGTCGAAAACCTTAAGATCAAGCCTAGCAGTCTCTTCACTTGGCTCTAAAGGGCACAACCCGTAGTTCGTTGTTCCAGCCTACAGGAGATCGATTCGAGGTCCGATCGGTCTTGCGGGACAGATCTTCTAGGTGATATAGGGTATACCGGTTCACGCCAGGAATTTGAAACAACTCTTGCATATGGCACTACTGACTGCGCCATCGTCGACCGCCACAAGTGTTCTCAAGAGCATTACGAACCATGTCAGCACGAATTTTGGTTCTAGGCGGATGTACATGCTATATCCAGTTGATCAGCACGGCAGGCTGGGGTTCGAAGATGCCCTGGCAGTCGTACGCGTCAACGGTATGTGCCTCGTGTTTCCGCTAAGCGTGGCTACCACTAGGGCTGTGCATGGATCGCGGCCTGATCATGCGTTCAAATAGCCTTCATCGAATGATTCGAATCTGAACTGTTTTGGGCAGAATCTCGCTGTTTTCGCTCTTACAGTACTCTGTTGCATACGCGACGTCTTGCTTGACCTTTGCACTGTCACTCGCTTGGTGTAGAAGGATCATAGCAAGATGCGGAGACTTATCAGTCTACTAGGACCCGCATTGGTTGCGGCGGGCTCAGTTACCAACATAGGGAACGGGAGTGGTACGTCATCTTTGTCGGGCAAATTTTAGGTGGCTAACATTTCATAGATGGTATGTAGCAGTGGTTGTCTTGAGACCATTGGTATTGACATTTTTAGGCAACGGCTCGTCGGTCATGACGCTACCCAGCAGCACTATAACATCAGATTTCACTGCTTTACTCGCGCCTTCAGCTATTTCTTTGCCTGTACCATCGGACACAACATCATCCATTCTTCATCGATTTCCTCCACATTTGCCTGCCTCTCATTTGGCTCCCATCTATACAAATCGCAGTAGTACCATCTCTCAACCATTGACACCCACGGTTGTCACATATACTGCCTCTGGAAGTCCACCACCATTTCCAAATATCACGTCCGTCCATGGAAATTCCTCGACACCCACTGGAGTGTGTACCGGCTGCATCATTGCAGGGTACGGTCCTGTAACCACATCCTACGAACCGGGGGAGTTCTACAATCCATGGACCAGCTCAGTCGTAACCGAGACCATCGTTACGGAGTATTCCACTTATATGTACAACAACACAGTCGAAACTGTGGTCACAGAGCTGTGGACTGTCAACCAAACAAAGACTCTTACCGGGACCGACGGCGGACTAATCACACGCGCGACACCAACGTTCACGGTACAACCGACACCAGGAGTAATCGTGCACCTTGACGCGGGTCCGACGTACGTCATATATAACCGGCTTTCCGGTGCATTAGATGATTACCATGAGGTATACTGGCCTGAGGACAATGTGACTCAGGGGTATTGTTCGCCAACAGTCACACCCCTAACGAGTTGGCAACCCGCAAGCATGGCAACCAAATCATGGAGTTATTTCATTGAAACCCATACAGGAGAACTCCCTGAAAGCATGGCTTCGGATCAACCTGTTCCACTCCCTTCCAAACTGATCGAGTACCTAAAGCAAGATCCAGATATCCAATCACAATTCCGCGGCTCAGATATCGCTACTTGTAGCTTCAGTAAGCCGGCCGAATCGTTTTTGCGTCCTAACCCCTCAAGAACCAATGCACCGGCTGCACCGGCTCCAACACCTCTTCCTATCTTCTTGTCACCATTGACAGGGACATATCTCGCAACCAGTTTTGAGTCCACGTCTGTTCACGTCACGGTCCGAGGTTGTCTAAGGTGTCAAGATACAGAGACAAAAGATGTTGCAGACCCTACGATATCAAATAAGGCGGCAGATCCTACCCCTGCGAACGATCCCGATCCCGATCAGCATAACAACAATGATCCGTCGCCCAGTCAGCCTGCCAGGCCGGCCGACAACACGGCTAAGCCGACCCAAGGTGGTGAAAAGACTCTACCAAGTATTCCAGACGTCGTGAATACATTCATTCACGATAACCCTTCCATTTGGACACACGGAAATCCAGGAGCGACTACGACTAGAAGTGTGACGATCGGTGGAGTTGTATTCCCAATCAATACTCCCAAACCAACGCAGGCCGAGCCTGATAGCCAGAACGGAGATCACAATAATCCAATCCCTCCAATCATCGTAATTGGGTCCGAAACGTTCACACAAGGGCAAACCAAGACTATCAACGGCGTACCTGTGGTAGTACCCGCAGATGGTGGTGGAACACGGATTGTTGTAGGTGGAAGTACGGTTCCTTTCAACCCGGCAACCACGCAAGGCTTACCTGTACTTATGGTTGGTGGAGGCACCGTCACTGCAAATTCACAAGGAGAGTATGTTCTTGGATCCGAGACGTTGAAGCCAGGAGGCCCCGCGATTACTATCAACGGAAATACGGTCAGCATGGCACCGAACGGCATGGCCATTGTCAATGGCGCTACGCAGACTATCGCAAACGTTCCTGTGCCGACTGAAGCCCCCGCTCTAACGGTCGGCAGTCAAGCCGTCTCGGCGACTGTCGTAGGAGGCTCGACGGTCTTTGTTGTAGCACCTGGTCAGACGCTTAGCGCAGGAAGTACGCTCGTCGCTGATGGCACAACCTACAGTATGCCCGCAGAAGGTCAAGGTTCAACAATCGTTGTGAACGGACAGACATCGGTGTTGGGCGTGGGACAATCAGCTCTAACTCTTGATGGCGGGAGATCCGTTACTGCGCAAGTCGTCAGCGGCACGACAGCCTACGTACTTGCCTCAGATCAAACCCTCACACCAGGTGGCATCCTTACTATTTCTGGGACTACATACTCTATGCCCGCGAGCGCATCCGGCACCGTCATCGTCGTCAACGGCGTTACATCCACTTTGGTAGCCGGCTTTGGTATCACGGCCGCCCCAGCACTGACAATCAATGGCGTGACGTACACACATACTGTACGAGACGGAACAACGGAATACGTTCTGAACGATGGAATAACACTCGCACCTGGTTCATCCGTAGAAATCGACGGAACAACCTACTCTTTAGACTCACAAGGAACCGCCTTGATCATCAACGGGCAAACCAGCACCATGCCCAAGCTTCCTAAGAGTAACAGCGCCAGCACAACACGCCCAGCTTCATCTTCTACCACGAGTAGTCGCGATGCTGGAGACTTGATTGCGAGCGGAATTGGAGAGACTAGTAAGGCGGACGGAGCTTCTACGTATGTAGGTGGGTTTGACAAGTGGATTGAGAGTCTGGTTATTGGCGCTGCGGGATGGCTTACTTTGCTGTTGTGAGGGAAGCAGCCGTGGGAGGACAAAAAAGTTAAATAGGATCTTCACGACTTCATGCATGTAGCGCGGCGCTTGGTATTTGGATGGGAAATTTGGATACATAACGACCTGGGAACATGGGAAGGGAATACACTAGGAGGGCCATACTTGGGATTGGATTGGGAAAAATGGCGGCGTACAGGGTTGTAATATGTAATCCATTTAATCTATATGCTTGATAATAACCAAGTTGAAAGTATATAACTGCAAGATTATCCGATAGTATGATATCCCGCGTTGCTGCTCGAGCTACCTCGCAATGCCTTTTGAGATATGTTCCCTGTCCAACATCGCCCTAAATAGCATACTAGTATACAAGGTCCATGTGTAAATCCTGTCAAACCAATCGCGACTGTCTTCAACCTATGTTCCACCTTTCCTAAACGACTCCCATGCCTCAGTCAAACCTTGCCTCGTCTCGTGTTGCTTCGCCTGCTGTATAGCTCCGCCATCAGTGACGGCGCCCATGCTATCGTCATATCCCTCGCCTGAAAATAGAACACGGAGATTCATCCAAGTCGGAACAACATTCGTGTGCTTGTCGTTGAACTTCATCTGCTTGAACAACTCTTTCGCCATCTCACCCCGAAGGCGCTGAACGTAGCTCTCCCACTCCTCCTCGGCTCCGTTTCTAGCCCAAGCCTTGCCGAAACCCTTGTGGGTCGAATCCATCTCTAGGATTAGAGTAAGGGAGACAAGGCTACGGTAGTAGTTCTTGATAACATTGTATCCACCACTTAGTAGCCAGTGTAGATCGTAGAACGAACGAATCTTGATGTTAAGCTTTGTGACAAGACGCTGACATCCAGTAGGGAACAGTCTCACACTATAGTCAGGCGGGGGAGAGAGTTCGTTTGTTGGCCTGACGATTTCGAATGCATTCTTGCTGTACAAGACAGCTTTGGCCTCGGCGAAGATATCCTTGTTAGCGCGAAGAATGTTGATGTTCGTACGACCAACGAGGGAGAAGCGGGTCTTGTGGCCGTCGACGTGGAAGTGGACGAGCGCATAGGCGATACCAGGGAGGAACTCGCGACGCTCAGCGTAGAGGAAAGCCTTCTTCTCGTCGTGGAAGGGGGTATGCTTTTGGCGGACACAGATGAGGCCGGGGACGATGAGGAGCTGTGTGTAGATGTTGTTGCGAATGAATATAGGAAGGTCCATGAACCGAAAAGGTTCAATGGTGGTGGCGGTGGGAGTGTCGATGGTGAGGGCAAGAGAGGCAAAAGGGTCGTGCTTCTCGAGGGCTGTAGGTTTGGCTATGAGGGAACCTGCTGAGAATGGAGATGGGGGGGTGGTGTCGCTCGCGGAAGAAGTACTCTCGCCCTCATCACTATCATCGGGAGCCTTGGCGTCAAAGGTCTCGAGCTCCTCGAAGAAGGCTCCAGGCGATTCTCCTTCGTTGGGATTGTCCGCGCGTCCTGCCTTGCTGTTGAAGCGAACGTGTTTGACCATGCCACCTGTGGAAGGTGGAGTCATGAGATACAAGCATGGAGGCGTCTGCTGTCGCTCGACTGGAGTCTTCATGTTGTTGTAGATCTTTACTTATGTACGGAAGCGGAGAGAGTTGTTAGGTGTTGAAGGAGTAAGACAGATCAGCGCTTGATATATACGCTAGGACAAGGACATGTGAAGGTAAGGGTGGATCGCTGCTATACCCCAACCGGGTTATCCCCATACTCACTGTGACGCAGAGTTCGAGGCGTACGCGAGCCATGATGAGATGAAGGAGGAGGGGTGATGGCCGCGGCTCTCCAAAAGAGACTGCCGATACGTCGATAGGTGGTATGCATGGTAGGCAATATATACCTTAGACACCACATGCCCAGCATCCGTCTACATGATCCCGGAGAGACTGTCGTGACGAGCTTATCGCTCGACTGGTACAATGTTCAGTAGTGGTGAGGTGAAGGCGCACTTCATCATACATCCCGTCTCTTTCGCTACGGGTGCTTCCACCACAACGTCATACCACAAATAGCAGTTATCCTGGGGAATCCCACCATCAACTCAGTTAGTTTCGGCTCTGCCAAGTTTTGAGCTTTTGCTTGAGATTGAGATGTCAGCATGTTGACTTTTACATGAGCCTCTGGGGTTGCGTAATATGACTCAGGAACAGTAAAACACTCGTCTAACGATTGCATGCATCGATCTTAGAGTGCAGATGGAAAGTTCCGAAAATTGGTGATGAAGTTGCGTAGTTGGGTAGAGAACCCGCGACCCAATCGGTGCTAGTCTTCGCCAGTGCCGAGCCGGGCTCAGAAACCTCATCGCAGCATCCTCAACTGCACCCGCGCTCCGAAAGCTGCCCCATCCCGCAATCCATCTCCTCTCTACCCACCATGTCTGCAGCTCGTGCCTTCAGCACCGCTTTCCGGGCTGGTGCGCCCCGCGCCCCAATGGCCGCCCGCTACGCTGCCACCCGAAGCTACGCTGCCGCCGCCGCCCCGACTGGCTCTGCCAACAAACCCCCGGTTGCCCTCTTCGGCGTTGACGGAACCTACGCGAGTGCTCTGGTACGCTTTCCACGACTTCAATTGGCACATTGGCGATGATGGGAGGATGAAATGCGGGCCAATGGCTGGGGAAGAGCTTTGGCTAACAATTGTGGTAGTACACGGCCGCCGCGAAGACCAACGCCCTCGACCCCACCGCAAAGTCTCTCCAGACTCTCCAGGGTGTTTTCCAGAAGGACGCCAAGCTCAGCCAGATCCTCCACGCTCCCTCGCTCTCCGTCTCCGACAAGCAGCAGATTGTCCAGGAGCTCCAGAAGCACATTGGCGGCGCCGACAAGGATGGCATCGTCAAGAACTTCCTCAGCACACTTGCCGAGAACAACCGATTGGGCGTACTACAGGGTGTTGTAGAGAAGTTCGGTGTGCTCATGGGTGCGCACCGTGGTGAGGTTGAGCTTACCGTTACCAGCGCTGCGGTACGTTGATCTCTAAGATGGAATGAAATAGGCGGGGGTGGAAATTGCTAGGATGACAGCTGACAAAACGCAGCCTCTCGACAACAAGACCATCAGCCGCCTCGAGACCGCCATCAAGAACTCGCAATACGTCTCCAACGGCCAGACCCTGAAGGTTGTCCCCAAGGTCAACCCCGAGATCCGTGGTGGACTCATCGTCGAGATCGCCGACCGCACCATCGACAAGTCTGTCGCCTCGAAGATGGCCAAGATGAACAAGCTCCTCAAGGATACTTTGTAAATATAGAGCGAGAGCGCATGGCGATGGATGTGAGGGGTAGGCATGTGTATTCTAGATGAGTCTTGGAAAAGAACAATTTACTACCGTCTACCACCTCGGCGACGCGCCATGAACGACCGATGACTTGAGCCATGGATCTGTCAAGGATAACGTTGGGGCAGCTCATAACTCAGAAGAACTTGAACTAACTTCATATTACTATCCATTTGCCATTTGTAGCAACACACGTACCCCGCCGGTACACTTGAATTGCAGCTAGTTTGACGACTTGCGAGGTGCTCTAGAAGCAGCAAGTCCCATTTACAAACTCCGCTTTGGATCCGGTCCCAATACACAGCCACATGAGGTACGATGTCTGCATAGACCACACAAACCACCGGTTCGTTCGCCAATTAGACGGGCGTTCCGGGAGCCATTAGAGTCGTTGACGTAGGTGTTGACGAGACCTGTCGTCGTTCTGTGTTGATGTTGATCGAAGGGTCGTACGGTTTAGGAACCAGCCATTGATCACTTGCACTCGGCATTCTTGGGTTATACACTTGTGGAAAGTTATAAGCGAATTCGACGCATGTCGGTCTCAAGTTGTTTGGTGCAAGTGAATGAGACATGCGCGCAAGCCTTTTCTTCGCCAGGAAGAGTTCGTACTTTGTCAGCAGCCACTCCAGGTGGAGCTGGGTCTCCACCGGTACGATACTGTCACCCTTCTCTGGGAACTCGTAGTTTGGTTCAGTCTACCCTGACGTTAATACTCTTTGCAAGATTCAAGCAAGAAACAGTGGTTAAGAGAAGTCTTTGATGAAAGGGCTGAGGCCAGGGGTGCTTACAATCTGTAGAGGGGTTTTGACGAGAGAAACGGGTGTCTTTTCAATCTCGCGGATATTAAGGTTTCTTTGGTAAGGCCATTCGGTGTCGATGGGTGCTGACATTGTGGTAGTTGCCGTATCGTTAGGTTGATCATGAATGCGTGGGGTAAATTGTTCTGGAGTGAGGAAAAAGTATGGCCGCTCATATACAACATGTGCATTTCATGTTCGATTGGGTTCGGATGGAACTATGGTTCTATAGAAGCCTGAACTCTGGTTCATCTTCATTGCGAACACACATGCACGACAAAGTGGGTCTTTGGATGCCCGAACTATGGTTCAACGCCATACACACACACGCGCGCGCGCACGCATTATCGTCCCTTGGGGAAGTAACGAAGCGTCTATGTTCTTTTTCAAGAGTATGCAAAAGATCATGTTGAAGGGAAAAGTACTGATTGTGCACGAAATTATATGACTTAAACATAATTGACAACTCTCACGAACACCGCCTAGAACCAAACTACCAAAACAAATCAAGAGTATCTTATCAAGAAACACCAGCGGCCTAACAATACTTCCTCGAAGTATTTTTAGTGTAAACCACAAACCCGTTTGAAGAAACTCGACACATGTTTCTTCACCCTCTTCGCCGTAGTAGACTTCATCTTCCCGTATCTCCTCCTTACAGCCATGTTAACCGAACGCCCACGACTATACACGACTTCTCTGGCTTTCTCCTCAATATGCGTCAAGTCTCGAACTTGAAGGAAAAGGCCACCTGTGCAGACAATCTCTCCGTTGACAAAATGTTCGGATGATGGAGTATCGTGCTCTATCGTCGACCTTGTACTTGCCGGGGACGCAGATGACGACGAGCTGGAGTAGGAAGAGAGAATACTCACACCATCAATGTCGGTACGGTATTGTTTGGGGTTTAGGTTCCACAACCCAGTTGCACTGTCGCTTCGTTGTGGTGATGAAGCGGGCGTATGGGGTTTTTGGGATTCATCATCCTGATACTTGGCGAGCAGGGTCTCTAGTTTAGTTTGTGAGGAGATGTAGATTCTCTTGCTGCTTTGGTTGGTAGTCTATTCATACTTTGTTAGTCGTGTTTTATTTGTTTTCTTCATGTTTTAGTGTAGGAGCAGAACTTACAACATAGATTGGAAACTGGAGACGACTTTTATCAAAGTCTGATGCCAACGTAGCGATACGCCAGGTTTTTGGGATACGTGGACGTGGGGTAGGCATGTTGACGAGGTTTATATAAGTGGTTTGGAAGGGAACACCGTGGGAGGGAAGAGGTTTGGAGATGATGTGGAAGATGAGGATTGAAAGACTGTTTGAGGCGGGAGTCGGTGCTGGATATATACAAAATATGGATCCGCCACCACTCCTTACACCGTGGTTATTGGTAGTTTGGTCATTGGACTGGACTGTAGGCGAAGTGGATGAACCATGGTTCCGAAAGGGAAAAGTGGATCATTTGACGATGCTTACTACAACGTTGCTGTGGTGTGGAGATTAGGTGACTGAGAGTTGGATTCAGTCTTACGTTGCCTGGAAACGGTCAGTGTGGTTAGAGAAAGAGGCACGGCGATGAAGAGGTTGGTAGAATCAGAATTCAATTGTTCAGTTCGAAAAGGAAATGACCCATGACAGTGACAGCCCTCCAGTGACCATACTACGCTTGCCAAACATACTGCCTTCCAACACAAGGTTTGAAGCTGACCTTGTCGTCGACGTCCATGGCATCGCCATCGTCGGAGTAGACAGCGGCATCGACGGCGCTGTCTACGTCCACCTGAATGAAGACATATGTGCCCACATCCACGTCCACGTCCATGTCCACTTCCTCATCTTCCTCATCTTCCTCGTCTTCCTCGCACTCCCCACCTTCCTGACAACCCACACACTCCTCATACATCTCATCCCACTCTATCTCCCAGGGACCCAGACCATCGGTAATGCTAACAAGCTCCAAAGGATTCTCCTTCAGGTAGTCCGCAAACTGCCTCTGCTTGACGCCCTTGATCAACTCATTCAGCCTAGGCCAATCCTTCACGATTACGGTGCTCTCATCTATGCCTTTGAGTCCAGTCTAGCATATGTTAGCAGGGACCGACGAGTTGGGAGTATACCAATCGAGGTATTCGCAGTATGTTACGTTACAGATGATTATTGTGAAACATTGCGAATGCCTTCAGGCTACATTTTCTGCGGTAGGTAGGAGTTATTGCTTACGACTTGGATGGGGTAGTGGGGGATGATATTGTAGCCCGAATTCCACGTCAACTCTAGGGCGCTGATGTGGTATTGTGGTATACCAGCCTTCTGCTGCTGTTGTTGTGTAACGCAACAGCTATGCGTGGAAGCACTCGCATCGGGTTTTGTCGCGTTAGGTGCGACCCGGTAATGGTTCGAGGAGACTACCGGCGCCTTGTGCGTTTCTGGTCTCAATGGTTCAAGCATGGTATAGTTGGCGAGGACTATGTTTTAATTTCGTAGAGAACTGTGGTGAGTATATGCATCTAACAGGAAGTATTGAGAGGATTATGTATTATGAAGAGCAAAAGCTGCCGGACTCAAACCGTGGTTGTAAATGTTGCTATGAGATCACGATTGCTCACATCCCAACCCTCTAAACGAATCGTGATAGCTTTCTGGGAGCAGACCCCGAGACTAGAGTCACATGATAACCATGATGCGAAGGATACAGAACTAAGGGTTTGACAACGTGTGTTATTTCGAATATCACTGCAACTTGCAGTAATTCCTGCCATGGTCTACTTGCCAGCGACACAGACTCACCTCAACGGCCATGCCCAGAAATCCAGCGATGCATATACCTCCAGAATCACTCACACTAGTCGCGCCCAGGCTGAACTCCCTATCCTCTTTCGGTACGTTGTCCGTAATCTCTGCAAAGGTGCTGACATAGACCAGTCCGCCTAACAGGCCTTCCCAGAACATGATGACGCATACAATGTAGTAGCTCGGAATGAAGTTGAACATGGCGTGCAGCGCGAGAACAATGAGATTGGCGACTTGAAGAAATGACGGGACGTAGAGGTGGTGTATGCGGATGAAGGGTGTGGAGGAGCGCGAGATGAAAACACCAACCTGGTAGATGGCGTTGTACGTGCTGTAGAAGGAGCGGTATTCGTCAAAGGGAGATGATTCGAGAGGAAATAACAAGGTAGGTGCGACGCCTTGGTTGATGGTGTACTCGGCAATGTAAACGAGGAGGAGGGGCAGCATGCTGTGATGGGTCAGTATGACGTGTCGCGGGTTCAAGTGATGTGCTTACTATGGAAAGAACAATCCTCGCGCCCGGTTGATATTCGCTCGGAAGCTACTCAGGGCACTGTTAGCACCCTTGTTATTGACAGAGGTGAAGCTGCGCCCAGAAGCCGAGTGCATGGAGGAAGACAGCAGGTCGTCATGTTCTTGCGCCTGGGCAACTTCCTCTTCCTCATCGTCGCCTTGGTTATCAATGGCTTCATAACCACCGTGTTTCTGGGCACCAGCACGCAGTGGGCCAAGCGGAAGGATAACGAAGAAACTCAACACCATGATTAGCGGCAAGAAAGAAAAGACTAGTAGACTTGTGCGAGGAGTGATGCCGAGCGTGTTGGTGGCAATGGCATAGGCTCCAGCGCCTATCAGGCCGGCGCCTCCAGTGCCTGAGCCCCACGAAGCCAGAGCAAAGTGTCCGTAGTAATGTGTCAGGCCAAGGAAGCTCAGTTCACCACCTCCACTGCTCAGACTGGCAAGCATCACTCCACACATCTTGATAGCGATTGTCCTCGAGTCCTGCAGGGGCGGGGTAAGGGCGATGATGAGCATGCCGCATGCTGAGAGAGAGACGAATACGAGGATGCGGACATTGTATGGAATCTTGTGGATAAAGTACGGGGCGCATAGTTTTGTCAGGAACGAAGGGATGACATCGGCTAGGAGTACGGCGCCTTTGGGAACATTTGGGCCGACAAGATCGAGGGCAGCGGAGAGGATGATTACGTAGAGGACGTTGTTAATGAGGCCTAGGGGGGTGTTAGTCGGGCTAGACGCAGGATGGGTCAAGGTAGAGTTGTAGTATCGCTGCCCGTCTTGCGGGGTTCAGGTGCATGCATACCGAACAACCAGAAGGCGGCGCATACGCGTGCATCAGCGCCGTGGAAGGCAGCCTTGAAGCGCGCACGATAGACGGCCCAGGAAGAAGCGGGTGAGCCAGGCATGGGAAGGAGCGGCATAGGATGCAGAGGCGGTGTTACTTCACATATCGCAGTTTTGATGGGTGAAAGCTACTGGCACGTGTGCTGTGCCTCAGATGACGAGGAGCAGAGGCAGAGGCAGAGGCAGAGGCAGAAGCGTGATGGTGTTGATGGCTGGACCACCCACGGACATGGATGGGTGCAGCTGCCGATCGGGCTTGGCACCAGGCGGTCAAGGAACGATTCAGGAACGCCGCATGGGCGACAAACGGGCGTCCGATGTTGGAGCTGCATGCATGTTTCTTTTTATGCGCATAGTGGCAGCCGACTGGGCCAGACTACCAGGCACTATCCAAGAAGTATTGCCAGGGGTTCTCTGGTATACGCATCATGATGGCTTTGGGTCGAGCAAACGGCTCGAGGGTGGTGTAGAGAGACCTATCACACATGTCATACCTGCCCTCTAGTCGGGCTCTCGCTGCATGCGGGGCTGCGCTATTTCCTACAGGGGTCGTGGCGCTTGGTCCCATTGCGCCTTCTCGTTTCCTCGCATGCTCGAGGCTTCGTTCCTTCTGCAATACAGCAGCCCGCCTTGGAGCCAACTCTTTGACCACGGCGACCCAAGACAAATCTATTTCTCCATATACACCAGAGGAACAAAACCAGCCTAGTCCGCCAGTCTCTATTTGCGACTTCACCTTCATCTTCACCTTCACCTCTCCGATGAGCCCAAGTCGACTATGGATCGCCCACCACCCTACCAACGACCACCAGATCGCCCTATGAACTACCACCCGCAGACGAATCCAACGTATCCAGGCTACCCACCAGCCTCACAGCCCCAGCAACAGCCACTCCACGTTCCCTATGCCGCCGACCCGTACTCGATGCCCCGTCGCGATCCATTCTTCCCTTCAGGACCACAACATGTTCGACGCAGTAGCCAAGGACTACCCGCTGGCAACAACGCGCCGCAAGGCCAGGCCGAGGGACAAGGGCAGGGTGGTTGGTCAAATACAGGTAGGCTTACATCTTTACCTATATCTTCAAGAGCACATGTGCGCAGTGCACAGAGTAGGGACGGGCAATCAGCAGTGTAGCCTGGAGTTGTTTGCGCATTTTTGTAGCTCTTACCAGTCACAAAGGTGCACAAGTCACCCAGGCTGCATTTTGACCTGAATGTCTCACGTCTGTGGTACCGCTCGCGTGGCTGTCTGGGTGGTGGAGAGCCAGGCAAGAGACGATTGTGCGAAGACCTTGTCTGCATTGACGTGCGCCATGACACGTCAATTGCGAAAAAGCACTTCACCGCCTCTCTCGTCATATCGATGCAAGCAAATGCAGGCAATATTTGCCTACTAGTGTCGCCATAGCATCCCGAGCCACACCAGCCGAGCATTTGGGTTGCTTAACGGTGCGCGCATTTGTCGGTGGAGTTGGCATGGGTCTGGCGAATTCTATGGCGCACTCCGCAGATGTGGCTCCTAGCTAATGCACGATCCGCGGGCCTCTAAACCTCTTTCGAAAAGTCGCGACTCAATGTCCGAGCTTGTGCTGATCCATGCCTTTAGCGCGACCGATACACTACGAGACTCATCACTCTCAGACGAACCCTCCACCGCAAATGACTACCTCCAACAACCCTCCACCGTCTGCGCCCTATGGCTTCGATGCTGCGCGCACCTCTGCACTGAACGGCGCCAGTCCCCCGAACCCCTATGGTACAGCCCCGCTTCCAAAAGCAATGGTTCAAGCTTTGTCCTAAACTAACTCTCCTCCAGGCCCGTCTCACGAACCTCCGCCTCCACCTCCACCATCCTTCGCGCGACCCCAAATGCCTCCTCCATCGTCCCCCACACAGCAGCATCTCCATGTATCCCAGTCGCAACGTCCACAATACACCTCCAACTTTGGCGCCAACAGAGAGCCTCCTGGCCTAGGACAGGCGTTGCGACCGGGAAGCAGCATGTCCATCTCATCTCTTATCGGCGGTGGGGGTGACACAGGTGCCCTCAACCAAACAACACAATCACAACCGTCACCTCCCACCAACGCCCCATCCGCCAACAGTCACAGCATGCAGCCACCTTCGCCTCGACGTGGTTTGCCAGCTGGTCCACGATCAGACTTGCCTCCGTTTCGCCGCCAGGCCACCCCAGAGCGCAGCATGTACGGTAGCAATACCTCGCGCCCATCCGAGGGACACGCTTTCTCAGCTGGCTCACCCAGACAGTCCTACAGCAACCAAGGCTCGCCTGATCTGGGCCGCCAGTCACTTCCACCAAATGCACAATCCTACAAGCCTATGAACTTCCCTGGCCATCGTCCATATGCGCAAGACGCAGGACGGCAAGCTTCTGGAAACGCTCCATCTCGACCGAACAGCCAGCCGATGGGACCTCAGGGAAACACTGAACAGGAAGGGAGGCCCATGTACGACGGGTTTGGAGGTCGGCGCAGCGCTTTTGGACCCCCTGAGGAGCGGCGACGTACACTGGGTGAGTCGCATCATGCAAGGCCCAACGCTGCAGAGCTCTTAGCAGGTACAAATCACAGCGCGTCTGAGAGAGATCGACCCGTGACTGTGCACCCTGTGTCGCAATCTGGCTTCAGTCCGCCTCAAGCGCAACGCAACATCTCTGGCTCTTCAGAACCTCCGCGCAGTCTTTGGCGACAATCAGCGCCTACCGGTGCTGCTCGCGAACCTCCCCAGGATAGTCGCGCAGAGGAGCCTCCACCAATGCATCGCACTTACGGCCCATACCCTCCACACATGCTAGGTGCTCCTCGTTACGGTGCCCAAAGTTCCGATGAAATGCTACGGCGCAGCGTAGATCAGTTGGGCCACCGCGTAATGGAGCAGTACCACGCCCCTCCTACCTCCGATCCCAACTCTGAGCGGCACAGAACCGAACCACTCGCGCGCTCTTTGTCTTCCCGATCCCTCTATGACCAGCCTCCCAAGATGGGCGAGGCCATGCAACACTCGAAATCGCACATTGGTTTTGGCTTGGAGGCAAGCAGACGAACGGGCAGAGCGTCTCCACTGCCACAGGCTGTTCAAGGTGCCCAGGCGCAGCCCTTGTCAATTGGCAAAGATCCCGGTATCAAGAGCGAATTCGGGCGCATGTTCTCCGGCCTCGGCAGCGGGTTGGGATCGTCGACCCCGTCGCGGGGAAGTCCCATGCCACAGAATGGCCAGGGCTCATTCGAGTCAGATAACGGTGAAATGATGAGGAGGATCGGTTCTCAGCAGGGAAGGAAGCCGCCCAAACGAGTCAAGGATGAGGAGGGCATTTTCGACATTGAGAATGCTGATGGCAGAGGAACACCCGGCGCTCGTGGGGCTAAACGAAACAAGCACCATCATCATCAGTAAGTTCATTCAGTGCCTTTTGAGGTATGTACTAACAACATAGTCACCACCATCATCACCACCACCACAAGCCTGATGAGGATGCGTCAATGCCACCAGCTTCAACTTCAATCAATGGGCGACAAGCGAGTCTACCACAAGCCGGCCCGGGCCAGTCGGTTCACCACCACCATCACATTGGAGCAAACCCACATCACCATCATCACCACCACGCTCCTCGAGTTACCCATCAGCCTCCGCAACAAGTCACAAAGGTCCTGACGAAAGTTCACGACGTACAGCCTATCCTCGAGGAAGCTGCTAAGCGTCCTCGCAAGCATCTTGGATCGCAACTGTACGAGGCAAAGACAGAGCTGCCAAAACCCAACTCATCACTTGACGATCAATTCGGATATGCATCGAAACCCCAACGTCTGCCTCGCTTCGATGTCAACCCCATCAACTGCACCTTCACTATCAGAGTACCTCGATACTATCTAAAACCCCGACAACGGCAGCATGTTGTATTAGAAAGACATCTTTGGGGTGCTCGCGTGTATCGCGATGATTCGGATCCCATTGCTGCTGCGATCCATTCTGGATGGATCCGTGGTGAATGGGATGATACTGTTGATGTTGCTATGCTCGATCCGCGCATCACTGCGCCCAATGACCCAGCCGATGCTGCTGATGTTCTGACCAAGATTCCGGCGGCTCCTGTGACGCCGCCTGCCGACATGGACCTGCAGATTGAGATAGTTATTCTACCGCAACTTCAAGAATACACCGGATCTGTCGAGTATGGCATTTCGAGCAGGAAGAGCAAAGCCCACGAGGGTCTCAGCTTCATGATCAACAAGATCCGATGGGTTGAAGAAGGCATTGGCAGCAGGGGACAGGAAAGAACAGCAGCGGCATTAAAGCGACGACTCGATGCCAGCGCAACTCTCCTTGCTTTGCAAAGTGGAATCGACGACGCTCACCGGGTCAACGGCATGACCAAACTACATGCTTGATGTTTGGTTGGCTTGATCAGAGACCATGACATATAACGGCCGTCTGAAGATTGATTTCGCAACGCATTTTATAGCGCAGGATGATTTTAGCATTGCTAGATACCCGCATCTTTATAGCTTTGACTATGGCGTAGGATTGCACATAGCGTAGGCGAAGTTTTGGTATAGGTACATGGAAAACGATCTAATGAGTTTCGTCGACCCTGTTTAAAAAATGAAGTCTTTAATATTCGTACTGGCCAGACCTTTGCATATGAATGCTTTTCAAACAGAGGCTGACAGTCACAATGCATTGTTATCAAGTTGTCCACACGTGGGGAGAATAGTGATAGCCATGTGAGATAACCAATCCCGCGGCGATCACGCACTGCAGTTCGAAAGCGATAGCGGTCTGGACGTACCCCGGGCTTGCGTGTATATATCTAGCAGCTTCGAAGAGTAATCTACCACCGTTTGCGCGGTGTGCATTTAATCCTTCTACCTCCAACACCCAAGCGACAGATTGCTAGGTATACGATACTTTGGCAATCCACTGCCCCACCACGACGATAGCTTATGTGACGCCATCACTCACAACGCGTACTGATGTCAACAATGGGTCATACAAGGACTTATTCGATTTCAACTGTAAGTTGCCTTTTTCCTTGCGAGAATCTCCAGGGTGCACCATTGTTTTTCGCCGATTTACAACGACTGGCGTGCGATTACTACAATGTAAAGAAATTTCGCTCTCAGCCATCACGTCTTTCCGGCTTTCGGCGGCTTTAGCAAGGCATAGTTCTGGACTACCCCTAGTTATGCTGCTGGAGCCCCATTGTCGTCATACCGCAGAAGCATGTGGCATCATGGCACACGACCCGGAGAATTCGTAGCAACACGGCGATTGCTTGAAACTGTCCAGATGACGCCAATTGCTGTAGGCAGAGCACCAAGGAACACGATATTGGTAGGCGCCAACGACGACTGTTGTTCGCACTGTCACGACTGCCGGTCGAGTGGACACAATCGACTGCAGCCAGCATGTGGTATCGAATGAGAATCATCCGTTACGTCTGCTCCACCGCGCCCGCTAGCCTGGAGCCGCAATCCGAACGCTTGCTTCTGGCTTGTGAAAAGAAGGACGCCGTACCGAATGCGGGGGAATCATCGTCAATCAATCCATCTCCTCTCGCTTCTTGACTGCCGGGCCGAACTCACGACTCTGCAACACGACACTCGACGTCCATACACTTATTGCTTCACCTAACAGACTACTTCAGCCCTGCAACTCCTGTGGCTTCTGTTGACCGCCTAGCATCTGTCCTTGCTGCATCTTTGATTAAAAGCCGCATTCTATCGCTGCATATCGGAATACCTTCGGCTAGATTTCCGATCTCTTAACTTTTCTCAACTTTCTTATACATTCGCGTCGCCGTTGGGAATTCAGGGAGCTGGACTCGCAACATACAATGGCCGACTCTAATGGATTCTATGCGCCAAATATGCGCGCAGTGCCTGCCGGCGAATTCGTAAGACCAAGCAGAAAGACTAACGGTGCTGGTGTACAGGCCGAAGACACGCGGATATGCGTCGTCATGGTAGGCTTGCCCGCGCGGGGCAAGAGTTTGATCGCACAGAAAGGTAAGCTTCTCCTACACGGCCTCGCGCAACCGCTAACCAGCTGTAATGCAGTGGTCCGCTACCTACATTGGTTATCGATCAAATCAAAGACGTTCAATGTTGGACAGTATCGCCGTACTGCGACCCCAAACCCCTCCGCCGAGTTCTTCGATACCTCCAACCCCGAAGGAGAACGCCTCCGGAAAGCAGCCGCAGAAGCAGCCGTCAATGACATGTGCAAGTGGTTTTCTGAGGGTAGGGGCTTGATCGCGATACTAGACGCCACAAACTCGACCAAGAGCCGTCGCAGGTGGATACAAGAACGATGTGCTGCGGAGAACATTGAGACACTGTTTGTTGAGTCAAAATGTGACGACGAGGAACTCATTATGAGCAACATTCTGGAAGTAAAGACGACCTCTCCCGACTATGTTGGCCAGGATCCCGAGGAAGCTGCAGCAGATTTCCGCAACCGTATCCGGAACTACGAGAAGGTGTACCAAACAATAGACGAGGACGAGCGCGATCTTACCTATGTCAAGCTCATCGACGTGGGCAAGCAAGTCATCATCAATCAGATTCAAGACTATCTCCAGAGTAGAGTCGTCTACTACTTGATGAACCTTCACATCAAGCCGCGCTCAATCTGGTTATCGCGAGTAAGTACATGTTTCAAAACTACGCTATGAAAACTAATTGTGGCAGCACGGTGAATCCGAGTACAATCTCACGGGACAAATTGGTGGAGACGCCAACCTCTCAGAGCGAGGAGACGCTTACGCGCATGCGCTTCCCGGACTGGTCGCGAAATCGGTTGGCGACGGCCGCAAACTTACTGTCTGGACCTCAACCTTGAAGCGAACGATTCAAACCGCACGATTCCTTACATTCGAGAAGTTGGAATGGAAAGCGCTCGACGAACTCGACTCTGGTGTCTGCGACGGTCTCACATACGCTCAGATCGAGCAAAAGTTCCCTGAAGACTTCAAGCAACGTGACGAAGACAAATACAACTACCGCTACTTGGGTGGAGAGTCATATCGCGATGTCGTCATCCGCCTCGAACCCATCATTATGGAGCTGGAGCGCAGCGAGAACATTTTGATCGTCACACATCAGGCCATCCTGAGGTGTATCTACGCCTACTTCATGAACGTACCGCAGGAGCAGAGCCCATGGATGGAAGTCCCGCTACACACGTTGATCAAGTTGACGCCCAAGGCGTACTCCACACAGGAAGAGAGGCTGAAAGCCGATATACCGGCGGTCAGCACCTGGCGAGGTAAGGGCAGCAAGGCTGAGCATCAGCAGGCAAATGGCGGTACGTAGGCCTAACTCCATCCAGCTCCCGGGGAAATTTGCTCGGCGCCGCTTCCCCTGGGAGCGGATGTGGGAAGAATCCTTACGAACTAGCCAGTGCAGGTCTGGCTCGACGATGTAGACGGGCAAAGAAGGTTATCTTGGGTTTGTGTTTCGGTCGACTCAAAGTTGATCTCCCGGCGTGTATGTTCAGCATTTGGCATAGATTGGCATTTCAGCGTTTTGGTCACATCACTAGACGGCGATATCCAAGGTCGACGGTCAAATGGAGGAGTCAACATCTCAAGGCATAACAGTAGCTACTAGGTATCAATGTTCAAAGTATTATCTTGATATTGAGACGGGGGGTTTTTTTTCGGTTATGCGTATGCTCTGACTTTCCAATAAGCTACTATGCAAGCAGTAGGCGAAGCACTAACAAACAAGCACATGCTACTGGTCTTGGAAAGGTCAATTGTAGTGTCTTGTCGCTGCCACCTTCCCATCTAAGCCTCCCCCGCGGACATTTGACCGTCAACATCGCGACCCCACCCAGCTTCCAAGCTCCATCCACCAACAACAACAACAACAACAACGTTAACCACCCGATTGCGCAACTCGAAAACAAGCGTTGCCGCCAAACCTCTCTCAGCCATGCAACAATGGCATGGCCATCCCCAACCTCCGCCGGCGCAGACCCCTCCAACCAGTACATGGCCGAACAGCAGCAATACCAACAACTTACAAGCAACATGAATAACCCGTCGACCACAACCCCCTACAGCCACGACCCTGTTACCAGCGAAGAAATTGCCGGAGAATACGAATTCAACACTTCACACCATCCGGGACCTCAAGGAACTTATTTAACAGCAATGGGTTTCCAGCTGCCCCAACAGACAAGCCTAGGCGGTCCCAGCAGTGGTCCCAGCGGTCATAGTCCGGCGCGCGTCGTCGCTCGTCCCTACGCGCAATCGCCACAAGGACATCAACAACAAGTAGGAGGATCAGGAGGATCGGGAGGATCAGGAAATGGCAGCGGCAGTGGTGTAGCCCCCAGTAAATCCATGCTAGAAACAAGGAAGAGTCTACAAGCGCGAGGCAAGAACTACCATTTTGGTTCTGGCGGGCCGCAGGGGAGGGAGTGGGAGGAGAGGCAGAGGAGGGACGAGGCAGTTAGTATATTAGAGAGCGAAGAGATGATTATGTGGATCGCGGGGGTGAGAAATGAGGTTTGTCTTTCCTTCTTCTCCTTACAGTTCGATGTGCCCCTCTCTCTCTCTTTCTCTCTCTCTCTCTCCCTGGAATGGAGGATAACGATTGCTGATTTTTGATGCATGGAACAGAGTATACCGCAAACGCGTGCGCACTACCGGAATATCGTCCTCGGTCTTACACAGTGGGAGAAAGATGATGTGGCTTGGCGTGATGAATGGGAGCTCCAAGGTATGGGGGGTGGATCTGCAGAAGGGCAGAGTATGACGGGCGGGAGTCCAGCGAGGAGTGGAAAGGGCAAGGAGAGGGATGTTGCTAAGATGAGGAAGAGGGTCAGTTCTGGACAAGGACATGGTTGAAGTGGTGGATGTGGTAGCGATGTGATCTGGTTACAGTGTTGGTTATGGGGTTCTGGCGTTTACATTGGATTATGGAAAAGGACATAGCATGTCATAGCATGGCACGGATAGCGTTATACCCCTGAGGATTATTCGCAGCAAGGGCTCGAAGAGCTTTGTTTGGTAAGACGAACAAGGTTAGGATTTTGCGTAACTATTCTTTCCGTCTTATTCTCACTTGTTTCGAGATCATACATGGCGTTCGCCCAACGCCGTATCGTGTTATGTCAAGCCTTTCCCAGGCTCAGAAAAAACGACAACCTTCGCGGAAAATGCCCCAGACACCCGAGTCCGCAAGTGCCTTTAAAGTATTTTCATGAAACAAATCTTTCAAGGCCAACATCTTATACCTTGCATCACATACCCTCCTCCATACCCACATTTCTCCACCAAGGCTTCTCTCTCTCGCTGCTCGCCTTGTCGGCAAACATGTCTGCCGCATCGCCCACTTGTCTCCTTTCACTAATCTCCCTGCTAACTTGACCAGAAAGCTTCAACTTCATTGCCTTGCTAGCCAGGAAAGGGTTGTACTTTCGCGAACCGTTACCTTGCGCCATTCCTCGGGATGACCGGATGAGTTCGCTCGACGTCCATCCGCCCCTCATGACGGGTAATTGCTATTGCAGAGGTTCCGATGATGAGGAGAGGCGGTTGAGGTGGAGGTAGACGTCTGTGCCGTATCTATACACAAGGTGTTAGTGAAGATGATGTGTTGGGACTGGTTTCGTTCTTACCCTTCCATGGAAATCAGCTTCAAGTCTCCTCCAAAGTAGCGCGCGTATAACCTCGATATAGGTAGTCCGTAACCGAATCCCGCCATCGGGGCCTTAAAGTCGCTTTTGTTAAAGTCGGGGTCCAGGCTCGGTGTTTGGTCGACGGTCGTGTACATATACGTCCATACTAGCGGAATGGATGATCTAGGAATACCGCCTCCTTCGTCCGAAATCTTAATAGTGATATCCTCCTTGCCCTCTGCAACGATAACCTTGGTCACAGGGAACTCTTGTTTGTCTTCTCCGTGTCTTTCCACCACAGCGCGGAGCGAGTTCTTGAGAGTCTCAAAGAGCATGTGCGACAAATGTCCCGGCACGTACATGAAGCTGATATCTGGGTTACACACAAGCTGGACTTTTGGCGCATCGAAGAGTCCGTAGTGGTCCTCGCAAACGAAACGGGCGTTCTCAATGGCTTCCTGGGCCAGTTCTTGGACATTGGTCTTTGTGCAAATTATACCGACGTAGTTGGGATCGGTTCGTGAGCGTTGGTCTGTAAGAGCGATGTGCTGACCGATGAGCATGCGAATACCAATACGCGACATGTAAAAACGGTCGAGGAAGGCTTGGATATTGTGGTCGATCTGCATCCTTTGCCTCTTACGCTTCCACTCAAGGATGCCCTGCGCAACGGTGGTCACGACGCTGTCGTGCCGTCTCTTAATCTTCTCCAATGTGTCTGCGAACTTTGTGTTGTATGCGCCCAGCTCTGGTGGCCAATCTTGTCCGTCATCTGCCGCAGCGTAATATCTTCGACTTGCGCCCTTGACTTCTTTTGTGATGCCACCGCCGTTTCCGTTGGAATGGCCATTGCCGTTGCCATTCGTCGTGGGCGCGGATCGGTATTGTCCAGTCTTGATGCTAGGGTTCTGGGTCGGCTTGCTCATCAAGTTCTTGTCGCCGCTCTTCTTCGCTGGTTTCAGCAATCGCTCTTTGATTTCGCTCGAGAGGGTCGGTCGGGGTAGTTCGACGAGTTCCTGTTGAATGAGTCAACGCGCTCCAATGAGAACCTCAGTAGTACACACTTCGAACGACTGCGCATACCAGTCGCGCACTCTTTGTATAGACGGCATCTCATTGAGGCCATCTGGGAGTTCATTGAGTTCTTGCACTCGGTGTGCTAATCGTATGGGCAGTTCCTCGGAGAGGAATTGTGACGCGCGGAAGAGGGTTCCCGTAGATGGCTTCTCTCCAAATTGTACCATTTGCCGTAATGATACACCTAATGGGACATCAGACGAGTGCTAGAAGTGACTATACTTTGTACGTACCCGTTGCTGGAAAGTTGCTATAGTGCTACACAAATGTTAGCTACAACAGCGACTGTGCGGCAGGCTCGCCTACTTTGATGGTATCCATCAACCTCTCGCTCCGTTTCCACGACATGATGCCAATTGTTGAGGCCGTAACGGCCTTTGTCGTTGCGTGTTCGCCAAAGTGGTGTTGGTGATGGCGGTGTTCACTGTCGAGGTGCTACCGAAGCCCAGCTCCCGCCCCACTATGACGCTAATTGGTCGTGATAGCACAGGCCGAGGTAACGACGCGTTGGTATGCTCGGAAGCGATTTGAGAAAGAGAAGGATCAAGTGGAAGAGAGACGCATGTGCTCGTGTGTCCTGTGACACAGACTGAATGGTTGATGTGCACGGAGTCTTCCGGCGATGACACCACTGCGACGAGCACCTGCGCTTCCCCCACACTTGAACTGCTTTCACGTGGAGAAGATGGGCAAAAGGCGTCACAAAGCCTCACGCTTAAATCACTGGCATCCCGCACTTGACGAGACATAGTGTGTCAACCCTCAAATCGTCTTTACTTTTGTTACCCACGTTGCCCTGCCCAGGCTGAAACTATCGTCATTGCAAATGGTCTTCCGCAAGCATCCAAAAGCTCCAGCCACACGACCCTCGGTTAGCTCTCGGAGAAAGCACCGGTAGAGCGCCTGTTCCCAGTCCCCAGCTGCATGTTCCTCAGGTCCGAGGAAGCTCGATGCTCGCGTGACTAGTCTTGGACTATTGTTGTTAGTCTGTACATTTTGTGGAAATATCGCGCAACGTGTCAGAAAATTTGCCATGTCTGCAATTGGTCCAATGCATTGAGGTCTGTAGATAAGGAAATAATGGTTTGACCAATTCTCAGTCTCTGAAGGCTGGACAGCAAAAAATCATCAAGGTTGTAGGCATTGGTGACTTGTTCACAACATCATGGTGAAGCGTGTTGTATGGTCGGTAGAGGAGATTTGGTATTTCGAAAGTGCCACTAAGTTCCAAACTGGCTCTATGCTGCACCAAAGTCGAAAGACGCCCTGAAATGATACACCTAACATAATCTACATGAAGGAGTAATGCGCTCTACTGCGCTCACCACCTCCGTCGTTCGTCTATCATCGATGATGGTATAATCCAAACAGATTTTGGGTCGAAAAGGTATTAGAGAAAGGTCATGGCGTGTCGAGAGGATGGTATAAACGTTCGTATTACGAGAGACGCTTATTTGGTCTCCTCAGCGAGGAAGGTGATCAAGTCGTTACGGTCCTTGGGCTTCTTGAGACCACCGAAAGCCATCTTGGTTCCGGGAATGTACTTCTTGGGGTTCTCGAGGTACTCGAACTGTGCTGTGTTAGCCGACAGGTCCACCAGGTGTAGGCTTGCGTGACATAACGTACCAGAGTGTCGTTGTTCCACTCGATGCCCTTCTGCTTGTTGGCGTCGGTGTATGAGAAACCCTCAACCTGACCAGTCTTACGGCCGAAGAGACCGTGTAGGTTGGGGCCGATCTTGTTGCCCTCACCCTCCTTCAGGGTGTGGCACTGAGCGCAACGGGTCTTGAAGAGGTTGGCACCCTTCTTGGCATCGCCTGTGGAGCATGTTAGCCATGTGTTGTGAACAATTTTTCTTACTCAGCCGGACAATCCGCCACCATCCTCCCTTTGTCGCATAGCTGCCACCAGGCGCACACCGCTTCTTGGGTTGCCAACTACCCAGCCAGTAGGCCAGGAATAGTCTGCTCCTCATAAGAGTTGCATCTCGTTGTGCGCGCGGGCTCAATGGCTGGTGGACGCTCGTAGGCAAAGTGGGAACGGCCGATGACGTTCGACAGGTGTCAAGAAAACGTACCCTTCTCGAAACCCATTTTGAAGATGTGAGGTTGGTTTTGGTGAGATTAAGTGTTGGTGGAGGTAAAGTGACGAGAGTGATTGTAATGGGTCGTAGTTGAGAGGCTGTTTGGGAAAAAAGCTGGCTAAGTAGGAGTTGAGAGACTTGTGAGAGTTTTAACAATCTTGCCGTTAGCCGCGATGAAATGACGGGCCCTGACGCGAGCACGGGTCACGGGATCAGCCAATCAGATGACAATTATAAGTCAGTAGCAAAAGTGCTCGGGTGGAACCGGTCCGGGATGGCAAACAGGAATCGCGATGAAATGGCGGTGCACACGCCGAATCTGGTCTTTGTTCCTCAGCCAACTTGCCATTAGTACTTTCACGCCACGCCGCCCACTGCCACTCCCCAAACTATCTTGCTACGAACTCGGCAACCTTGCATGAAGCTTGCGAGATGATGCCGTCACCAACCTTAGACATGTTGCGTTGGCTGCTGTGAGCATTCTTAGCACTCTTCGTACCGTCAATCATCGAAAAGTGATCAGCCATCTTTTCTCCGGTGGTTGAAAAAGAAACGTCTGGACTACTTGGTTGCCCTGCATGACGCTTCGTCCCTGCTTTGCTTTGGGAGCAAATACGATATGGGAAGCCTGTACAAGGGTCCGCAAATCGATGTGACATGTCCACCAACCCGCGCGCCTCCATGCTTCTGGTCCCCTAACATAACGGGCCAGGGTCATAGAATACTATTCTTTGCTATCTAGACAGCAGCACATTACTATTTCAAGCGCCGACCAGGATCGTCACTATTCTACCCTCGTCACAGGCAGCCTTCTAGTGTTGATCAGTCACACCTCAGCCCCTGCTAAACGGTTGACATCATCGTTTGCCCCGCCGCACCTCGACAGACCGGATGGACCAGATTCCGGGCATTCTATATGCCGATGAGGACTTTACCACATGGCTCATACTCGGCGCCAGCAGAGGTATAGGGCTAGAGTTCGTCAGACAGCTGTTAAACAAGAACGAGCGCATCATCGCTACTGTACGGGAGCCTTGGGCTGGTCATGCCAGTGGTTTGTGGGGACAAGCGGGGAGCGATCATGGCCGATGCCAAATGTACACATGCGACATCTTGTCAGAGCAGAGCATCGAGGTATGCATGTCTGCTATGTCCTGCATTGTCATCTGAGATGAGCACAGACTGATCATGTGCAGAAATTCGTTGCGCAACTGGCAATGATACCGAACCTGAAGATAGACTATGTTGTACTAAACGCAGGAGTTCTAAGGTACCCGAATGTAAGTCCGACATCGTCGACAATATGCAAGGGAGCCGCACTAACCGACACAGAGGGCCACTGAGCTGTACGTTCTCCATTACCCAAGCCGTTGCGCCTTGCTGGTTCTGGCTAAAGCGTGCATTTCCAATAAACGTCAATTACATTCAGGTACTTGTAGTATTGGAGGTTAACATCTGACAGGTCGTTCGACGAATTTGCTTTCCACTTGCACACCAACACTATCGGGCCTATTATCACAGCACAGAAGCTACTTCAAACAAATATCCCCATTGGCACCATCACCTTCATGTCCAGTGACTCGGGCTCTCAGGGTAACTTCCGCGAAATGGAAGATGGCTTTGCTGCATATGCTGCCTCCAAGGCTGCACTCAACATGGCGGTGAGACACATGGCCGCCGAGCTGAAGAGAAAAGACGATGATACCATCATCTTGTGCATGCACCCAGGAGAAGTTGCAACAGACATGGCAAACGTCCAACTGCCGTGGGAAGTTCAGGGCATAATCACGCCAGAGGAGTCGGTCATGAAGATGATTGAGGTGATCAAAAGCAAAGGCATACAGCACAGCGGCACTTTCTGGACCTATGAGAACAAGGTCAGTCTGTCAACTCTGAACATTTGGCCCTTCACTGACGTTAACCTAGCCGTATGTTTGGTGACAACCGGAGATACTTATGGTGGTTATAAATTTCATATTCTCGCATACTGTTCGCACAATCTCTGCTAGGCAGTACCTATACCCATTTACTAGAATGCATATGCATCAGTGTTTCATCAGCTATGGATATCTCATAACGTATGACCATTCACGGACTTCGAAGTCAGAGACAACAGATGGCTACCGGTCGTATTCGCAAAGACTTCCCTACGCCCATCATCGCAGTCTAAATATAATCCTTGCACTTTCCACTATGCAATCTCGCCCACCATCCTACGGACTTCATCTGTGTCCCAATCCAACCGCTCAGCACCAGTAGGTAAGTCGTAGTCGACCAAGATTCGCATCAGCGCCTTCGCCTTCTTCCTTTTCACCCAGCCACTCTCTCGCGCCTGTGTGTTTACCTGCGCGCTATCTTGCTTCTGCCCAACATGCTTCCTAGCCATGAGCTTGCTGTCCGTGTACGTTAGAGACTTCGATCGCGAGAGACCCGTCCCACTAGCTTGAGGGAATACACTGTCTTCTCGCCTTTGTCGCTTTCGATGACACAAGTCGCTGTCGACGACAATGGTAACGGACGAAGATCCTGTACTTGGTGTAGACAAGTCCTGGACGGTGTGCGTCAGGGCGGCTTTTGAGCGCCTCCAAAATGAGGGGCAGCCACAGACCCCATCTTGCTGCTTATCTTGGGGACACTTGCGTTTGGCCATTTTTGATGATGGGCTGGTACTGACACGTCTTGGGTTATGAAAATTGTGAGTTCTTGAGAGAGCCGTACTGCTGTTGCGGTTGAGCGAAAGATGGTGAGGGAGGGCGACACGGAGATATCAAGGTTATATGGCGCGAAGGGATAGGTAAGTGGTGCCTGTTGGCGGTGAGGTAAGTTGCAAGTAAGAGGTCTCTTCACCTGCGCACGTCCACCGCAATACCCGAGACCAAATATGAAGTCTTCAACTTACTCAACGCCCACTAGTATAGAAAGTATCTACAAGAAGAGTTACCACAACCTCCCGACAATACTCACTGCTATCTTAACCGCAACCAACGTTCCTACAGCCAACACGCCTACTCCAATTCCCAGTGCCTTCAGATTTCTCAGCTCATTACTAAATGCCACTTTCTTCCTCTCTCCGATATTACCCAAATGAGTCAAAGTATCGTACTGTGGTACATACTTGAAGTCAAACGATGTTTCCGTACCCGCCAGCCCCCATTTCGCCTTCACTATCAATTGCCAGAAGATGTCTTTCGCACGATCAATTCTCCTGCGGTCTGCATCGGGAAAAAGTCGATACGTGTAGCAGTAGAAGATGAAAAAGAGACATTGACCCGCCATAAGTGACCAGTAGTATGCAGAAACGCGTTTCAACCCGAGGCGGTCGCAGAGGGCGTTGCCGTTCAGCCAGCGCGCACTGGCAGTCAACATGTCTGCTGAGGAGAAAGTTGGAGGCTCTTCTTTGAGGGCGTAGATGATGTTGTTGGCCATTGTTTTGGACATTTCGGAGGGGTCGACTTCGTGGTAGAGGAGTGATTCCATAATGACTTTGGCCTTTGCTGGAGTGGACAGCCATTCATCAGGTGTACCCATCAAGTAACCGATATAACGCCATAGGGCTAGGTAGTCGTCGATTTCCTGCTTGCGTAGGAATATGCCTTGGCGAGGAAAGCTGAGGTAGATTAATGTAGAAGAGAATGTGCCGATAGTTGCTATTTGGTCCAGGTCGTTGATTGGGATACCCCATTCTTCGACGTTGAAGTAGCTGGGTCTCTCTTTTGCGAGTTTTATGATGCGTTGTCGGACTGCGGCATGTAGGAAACGGACACGTATCGATGACGCGAAGCCTTCTCCACCCGGTTTGAGTCCGTCTAGTGTCCGTGTACATTGGAGGATATGCTGTGTGGTTTCGAAAAGTCTGCCTCTTGCTACTTTCGTGCTGAAGCCTCCAGTTCGTGCTAATGTCTCGACCACTCGCGCAGCGCCCATTCCACCTAACAGCGACTGAAATGTTAGGCCAGTCAGGGCGGGCCCACCGTAACGGTAGAATACATCCTGTCCTCTTGCGATCTGTTCCCAGTCGACCCATTCTGGTACAGTTTGTACCTCGCGCCACAGTTCCGCAAGCTTAGGATCAGACTCATGATGTTCCTCCAGTAAAGCATAGAGATCTCTCTTAGGTACTGGTAACGGCTCCTTCTTCTCTTCCTCAGTGCCCGGTACTGACGATAGCGCGACACGATTACTATCGTTCCTTGGCAAAGCACCCTTGTGCGGTGGCGAGATGGCGTTCAAACGATCAAGACATTCTTCTGCCAGAACATCATACGAAAACTTCATAGGTTGCATTTGTTCCGGAGTAAGATGTTCAGGCGTCCACTCGAATCGGTAACCCCAGCAGCTAGTAGCGGTTAATACATGCCATCAATAGTCTTCCGCTTCCGGACGTACTCTCTGGTATTGGCTGTCCGCCTCTGAAACGGGTTTGACAAAGCCATGATTGAACAAGAAAGAGCGAAAGAAAGACAAAGGCCGTTAATGCTATGTTAAACACTCAGAGAACGGACAAAGCAGAACTGCTGCACAAGTACGGCGAGGATGTTCCGTCATATGATACCGAGGCCCTAGCGCGCATGGGTGTGAGGGGATCCACTTCCATTTTTTGCCGCAGTCGCCCCGCGATCGAAATCTTGCGATGAAACTGCCACCAAAGTGTCGCTGTCGAGATAGCGTGAAAAGGCACTGACACATGTTCGTTGATGTCACCACTCACGGTAGACTCGTTCGCGTACTAGCGTGGGGACAATGCTCGAAGCCCTCCAGGGCTAACGGTGAGCCAATTTCGACATAGTGTTACCTTAGTACCAGGTTAAACCGAGCGCGTTCCAAAATATAACAAACATGATAGCTACATCAAATGAATTCAAACTACTCGTGGACTCTTCATTCTACGTGCTTCTCAAAAAGTGAAAAGCGGAATTCGCTCCACCACCCAGTATGTGTAATACAGTACCCTGATTCGGTCCGATGGCGTCCCTATGAAGCTCTTGCTCACAACAGCCAAGGCGAAATCACCAAACCAAAAGAGCGCACAACTAAGTAGAGCTGCTGTAGTAAAGAAAGCAAAAGGTTCTCTGAATAAAGAGAATATGTATGCAAAGAAACTAACCAAGGTCGCGAGACCCGTCAACCCAATCCATGCAATCAAAACAATAAAAACAGCAGAGCCCCAGAGGGATCCTACTTTACCCTCTTCGTCTCCGACTGTGATTCAAGAGTCAGTCTTGTATGGGTGCAGAAGAACTTGTCGCAACTTACAAGGGAATTGGTAGAAAGCATATAGAGAGAAGAACGATACGATGAGAAGCGGAACCCCCCAGATAGATACCGCGTTACTCCGGCCGCCTAGCATGCAATGTATATGGATGATATCTACCAAAACATGAAGTACGATCTGCATCCCCGCAAGGATTAGCAGTGGGCGGGAGCCTCGTGTGCGGGCCATCGTAAGGCCAGAAAGGATGATTGAGACGAGCGATGAGACCGTGACTGCTGCGATATTCCAGGCTTGTGCTTTCAGTGCCATCCATGGAAGTAAAGGTCGTACTCCGAAGAAGTGGCAGAGGATAACATAAAAGGTCAGGCCATGCGAGACGGCGCCGAGAACCCCATATGGTATGCCGTAAACTTCAATGTGCTGTTTGAGGTTCCCCGCGTTCGTGACTTCGAGGGCCCGGGGCTCGGGTCTTGTTGTGTGATGATCAGCGGGAAGTCCATCTGTCGGGATAACAAGACAGGCACCGATGAGTGCGATGGTAGAGAAATGCTCAAGTAGTGTAGCCATTTTAGAAAACAATGACGGGGCGTTGTAGATGTAAGACGATGATAGCTCAGAATGGATATGTCAATATAATCAACAGATAATAGGAGGGAGCAAGCACATATTTGAAGTGCGTTTATGGCTCTCTTCGATATGCCGAGTACGATCGTCACTAAATCTTTATCTCTCAATAAACACATTCACCGAAGGCGTTCCGCAACCTGCACAACGTTCTACATTTGGTGATGAAGTCAAGGACGTTATAGCCCCCATCTACACTAACCATGTGCCTTCCGGCCCTTGAAAATAATTCCAGCGAACAAAAAACGCCACTCGACTCAGCTGCACTTTTCAGCCTTGTTGCATTCTTCGTCATTTGCTCAGCAACCGCTCGGTCTGTTATCGGAGGCCTTTGCAATCTCATATGTACATGGGAAGAAGACGAAATAGGTTATAATTGACGAGAGTTGGTCGCAAGAAGCGAGGCATCGTCTTGGCTTCCACGGCGCTTAAGCGGTACCACGATGAGGTTATCGTCAGGTCTATAGGGAGTAGAACAAAACTAGCCACTACCCGCGACAGTGGGAGATCGAGAAATATTGATAACAAGACTGAATGGTAGAGACGATGGAGCCTTGCGACTGGAAAGAAATGGCAGGACTCAAGCTGTCAAGGCAATGCGCCAGAGTGAAGAAGGACCGAAGATACGAAAGGAAAAGATCGACGAGATTGTCGTGTGAGCTCTTGCGGCAGCAACTTATAGTGCCAACTTACATATCGCTTTGAAAACTTATCAAGATGAATCGGGTCTGAGCCTTGATGGGTGCTTATCGCAACGGAATGAGAACACTGCAGGATTAGCCGCGTCGTGGGTGAATGTTTATATTAGAAAGAGACGAAAGATACCATTATATGAGACGATGAGCGCATTAACGTATTTGTATGACGTTCCGTATTACAATCTCTGATTGTAGTGTTGGTGGTGAAGTGGATGTTAGTCGCCCACCTGTGGCAAGAAGTGCAGGTCCGTGCGACAATCTTACGAACTTCGAGAACGAAGCACCGTCAGTACTCAAACATCGATAATCATGAGTTGCCACAACTGCGCCAGAACGACGCTCAGTCTCTTCATCCGCTCCTTCATAAATACTGAGCAAGTCCTCGCTGCTCGACGACCGCTGCTGCGTCTGCAACAATCGCGATTTTCGACTGACGCGCGACGACTACGAAAAGTACCTAGTATACCCACATCGGAACCACTAAAAGCGGAACCTGTAATCGAAGCAGAAGATGCTCTCACGGGAGAGGTAGAACAAAGAAATGGGCGCCCGGCATGGGCGGTGCAAAAGGAAGCCTTGAAAGAGAAATTGGGAGGAGAGGCATGGAACCCGCGCAAGAAGTTGTCGCCCGACACCATGGAAGGCATACGACACTTGAATAGCACACAGCCCGATAAATTCACCACACCCGTCCTTGCAGAACACTTCAAAGTCTCCCCCGAAGCGATCCGCCGCATACTGAAGAGCAAATGGCGACCTTCCGACGAAGAATACGAGGCGAGGATGGAAAGGTGGAATAAACGTGGAGAGAGGATATGGTCGAATTTAGTAGAGATGGGCGTCAAACCGCCAAAGAAATGGAGAGAAATGGGTGTAGGTCGGGCACAGAATGGAGAGGTACCGAGGTGGAAGTCAAGAAGTCGGAACCTTGTGGATGTTAGGGACAGCGTCAACGACGACTTCAAAGACTATGTCCCGGATGACGATATTATTCCCACTGTAGACAAGTCAGGGAGGTCAAAACCGACGACTGGTCGCATACCCCTGTCAGAGCGTTTGTAATCCAGGGCGCATCCGGCAGGTCTGAAGATGAAACTGCGGGTTGTTCTTGAATTCGAAGGGTTTGACAGAATCATGGTTGTCTCCAATTCCTTTCTACAATTCCAATCACGATACGCTTAAAAGGTTTCCTCGGAATGGTGAGTACTCAATGAATGTGCGCATTCACCTAGATGATCCGTTATCACCCAGGTCAGCCGTGCAGTATAGCAAAAAGCATTGAAGGTCTCCACACCCTTGCTAGAAATTAGGTGGCGAGCTGTGGCCTCCTTGAATACCACCTACGCGGCGTAATTCCATCGCCGCATATTGGAAGATGAAGTGAACGATACTCATACAGTTGCCGCAAAGATTGGCTGGGCATCTTGTAGGCCTATGCATGGGGTTGGTTCTATGCAATACACAGCTAACCACGCGTGCGTGTACACCATGAAAGACGATCTAGCCACTCCTTAGCCTGACTGAATTGGTGAGGAGTGGCTTTACAGGCGATTGCTCGATATTTTGGGAGCAACTCATAGACGTTGAGGGAAGCTATCTCGGCTGCTACCCGAATGCATGTGGAAAACTCTGTATGGTAAAATCTCGTTGGTCGGGGTTTGCACAGCCTTCTGTCGGACAGGGAAAACCACGATGGCGTCCCTTAGCGTTTACACTTTGGTAAGCCCCGACCTGAGTTGCATCATAGGTCGAGGTATGAAAGGAAACCGAATCCGCGTACCCTTAGCAGCTGCCAGTGTAGATATTCTTCAGCTCCTGGGTATGCGAACACGTCAGATCCGCACATGTATATATCTTAACACATTCCGCCGCACAATATATCTTAGTGATAGCAGCTTTCGATCAAGCTATATACACTTGTTCACACAATGGCACGATCGCGTTCACAAGCTCTGTTCTTACTCCTCTTGGCTACCGATATTGACGCCGGCCCACTCAGATCCGCCTCAACACGCCGGAGCGACAAAGCATTTAGCCAGGATGCGACGGCCGGGTGGTCAATGGAGGCCATCTTCACCCTAATCGGCGTCTGCGTTTGCAGTACTTGGCGTCTTGGTTGGCCTTCTCTCCTCACGTAAACTGCGGAAGTGGCTGTGTAAGCCTGTCAAATGTAAGCAACGGACCTAAGCTGTTTCCTTGTTCCATCCCGAGTCTGACACGATGCCATTGTTAGACTTCTCGAGAACCAGACGGATAGAAAGATCACGACAGCGTATGGATGCAAGACGGCAGTTACACGAAGAGTACAATGAATATCTCAGGTTCAACGATTTTCTCAAGATGCGTGGAGAGGGTTTGGTGACAGTAGGGAACAGTTCTCAGGGCGTACTGGATGTCTGAATCGACGGGAAGATTGCTCGTACATCTCTCTAACTTCGTGTTATTCTCTTTATACCTTTCGCATTGTATATTCCCAGATCCAATCGCAATTGTCCACAAACATTGGGTTCGCCAACCTCGGTGTCCATGCTTCCACATCCCATAAATAGAAAATACAAGACCTCCATCTACTCCCTCATATCCAACACCACCCTACCCTGCAACTTCCCTGCGTGCATCTCGTTGAAAACATCTGTAAGCTTATCCATCTTCTCTGTCCTGAAGTGCGTCTTGACGATCCCGCGCGCTGCAAAGTCCATCGTCTCAATAGCCTCCTTCCGCGATCCCACAGCTGATCCAACAACCTGCAGTGATTTGGCGACCAAGATACCGGGGTTCGCACTCTTGATGGGTACGATGTCACCCTCGGGGATACCAACACAAACCACACGACCGCCGAATCGGAGTAGATCGACTGATTGACCGTAGGCAGCGTTGTTTGCTGTACATACTACGACGGAGTGAGCGCCTAGGCCATTTGTGAGGGCTTGAACAGCTTCGACCATGTTCTCTGTGCCGTCTACGGGAATGAAGTGCTCGGCACCGCTTTCCATAACGAGGTCCTTTTTGGAAGAGTGGTCGATGCCGATTACGCGGTGACCGATTCCTCTAGCACTGAATTGTACGGCCAAATGTCCCAAGCCGCCTCCAGCACCAGATATCACGACCCAAGCGCCTGATTCAGCGTTTGTTTTACGGAGCGCGGAGTAGACGGTTACACCGGCGCAGAGGAGAGGTGCAGCGGCTGCGGAGTCGAGACCTTCGGGAATGGGCGTGACATAGTTCGCGGGGGAGAGGACGTATTGTTGGAAGGTACCTGGGGTGTAATATCCCGATACTTTCTATATCACAAGTTAGTTTCTTGCTGCTAACATGGCCACAGTCATGATAATAGCACAAGCAAAACTTACACCAGAGAAACACGAAGCATCTACCCCCGCCCTGCAAGCCTCACACGCCTCGCAAATTCCCGCCATCCACTTGATTCCCACACGATCTCCAACCTTGACTGCCGAGTTCTCTGTTCCTGGTCCCATCTGTACGATCTTGCCTACGCCCTCGTGGCCACCAACTTGCCCTGCTTGCGTGGGGAAGGGTAGTGTTTTCCAAGCGTTTGTCATAACGCCTAGGTCGGAATGGCAGACACCGGAGTGCGTGAGGTTGACCAGGACTTCGCCAGCACCTGGCTTGGGCATTTCGAGGTCAACGATTTTGGTGGAGATGGAACCGGGCGCATCGTAGATGGCGGCTTTGTATTTGGATGGGAGGGACATCTTGGGCAATTGCTATGATATTTCGGTAGGCGTATAGGGGCCAAGAAGAGGAGACGATGTGATAGCAGAGGTAGGGGAATTGGAAGAGAATGAATGGGATATGGGAACCAAAGAACTGACAGATACTTCGATACATATACCTTTCCCCGCACCCACAATCCAGCCTCCCTCAATCCTACTAAACACACTTACCCTTACTCTCCTTTAGCTACCTTATCTCTACCCCACAGCCCCGTCCTAAACTACGCGCCGCCTAGAGATGGTCCATCCTGCGAACCCACCCTCCACTCAAGTCACGTACCGGACCAATAACGCTCACAGCGCGTGCAAGTAGTTTCAACGGAGCTGTACGTATTTACTTACTCACAAGGTTATTATCAGACAACAACCGAAGCCGAGGCAGACACAACGCGTGATCAGGCCAGGAATTACCCCGCAATGGGGAGAGGGAACGCGCGCAGCGCCGACACTACGTCAAGCGGGATGTGGATGTGGGGTTGACAACCGTGCCCTTGGTCATATTCGGGACAGCTTTGATCGGTAGCTGGAAAGCTTGGAATGCCGAGAAGGATTAGTTTTCCTTGCCGTGATTCTATACATCTCGGAGGTCATGACCGGGTTCTCAAAGCACCGAGCTCCGCTCTTGGCAGGGCGGTGGGGGACCTGCAGCAATTGTGATTATATAGTGTAGTGTGGAGCTCAACAGTAGTATCAAACGTCGCTGCCAAGAGGAAAGACAAAGTCTGGTGATTCGGTGGGAAAGAATATGTAAGCAAGTACGGGGCACCATTGAACGCAGTAGTCCGGATCTGGTAAGCCGTCTACTGCAACGACGAGTGTAAAGCTAGAGTGAATGTAGGTTTAGTGACACAGGCGGTGGTTTTGCATGTTCATACTGACAAAAAGGAAAAAAACAATGGGACAGTGGGGCAGAGCTTATGGTGATGCGACTGTGGCAGCTTCAGCCACTGAACTTTATCGTGCGAGGTACGTCACGGTGGCATGAATCTATTGAAGACAATGATGGCACATCGAAAATCATGCGTGTGACGATTTTGGTTGTGAAAAGTGTTGAAGATAGATCTTAGAGACAGCTATAGTACATACTGCCGGAACCCATCCAAAGCACCCATTACTATTCAGCAGCATATGCTGCGTAGCACCTTCCTTTCCTACTGCGGGAAAAGCGTATTGAAAGTGGTATAGTACAGAATCATTCGCGTGTAAGCGTTAAGGGCGTTAGAAAGAAAAGAAACCCACAGTGCCAAAAACCCCAATGATGCACCCCCGTTCCATGCTAGAAATATGTTGTGCGCCGGATGTGAAAAAGTTTATGCACCCTGATTAGTTATGAAATGGCTGGCCAGAAGCTCGTCAGCACTGGGACGTTTCTCGTGGTCAATGAGGAACGTCTGCGCCAGGAAGGTTCGTGCATCGTCGCCGGCGTTGTCAGGAATCGTAGGACTGGCATCGCCACTGCCACCAATCTTGAAGATGGCTTGTAGTTGAGTGCAATTGGGATGCGGGTGGCTTCCGGTAAACATCTCCACAACGAGGCAGCCGAGCGACCAGATGTCGGCTTTGCGGGTGTAGGCTGTCTGTCGAACGACCTCTGGTGCCATCCAGAAGACTGAACCCTGGAGGGAGACACGTTGGGCTCCCTTCTTGCCGCCGCCTAATGTAGAAGCTTCAATGCGCTTGGAGATACCGAAATCGGAAATCTTGACTGAGCCCTTGTTGTCGACAAGGATGTTTGCACCCTTGATATCTCGGTGAATGATGTCTCTTGAGTGGAGATACGAAAGACCGGTCAGGATCTGGCGTACGAAGTTCTGGATAAGAGATTCGCCGAGCGGACCGTAGTTGACTAGCATGGTCGCCACAGAGCCACCCGGGACGTACTCGAGGAAAATGTTGAGATGGCTCTCGTCAGAGTTGGAACCGAGGTACTGCACAATGTTCTTATGCTTGAGTTCCCGGAGCAGGCCGATCTCATGTTTCAAGGCTTCGACCATGTTCGTCTTCTTGTGATCCATCTGGGAAGCACCAGCTACCGAGGGAAGCTCGACTTGCTTGACGGCCATGAGCTCACCGGTAACGGCATGTAGCGCAAGGTAAACGCTTCCGAAGGAACCCTGTCCAATGAGAGCTCCCTTCATGTACTTGACGTTGTCCCAGGAGTCCTGTTCCAGGTACTCTGCCAGTTCGTCGTCTGACTCTTCGCCATCCTCTGCTATGGCTTCGGAAAGGCGTTTGTTAAGCGAATCACCATTTTCGGTGTTGCTGCTACTGCTACCCGTGAGGCTGCTACCGCCATCATCGAAGTAGGATTGTAGAGTGGTGTTGCCCTCTGGATCAGTAATAGCGAGAGTATCCGAGCCACTGTCACCACCGAACGAGACATAAGACTTTCGGTTTGGCTCAAGAGGCGATTCTTCATCCAGAGGTTCTAGTACAGAAGATGCCATGGAGTCACGGTAACCAGACTGGTTGGGGAGACCCAGTCGCATAACTGATAGTGGGCGGAGTGGTCGAGCTTGGGCACCTCCCTGGAGCCAAGTGTCGGCGATGGATGGCAGTGGTGGTGCATCCTTCAAACTGGAGGCAACGCTAAAGTTTGATGCCATTGAGAGACGGGAAGCCGCGCGACTGAGCCGGTGAGAGCGACGTATCGACATACGAACGGTCTTGTCAATTTCATCCTTTCCAACGTCAGGAAAGTAAGAAGTCAGGTCCGAGGTGATGAGCTCGCTGGGAGGTCGAGCACCGTAGAACTGCTTCAGTTTTCGGGCACGAGCATGGAAAATGGGCGACCTTGAAGCATCGGCAGGTCCTTCCAGATTCTGAGCTGTTGAGTTGATGTGGCGTTCTCGTTCTCTTGCAGACGTTGGCGACAGAGGGTAGCTGACAGCAGCAAGGGATTCACCCGTCAGCTTCTCGATCTTGATCTGGCTGCGGTTGCTGGATGGTACGTAGACGGTGGAGTTTTGCTGGAAGTTTTGTTGTTGGTAGATACCAGCGGCAGCCTTCAGTTGATCCTCATCAGGCTCTCCAGCATGGACCTTGCGGAGTATTAACCGGCCCCTTTCGTGTCGATTTGCATCCTTGACGAGTCTGAAAAGCTCAATGTCACTCAAGCGTTCAGACAGTGATGGATCCGGCTCTCCACTGTTAAGGATGTAGAAGCAGTAGTTCTTGACATGGGCAGTGTTGAGGTGCCCTTTGGTCAGGGTCTTGAGCATGACTTCCTCAGCAGTCTTGCAGCCTTCGATGTTCACGACCGAAGTCCGTCCACCATCGTAAATGACACGCACTAGAGCCTTGTCGTGTGGCAGGATGGCGCTGTTCGTCGCGCTATCTACGCTAGGACTCGCACGAACGTGATGAGCGAAGCGGGCTGTCTGAGGTGTTTCGGTGGGTGTAGTGCGTTGATTTCGTGAGTATTGCGAAGTGATATTGACGGAGCTGCTGGATGCGCTAAGGGGATGCGCGCCATATGTCTTGTTGCTAAGCTCCTTGGGGCTGTTCATTCCGCCTTGACGTTGTGACCGGAGATTTCGGGTTTCTTGGTCGACAAGAGGAGAGCCAGGGCGCGAGGGGGGTTTGGCGCCGTATGCGTAGCTGCTGAGGTCCGAGTTCATGATTTGTCTGGACATGCGCTTCTCTGATCGCGAGCTTACGGGGTTCGAGTTGGTGACGGGAGGATTTGATCGTGCAGAGTGAAGGGGTCGAGGAGAACCAGAGGAGGGTGGAGTGTATGCTGCGTTGTCCAGCGTAGCAAGCGATTGCCTGTTTGATGTTCGTCTTGAGGCCTTCTTGTACTCCTTGTTGCGCAATTGCTTTGCCTGCGAGCCGATGCGGACACGATCTCCGACTTTCTTGATGCCCATGTCTTTCAGATGGGTCTGATCCATCTCCATCAAGTTCTCGCCGTTGATGTGGTTGTGTTTGAATAAATCGACATACTGAGCGCAGTTGATACGCTTCAGCCAGTCGCCAACCTTGTCCTCGTCCCAATGTCTGCACATGTTAGTGATGTATGAAGGTGTTGGTAAGTGAATAGAGCTCACCTAATGGCGTCGGGGGCGTCATAGATTTCGGAGAACTCTGACTCGGTCGGAGAAGCAAACATGGACTGCTCGGCTCGAGCGTTTGATGCATGATTGCGGTAGTTGGAGAGGCCGGCATTGTATTGGGCCGAGGATTGCGATGCACTCCCACTCATGGAGGGTGCGGGATACGGAGACTTTGCGGCAAGCATGGCCATGTCTTGTCCTGAGTGTGTTCAAGAGAAGTCGTGGGCGGTGAGCTAAGTAGGTGGAGCGGTCGGTCTGTCGGTCTGTCGGTCTGTCTACTCTATCTCATATATGCATTATGGGAATGCTACGCGTAATAAAATAGTAGGCAATGTGAAGGTGGGTATTGTAAACAGAGAGTATGCAGGGTCGAGCGGCCGGGATGCGGTAGTGGACGTGGTACGGGACCAGCTTGGTGCAGCGATACCAAGAGTGTATTAGGCCGGGGGGTCGCAACAGCGGTACAAGATGCTAAGAGTCACTGGGTGCGTGCTGGAGGAGCCTGTTGGAGTCACTCAGAGGGGCGGTGTTCTGAGGAATGCTGAATGCGGGTGTAAGGCGTCGTGAGATGGGGTGAGGTGGGCTGCAGGCGGACGGCCTTGTCTTTGTGGAATGGGGGTTTCGGGCTTCTTTATTACGGCGTTCGCATTGCCCCCAGGAAGATGGGCACGGAACAGGTCGAGGAGATAGGGAAACAAGACACGGCCTCGAAACAGAGGATGATCCCGTCGTCTTTGCTGGAGCGAGCGCGAGCGCGGGAGACACCTTTTGCCATGGCTCGTGGCCAACGTGAGACGTGAAACTCACTAGCGTTTGACCTGCCAGCTGGAGCCAATCGGAGTCGACCGACTCATTATTTGCACGCCGACACGGCATTGTCTTTATCAACCGCCGCAGATAGAACCAACATGTCTCGAGAGTCCAAGTACCTTTTTGGAGACTTCATCAAAGACAGCTGTTGACAATCATGCAAACGTTGTTGTTGTTGTGGTTGATGCGTGGTCGAGCCGTGAAGCTCAGCGGGCGCTTCGGCAGGGCCAGCACCGTTAGCGACTAGCCCATATGTGCCTCAGGATTTAATATCATCTTGCCCAGCATACTAGAGGGCCGCTCAGGGACAGCCTCGTCGGCTTGAAATAGCTACAGGGTCCTTTCTTCACCCCAATGCCTGTCGCTTTCCATCTATCTGGGGAATCTCGATGTGCTCGCGTTTCTGTTTGCTGAGTCTGCCTGGCGCGTTGGAGAGCGCTGAACACGCGTGCATGTACATGACAACAACTGGCGCCTACCGAGATGCTGTGTGTCTTTCGCTGTTCTGCGCCTGTTCTCACGTATAGTGTATCACTTCAACCGCCTCGCCGCTTTGCACATTGCTCGCAGTCCGGTAGCCGCCCCGATGCGCATAAGCCGACCATGACTGATTGAGTGCCCCCATGCCACCTGCACCCCTTTCGCGCCGTTTCTCATAAGGTAGACGGGGATGAATGGGTTGAATGTCATGCTGCAACCCGGCCGCGCAGTGACCAACACCTGGTGGTGCCGTGTGGTTGAAACAAAAGACGTGCAAACGACGGAACCACGCCGCGTCACTGACAGTCGTCGCTACCACTGTGTTAACATGCGCTAGACATGACGACTGCGTAGACTACTGAACCAAACAAACATAATCACCGCCCTTCCGCGAATCTCATGCCCCCAGTTCTGCTGCTCCTGAAGATCCTGTCCATCCTGCGACTCGGTTCGAGTTGACTGTTAATAGACGTGATGACGTTCTTCCCTTCCCACGCCTGCGTATGACGCAGACAGCAGGTCGCCTACGTCCCAGCCTGCGGCACGTCCATGGCGCCGCATGTAGAAGATGGCTCTGCACAGCCAGTCAAACTCCACTCAAGATACCGTTGTCTTACCTGCTGCTTGTTACGCTCCCTCTTTCTTCCTCCATCCAGGGTATCGCTGCCGTAGAAAACCAAAAGCCCGCAATCCACCGGGCTGAGCCGTGTTTGTGACCACAGCCTTTCTTCCAACGTCTTCTTCCTTCCGCACCCACATCTCCATTTTCCCGGTCCTCTCCAGCAACCTGTCACTGTCGCGCCTGCATGGGATTTCTGCAATAGCAGCAGCACTTATTCGCTGCGCTCCACAAACGGTCGCCTACTCGACGACTCCCACTTAGCAACGTCATACTGCAGGTGCTCCCGCGCGCCTGCCATTGGGCTCCAGCATGGCCTATCGCGACCAACCCGGCCACCATCACGCTCCCTACGCATCGTCTTTTGACAAACAATACTACGATCGCGGTAGAAGTCCCGACTATGGCACGAGACCCAAGTCTCGCACTGGCACTGATGGATCTGACTATCGGCCTCGTGACACCAGTCCGGGCTGGGACCGTCGCAGTTTCGACAGTGCCTCTCAGCCAATTCAGCAGCCATTGAAGAATGCTATCGGGCATGCCTTTGAAAAGTCTGATGCCGCGAGGGTTGTTGATCCGGATCTCATTGCTCAGATTACCGAGCAAGTAAAGAAGTCGGTCTTGGATGAGATCAAATCAAGCGGCATGGCTGGTACGACACAAGCACAAGCCATACCCGTCTCTCCGCAGCAATGGGTTCCCCCCTCTCCAGCGTCAACATCAAACTCGATCCCACCTCGCGACGTGTATACCCCGCCTTCCCCCAAGCGCACCGACTTTCCAGCCCAACCATCTCCGGAGCGCGACCCCTTGTATCGCGATCCACTGCTGGATGGAAACAGCGACATTCTTACCCCGCGTCCTGAGCGAAGTGCACCGGTAGAGCGGGAGCGACCGTCTGCGCGACCAGGTCCTCCGCCCAGGATGATGACCGAAGATTATACCCCGATCGAGAAGATGTGGCAGCGGCTGTTCGAGGCAGATGGTCAACCTCTGCCTCGTCTTGGCCAACTGTTGCGAGGTTTGGCTCTGCATTTGGTGCGTAGCCAAGTCTATAGAGAAAATATACGCTAATGTTGGTATAGATTGAAGATTATGAACCAAAGCACAGTCTTGTCATCTCTCCTGCCAAGATGCTCAAATTTTATGAGCAAGTCAAGCTCAAGGATGAGATCTATCCGTGGCAAAGTAAGGTTGCCGGGCGTCTATCATCTCGTCCTTGTGCTAATACATGCAGCAATTTTCGGGGAGGTCTCTTACTCCGCGTTGTCCAAGATATACCGCGATATGCGATGCCAGCACCATCTCATCCAAGAGCACCCTGCAGAACAACCTTACATCCCCGCACTTACTCCTGCGGGCTTCCAAGAGTGGATGACTACAATGATCCAGGCCTATCCTGATGCTGAGTACGAGCGACTGGTGAAAGCAATCTTAGACATGCCCATCAGCAACGCAGACGACCGGAAAGAACGGTTCCCAAAAGAACTTCCTCGTAGGATGTTCCCAACCATCGAGAATCTACATGCGCAGCAAAGATGTGCCGCAGCTTTGTCCCCTGAAGGCGTTGGCCCACTCCGTAGGGCGCCCACTTTCCCGCCGCCGCCACCCAAAACTCAAGGTCCTCCACCAGCGCCTAATCTCGAACGCGAACGCAGCCCATACTCTGGAAAGCCTGAAGCAAGGCCGTTCGACTTCGAAGACGAGCCCATGTCCACATCCGTGCCTATTGAACGAGAGCGCAAGCCTTATTCAGCAGCTCCGGGTGGTGGGAAGTCGTATACTGACGACATGAGCTCCAGCACTTACTCTGATGGCGCCGCGAATGAGAGGCGTCGACGTGCGCAATCGACTGCCGGCCAAGGACCATTTGCACCGCCTCCTCCAGATGCTCACTATCACCAGCAACCTCCTCACCCTCGCACAAACCCAACGAACGTCCGATCGCGAAGCCCAAGCTTTTCCAAATATGGCACTCAGTCTGATCCCACGGTACGAGATATTTCCAGTAACTACTATGCCTCCAACATGCACAATGTTGCGGATGACTCCCATCGCTACGGCAGAGACTCTGATAACAAGAGACACACTCGTCAGCGAAGCGGAACTGGTGGCATGAATGGATCTTTCGACTCTCAATCCCGATCAGTGTACGACGATGATGACTATTCAAGGTCGAGGTGGAATTAACGAAGATGAGACCAGAGGCGACGACTCCCGTTGCTACTAGTCAGTCATATCACTACGACGAGCTCACACCGCCCACCAAATTTATGATTTTACGATATATACCCCAAATTTCCTGTCGCTGCAGTTATTTCTCTTCAGCTTTTGGTGTATTTGCTTAGTAGAATGGCATGTCGTTTGGTATCCGTACTGGTTTTTGTCACATACCCTGTTTTGCGTTGCTATTTTTCTTGTTGTGGTTATCCTGTCGAAAAGGACTGTCGCTGTACAATATTATCATGACTGCTTGTCGAAACGATTGAAGAGTCCCGTTTTTCTCGTTGCCCTCTTCACAGTTCCACCTCAACAAGTCTACTATCAAACACGAAATCAATAGCCACGCATGAACACCGTGCTTTTTTCTTACATTAAACATCGAAATTCCAGGATGATACACCTACATATCTCAACGCAATCAAAGATCTACTCGCAACAAACTCTGCCCTTTTCCTAATTTCATTTCCCACCCTTCTCAACACTACTACTACTACCACCCTTGGTCAGTTGGCCCACCCACCTAGAAATACCCAAACTCATCTTCTTCACCCTTTCACGATGTGTCTTTGCCAACCGCGCTTCCTCTTCTTTGTCAAGATCCGACATGGACTTTAGTTGCTGTTGTGGTAATATGTCTGCGAAATTCTGAGCTGGTTGTGCTGGAGATGGAGATTGTTGGGCGGCTTGGACTGGACTTGTTTGGGGTTGGGGTTGCGGTTGCGGTTGTAGAGGAAAGTAGCCTGAATGAATGCCATGGGTGTGAGGCGACGGGAACCGGGGTACAGAGCTGTGGTGCGGAGTGGCGCCGAAGTGGACGTGGGATGAGGATGGGGGTGCAATCTTGGGTGAAGATGAAGGGGTGTGAGATGGCGTGGTAGTGGTGTTACTGGAAGACATTTTAGGTGGTGACTGCTCTGGTTCTTACTTGGCTGTAATGTTGTCGTAGAGTGGGATAATGAGCAAAATATGGGAAGCTTTTTTCCTTTTCAGAACAGGAATGAACGATCGAAAGGTGTTAGCACGATGTATGAAACCGTCAAGGCGCGGATAAACGTGCGCTTATAGCGTTTGCTTGGACTTAGCCGTAGGCTGGTGAAAGTGATACCCGCGATATAAGAAGACTAGTCAGGCCCAGATTGATCTTCATCTTTCTGTTGAATGCTGTAGATATCAACATACTATCTCGTAGCTTATCTGCCCATTGTCTTCTCTCTGGTCTAAGCGCTGGAAATTTTGTTGGTTGTGCAACCAGCTTTTCTTCAAGTCATTCACAAGATTTGTATTGCCTTTCCAATGATCTTCTTTTGGCCCATTTCCATTCGTCTTCAATAACCAGACTACTCTGCGCCTACCCAATTGCCGCAACAATACCCCATGAGTCCAGGCTATGAAGCTAGTGAAGAGTAACACCACGCCTCGTCGATCCTTCGTCGGTGCTCTCTCCCGCAACTTTGTGATCATTACTTGGACACAATCTTCGATGACAAGAGGAGTAGATAAAACGCGGTAGATGCGCCAGCCACGCTCCTCAGCCTCATTGATGAGGAATCCCGCATGCTTCGATATTGTGATGGCGACAGGGCCAGAAGCACCACAGAGTGAACCATCGACGTAACCGATAGAGGTTTTGCAGACCATAACAGAGCGACGCTAGGAGCTAGAGAGGGAGACAATGCGGTCACAGTCGAGAAACGACGGTGCGGTGAGTGGAGTTGAGAAGGCTTTCTAGAACTTTTGCACTCCCTACTTAACTTTGTTTCTAGACCACAAGAGCTACGAGCAAACGATACTGTACTAGGCAAGTAAACTTCCAGTCGATGACTGTGGAGGGTGCATTAGAGTTTGAGAGTGGAGTGGGAAGACTGTTAACCTGATAGTCTACGGTCTGATAAAAGATGGGATGAAGGGGAGAGTCAACAGAAGAGTGGAGGGTGAAAGGACGATTGTTGTTCATGTAGGGGTTTTTGAGAAGAGATGAGTAGGAAGTGAAAAAGCTCTCCAGTAAGAGCAGTATGTGTATTAGAGATTAGATAGTATTCCTCCTTCTCGCTGTCACCCTACAAAACCGGAGTAATCGCGACATTGTCAATCTGGACCTTCTTCGCTGAACCAATTCCGCTTTGGTAGCTAAACTCGATCTTCAGGATAGCGGTACTGCCACTCGCCAAGCTGAACTGTCCACTACCGATAGTCCCAACAGGCGTGAAAGAAGTAGACGCGACCACACCACCAGCCAGAGCAACATCATTAATATACGCCACCGCAGACACAATACCAGCTGTTGTTACGCGCCTCGCCTGGAAACTCACTTGATAAGTAGTTCCAGGGCACAAGGTGACGGCCTGAACGAGGCGTTGCGGCAAGTTACCGTTGGTGGCGTCGCTCCTTGATCGGAGAGCGAATGTGCTTCCTGAAATACTTACTCGTTCCAGGATTGCACTGCCGGCAGTGAGGACACTCCATGTGCCGGCCAGAGGAGTTTCAAAACCGCCATTGACAATGGCATTGGCACTTGGAGAACATGAGCCAGCACCAGCACTGGGCGTGGCAGTTGCAGTGACGGTGACAGTCGAAGCAGAAACGGTCTCCGTGGTGGTTACTGTGGATAGCTCGCCCGGGAGAGTGACTGTCGAAGCGGGAGCGGTTTCGGTGGTGGTTGCTAGATTACCAGGGAGGGTGACAGTTTCAGCTGGGAGAGTGACGGGAAGCGTGATGGTAGAATCCTCTCCGGGTAGGGTTACTGTCGTTGGGACGGTGACGGTCGAGGCTTCGCCGGGTACTGTGACAGTCGTGATTTCTCCCGCACCAGGAATCGTAAGAGTTGAAGTTTTGTCTTCGCCTGGGATCGTAACAGATACTGTTGCAGTTGATGGTGCTCCAGGTATCGTGACGGTTATGACTTCTCCTTCCCCGGGAACGGTTAGTGTAGATGTCTTCTCATCCCCAGGCACGGTAACGGTGATGACCTCCCCGGCACCAGGGACAGTAAGCGTTGAGGTTGATGGGGGAAGGGTCACCGAGGCTGTCACTGTCGTCTAATCTCCAGGGGCTGTAACCGTCGTGACTTCTCCTTCTCCCGGAACAGTGATCGTTGTGGTAACTTTGTCACCAGGCAGCGTAACTGTGGTGATGGCACCAGAAACCGTGATAGTAGACTGAGGTGCGGTCACAGTAACCGCAGAGCAAGAGGAAGGACCAAGAGGCAAAGATGGGTTTGTAACCACGGCAGATGATGATCGCGGAGGTACGACGACAGAGGTCAAAGTTGACCCAGTGGCAGAAGAGGATGAGACACCATTGCACAAGCCAAAACCCTTCTGGCAACTACCGGCAGCACAGTACGTGCTTGTACTTCCGCAATAGCTGTTACGACGCGTTAGATTCGTTTAGTTAGTCCGGCAAAGCCACTCTTACCTATATTGGGAGCAACAGTCACCGTAGCGCGAACCCGCACAGGTTTGATCTCCATACTGTGGACCACAGCGTCCATCCTTCGAGACCTTCGTTGCAGGAGGAGTTGACGATGTCTTACACTGCCCATAATCTGCCTGACATCCAGTATTACAGTGCTCTGCTGTCGTGGCACTTATGCTTGTTAGCCTGAGGCAGGAATACATGTAGTACACAGCAGTGAACATACCACCACGACTGCGATGAGCAGCAAGACCCAAACCTTGACCCTGCGCAGGTGAGGCCAAAGCTTGCACCGCAACGACCGTTGGTCGATACACGCTGAGCGCCTACGATGCTGCCAAGGAGAGATGTTACGATGAGAACCGGAACGGACAACATGGCGGCGACTGGAACGACAGACTTCTAGAAAAAGGACTGAGTGAGTGAATGAATTCGGACCAAGCTCACTGCACCAAAACTGGTGCCAGCCCTACCTTATATTCATCAAGAGGCTACTGCAGGGGTTGTGTAAATGCTGGGGTTGACGAGGAGCTAAGGAAGTCAATGGTAGTGGGAAATGCTTTTTGTACTAATTAGGCCCTGCGTGTCCCATAACGGCCAGGTAAGGTCTCTCCAAGGGTCTGAATCTGGTAAGGAGGATCGACCAAACCGGAATTACCAAGACAGCATACATCAGAAAGTCGATCCGTAGACCTGTCGCTCGGAAGACGTACTGCATGGGTTTCTGATGGTTGCGCGAGGTTCTTTTCGCAAGTACATGGCCTCGCCCAAGAGAACCACAAAGGATAAGAACGTCGGTAATGTTCTTTGTAAAGTGCCTGTAAGGACTTCGCGAGCACAGGAACGGGACATCAAGGGGTGATGCGGCTGTTGTTCAGCCTTGAAAAGCTAGCCATCATAGCGCCATCGTACCTAGCGTGAAGTTCTGAACCGCTTGGCACCTGCTAACACGACAGCCACCACGTGTATCCATAAACGATACATCTAGAATGACTCGCGAACGGTGCGCCCTTGAGTGGATGTCTAGACATTGGGTTTCTAGTTGAGCGACGAGGAAGAAGCGTTCGACAGATAGCAAAGGTCATTACGTTCCAGTGAGGACCATCACAAACCGTTCAGGTCTGAAAAATCAAAACCCGAATACAATCAGCTTAGTCTTAAAGGCAAGTTGTCGCACTATCGTCAAAGAATACGACTATTTTGATATGTGTAAAGACTTTTCTGAAATCGTATCAAAGCCTCTGTTGCAGTTTTCTCAAGGGTGTGGGTGGAGGTGGTACGCGCTTCGAGATTTGATATACTGCCATGATATCGTCAATATGATACACATTCTCATACATGTGCTGTACATAGCTTCTGTCGGGATGGGAGATGTTCTTGCATTTTGGAAGTAGGCTGCATGTTCGGAACTTACACCCCTGGCCATGATATACTGGCTATTGAGAAGTCGTTCCAAAATCGTCTGCTGTATGTCTGCTGGGCCGCTGCTATCTTCACCTTCATGAGCACCAAACCAAGGATGGCGATAGACCGAGAGACCATGTATTTTCTGAGTACGACTTTTGCTGATGAACCCTTCAAAACTACTGCGACGTAGATGAGCGTGAAGAAGTCCACGAATGGGGTGTCGGAACAGATGAAACGATCAGCCCTTCTCAAAGCCATAAAGGGCATCACAAGACCTCTTTCACGGCAAGCCACCAGTGCTGATGCAGTGAATGCTAAACCAAAGGTCGCTGCGATAAGAGCGTTGAGTACGGTGGCTGGAAGAAGTAGGTTCATCGCGATAGCACAGGCGAGCGAGACGACCAGGAGGATAAACCCCGTGTTGGTGAAGTACAACTCTGCAAACTCACCATCGTGATCTTTCGAAACGATAGAAGTGTGGCCATCAAGCACGACAGATGTCTTGACTCCAGCCTTGTCCCTGTGACGAATTGCGAGATGGTAGAGTATCGCGAAGCCGTAGTTGATCTCCTTGAAAAAGACAGTAATGCAAGAGTGTAGCAGAAATGCGCTCCCGAAGTTGATCTCCTGCCTTCAAGGGACGGTCGACATGATGTGAGACGACGTTCGGCGAAAACTGTGGTGTTGTGATACGAAGTGAAACTACTCACAAGGCTGAGAAGTAGCAGTATGCCTACTCAAATAGGTAGCTGCTCGTATTGGCTGAGATGCGCCGCTGCTTCTTAAACGAAAAGATTGTGGACATTTACCGGACGTGTAACTCCATCTATCAAGCAATAGAGTGTTAATAGATACGGGATGCACAGCAATAGTATAGGTAGAGGTATATTACCTTGTAAGACTAGAGACGAACCGCTATTGAGCCACGATAGCGGTAAGGTAGGCTAATATACTGTGGTTGCTTGGCATTACGGCCCGGGCGGGTCCGGAGTGGCCCACTGCCTGACACCATCGGTGTATAGCCAGCCTCATGGCTTGCCTTGGTCTAACACATCTGAGCTGCTGTCCGTTGAGGATGAACAAAGAGCAATATTCAGAAATTGACTATGGTCACTGTTATAACAATGAAGAGATCCATCCCTATTTTCAAAGCTTGAGGTACTGAACATGTGCTTTTGATTTCGTTATCAAGGCCCTAGAGTGGCATAGATGATTGGAGTAATACGTGGCCGACCTAAGCGACTTACTTTGAATAATATTTAGTCCATGCTTCATAAACACAACGAGAGATTGGAGCACAACTTCCGCTTCATAGTCCACTTGTCTGATCATGTTCTTCAGTAATCTCTGCTTGTTGCTCATCTCGCTTCCTTCGTCTAGTCCTCCGCCTTCGCATGCTGGGATCAAAAGTTTTTCCTTCAACCTTACATTACAATGGTAGTTTCCCACTTTTGCAGGATACTGGGCTGTTTTCTTGTAGTGCAGTTTGCTCGGTCCGTTCATGCTGACGACTTTGATTTTGTCAGTAAGATAACTACTCGAAAGGACTACGAGTGCATACTGTTCTTTAGTCCGCTTCAGTATTCTGCATTGACTGTGTTTGTTGAGTGCTAGATTTAGAGAATGTGAGGTTGTTGATGTATGTCAGAATCGTCAACCGCCACTGCACGGTGCATAGTTTGGCATCCATATCTTGCCGTGTGTCAATTCTGCGTAGTCGGACACGGAATATTTGACAGCATTGGTACCGCCGAGACGTGGATGAGACATCAAGACGTTTTTGCGTCGGGAAAAAAAAGGGTGGTATGCAGGTTGTGCCTGCTTCATCGTTACTAACGCTGGGTACAATGAGGAGTTCTCTTAGTTCTGCCAGATATGACATCGTATGTAAAATGCTAAGCATGTCTTTTGTCCGATCACAAATGTGCCGGAAAACTATAGACTCATCCATGAATCAGCAACAGTGTCCTTCCCCAATCTTTGATCATTGACAACATAAGTCCCCCTATGAGTGCTCACTGATTGCGACCAATGAGCACATTCTCGATGTAAAGCGCCGCAGGTTATGCAAACATTTGAGAACAATGTCCCCTTGCCTTCGGACGAAAATAATGATGATCGCGTTAGGAGACTTGGAGACTGACCATACGGGCCGAAACCATCGTCCGCGGGTGTTACCGCAATCAAGGCTGGGTAACGTAATCATACGTATGGACCCCTCAAACATGCACCGACTGGTGTTTGATCGGGATACTTGAGAGAAAGTTGCGAAGTCCGTCTGGGCCGGAGAGTGTATCTCCGCGCCATGCGCTCCCTCACGTCACGTCCGTATGAACGCGCCGTACATGATGGGACCGGGTGTCCCCAGACACGTCTAATTACTCCTTTTTGGCTGAGTAAATTTTGTGTAACCAACAGCATTCACCCTAGTAAGGCCATGACAGTTGTCTGGAGTGGAACGTCAGCGACGTCATGGTTGGAGCTAGAGTGAGCCTTGGGGCGCCGTCAGTGCTAGGATCAGGGGCAATACAAGCGGTGTTGAAGTTGTAGACTTGAGACGAGCCAGGAAAGGACGCACTGTGCCGTGGGGCTTGGATGTTCTTCATATAGGCATGCCTCAGTATGGCGCAGTGCGTACAGAGTAGTCTCAGGCGGAGATCGTGTATCCCGACACGATGGGGCCCAAATTAGCGCGGCAGATGGCTGAGCAAGCAGTCGCGCCGTAAATAGCACGGCCCCAGCGTCAATCGGGTCCTCGCACCCAGCGGGGCCCGACAGACCACAACAACCTTGAATGTCTCTGATTGCACACCGAAACTAACTATGCCTCACAACAACGAATCCTTGTGATAACGTACGTCTCGCAACAATCATGCAGGTGTGTCTAACGATCGTGCGTCATTGGACTCTCCGAGCGCCTCCCCATGCTTCAATGTCCGTCCATTCGGAGTTGGCCTCCATCTCAGCTCAGCTCAGCTTTCGCGGGGCAATGCATGCATCTTCTGTCCGGAACGCTACGGCCGGGCTATTCATGGGGCTCGCTGGCGTCAAGCACCATAGGCCATGGCTATCTTGGCCTCGGACAATATACAGTCCATGCCCCTACGACCGTGACCAACTTGTCTATCCAGTTGCGGCTCCGATGGGAGATCCCTTACAAAACTACTCATCCCCAGCGACTTTAAACGCATACTCATAATTAGTTACTGCAGCCTACTACGTCACTAACCGAATAGCTGAATTGCGACAACTTGCATGCTGATACATCGCTTTGATTGAAACGCGTCACCCGGCGTACGAAAAAGAAGGATGTCTGGGTTACTAAAGAGAAACACGAAGAAATCAGCCGCCATCTTGCGGGCAGTTCCAGAGAGCACGAAAGATGAGGCGGGTCTCCACATTCGTCAGCAAGACACAGCAACGCAAGATCGTCTATCCGCAGATGGTGGCAACTCGCCATTGTCAGCCGGCTCTACTGCACCGACCCTTCCAAGATCAGCATCTATCTGGCGTAAGCCGTGCAAGAAGAGGAAGCGCAATCTTTCGATAGACGCAGGGACGAGAGCCAATCTTACCGCAGAGAAAACGTCGACATCGACCCACGCATCGCTCACAGGCGCGATTGGGACTTACAAACACGGGAAGATTCAATGGCGAAGGAAGGATCGCAGCTCCCTCATTAGCCACAAGAAGGACAATCCGAACAAGGACAAGTGCTCTAGCCCAAGGCCTAAGATACAAGTAGTAATCCCTTGTGGAAAACCACTTCCCGCTCTTCCATTTTTCGACACATCTCCCACCGAGCTTGAAAGCAATCACGAAGTATCGCCTCCATCAGCAAGCCACAATCGTATGCGAGATTCTATTGTATCTCCACTTGTGCAATCGCAAGTGCAGCGCATAAGCAACAAAAGTACGCCGGGATCGGAACGCCACATTCCAAGGCACCCTAAGAGCAGCTTTGAATCAAGCAGTTCGAACAATGGATCGCAAGAGAGCGATGCCTCGTCACTGCACAGCAACCGCTCTTCAGAGACCAGCGTAGAGAATGATACTTCTCCTACACAAGGAAAACACTCACGACATTCAGTGTATCTTCCAAGTGGGCAGACTATAGTACCCGGAGGAACGTTGTGTTCTTCCCCTGAGATCACCACGAATCCAGCCGTAGACGGAGGCCGATGTCATGCTCCACCGACAGTGCCACCTCGAACATATATTCACCGGTGCTCTAGTCAGGAGGACCTTGCCTTCCAACCTACTTGTGACCTACATGTTGCACAGCGCAAGCCAAGATTGAGCCGGAAGTCCTCCAAACGGAGCGGTCCGCGGGAGAACTCAGCCGCGGATGCGGGCATGGCCCTGATTAACGAGGTGATCTCCTCTGCATCTGGAGCACTTCCATCCCCTTTACGTGCATCTAGCCCTACGCTCAGCGAGGCCGAGTGCGACCTGCATGTCCAATTGGCTTCTTCGTTTGGCGGCGATAGCGATCCTCGGACAAATGTCCAACATCGGTCGCCCCTTGCAGAAGGCAACCCTTTCCGGCAGGGCGTACATGAACTCCCAGCTGAGAGTGGGAAATTGGTCGATACTAAGAGCCAGCCCCAAAGAGACTGTGCTGACATCGTACTACCTGACACCCCACCTCCAGTTATTCCTCGTAGATCCAGTAGGCGACAATCGGCTACCAGGAGGATAATTGGAGCCGACCGCCTACCACGCGATCACATTGCTTCGCAGATCATGCAACAGTGCTCCCGACCGAGCACAGGATTGACCCTTATGATTCCACAATATAAAAGACCAAGTGTGGATCTGGTATTTTCCCAGCCACCGAGTGCGACCAACGACACTAAGCCAACTATCACACCTGCTGGAGCCGAGCAGGTCATACTCAACATCTTCCGTCACCTGGATCACTTCAATGATCTCTTCGCTGCAGCTTTCATTAACCAAGGCTTCTATCGTGTGTTCAAACGCCACGAACTCGACCTTATCAAATCTACCCTGCGGAAGATGTCGCCTCCAGCTTGGGAGTTCAGAGAAATTGCCTTTCCTGGACACGATGCTCTACATGCGGAAGACCTGGAGATGACACGACCGGAAGAGGAATATAACCCCACCTCATATCTTAGGCTTCAGAAGAGAGATGTCCAAGTCATCCGTACCATAAAGTCAGAGATCTTGGAGAAGTGCCAATCCTTTATTCGACCGGAAATATCCGCTGCGCTCATGAGCGCATGTCCAGCTGAGTCGGCTAGGATTGACGACGCTTTATGGCGTATATGGACGTTTTGCAAGATATTCGGCTCAGGCAAAGGTCGTGAGGAGGACATCGTCGCGCAGATGGACTGGCTTAAGGGTGGTATACTAGTCCACCAGGCGACCTGCACATTCAGCATCATGAGCACAGATTTCATGAGCGATACATTGGTTGGTGCGCCAGAGTGCTTTGGGCAAGGGAATGAGGGTGGCTTGGCCGCCGAGCAACTCTTTGACATGATGGAGCTCTGGACATGCCTTTCGGTATTGCTACAAAATTTTGAAGGGCGCACTGTCCAGGCTCGACAGGCTGGCATTTACGACAACACCGAAATTCGAGGAGGCGATATTGATGGCGAAGAGATGATGCTCGGTTTGTCCATCCGTTGAGCGTATCATTGAACGTGCTAACCAGACTAGACGAGTGGATCTACCACCTTCTCACTTTTGGCCTTGCTGCTGTTCTTAAGCTCACGGGCCCATACCACCCCTTGGATCCCAAAGCTTTCGATGTTGCGGCTGAGAACGGATGGCTCAACTGGAAACCCCCGGTGTTTGATGGTACCCGGCAACATTTCCTCAAAGAAGCAGCCCGACGCGTCTACGAAGACAAGATCGCGCACACATATGCCCAGATATCTATCCGCGACGTACAACGCCAGCAGTCGAAGATCCGCATCCAGAAACATATAAACGAGCTGCAGCATCGTAAAAATAGTGGTGAGCATCGGCCGATGATTGGCATGTCCGAGGAAAGGCCTATGTCAGAGTGGGATACTGTGATTCGGAATCTGACACGATCGCCCCTCCCACCGCAAGGTTCTGGAAACGACATCATTACTCATGTTCCAGCGCTGAGGTCAACCTCTGCGGAGGAAGTGGCGACATCCGTGCCTCTCCCAGCTTCCAGCTCAACGTCTAGCAGAACGTCTTCATCGCGTCGCCGGATAGTTGCTCAACCGCTGCTTCCAACACCGCCACCCTCAACAGTACCTAGTAACTACGATCAGCGCAGCGTGATTTCGAGCCTACCGTCCATTGGAGAACAACCACAGTCGCCGCCACGCCGGATAGTAGCCCAACCCTTGCTCCCATCTCCTTCGGCATCAACAGTACAGAGTAACCGCGATTTGTACACCATGGGCAGCGAATCAAGCGTAGGCTCTCCACCCCGCCGTATGTTTGCTCAACCACTTCTGCCGACACCCTCCTCTTCCACGGTGCTAAACAGTCGTGAATGGTATCGCTATAGCACAGGCACGTCCATGCCTTCCATTCTCGAAGACCCACTCCACCATCCTCTTTCAGAACTACCAAGCTCGCCTCACCCCGCATTCCGACCTCATCCCATGTCACAACCTCAGCGTGAGCGCCACATGCGTCAAGGTAGCCAGTCTTCCGAAAGCTCCAGTTCCCGAAGCGGAGCCCTTCAACAACATGAACAACAGCACCACATCTATGGATCTCGAAGCCATGAAAATACGGCCGACAAAGCGATATATCGAATCGTGGAGATGGGATTCACAGCTGCACAAGCGAGAGAGGCGCTAAGATTGACAGATCTTGGCAACGGGTTGAGGGTCGATCGGGCGGTGGAGTTGTTGCTTAGTCGACAGACGTGAACATTGCTGGTGTTTGAAATTGGAAAATCCTTCGCTCGAGACTGGGACTTTTCTTTTGTAGGCAGCGTAATATGTTTTCCCTCCTTCATTACTATAGCGCGAGATACCCATCCTTTCGTTCAAGTCTCTTATCATCCATAGTGTGTAGTCTTTGCATTTACCTTTTCTTTCGCATACGGTTCCGCAAAAATATGCGACTCTTGACCTGGGTGCCTGGTTACCCACCGGAATCTAACGGTTGAAGTTGTAGGATCGCTGTGGTAAATTACCAAAAAGGGGCGTGCGGACATTGCTGTGGACGCCTAAACCACGATGTAGCGTCTTGTACAGCCACTCTCGAATCGCATAGCCAATGATAAAATGGAGACCGCGGCCCGCCAACCCCAACGCTAATGAGGGATAACCCACATGTGCAAGGATGAGCTGATTCAAACACGATTAAAAGTAGGTAGGATCTTAGTCGGTTTAACCGTTCAGATCGCTCGTCCCGACCGCGTCCCTCCATCGTGGTTTTCATCCGTTGCGAAAACACCAAAGCAAACCACTATAACGCTCATCACGATACCCGCCATGTTTTCGCAATCGCCCATATCCTTGCCACTTTTTCTCCTCCTAACCTCGCTCCCATCCAGCATAGCAACCTGCTTTCTCCCCAACGGCACCGAACACCTTGACTCGGGAACATCACGCTGTTCCTCCTCGCTCTCCGACCCACTCTACTATACATGCTGCCAATCCGCATGGCCCAACCCACCGGGAGGCGATGTCAAGAACGGTCCTACGGCCGATGAATGTCTACCGAATGGGCTTTGCCAGAATAGAGGCTACAGCAGTGTGCAAGGTGGAGAAAAGCCAGAATGGACGCATTTCTACAGAGTTTATTGCGCGAATAAAGACTGGGAAGGATGCATAAACGTTTGTAGAGATGGAGACCTGGCGAACCAAAGTGCACAGCTGACGCCTTGTGATGGGACGCCTACATCGGAGTTTTGGTGCTGTGGAGATAGCAATGAATGTTGTAGTTCCTCGTCTATATCTACCACTGGTTCGTCAAAGTCGAAGAAAATCAGGATTCCGAAGGAACTTGGAGGAGGAGGAGGAGGAGGAGGAGGAGGGGGTGCGGGGTCCAGCTCTTCGAGTGTGGAATCGGCGCCGACTTCTTCGAGTGCGACATTGGAGCTTACTTTTACGGGTGCGAGTACGGGTGCGGTGTCAACGCCGACGTCTGCAGCGACAAACCAGTCCGGTCAAGATGAAGCGAACAGCAACCAGGAGAAGAAGACATCGAACTCAGGACGCAACATTGGTATTGGAGTGGGTGTTGGTGTTGGTGTCGCGATTCTGTTGGCTGTGGTAGCGGTTGTGTTGTTGCGGAAGAGGCGGAATCAAGATAAAAGTGGAACAGAAGACAAGCGTCCGGACAGTATCGAGAAGCAGGACGACACGAAGGGTGCTGGGAATATGTACTCAGTAGCTGAGATGCAGCATCAAGAACCGGTACGTAGAGAGACTGATGTGGGATCCAAAGCTGACTTCAATCTAGGTGTACGAGCTTCATGACGGAAGCAGAGCCGACATAGAGCTGGATGGGACGAACAAGGTAGTTGGGACAAGGTACGCTTAATAGATGGAGATGCGTTATAATCATGTTGGCGGTACTGTCTGCAGGTTTGTCTATTGCAGATCTACCTCTCCTGGTTGTCGTGCGATGGATTTTAAAGTTTCATGTTGGTTCAGTGATCCGTCTTGATCTTGTCGGAGGTCTTTCGCAACTCTGCCTACTCTGTCTTTCCTTTTTACACTGTCTCTCTTCCTTGCCAGCCTCAAAGAATGCCACAGCCGCAGTACCGCGTGTACCGGTCACGCTTGAGCCTACAGCGATTGCTTGGACGACGACAAGCCCATAAACACCCATTCCGGCACTAGTGAGGATAACGAAAGCATTACCTGCAGCAATGGGTCCAACCCTGGCCTGGAATGCAGAGGCTATAGAGCCTATATCAAAGGTCAGCAACTGGTCGGCGGACAAGTGTAGGTGATCGATATGTACTACCAACAATACCAATCGGTGTGAAGCCCACGAGCCCTAGCATCGCCGGTGTGACGAAGGAAACTATCGGACCTGAAGCTACACGCGCCAACAAGGTGGCGAACAGCTGAGGATTAGAGAGACTTCATGCTTTGAATCTCTCGCTGAACGCTGAGAGGTCTTCCTCCGTGAACTCAATCTTGGGGAAAGTGGCCTGGCTAATGGCATTGAGAAGGTCGCCTGTGCTTGTCCAAACAATTCCTGGGTCCAACATGTCGGGCTGCCTCCTGTCCTAAGTTGCCGGCCACTCTTTGCGCGTCTTCAAGGAATCCCATGTTGGAGTTGATGGAGTAGCCTGAGCCGGGTATCGTGTGTGTGCTATTGTGGAAAGTGTTGCTGGTGATAGCAATCCATTGTTTGCACTAGTACGGAACCGGTGAACGGGGCAGTACTGTTGTGTAACCACTGCGGAATGTGGGGTCAACACGTGAATTTCATAACTGGCAAGAGGACAGTCTCAGCAACGGATATCGCCTGAGGAAACTAGAAGATGCAGTAAGGAAAGACATGGAGACATGTGAGAATGTTCTTGCATAAAATTAATGACTGGACGATGAAAGTACATGTCCACGACTAGCACAAAGTGAAAAGGATATGCAGGACACTACGCATTTCACGAGAGTGAAGCACATCTGAGGGGTAACGCATTTGGGCAATTGCTGTTGATGTTTCGCAATCGTGGAGACGTGACGTTATCTCAATGGCACATCAAGGATGCTCAACCTAAGACCTGAGAGTGCATCAAGAATCTTGTTGCTATCGATTAAGGGCGATGTACGCGATACGCAGTGTTGCTTGGATAGGCGATTAGATTAGACGTGCGGAAATGACCGACCCGGGTCCGTGTTCTAGAAGCTTGGCACGGGCCAGTTGATAGACTTGGAACCTGGAGGCGAGCGGACCGGTATAGCGTCATAGGCAACGGCCTCTAGATCGCGTTGGTGAATAGTGCAAACGCGTTGTTTGAACGTTTGAATCTTCTCTCGTAGTGCGTAGGCGCGGTGGCGTGAGTAGGAGAAGAAGAAATGTGACTGTCTGGCGTGTTTGCAGCTGCAGCTACTGACTGGTGCAGGTGGGCTGGCCCCATGCATGGCGGCGCGATACGCTGGACGTCATTCCAGCTGATCGCCCTGACTGATGCGGGACAGGGAGCAGCTACATCCTCCTACCAACCATCGAGCGTGCGCACCTATCATACAGGGATATCTGCCATGTTTGACGTGCTTGTGTGCATGTGTGCAGCCGTGTGTCACGCCCAGCCTGCTGAGCTTTGTTGATGTCCCCTTATCCCCTTATAATGTCCGTCGGGATGCCTCGCCTACCTGCCTTGCTTGCTGCAGGCCGCCAGGATGCTGCAAAGACTACACAGCGACATGGTTGACGAGAATGCGGGAAAGCTGCTGAGAAAGGACAGTAAGAGACAGAGGGTCTTGAAGTTCTTCAGGTCCTGGAAGCAAAAGCAATCACGGCGTCACGATGAAGTAGCTGCACCTGTACGTCTAGCGCTCTTTCTCACTCTCTCTTTGGTTTTACTGTTACCATCCCAGCCTGATGATGACAATGAAGAAGAAACTAATAGCAAGCTTCTTCTCAAAGATCACGTCCAAGAAAGCCAATCCTACCCCACAATCGCCGCCTCCACAAACACACGATGCAATCATTCAAGAGCAACCGCGCAGCTCAGTCGAACATGGCAGCATGTCTCCCACGGAAGAGGTGAACCAAGATCGTGTACCAACACCGCCACAAGAAACCGGGGAAGAAAAGGTCGAAACCCTTACTGAGGGTCAGCTCCGTACGCTCTTCGCTGGAGCCCCGCAGTTTGGCGTCACAAAGACAGACAGCCGCTACATACCAACAGTCTCTTATCCTTGGAACACTGATACTGCCATTAGAGAAGCAACCGACACAGTGCCTCTAGCCGAGCCTGCCTTCTCAGCTGCGACCCTACACGAACATCTGTCCAAGACCCGACAGCTACCTGAGGCTTCGAGACAGTACAATGGATATCATGTAGATGTGGTGGAAATGCCGAGCATGTTGAGTGCTCAGGGTGTTGAACCAGGGACTATTGGCTTCTCGCATTTCCTCGAGTTGCCCAAGTCCGACATTCTCGCCAATGAGTTAGAGCAATCTCAATCAAGCAAGGACTCCTTCGAGTCAGTCAAGAACAAGGAGACATTGCAGACGACTCCTGAGCGCCTGGGTATCCGTCCAGTCGAACTGAGCTTGATATACGACCGCTTGATCGAGTTCCAGGACATGTACGAAGCCTTCCAAGACAGCCCAGAACCCATGACGATCCTGAATAACCAGAGTGCTGGAGACCTCTACGCGAACCTGTTCACTAAATTTCTTACCCCACCGGGCTACGACGACTCTACAGAGGACCCTACGGGTTTACAGACACAAATCGTTGCTCTACTCAGGGTATTGGGGCTGAAGGGTGTCTGGTATGACTTCAGTCTCGTCGAGTGGAGGATAAGACTCGGTCAAATATTGTGGAGCGAGCCCGAGCCAGTTCCTGAGCACGAAAATCAGCCCTTGTGGACGGAGCGCGAGATTCTGTTGCTGCAAATCACCTTGGCATGTGAGCTTTTGCTCCGACTAGATGCCTTCACCAATGCCGATGCGACCGACGCTCAGGTGCGGCTTCGGATTGACGCCAAGGACGTCGAAGGATTTCTCAACATCAAGACGAGAAAGGTCGATTGGGATTTGGTTCTGGCGCGGAGATTTCTGGACAACATTGTGATAATGAGAGGCAGCGATGCGCCAGTTTCGCCTAAGCCCAAATTGCGCGGGTTGCTTTCATTGCTAGGCCAAGGCGCCCATGCAGAGATACCGCAGTCCGACCTCGTTATTCTTCCACAATATCAATCTCAACAGCTTTCTGGGCTGCTTCACTTCGCGAAGACTCTCCAGTGGCCTAATATTGACGTGGTCTCGACGGATCTGGCCCAGAAACTTGGAGTGCAAGACAAGACAGAAGAAGACATGCCATCATCACCCAGCGGACGATTGGTCGACACATCAACCCCGTCTGGCATTAGCATATACGGAACGCCATTGCAAACACCACTCCCCTCTGGTCATCAACTGGACAGCTACTTTGGCCATGTCGGGAAGCCCGTGTTGAATCGCAACAACTCTCGTGCCCTACGTATGCCACTGTCCCCTGTGTCAACAATGCCGGAGGACCACGCCAATTTCAGTTTCAGCATTGGAGGATGGCTCAGTCGGTCGTATTTAACTGGTCTTGTTCTTCCCGGAGAAGCCATTTCACACTTTCTTATCTCGACACTGCTTGAGAACGACAGCATCGCTATTGCCAATCTTGGGGAATCTGCAAATCTTTATGGAGGGTTTACCTTTGGCAATAGAACGTTCTGGAGCAAGACTTCTGTCGTTGGACGGGTTTTGGCCTGTGTCAAAGGTTCTGCAGAGTGCATGGGCTGGGTTTCATGTCCCAAAGTACCCGACAGCCCTGGCGAACGTTGGTACTCGATACACAGCGAAGTTCTTTCGTGTGAGAACCGTTCGCGAGTAAGAGATAGCTTTGAAATAGTCACAGAAGAGTCGGCCGTCGTCCCTAACGACTATTTGGCTTCGGTGAAGTCGGAGGACTTCGTACTCCCTCAAGATCTTAACCCATCTCCGAATTCTTCTTTCGCCTTCTCGCACTGGGAACTGGTGCCAATCAATACCGACCTCATCGATGGCGACAGCTTGACAGGGCCACTAACCGAAAGCGACGTCCACGCCCCATCGATGACATTTGTTTCTGGCGAAGTGAGCCACAACATCACCCTAACATACGATGTACAGTTCGTTACTTCTTTTCCCTGTACTACGGCAGCATCTGCACCTCCCTCGATCACTTACCGCCCTAAGATCTTGAGGCGCTCAGTCACTGGAACGTTATCGCGATCTTCTTCAAAACATAGCGTGACGCTATCGCGTCGCAACAGCCATGGCTTCGAGCCACTTCTATCGCATCCCCCAGACGCTGCAGGTATTGCACCAAAGCGCATGTACGAACCGCCTACCGGACCTGAAGTTGAAATGTTTGCAACTAGCAGCAAGCCCATGAACGCCCATCCTCTGCACAAGTCATACACTCACAAGATCGTGCCAGTCACCGATATTCTGGACCCCGACTTTCTACTGCCATTCGAGCTCCATACGTCGAAATCTACGGAACGCTTACTTGATCTTTCACGGAGCAACGACAGCGAAACAGAAGAAATGATCAAGAACAACAAGAAAGCAGTGCTCGTACTAGACACTAGGGCTTCATCAGACCTCCAGTTGCTCGCGCGAGCCTGGTGTGCAGAGAAGGGTCTACATGCGATCGTGAGTCGCGTAGGACGTACTTGCTTGGGTTGCTCCATTCGAGAAGCCAGGGGCCTGGGTATCAACATCGTGATCCGAGTATAGAAAGGCGGGATGGTATGATCAAATCTGCCAGTATTGGAGGTTTTTGCTACCTTTCTCAAATTGTCACATATTCCTCCCGTCTGAGGAGATGGAGTTTAATTTTTCTACTGGCGATTACTGCGGGCGCATTTACAAGATACCCAAATCGTGAATGAATACTATTGTTAATTTCCATCGAGTACTTTGAGTTGTCACATCCCATACCTGTTTGAGAATCGCGCGAGACAGAAATAGCATCTACCTACCTTTTGCGCTTGTCGAAGCGAGCCACAACGACTACTTCGCATGCGCAAACACCGAGTTCGATACGATCGTCATGCGACTGCGGCTGTGTAGTTTTCCAGCTTGTCCGTTCTATCAACTAGCTCGGTGGCGCTCATAGCCACGTGCTGATAGGCGGAGGCTGTGTGTCCGTGGGTGGCCTCACGCGAAGCGCGTTTGAATTTCGCGCATCGAAAATCCAATATCATACATCCCTCTCGTAACGTGGTAGAACTTAACTTCAAGGCGTGTCAATCGTCGTTTGGATCTACATCAATTTTACTGTTTGACAATATACATCATCGCTCCTCACTTACAAGCTCATCTGTTACATCATCTTACCTTGTTTCCTCGTTCAGCACCTACCACCAATCACCAAACTCACCCAACCTCCACCAAACTTGATCGAATCCAAGATGAACTACGCCCCAGTCAACCCCGAGACGGAGGAGTTCACAACAGAGCACAACGAACCAAAAGACTGCTGTACACGATGCATTCAACGGCTCGATTGCACATTAGCAGGACCATGGTGTATCGAAGCAATCTTTTCGTGTTTTGCCAGTCTGTGGAGTTGTTTGGGCGATGCGTGTAGTAATTGCGGGGATGGGTGTGGAGAGTGCTGTATTGGGTGTTGTAGGGCTTTTAGTTGAGAGGGGATTCGTCGCAAGAGAGGGGGAAGAGGAGGGGCCTTTGTGGATTCGCGGTATCTCTTATTCGATGATTCTGATCCTGTTGAGATATCCTCTCAATCAAGCAAGTCACGGGTTGCTCGTTTCTTGTCTGTGGGTCATCATAGAACCAGAGGATGGCAACCGAAGTTTGGCATCGCGCAGATGGAAAAGTGGAGAGAAATTGGGACGAGTGTTGGACAGTGCCATGAGAACTATGCACGATGGAGCGGATGCGACTACCTTGAACGCATGAAAAAACGACAGAAAGCGCTTGCCACTACGACTACCAAAATGTACAGCACGTGCATGCTGCCATGTCAATGGCTCTGAGGATTGGGAGGGTTTGTGTCTGTCTGCTACACACTCCCAAAACGCCATTTCACTCAAGTTCCACCATATCGCTATCGCCGCAGCACCCTCGCTATCATACACTTCCATTGAGTTTCGTCTCTACAATTATTGGAGGTATTCAGAGCATGGCCATGATCTAGGGCCACGCTAACAAGACACAGCAGTCATTATATCTCAAGTTCAGTATTAGCATTCAGTAAGGAGAACTAGCACTGTTAAGCATTTTATCTTCGCGTTCGCTTCGTAGCCACTACAGTCGCGGGTGTACCTACCCATCCACCAAGACATACACTAGCATACGAACCACACGTCCATCCGCGAGTTCATTATGCCTAAAGAATCGAGACGAACCAGAAGCATCCGCAGAGCTATTCGCAGGACGAAACTAGATCGCAAAATATGTCCCTACTGCGGAGCGGAAGTACACAGATGGGATCGCAGGAACTTCGCTTGTTGCATTAGCTGTCATCAGCACTTTCTGTGGAAGTCTGTTCCAGAGGTTCCGACAACAAAACCTCCAAGTAAGCCAACCTTAAGGTACTCGGGCCACGGTTCACCAGCTATGAGCACGATAGAGGAGCGCAGTGAGTCTGGAGACCGCGGTTCCAGTCCCAGTTCGAGAGACAGTTCGATGGACGATGATGAGCACACTCCCGACCACGATTCGCTGGGCCGTTCTGCCGATGACAATAGCAATATTGCGGCCGCGTTCGCCAGCTTAACATCCGATCATAAAGATGACATCGTCGTCGGCGAAGCATTCGTCGACCCGGTACTAACTCGCAATACCGGCTCTATTCCACCCGAAGACTGGCGGTGGCCGTTGAGCACCTGGGAGATAGTCAACAAGAAAAATATAAATCCTCTGCCCCATATAACCGCCGTGCCTGTAGTCGGCCTCGATGAGCAAAATCAAACTGCCGTACTTCAAGCAACAGACGTACCTCAGTTAATCCCCAATGCTTCACATCCAATATCCCAGCATCCGCTATCTCTTCGTACAACGTCTCCACGTCCAATACCTAGGAGGAAAAGGTGTAAATTCGGAGAACGATTTAGGCGTAAGCGAGCTGAGCCCATAGAGCCCAGCCCATCGCTGGAAGACATCATCAGGATACCCGAAGCTGTACCCCGGCAACGCGCCGCCGAGCTTCTCAATACACTCATTCTCGCTAGATATACTCATAGTCGAGGCATATCCACGGAACCAACCACAGCATCGCCTATGATAGTACCCCAGGAGCCTGATGGTATTCTCCAGCAACACGCTACTGACCTCCACAATGCTCTTGAACGGCTCGAAGCGCTCGAATCCGCCCATGAGAGGGAGGAGGAATCTTTATCTAGCGGGGGAAAGTCCTTTTGGTCCCAGTTTTCTTGTTTTCGATAGTGTCGAAGGCTCTGGATGGCATGGAGGAAGAGGTAGAGAAGCTGGATAAAATGTCAGAAGTTACTTTGGATAGGGCACGTATGCATTCGTGCACGTGCGATGAGGAGACAAATTCAAGTGGGTAGGAGATGCAACTCGGTCCATGAATGGAAATAATGAAGCATTAGAAACAAACGTGTGTCGTGAGTTGAGATTCTTGATAGTGTTTACGAGATCTGTGCGCCTGGACACGTGGGTGACATCTCCTGGGAACTCGATTGCTAATGTATAGTCTGATCAACGCTGTGTGTACCAAAGTCTCAGGTCATCGCATGACGACTTGTAGCAAGGGTGTAGGAAATGCATGGAGCTGGGAAAGAATTCGATGTGGACAGTATGTGGGCGTTCAAGGATTTTGATTGTTCAAATTTCTTACTACTACTCGAGGCAAGGAACTAGCCGTCACGATGACTCACTGGTGTATACACTCGACATGATCCCATAATAGATATACAACCAGCTCTTTTCATACACCAGTGCGCCCGCACTCGACATCCAGCCCTCCAGCTGCAAGTCTAACTTCCACCTCCGCGTCCCCATTTCTATTCTCTTCTGTTCCAAATCTACTTCAAAGCCTTCTCGGCCTTCAGTTCCGCCTTCTCAGCTGTGTGCTTGAAATCCTGCATCTCGCCCTTGGCCTGGCCCTCAGTGGCCTTCAGAGTCTGGTTGTAGGCGTAAATACGGCCAACCTGTGTAGCACCGACGCAGAAGACAAGGAAGTTAACACCAGCCAAAGCAATGTTCTTGGGGCGGATGACGAAGCACCAGCGCGTCCAGATGGCTCCTGTGCACATGAGGGCGAAGTTTTGGGTGAAGGAGAGGGATTCGGCGGGGCGAGAGAAGTCGGAGGCGCCGGCGAGGACCATGCCCCATTTCATTACCGGGGCCCTGGAATAGTGTTAGCATTTGTACAGCTTAGATATGGCGTTTTTTCGAGGTGTGTTGTTTGCTGCTGCAGATGCGCTTCGGACAATGCGGGGAGTTGCAGCGCATTGCATAGAAGGATGTAGGCGATATCGAGGAAGCGTACCAGAAGTGGACAGTCTTGGGTCCAATAGGGCTGTTCCAAAACTTCTGGAAGCCAGAAGCCTCAGAGCCTGCGGCTGTGTTTTGATACCTGCGGGCATTTGCGCGTTGGAAGAAGGGTCGGAAAGAGCTGAAGATGCGGGAGCCCGGGCGGAACGACATGATCGCTGTCTTTGTCCTTTACTCTCAAGATTGGCGATCCGAGTAGAAGAGTAATTGAGGCGTCTGGAGTGAAGTTGGGTCCGGGGCGATTGTCGTGTGCGTGCGGTCGCGATGTCGGGCTCAAGCATTGGTGATGGATAAATCCGGGACTACGATGGGGTTGCTCCGGTTGGCCAGGCCGAAAGGGGTAAGGCGTGTTCCTGGCAGCTTCCGACGAACATTGAATGCCGCTGCAGCGCGGGTGACGACAGACACCGATTGATACCCTCACACAACCATAACGGTCTTTACAATGGCGTCAAAAGCATTCGGAAATGGCCTCAAGGAGCTGAGGTTCTTGTTTTGCCAGACTAGCGAGCACAGTGCCGCCACAAGGTATGCGATAACTAAGTGGAGGAGCGCAAGGCAATGCGCTGGGCAATGCAGACGAGCAGAGGGAACAGGATAGAACGAATTGGGCTAATCACATATGTAGGAATTTCCTCACACGAAGCTACCCCGCCATGAAGAAGGCCAACCCATCCATCCCCATCATGATCCGAGAAGCCAGCGGCACCCAGCCCACCGTATATGCGCGATTCGGTGCGTTACATCCAGGAAGAACATACGGGGGAATAATGCTAATAATATGGGACAGACTTTGGAAAGGAAAGGAAGTTGTCACTAAAGGGTCTGGACGACAAGTCCATTGAGCAACAAGTCGCAGACCTCGTACAAAAGGGTGCATGAGTACATGCGAAGAAACAGAATAAGTGAACAAGACAAGGGTCGTCGGTGGAGAAGTATGGGCATATATGCAGCTCAAGAGAGCGTAGCACGATAGCTTCTGTATGGCCCAAAACGAACATCTTCGAGGAATTCCCCTTTCACCTAAAGTGACAATTCACCATCTCCATCTCATCTTCACACTTGGCATATAAATTTCTCGACCGCCCGTCCTACTTCTGTTTCTCCATCCTCACAATACCTCACATGCCTCATACAACAGCCGAACCTAGGCCTCAAAACTTTGCAAACAATCAGCCTGACGAATACTAAGACTCATCATGTCTTACTCAGCTCCCTTCAAGCCAAACCCCAACTACGACGTCGATGCTACCCTCCTAGACATCCTCGTCCAGTCCCACGTAAGTACCTCCTGGCGCCTCTATGATCTCCAGATCAGAAGTGACATCTTACCTTGTATAGCACCCCGTCCTCGGGTCCGGCCCTGCCGCCGAGAAGCTCGCGCACATCGAGAAGCAGTACAAGGGCTGCATCAAAGTCCTGGAGGACCGCAATGCTGCCCTGGTGAAGGAGGTAGAGGCTGCGGCCACGAAGGTCGAGCGCCTCGAGACGGAGGTCTGCGCGTTGGAGGGAGATGTGGAGACGCAGCTGGCGGTCCTTCAGTGCATGAAGAGGACGGAGTGCGTCTTCGTCCAAACGCACATTGTGCCAGAGAAGAAGGTTGTTCTTCGTATTGGGGAGGAGATGTGGAGCGGAATCTTCAAAGAGGCTTAAAGACGTTTTGGGTTGTGTCGTGCCGTTGTCTTCCCCTGCTCTCTTTCCCTTTCCCCTTTCCCCTTTCTTTTTTGTTTGTTAGATAGACTTCTCCCTTCGGCCAAGGCCTTCGGGCTCAGAATTCCACCATGTTCTCCGCCGCATGTGAACATCCTTCTAGCATGCAATAATGTCCGAGCCTGCTGGTTCGTGAATGCACAATGTGTTACATTGTTTGCTACATGCATGTTAGATATACTAGATATAAGGTTAGTTCTCCCCAATAATGCATACATATCATCGAGCAGCAGTGTCTAATTGAGGTTGGATTTCATTGTATCCACCAAAGTATCCCATAAACTGGTATCTTGAGTACCGATGATACTACGACTCACATTTTACTCACCCCAAAGCCCAGCAACATGTCAACTCAATCAACTCCTAGATCTCAACAAGCGGGCTTCTTCGCCCAGATGCTTCGCCGCAAAGACTCTGTCATGCCAACACCATCCGCGTCTCCCGCACCCTCCATCGCCCCTTCCATCGCTTCTCTCACACAGGATAACGACAACCTAGCTCAAGAAAACGTTCGTCTACGAAAGCGTAACAAAGAGCTAATCAAGCAATCGGAGCTCAACCAAGAACTCTTTCAGGAAACTTCGGAAGCGCTCATGGCCAAAGAGAGCGAGACTGCTGACCTGCAAGGCATACTAAATGAGCTCAAGGAGTGTATCCGCAGGAACGATGATGCGAGCAATGAGACCATTAGCACCCAGGGACTCCAGCTCGAGGACCTGGCGACGCAGCTACAAGAGGCACATGAAGCGGCTGCTAAGCGCGAAGCCCTGCTGACAAAGTTGGACACCCAGCAACAACAATCTTCCACCAAGGATGATGACGAGCAGCAGAAGTGTCAACAAAAATCTAATGACTTCATTGTTGTTCATTGGACTAAGCTTCACGCCAAGGACAAGACGATCGAATTCTTGCGATGCCGTCAGTCCAAGTCTGACAAGCGCATCGCCAGGCTCCAGGAGAGGGTAATTGCTGCGGAGAAGTTGAACCGAGATTGGTTTGAGACGATCAAGCTTGCTAATTCAAAAGTCAAGGCGATCGAGGTGAAGCCCCAAACTGGTGCTTGACAGTGTACTCAGGCGATGAAGGGCAGCAGCATAGTAGAGAAAGTTGTCCGCCATGGATCGTTCGCGCATTAGTCGACGATTTATCAATTATTCTTCTATGCTTACAACTCTATGTTGATTCGTCTCTTGATTTTATCAGAGAATGAGAACCTGATTCTTGTAATATTGCTTTACCTCAACATTCCTATTCCATTCCTTTCCTCTGTAGGCACTTTTTCGATCCCATGAAGATTACGCTTTGCCATGCTGCAATATATGTAGTACGCTCACAGTCACACCCTCGGTATTAGTCTGATACCATTCTCAATCCAATCTCAACAGATCAAGGTGAAACGTGAGGCAAAGACGCCACCAATGTGTCGACCACATCAGGTGAGAGAGCGTGTACTGTTGTTGAGGTCGGAGGTCATCTTTCTTCGGTATCAAACGCCACCAATAGTGTCAATGAGTCACATAGGTCTGTGTATTCTTCGATTGTTTTGCGGATGGCGTTAGCGTGGCAGACGTGGATAATGCTTGTTGAGTGCTGGTGTTTTGTGGTACATATAGTGGGCTGTCAGGCGCTTGTCTTTGTTGTGTCATAGTCTGTTTTCGGCCTGGAAATGTACACAGAAGAATGTACCTGCATAAATTATAGATGCAATTATGCACATTCCCGTTGAATACGTTTTAAGACTGATCGTTACCGGGATGGTGCGTGAGTTCTTTGAGTACTGCAGGTTGTCCCGGAAGAAGAAAGAGTTGAGTGGGTAGAAGGCGGATACCTGCTGGAGATCTGCCTCTGCATCTGGACGTCATGAAGGGTTGAACAATAACCCGTGAATTTGACTTGGTAGTGTCACTGAAAAGCTTGACTTGGCTCGTACGGGATGCTTAGGAGCACATTTAGTGTAAGGTTGTTTTGCGTCGATACACAATCGTGGCTGAGTGATCTGGCTATCCCGAAACTCTGTGTCATTTTACGATAGTGCAATGCGGTATTCGCAGTCCGCGCTTCCGTCATACCTGCAGTCTGGCGCTTGGTCCTCGGGGCAATCAGGCGAGGGTACCGGAAGTCGTCAAACATCCTATTGTGCGAGGTGTTCCTGGTATGCACCACCATCGCTGTAATATGCCGCAAGACTCGACCCTTGCTGCATATGTTGGTTTAAAACGATCACCGGACCGTAGTAGCTCTGTTACCCATGCAGATTCCGGTTGCATGTCGGATATCTACAGCTTACCAGCTTATCTTGGGTATTATACCGACGTGGATGGCGACCTGGTATGCAACGCTTAAACGACACCTTACAATTCATGTGATAATTTGCATATTCGACGTAATGGGTCAACTCTGGCTACCTATGATACGTCTCCGCACTTTATGATAAGTCCTTGGAGCAGGGGTCATGCGTCTCATAGCACCCTGGCGCTGTATTACGGTTGGCTGCTCTTGACAGCGACTACTGCAGTCAGTGGCTGCTTTCTGACAGCATGCACCTGTCTGGTGCCGCCACTGTAACATACAAGAGCGTGTCTGCATTCCAGACAGTCTACAAGCATGCAAGCCACCTCGAGAGGGGCATGCAGTGTATGTCGTGCTGGCACATTGACACCGGGCGCCTGGGTGACGCATATGTGCTCAAACCATCGCACCATACCGGTCAGTTCAATGAGTAAATTCTGAAACGAAGAGAGGCATTTGAGCTCTGAGAACTAATGAATGATTGACTGTTGCCAACAGAAACGGATGGCATGGTGTCCGTGTGAATGAGGACCGATCAAATCAAGATTGATCTGCTGATATGACTGCAGCAATATGTTGTAAAGGGTTGGGCAGCTTCAACATTATAATCGTGCGTAAGGTATGATATCCCGAATCGCGCTTTTTTGGGTGAGCTTTCGATGAGCCTCTCGCCAAACCATGAACATTGCTAAGCGGCATTTCCTTGCATCTCGTAACGCAAACACCAGAAAGGCGGAGTCAAATAGTTGCGACTCTAGAATGTGAATAGAATGCGCTCAAATCGGGTACGAAATGCCGTGGAACATCGGTATGAATCATGATACAGTCGTACCAAGAATTGCTGACTCGCAGTCCCGAAAGAGAGGTCGCTGTTTGTGGATATTGCACGAAGACGTAGTGGATGCAGCAGCGGGTGGGCACAAGCCTGGCTGCTATTCATCCAAGAAGGACCTCCCATTGCCATTCTTTCATGACACTCAACCAGTGCAAACGATCTTTGACTGTGACCACCCGATCCGGGGTCCCAGTATCAACAGGCAACGACGATTTCCAGTCCGATAACTCTTGGCAATAAAAGTCGCCGTGGATGTTGAAGTCACTGGAGAAGGTGCCGTCTTCGTATTTCAAGGGAATGTCTGACGAGAAACTGTGGCTGCGCACATCGCCCATGTGCAGCGACGAACGCTCCGACGCGCGGGCGTCTCGTCGACTCCAGACCTCTTTCGTAACCTCCAAGCACCTTTCTATGATTCCCAGCTTCATTCTCGAAGACATCAGCCGCCAGCGCTCTGTAACCCACTCTCGCTCATCGGGCTCAGTTGCCTCACAGCCAGCGGCCATGAGAGGGTAAATGTGAACAATAATTGAACGAGAACGCGGATGTACGGTTGCTAGGTCACAAAGCACCCTCTTTGCGAGCACACTAGAGGGTTCCGATGGGATCTCCGGTACGGCTTGGTGGAGGTAGAGTAATGTGGCATTTTGGTAAGCGAGTGCAGTTTTGATCGTGTCGTGTGGACTCGTCGTCTCGTCTTCAGGATCTTCGATGAAAGATGGGGGAATCCATTCTTCGAGCTGAGATTTCAACTGTACTGCTTGTGATATAATAGTGGGCCCATTGCAGTTAGACCTCCTTACTTTTCTGACCAGGTTCGCTACCCGGCCGATGATTGGGAAAAGTGTGTGCGCACAACCCATCAAAGGGTCAAGTGTAGTTTCTGTCTCTCCAGTAGCATATATGCTTTCTCGTATAGCGTCTACATCGTAAGCATCGTCGTCGTCGGCGGACGTCAGGCGGGCAAGAACATCCATGTAGATCCAGGTGTTGCATAGGAACTTCAGCCGAGTCCATTCCTCACCCTGTTTGGGCATCTGACGATGCTGCATGAGCGCCTGGTTGATCAAGATCTTAGCCCCTTTGATATGATTGATGCCTGTGCTGATATGCTGATCCCATGATTCGGCGAAAGCCAGTACCAATGTGGTCGAGATAGCTGCATCAACCCGCATGTTTTGAAGGCCAGCAGCTAGTGCATGTACTGCACTTCGCATATGGTCGATTCCTTGGATACGCAAAACAGGCGTGTCCTTGGACTGATGGAAAGAAGTCATGGATGCGATCGCATGATAGAGTGCTGGGCAGTCCCGGGTGAGAGGCCAGATAAGAGTCCGCCATGGGTTCTCTGTGGGCCCATCTTTTACTGAGAGTATGCCGCAAGTATCTCTGTCGTAGCGTCGTGTAATTGATTCCGCTGATGTGAGGGGCAGCTGTATCTGGGCGGGTATTTTAAAGTCGGGGGAATTTGGAGAAGAGCCAGAGGAGCTTGATGGTGAGGGAGATGGCAACCGCGCGACACAATTCACATAATGCTCATTACCACCGCGCGCTAGTTCTTCGATCTCATCGTCTTCCGTTGAAGCTGGTGGTGTCAAACCTGTAGGCTGGTAGAAGGCCTCATGCTGAGACACGTAAGAGGAATACTCCTCTGGTGGTACGCTGAGATCTGTTCCTGGCTGAAGAAGGTCCAGAAGTCGAGGTGACTGGCCTGGCGATGCACTTGATTCGGTGTTTGTCTTTGTTTGCACAGTGATCGTACTCTCGGCCCCCAAGAGGCTATGTGACTCGATGGGTCCCGGCGCATATGAGCCAACAGGCGATATCGACTGAGGAGTGATGATAAAGGGTGAGGCTGCTGAGACGGCGAAAAGGTTCTCTGTGGGTACAAATGAGGGCTGCGAACAGGAGATTTGTATAGGTGGACCATGCATGAAGGGGTATGAATGTTGAGGTGGCGGGTAGTACGCGCTGTGCGGCGTGCCAGTGAAGGCGTATCGGTGTTCTTGGAAGATGGGCTGGTCTTGGAATTGCGAGGGCATAGACGTCGGTATTTGGGGACCTGAGCCCGGAGCCTGTCAGATGTGTATATATATGGTTCCAGAAGAACTGACCTTGGCGCGATTTGAGAGGTGCTCTGCTTGAGTTGCTTGGCTCTTCGAATGGTCTCCATTTGAAGTCTTTCTTGTAGCCACCGCATGTTACTGCGCGCCTGGCGCACTGCTCGCACGTAGGCTTCTTCTCATCACATTTCAAGCGCTTTGCTTTGCAGGTAACACATCCTATGCAGACACGTTATTACAGTGCTTAGCGGGAAGGTCTGAAGTCATGCTTATCGTGCAAGCGACAAGAGTTGACGAAGCGTAAGCATACCATTACGGCTCTTGGACTGCTTCCTCTTGGTGACGCCAATAATGTCGGAAGCCTTCTTGGTTGCTGAACACGATGCAGGTGCCGTCCTTTTAGCGGGTTTGATATCGATCCGAGCGGATTCCGAGGGATTTAGCACGAACGAGGGCGACGGGACAGTGATAGCCTCAGCCATCTGCCGCGAGTGGTGCGAGCGTTGATTCCCTAGACGAGCTCGTTGGTAACCGGTGATCTCATATGCAGGAAAGAGATGGCTAGCTAAGCAAAAACAAGCAGAATCATCGGGGTTTTTACAGATAAGCAAGAGGGACGCAGTATCTAAAGTGGAGAAGAAGCTGGGGAGATGCACGGCTACTCATTAGCGCCGTATCTAGGTCTATCGGGTTCGCGAATCACCTGGGCACGCGTGGGGTACGGCCCCAGCATCATCCTCCATCCTGCGCAATCGGATAGTAAGTCTTGGGAAGTCTTGTACCCGGCAATGCGCAGCGGTAGCTATTCGAGTCCAGGAACCTGTGCGACGTCAAGATTTTTGGAATTAGCCGTTGCTTTGGGATCACGGGGATGTGGTGCAGGCTTCCTCGGCGCCATCCTGTGTTCGGAACGCTTGCAGCTTGCGCCTGTCACCCGACGGTAAACCGCTCCACCAACGGCTCAGCCTTGTTTCGGGAGCGATGCGAAGCCGTCGAAGATCCCGCCGAGCATGAACCCAGGAACGCACTCTTCGTAGGTTGCACATAAGCTTATGTTTCCATGTTTGAAGCAAGTCTGCTTGAAGCTGATCTCTTTAGTTTGTGCTAGGCACAGAGGACACGAACCAGTGCAAAACTAAATTATTTCGTATCTTCACCCGATTCCTTTCCAGACGTAGGCATGCCGTGCTACTCTTACGCGACATGTAGTGCCCCAACATCTTCACACCCTCACAGTCATACCCAGAACACACTGTCAGAGTTTGCTGGCCTTTTGGCGAGGATTCTTCCTTCCTTTGTCACCGATCTTGTATGTGACATCATCAATAGTGACCTTCTTCTTGCCTCCCCGCACAGCTTCTATCAGTCTAGGAGCCGTGGCAGCGATAGCAATCCCGGTAGCCGTGCCCGCAGCAACGCCACTGACAAGTGTAGCACTTGCACCTCCTGTTGCTGCGCTCTGAAAAACTGCAAAGGTACTTGTAGCTGCAACATTGCCGATACTAGACTGCACTGCGGCGGCGGCGGACCCAGCTGCAACCCCCGTCGCCGTGAAGCCCACCATGTGTAAACCACTATACGCGACTCCAATACCGAGAGGAGCGGCGACAACACAGGCAAACATGCCAGCGGTCTCTCCTGGGTGCTGTTCAACCCATTGCTTGGTGTGCTTTGCCGCAGCACTTGTCTGTTTCGCGGCCTCTTGACCAAAGGCATCCGCCTGCTTCCATGCTTCTTCCAGCGCTGGCGCAATTTTCGGCCCTATATCTTTTCCAAACACCCTGATTTGTTTGGAGGCCGTATTCGTGGCACCACCGATATGCTTCCCAGCCTCTTTTCCAAAGCTCTTCATAGCCTTGCGGGCATTATTGAGGAATGACATGATGAAACGCCTGACTAATGCTTCCAAATTGTTCCCGATATGTTGAGTGACGGAAGGGACAGAGAGCGGTTCTTAGAATCGGAATCCGAGTAGAAGCAAGGCGAGGGGATAGTGAAGGTGAAGTGGGGGCAGGGAAGCGCTGGGATGAAGACAGCGCTTGCATCCAGTTACGCGATTGGGTAAGGACGGAAGCGGTTTTGGGCAGCACTCTCCAAAGTAAAGGACTGTGAACGACGGTACAACGATAAGTAAGCTATATATATATGTGTGTTCCCTCCCATTAAGTACCAGTTATGAATACACATAGAATTACATTACCAAAGTGTGTACATGATATCAAAGAAGCGCCAAATAACATACAAACGCCAATGCAGTGGGATATCTGGAAACGCCAGGCATGTGAGATAGCAACTATAGAGAAAAGAAAAGGGTATCTCCTCCTATACTCGTACACTGCTTCAATAATAGCTCAAACCCGAAGCCCTCACCTTCTTCTTTACCTTCTTCTTCGTCTTGGTAGGCGTAGGACTGACAACATTACTGCGTCCACCCAGCCTCTCCTTCCTCTTCTCTTCACCCGTGCTCGCTACCTTGCTTGCACCGCCCGTCATGAAATCACTGTACGCACTCTCGGCATACAGGGCAGGAGTTGTCGTTCCACTAGGCAGCCACTCGCTGCCCTCTTCCCATGCGATACCCGCAGCATTCGCGGCGCGCACTCCCTCGATATAAGCCTCCATTCTGCTGCGCTCATCGTCGTCTTCAAGGCCACAGCCACAGCCGCAACCGACTACGCATTCCCCATCGTCCATGCCGATCTCGTCGTCCATGCAGTCCATATGCGCGACGTGTCCACACGAAGGGCAGAGATGGAAAAGGCCTGAGACACGGATCCAGCAGACGCTGCAACTGTATACGGGTTCTGTCTTAGTGGGCTTGGGAGGCGTGGTGGTAAGGTTCGTGCGCGAGCGACCATCGCGCCATGAGGAACCGGCAGAGACGTTGGATGTGCCTCGCGATAAGCTCGGCCTGCTCGCTCTGCTCGGAGGTGGCTGCAGTCTACTTTGGCCAGGTGAAGTGCCAAGACCAGCAACACTCTCTTCTAGCTCCTTTGTCGGAGTTGGGACGGGTATTGAAAGACGAAGATACTGCTCGGCGGGAATGAATGCGTCAGGATTCGGTAAGAAATCCTCCGGTAGGCCGCTGGCAAATGTTCCAGGCTGAAATTCCATCGCCTCTGGGTTGAAGGAGAAGTGGTGTGGTGATAGACCAGGTGAGCGCTTCACCTGCGCCGTGGTGGGAGTTGGAGGCACCAGTGTGGATGAAGCCCGTGACAAATGCCTCGTCTGTTTTTCTTCGCCATCTTCGTCTGCGGATTGCTTGAGTGCGAGAGATACTGAGCCATGTTTTTGGACGGTACGAGGAGCTTCGGTCGGGAAATATGACACAAGGCCGTTGAATTTGAGAACCTCAGCTCGTACACTGACCAGGCCCCAGCGGCTGAGCATCTCAGCATACTGCTCGCGCCAGGCCCGATACAGCCAGTCTTTACATGTGTCTAGTAGTGGACGACTGAAACATGCCTCATCATCGAACTGGTCTTGATTCTTGAGCGTGACCTTGATAGATCCTTTGTTACCTGTGCCATCTCGAGGTGGGCCAGGCGCGTTGTTTTCTCTTGTGCTTGTCGTAATGTAAGGCCCATCGTCATCGACTCTTTCATATTCGGAATCGGAATCGTCGATGTAGTTGACATTGACTTGCTCAGACTGTCCGAAACTCGCTCGCTTGCCGTGTTTTGAGCGTGAGGTTGACATGTTGTTCTGGTCATGGGAGTCACTACCATAGAACGTGGTTGTTCCCCAGGTGACACCGCTGGTGGGTGCTGATGTCGAAAGATCATCCATGCGTGATCTCACCGGCGGTGAAGAGGAGATTGCGTTTGCAAATGGACGCGACAATGCGGCAACGGCACTTGCGAAATTTGCTGTAGAGCTTTTCTTATGGGCTATGTGACTCTGCTCCGGCGATGTCCCGTAAGGTGTGTGATTGGCCGTCTGCGCAGTTCTCACCGTAGACGCTCTAGACAAGACAGGCGGAGTGTTGCCAGTAGAGTATGGGGTGACGGGATCAGAGCTGACATGATCGCTGCCCCACGGACCATTTGAACTTCCATGACTTCCATATGTGTCGAGATTCTTGGCTAGTCTTTGCCACGCAAACTCGTTAGCTGGCGTCGCAGAGCGTGAATGCGACGGTGTAGATGGGACAGAGATCGTAGGCTGGAATAGACTCCACGCAGCGTCCACCGAGGAAAAATAGTCCAAGGAAAAGGCGGGTGCTTCCATGGACATGGGAAGCTGAGATTGCCGCATTTTAGCCATAGCTGAGGTCACACCTTCACGGGCAGCAGGTTCCGCAAAAATACATGACAGCATAGCAAGCATCTGTGTATCTGCTAAGCGTTCGAAGTGGTCAAAGAGCGAAGGTATCAGCCATGTAACAACAATGTGGTGACCCCATTTCACACGTGCCTTGAGCCTAGGATTTGTCACTGTGTCTGCCTCATCGAATTGAAGGTCCAGTCCACTGTCCTTGCGTTTGATCCTCACAAGAGCTCTCCGGGCAAGCACAAGAACTTGATCTCTCCGATATTTTTGAGGTAAGATCTCCAATGGCACTTCGTTACTCAAAATCAGCTTGCAAAGGATCCAGATATCCGCTAGGTCGTCGTAACCGTACTTCCGAGCTACCTCGGAGTTGTGCTCGCATATCATGGGTCCAGGTCCAAAGATTTGATATTCCTGCGCCAGTTCACGCTTACTGGGAACCAAATCATCTGTGGCTGAGAAGAGTATGGACACTGTGGACCTAGTCTTGACTGCCTGCTTTCCCACGCTGGTCGAAGACGGTAATGAGTTCCGCGACTGATATCGGGACGCCGACTTTTGCCAAGCCAGTGGCGGTTGAAAGTTTCCTATGTGTGCATTCCCTGCGTGGTCGGAGCCGGATGAGGATGATGGGGTGGAAGATGTTTCCCACGAGCCGACCGACGAGGATGGTGATGATGCGCCGTCGGAAGCCTCAGGACGTCGAGAGGTGAAATGGCCAAACGAATCAAAGATGTCATTCTTCAGGACGCCTTGTCGAAGAGTCTTGGTGATCTGGAATCTGAATGCTTCTGAGCCTGGCATCGTCTTTGTGGTGGGTATCCTTGCGACGACGAGGGATCCATCTACCGAGAACCGTGCCGTACACTGGATGGGCAGAGGGATATTAGCATTGGTATGAGAGGATTGCATCACGTCATCAGTGAATTCGCCCTCATGGTCTTCATCCTCGCTAGAGCTCTCCCCAGGCAGTGGTCCAAGGTCTTCCAGCGGGTCATCATCCTCGGCCAGGTCCAGGCTGTCGTCCAGTGCTCGCTCACCCAACGCATACGAGAGGACCGCCTCCAGAGCTTCTCGCTGTTGGTCTGCGCAGGTTTCAGCAATACGGTGCATGTTGTTGATTAGTTCCTCTTGGTTGTCCTTGCTGATCGTGGCTGTTGTTCTCTCAAACTCGATGTCCAATGGGGTCGGTGCCCTACCAACAACGGTGCCTGACTGTTGCCTTTCGACGGCCTTGGGGTATGAGACCGGAAACCTGATAGTGAACCGGAGGAATACAAGTTTCGGCTCATTCGTGGCTGTATCCCAGTCACCCCATGGACCATTGAAGGAAACCTTGATGTGGCGTCCGGGAATATCGATTTCTTCGAAAGCCAGCTTCTTGTATTTGTTGCCCACGTAAGAAATCTCAGCACCAAGGTCATTCTGCTCTTGATACGGCTGCTTCTCGGTGCGATCGTAATGGTTGGGCCGAGCATGGTCGTCAACATTGTTATGGCGATCACCCCCAAATTTGACGCCGTTGATCCACTTCATGTGGTTAACGACGCGTGGGTCATTGCGCCGAATCGGCCGGGCAGTCATGGTCTCTCGAGGAATTGTCTCAGGGTGTATACGAGGATGCGTTTGCCCATGGTAGCGCGGAGGGTAGGTTTCTTCGTTGAGTGAGTAGTTCTGTAGAAGAGCGGACAGATTGCCTTTACGCTGGGCACGGGGAGGGCCAAATTCGTCCTGTGTGCTGGCAGTAGTGGTAGGTATAGGCCCATCCCGATACGAAACGTACGTAGCGCCTTTCCGCGTCGTGCTGGGCTTTTCCACGAGTGGCTCGCCTTTGCGGTGACCGACCCATTTCTCTAAATCCTCAGAAGGCAGCTTATGAAGCACTAGACGCCTGTCTGTGCCCCAGGAAACCAATTGAAAGTCGCGATTGTCGAACCCGTCATCGGTAGAGCCACGTGTGCGCCAGAGAAATTCGCGAACTTGCGCATCAGGGTCGTGCTGTTGAAAGACGTTTGCATGACTATTGGTGAAAGTCGACGGGTCGCTATCGTTGACATGCTTGTAAAGCCAAAGGCAGGAGTTACCACGTTGCGGCATGGCTAGGATACCGTGCGGGAAGGGCGTGTGTCTCGCTCGCCAAACTGGGTAATGAGTGCGAATGACACGACGGGGGACAGTGATGTTGTCTTTCAAGCCTACATTGTTCCAGAATTTGATAGTCGCGTCGAGGGAGCAGGTCATAATCTTATTCGCGTCATTACGATTCCAGTCGATGCCGTAAATTTTGGTGGTGTGCGCGGTGATGGTAGAAAGAGGGTTCGCCCCATGACGAGTGTCCCATATATGAAGGTATTTGTCGTGTGCACTGGCGATTATCTTGTCGTTCTGGCGGTTCCATTTGACTTGGGTCGCTCCTGCTGTATAGTCGGCAAGTTTCAACGGCGCTTGCCGGCTGCGAAGATCATGTACGAAGACGAAGCTGTCTACGCCACATGTTGCCAGGAGGTCGGGATGATGCGCAGAGAAATTGATATCTGTTATAGCCCTGTCATGTGCGCGTAAGGTGTATTCGATGGGCGCTTTGTTGTTGTTATAAGGCATGGAGAGATTGTATACAAGCGCAAGCTGGTTGCGCGTCGACGCGATCCACTCGGCGCGTGCTGCAAAAGGAGACCATTGTACGTCTGCAACGTCCCATGAAGATTGGTTTGGGATGAAGAGGGGCAAAGACCAAATGTTGTCCAGATCTATGATGCGGAGGCCATTCTTACTGGCAAGCACCACGTCGCGACCTGCTGGGCTTATGCTTGCGGCGCCTATATCGTCGTCTACTTTGATCTCGACATTATCGTCGAATGTTGGTGACTTGAATGCCGACGATGGCCCACCCCCTGTGGCCGCCATCTTGGCTTTGGCAAACTTGGCCGAGTTGGGTGAGAGTGATGATGTTGATAGGGTTGATGTTGGGGATAGGCCTGGTCCCTTGGCACGCCTTCCCACCGATGGACATGCCACTTACCAAGCTAGGCCATGTTTGGCAACGTCGGTAGGATGCCCGACCGATTACGCAAGATCAAACCTCGTCATGAGACGGCACGGCCTCACACCTTCCTTCCAAAAGAAAGAAACTCGCACCTTCCTGTTTGGCCTCGACGACGATCGCAGACTCTTAGACGTGAACGATATTCTCCGCGACCACTCCTTTGCTACCATCTCCGAGTCCTGCCCCACCTTCAGTTATGGCGCTGCCCAAGCGAATCATTAAGGAAACCGAGCGCCTGGTCAACGAGCCGTGAGCATCTCTGCTATATAAGTATATGTGGCGTCGCTAATCCAGACGCCGATCCAGAGTGCAAGGCATCAGCGCGACACCCCACGATGACAATCTCCGGTACTTCGATGTCACCATCGACGGCCCCAGCCAGTCTCCTTATGAGGGTATGTTGGCGCGCATTGCAAGCTTTACGTCTGTACTGACAAGCCCCATAGGTGGCGTCTTCAAGCTCGAACTCTTCCTCCCGGACGACTACCCCATGACCCCGCCCAAGGTCCGCTTTCTCACCAAGATCTATCACCCAAACATCGACCGTCTAGGGCGCATCTGCCTGGACGTCCTTAAGAGTATGTGAAATTTCGTCTCACACACAAGCGACCTGGCTAATTACTTTAGGCAACTGGTCGCCCGCGCTCCAAATTCGTACCATCCTGCTGTCTATCCAGGCTCTCCTGGGCGCTCCCAATCCGGACGATCCCCTCGCGAACGACGTTGCGCAAGCATGGAAGGAGAACCAGGTACAAGCTATTAAGACGGCTCAGGAGTGGACCCAGCAGTATGCAAAGCCATGAGCATCGAGATCACCGAGATTGCTTGTACGGGAGACAATATGCCGCTGGCAGGAGCATGATCAAAGTACTCCCTTCGGAAGAGGCTAGCTTGAGATAGCAGAGGAACAATCTGCTGTGGCTGTTTTCTGTCGACTGGTGGTCGATCTAGCTGGCTCTCTATTTGTGATGGACTGGCCCTTCTGATGTTGCCCATTCCTTTTGTACAATATTGGCCATTTACTGTCCTGCAAGCCTGGCGTTGGATGGACGATCTGGAGAGCATAATCGCTATATATCCCACATTGGCAGGACAGAGATTCTGGTGGCTCCTTTTGCTAGACCCGGGACGACATGGAGACCATGGAAATGAATAACGGTCCCAATACTTCAAGCCCTTTCCGCTTGGTCTTTCGACTGGGTGCATATAATATCTTTAGATGCATGTCCACACACGTGAAGAGATGTAGCGCGCATCTACCGCGGGGCTATCAGCAGCACAATGCTGCCCATGTTGTTGGCTCATATCTCTATATAGCTTCGTTGTCTGACTTAGTCCGCTTGAGCTAATCACGCCTGCATCTTCTTGGATTATCGTAAACGCTGTCGTTCGAACCTTTTTAGGGTTGGAGGCGGAGAGGTTCGCCAACGCTATTTGCCCCCTTGTCGTAGCGCAGATCGCCTCGCGGCTGACAACTCTGCTACCACACCGAACAATACGCTAACACTCTGCTCTATGCTGCTGTCTGCGATGTTGATATAGCAGTAGGCGTATGCTTGTCTCGACTTCTCAGCTTGCGTCGTGCTGTCATGATCGTTCCGCAAGCTGGCGCTACCGAATGGGTTGCCAGACTTCATTCCCCTTTGTTCCTTTCTCGTCATTCCTAAACCATAGTCATTCGAAAGAGGCGATGGCCTTCGGCGTCGTGGACACGTCTGCAGCCTCTTCGGAGGTCCTGATGTGGGAGGTTTTAGTCGCAGGAGAACGCACAAATCCATCCCCACATTAACGTCACCGTCTTCCATCCACGAAACGTACAACGACCTCAACATCCGCAAAGCCGCTTCGACAGAGCCCCCACGCCCAATAGACACTGCGTGATCGTGCACCATGCAGCATATACGCCAATTGCTACCAGAGCGCTCCGTGAAGCTCTCCGAAAGGGGATGAAGGCGCGTCTCCTATGCACAACGGATTACATCGTGGACGAGGGGCGTCACAAACACAAAGGCGACGGGCATGACAGCTAGGCTAGATGCGTCGACGTGTTCAGGTGTCTGCAGCAATCTTTATGGCATCAATAGCTTCGGAAACCGACTTTTAGCATCGATAGCTTAGGTGGAAGTCCGCAACGGTCGACAACAGCCCCAGATCGATACCGCTTCACATTCCTCAACTTCAATAACCCCCACGCCGACCCGCGCTCATAACTCAACATCGATGCACGTTCCACGCAGCATTCATACAGCTCGCTTTGATGAAAGCAGAGCTTGCACGCCTATGCCGGACATCTCCGAATCCACGAAGACAGCGAATCTCGCTGCGAGCATGTCCTGCGACGCTTAGAGAATTCCCGATACCTTCTGGAGACTGGATACCGTAGTGCTACCGCCGACAGGTCGTCCGCTAGTCATATTACCACTGAGTGGCGGCGACGATCGTCCCTCTCTTAAATTGGTCTTTGTATGAGTAGCAACACCCTTGTTCAAACTGACGCTCGCGAAGACCTGAAGACCTCACAAGACAATGCGATGATGGAGTCGACGCCGACGAATCCGCGTTGGAGCAAGAAGAGGGATACCAGTGTCGACCCTGCACCACACACCATCGTAAGGTCGGCCTGGACGAGCAAGTTGCGAGGAACAACACACATTCGAGCTCGGGAGCGGTTGAGGATCAGAATACGTCCCTTCCCACGTGAAGTCTGAACCGGACGTCGTCGCAGTGCAAGTCGTTCTAATGCCTGCGACCTTGGCAGCCATGTTGAAGACGGCAACCATCAGGAATCTGGATGTTGCCGCGATGCGACGCAACAATAATATGAGGCTTGCACCAAGCTATCGCCAACGACGTACGTATTCTGTGCATTCGATGTCGACAGCAAGCGCAAACGCAGAACAGCGAATCCTGCATTCCGTTTCTGGTATGCAGTATACCAATAAGACCACCACGTCTGCGCATCAGCATCATGTCTAGCCGGATGGGCATGAGAATATAAAGTCTCCAATTTTGGAAACTCAATCCTTGGATGAGTCAAGCCAAAGAGCATGTCCTACTCACGCGCTTGAGCGGTGATACCATGGTTGATGCCGACTACATGGCGGATATCAGCAACTAAGTCACACCGATGTCTTCTACACAAGCTCCTCCTTATCTATCGACAAAGGTCTCAACCTCACTGTCGATGTCGCTCACTGTCGTTATTGAACCACTGTCGAATGTAAGGCCAATTCCCGGATCTCTGCAAGCTTCTGCGATGCAACTCGAGACTGAGCACTTCTCTCGAAGCAAGTAGGTCTTGGATACGCCCAAGATGCTTGATCAGTTTGGACTGGTTCGGTTCGGAAATCAACCTGACTGTCCAATGTTCTGTGGTCAGAGGAGACAATAGCGCCGGATTACCGTTGCGGCTTGCTCCTCCTCTAACTATGTTTAAGAATTGCTGCGCTGTTTGCACAGCAGACTTTTGCCGAAGAAACGTCTCATCAGTTATTACAGGCTTGGGATACGTTACAGGGAGCATCCTGTATTATGAAGCAAACCGGCTTGAGAAGCGCCCTGGCTGTGAAGAGGCGGTTACCAATTTGATGGCAACTAGCATAACATCTGACGCAGGCGACTCGAGACCGCGTATCCGGTAAGGACATTCAGTACTCGATCCAGTTATTCCGTCATGTGTCCATGGTCTCGAAAGAGAACGATACGGTAGTAATACCATGTGCATTTTGTCAGCATCATACCCTTGGCACCGGAGTATTCCGCCCTCTTCGTCGCAGAGATAAAATTCGCCTGTCTTCGCGTCAAACGTATTCCTCCGGGTAAGAGAAGGGTGCTACGCAAGGAAGGTAAAGGCTTAACGAAAAGTTCTTTACTGACGGTAGGCGGTCGAAGAAGTCGAGGACTTCGCTCAATCCTCTTCCCAATCCTTTATACCAGTGCGCTTGAGGTTGTGAAGGCTTTGGATCTCCGCACCCGAAGACGTCCTTTATCTATATCTTTCTCTGGGCAAAGCGTAGAGGTACTATACCAGTCCTCCCCATGTTTAGTGCTCTCAGTGCTTTCCTTATCATCCCCGACCATATGGCAAGCGCTCTCGACAACAGTCTGTGCCTTCGGTGGCTGGGCTCTATCTCCTGCACTCGCTTGGCAAGTGAGCATCGCCAGCTCTTGCTGTATCCTCGAGAGGGCCTAGTATCTTTCCGGTCGAACAGTGGTTTGCGCATCGCCATCGACGCCTTAAGGGGTGGGGTTCGAGTTCGGTCATACGTTGTGTTGCTTTGTGCCTTCTCGATTCGATCGAGTTGTGTAAGCGCATAGCTGAAGTGCGCATTGGCCGAAAGGGGTGCCTGATTCAGGTCAAGTCTTCGAGGAAGGGGCAGAGACCAAGCTGTGCACGTCGAGTACCTTCTCCTACAATATCGTCAGCATTCGCAGCTCTGCATCTATATCAGATTGGTCTGCTCCGGATCCCACCAGTTGAGTGCAGACAATTGGGAAGGTGCTCCGGAATGAAGAGTTGGTTGCCTTTCTGGCCTTCCCAGAGGTCGGTGTGAATGCCTCTTGTTTCCTTCAGTCTATGTTCCTGTTTTTCTCAAATCACTGTAATCATGGTGGTGTTATTTTATGCCCCTTCGCAGATTTGGAACCCCCCACGGGGTCTGTTGTGGCGAATGCAGCCTTGAGGTGGGCCTGAGGCAAGGGCTCTTCATACGGAGGACCATGCGCATTCGCTGTCTATTGGCAATACTGTCCTGGGCTCTGTGGTTGAGGTTGGCCTGTTGCTATCGCCGTGCTCGAGAGGCGCGCGAGGCCACAGAAGACCAAGATGGAGGTTTTTGGACGCGAGGATCTTGTTCGAGAGGCTGTCGCCGCAAGCAAGGAACTTTTTTGGGTTTCCTAAGGGATGCTCAAGCTTGTGAAAGTCAACGAAGCCTTATGAGAGAGGTACTTGCCCCATGGATACGGGCTGCCTTCCAAGATGGTGTTGAAAGCCTGTTATCGCGCCGGATGTCCACAAGCGGTGCAGGCTGGATGGTCGATACCCCAGCCGCGTACTTTACGGAGGAGCCGCGTCTTTCTTGCTTTCTGAGAGTCAATCAGTCTGCTCGAGGTAGTTGCCGGCTTCGTGGGTGTTCTGTTGAGTGTTGTCCAAAGCTGCCGCCGCCGCGGAGATCCGCAATGGAGTCATGTTATACACCTACGATACCTCTTCTGCGTACAGAAGCTGGATGCTAGAGCCCTCACGAGTATTAGTACCTCGTTTCGCTGTGCGATGTTCGTGTTGTGGCGGTGTTGTTGCCGTCGAGGGAGGGCAATATTGAGTCAAACTTGCGCCAAGGCTTACCACCGAGCCAAATGGGATGCAACACCGTATCGAGCTGCATTGGGGGTGCTTAGGGCATGATCCTCATGGATTCGAGAACCAATCTAGTCCAACGTTGGTGTAGGGTGATCTAGTAGCGGAGATGGGGGAGGATCAAGCTTGTGGCCGTGGAGGAGGACTTGTTTCTGAGAGCAACCACCACAACGAAGTTGAGCATCAGATGAAGCGCTGCGATGCACACCTGACGCTCCTCGCTACCCGAACCCCCCTGCAACCTTGTCGCTGCCCTGCCTTAGAGAAAAGTCCACGCTGCCGGCGCTCTATACGCAGAGTCGAAAATGCGGTTGGACCTACCCTACTTCAAGTCCGTTCGGTATATATACGCAAGGTTGGGTCTCTACTCCATCAATCACAGCGGGCCCTATCTCGCTATACAAAAACGGATGGCTCAGTGGTATTGAAGACTTAAGTCGGGCCCCCAAGTAAGTCCATTCCATTATCATGCATCAATCGACAAAGAGGATTCGGCAAAGCGGTTCGGTTCGATTCATGGGAGTGTGGCTCCCAGGTAAGTGCATGTTCATTTCTTTTTGCGTTTCTTTTTGCTATATCCCCTGACATAGCAATCTGTATAAGTCTATGCTACGGGCTCACTTTGACATCTACCTACAGCAGGTCAAAGGCTCACGATTTAGCAGATGGACTGTCTGTTCATATATGTTTGTTGCTAGTTTGTATCCCTTCTGCTTTTCTAGCTCTACTACCACGCCCTCACTATAGTACGACGCTACTCCACACGCTACTTTACACGGCTGCACAGTCTTTGTAGGTCTCCAGGTGTATCGTCCCCTGCGCATCCTTCGCTCTTACGGACATCAAGCTTTTCAGGCGCTTACAGAAGAACTTACGTCGTCGTGGCGAGCTTTGCAGCTTAGCTCGCGCCAGCACACATTCTGAGCGATACTCCGCTTGTTACTCCCGATGGAATGCAGCAAGTTTACACATCTGCTACACTGCTGTATGAAGCAAGAAATAGGCATATGTGATGCACGGCGCGTAAAGACTTAACAACCTGCTGCAATCATCATAGGTCTTGCTAGTGGTGTGGTCCGCGATACGTAGAGGTGCTACCCTCTTGAACACGATCATTATACGTATCACCCCTTCTACTATATAACATAGAAAGCGACAGAGTTTTCCCAATTGCCGATACAGGAGGCAGGCATGTTATGCATCACATCAGCCGTCAAGTTGGCTGTAAAAAGCTTCCTTGCCTCTTGACATTCAGTCCTGTTACGAGGTATGGATGACTAGACACGCAAAGTATGTCGCATATACACATGTGCAATGGGAGTATTAGTCATGTGGCAAATGCATGCAATTCAAAATATGAGAACTATATGCTAAGATGAAGGCGTATTAGATTGCCTTGCACAAGCAGCGAAGCGTTGTAACGGACTTGGTAGTTTTCGATCACAATATACAGCCACACGCATCATCACTGAGTTACAGAAAGTCAAACATCCGAGACGTGACACTACAACGAAAAAGGGGTATATTGCACCACAAGATCATAATACCAAGTACTTTAGCGTAGCAAAAACCCAAGCTTGAGCCCTTTCACTCCATTTCATGACTTCGCACCACTCCAGCGCTTCGAGCGCATGCGCGAAAAACCTCAATCTTCTACTCTCCCTCCCCACGCGACGTCAGCTCCTCCCGTTCGCGGCCAATGATCGCCCCGTTAGTCGGTCCGATTCACACACCCATCATGCAAGCCCCATGCACCGGACGCGCAAACATCCCAAAACATTGCAAATAGCCATGAGTGGGGAAGGTAGTGACGACGCAGATGCAACACTACCCGACACGGAAAGCACATTCGCGCTCCTTGTCTGTCTCGGCTTAACGACTTAGTAAAAGTGGTTTCCGGGAAAAGGATCTCGCGGTTGGTCTGATAGCGTGGTGGCGTTCTCGCTGTCACATGCCGTATGATGATCAAAGTAGTAGCGGGCGCGCTTCAAGCGCGACGACTCTTCCGACAGTAGAGTTCGGTGAAGTCGGTTTCGAGGATTGCGTGTTCTGGTGAGGATGGTGTGGGTGGTGAGAAGTGTGCACATACTTCTGGCATCTATGCACAGCTGATGTTAGCAATGTGCTCCTCCTCGTCTCCTGTAAAACTGTGGGAAACATACCGAGCAAGCTGAATCCGAGCGCGATCTTGTCTGCATACGTGCTTGTGCTTCGAGGGCACGCATTTCATAGGCGTATGTTATGCGAAGAAGGTCGTGGACTGTGAGGTGTGTGGTCGACATGTTGTGGCTTGTTGCTAGTTTTCGATGATGGGATGGTATCAGGTGCTTGTCTTCTTACAGGACTCTGCGCGTCGGCGAACTTGATAGCAAAAATGAAGTCGGGCAAGCAAGGTTTGTTTATATAATCTCTGTTCGACCTGTTACGCCTCTTTTCGTAGTTGCTCACAAACACGTATGCTGTGATTGGTCCGAGGATCTTGCTTAGTTACACAGAGTCTAGATGTGGTCGAAGAGGATATGAGCTTTCCCGAAGTTGTCAAGGCGTGGAAGGCACGACGTATCGACGTGTGGAGACGGTCGAAATGACAAGAGATGATGGGAATGACAGGTCTGGAGGGCTTTATATCAAGAACGACCCCCTCACACCAACACCTCATGCACATGCTGTGCACCACATGGCCCGGTGGCGCTAATCTTCAAACTGGACTAGTTTCAGCGGACAACGAACGAGATCCGACATCATGCAGCCGGTGGGGGTCTGTGCACGCCGACTCTGGTTGGTTACCATTGGTGCCCGAGACATCCGCATGTTTGTCCGAGAGGGAAGTCGCGATTCGCACTGTCTTTAAAAGCCGATGTTGGTCGTTATGTTGTTGCCTGGAGCGATGGGACGAAGATGATGCGGGAGGAGATGCGGATTTGAGGGTTTCGCCCGGAACCGTCATGCTTAAGGCCGAGAGACATGTCCGAGATGACCGAATAAGCCCTAGAAGAGCCAAGGCAACACTTTCAAACATGGTTTAAAAGTTTGAGTCGAGAGGGGGTTCAGGCTCCTGGATACATCAAAGCATCGAACCCTATTCAAGTCTATGATGGATACACTACCACTCTGGATGCAGCCTTCTCCCGTTGCTTTCTCTTTCTCTCTGTCTACAGCTACCACTGCTTCTACGACCTCTTCCCCAGTGCAATCAAGCGTCCCTGACCATCGACAACGAACACTTTGCCATCGCCAAACACCGGTCTCCCAAACTTCACAGCACCCTCAACCATCGGTAGCGGTAGCTCAATCAGTGTCCCATTCACCGGCACCGCTTTGAACGCCCGCAGTCCAGCCTGTACATCTGTTGCCCACACGACACCTGACCCAGGCTGGCCTTTGTTGCTGGTGATAGTCGGAAGGCCCGCACCACCCCAATGTCCGTTTGTTTCGGAAGACTTGCCAGCGATATTGAAAGGCGAAGATGCATTCTGGGTGAATGCATACGCCGATAAAGCGGTATTACCAGGGTTTACGTAAATGTAGCCGCCTTCAAGAGGGTATGATCCAATCGCACCGAAAACCTCGCCTTCCAAATCAATAGTCTGTAGAATGCCGTCTGTGTCATCTTTCCCTTGCAGATACCCGCCCAAGTTATCAACTTCCGTAACGTACATCCTCGGATTCGTCGACGTTGCCACCCCAATCCTCTTTCCGCCCTTTGTCTTGAAAATGCTAGGATCAAGAAGAGCGAACCCTCCACTTCCAATGTCCTGTCCAGAGTCCGTCTGCCAATCCGACGGACGGAAAAAATCAACAAGTTGGATACCAGCTCCACCCGCCTCATCAAGCGTAATGCGCGCCACCGTCTCCGAAAGAACAGCCAAAGGCTTATGACCCTCCTTCGGTGTAACATCAAGCGTCGCAGCCGTGGACCCGCCGCCGTTATCAATCGTGAAGAAGACGTCTTTGCCATCCGAAGAAAGCCCCATTCCAGCTTGCCAGATCCCGCCCGCGCCACCACCATGCCACGCAGTCCAGTCATCGGTGTACAAACTCCCGTTTTCTGCTTGCGTGGTCCACGTATACGTACTCTGTGTCGCTAGATTAACAGCTACAACATTGCCCGTGTAGTTGAATGCGTCGCATAGCCCGCCGAATCCCGCATACAGTACATCACCCAGTAACAGCAACGCCGGTCGCTGCAACACCAAACCACCCAGAAACGTCTTGCGCATATCGTTATCGGAGGGCTGGCCATCGATAATCATGGGATACTTGTACAGATCCTGTAGCGTATCGAGATACACGCCGTAGAGATAGTACACAGAGTTCAAGGGCGGGTACGCACCGCCCGGTTCTCGATAGTCCTCGATATAGCTCTTTACGTAGAAGAATGCGATTTCGTTGCCGTCTTCGCGGTAGATGACGGGTGTACCCATGATACCTAGTGTCTTGCTGACGTGCGTTGTGCAGAAAGCTTGGTCCATGGGCCATGGTGGAGCGACTTGACGCTCGTTCAGTAGCTGACCAGTTTCCACATCAAAGGTTCTAATGCGGTTCTCGGTTGAGGCGGTGAAGACTATCTGGCGGCCGGTTGAGGAGAGGGTATGCACAAGAGGGCGCGCCCAGTGCTGCGGTGATATCAACAATGGTGAGGATTAAGGTAAAGAGAGCAGTGAAAATCACCTTTTCGTCGGGGTTGAATGATGCATTCCAGAGTTGTGTGAATTTTGGGACATCTGCAGGATCAATGTTGTGCTCTCCGCCCAGGTAGGAGGATTGGTAGATATCGGAGTCCTGGGGTGAGTCGGATGGTGCGCCTGTTTTTTGCGCTCTCGCAAAGATTGTAACGTGTGCTACAAAGATGCATAGCGCGATTGAATGTATTAGTGAACGCATCTTGGGTGTCAACTTAAAGGACGACGATATGTTGCGCACCATCTATGGATCCTGGCGAAGTTATGAATGAAACGTATGCAGATCTGTTAACTCGTGGCAAACAGATTACATGCAGAGCCATGACGGTGGAATCTGGGGTCTTGATCGCTTTCAATCTAATCTTCATGGCTCGTGGTCGGTATTTGGATCATGTAGAGGCCGGGTATTCTCCGCGACCGGGATGGGTATATCGTACAAATTAGTTTGTGGGGCAGAACATCAAGTACAACCCAGGGACATCATATGGATTATTACACTGATTTCTTTGAAAGACTCTTTGGGGTGATGATCGTATTCATTCTGATGCTAATTGGATATGACAACTGCTTGCGGAAGTGTCAGCGTAGGCTTCGGGTATTGATTAGCATCGCTTACCTTTTTCGCCAGTTTTACTATGCCGCGGAGGAGTCAACAACCGACCACGATGTAGAATGGAGGGCTTGCTCTTGTTACTCCTCGCGTTGTCGGCTTGGCTTCCTAGACTATTCCACACTAGGGACTTGGTCCTCCACCCTCTGCAACAGCGGTACGCGTTCCGCATCTACGTTACCCTCTCCCTCAGGGTCGTCGTACAGCATCTTCTTCCACTCGCCCTTACGGACCTTTCCGACCCTCCAGGTTCCCGTCTCACCCGCGTCCTTGAAGAAGTCCATGTTCTCGTCGAAAGTCCTTCCACCAGTCTCTGGAAGATAGAAGTACGTCCACAGGCCGGCGAAAGCATTAGTTGCGGCAAAGACGAGGAAAATGAAGTATTCGAGATTGTTGAATAGGACGGGAGTAAGGAAGGTGATGGCGAAGTTGGCTAGGCCCCAGACGATGACAGAAATGGCTGTGCCCTGGGCGCGTGCGGTGGTGGGGAAAACTTCGGTGGGGAAAAGCCAGACGGTTGAGAGCCAGCCAATTCCGAACGCACCTGTGGCTACGAACAAGATGGCGGTTCCAATGATCCCAGGGATGATAACGGGGATATGAATGAAGTGGGAGTTGGCTGCTAGACCACCGAAGACAGCGAGAAGCGCGAATGAGGAGGAGAGGATGATGGAACCTTGGATCATAAGTTGGCGTCGGCCAAGTGCGTCGATCAGAAGCCAAGCAAGCGTCATGAGGAAGAAGTAGGATGTGTAGTTTCCGAGAGTCAGGTACTCGGAGTTGCGAACTGAGAAGCCGAGCAGCTGTTCCCGATTGTTAGCATCGCCTTAGAATCGCTATAACCTCATGATCGTGATGACTAACCTCGAAGATCTGTGGTCCATATACACTGACTGCGCCATATCCTGTGAGTGCCTGGTTGATCTGGCACATAACCGTGACCATGGTGGGATGGAATTGTTCATGTCCGGGTGTGAGCATATCCAAGTATCCAACCTTTACATCCTTCTCCTTCTCATGCTGTTCGAGCAGCTGATCAAACTGTTTTTTCCCTTCATCTCCATAAATGTCGTTTAATGCATTCTTTGCGTCCTCTTGACGGTCGTGGAAGATGAACCAGCGCGGGGATTCTGGAAGGCGTTCGACAAACGCCATGAGCAGAACGGGGTAGATCTGCATGACAATGATGGGGACACGCCAGGCCCATTGGTTTTGCTTTCCGAGAAGAATGGTAACAAGCAAGTTGATACCGAACGCCATGAGCAGACCAAAGATGTTGGACTGGAATTCCTGGGCCAGCGCTTTACCACGGGAGTCGTCCGCACTCAACTCGGAAGAGTATGTTGGAATGACTGCGTCAATACCTCCGACACCCAATCCCATAACCACTCGTCCAGCTAGCATGACGCCCAATGCAATCTCCGTGCTCTTCCCCAACATGCCCATACCGGCCACGAACATGATCAAGTTTCCCAGACTAGCCATCGCCAGACTAGCGAAGATACTCTTTTTCCTTCCCAGCTTATCAGCGAGCATGGAGAAGAGTACGGCGCCAACAGCGCAACCGAGGTAGTAGACAGCCACGATGACACCCACAATTGGTGACTCCTCCTCGAGGCCCATGGTGGAGAGATAGTCATAATTCGTGTTGATGAGGGACATCATACCCTGATCGTAGCCATAGAGGGCAATGGCCGTGGCCGAGAAGATGACGACATTTGTCTGTTTGTCGGTGACGGCCTGTTTCGCATGTTTGATGAGGAACGACATCGTGACTGTTGCCTAAGAGCAAACGCGAGGCTGCTCGGAATACCAATAGGCAAATGAGAATGCTCGCAGAGATCGTACAAAGTGAACAAAAAAGCTGAGGAGGGGAAAAGTCTAGTTCTTCAACGCCTGACAAGCCAGAATAGCGGTAGACGTTTGACGCTACCGCGCATGTTTCTTGGTCACCTGGAAGTACGTACGGGTCGATCCAAGAGTTGTTTTCCAACGTATGACGAGTGTATGCAGGGACGCGATGTCGATCTGAGATTAGGTTCGGGGTGAGCCCCACCTGTTTTCCAAGGGGCTGTTGTTAGTGACGGGCTCCCGTCGGCTTTGCTCTAGGATTTCCAAGTCTTGCTTAGTGTTGATAGATGCGTCTGCGCGTGTTTTCCTTATCTTTACTTCAAACATGTGTAGCGATTACTGTGGCTCGCGGCCAGGCTGCTGTTATGCAACACAGCTAAGCTTCAAATCCCGCGGCATGAGATGCTTAGCGCCACCAAATATTAGCGACATTGTGCTCGATCGATCGCTTACTTCTTCTGCCTCGCGACATCATCGCCAATCCTTCCCTCCACTGGGTGTCGCACTCATTGGATGTCGCTTTGACAGGTTTCGGTTGTCTAATACTGATTTCGTTCGCTATGCTTGTCAGTCGCATTTTCTTAAGTTGATTCCCTTGTCGGACATTGTGATGCAATACGAAAGAAAGCACGATCGAAGCAGTGAGTATCCCATCCATTGCTATGTACTTTTCGAGATGTGATCTAGAAAAGGGTATGAAGCTCTACCATTGGTCATCATCAATACCATCCAAGCTGTTGAAATCGTCGGCATACCGGGTAAGGTAGCCAACACTAATTCCTTTTGTCCTCTCCCTCTCTACTCCGCTCAAGCTTTTGCTGAAGCCGCAGCTCCAACAACCACGGTAGCTAGGGTCGAGGCGGCGATGCCCATGGGAGGAATACAACGTGGTATTCGACCCTCATCGATTGCGCAGACTGGATCAGGCCCGCAATTCTCGATCTCAGTCCAATGCCCGTTGTCGCAGCGAACCACAGTGTGGTCGTTGCAGGCGACTTCACCTGGATGAGTACAGGTGGTAGGGTCTTGACGGGTTACAAGATCAAGGCTTCGAACCGCCTCCAGTGGAGTACAAAGGACATTACCACTGCCAGGGGGTACAACGTTGCACTTCTGGTTCTGTCCACAGCTGCGAAGGTATTGCCAAGTCTGGTTCGCGTCGCAAACAATGATCCAGGCTGTGTTCGTAGCAGGGTCGTAGGAGCAAGCGAAAAGGCCAGCTTGACAAACTCCATCCAAGGCCGACGTTACCGCATCTTGCAGTTCTCGACGAGGGACTGAGAAGGGATTCGAGTCCCACTCCTTTCCTGGGTTCCAGCAATGGGCGACACCAGTAGCGTCTGCGAGGCACTTCATGTCACCACAATTGGATGAGTACTGCCATTTACCGTTCCAGCCGCAGACCACGATCCAGGCAGTACCCGTGGAAGGACTCAGCAAACAGGCGTATGTGCCAGGCGCGCAAGGGCCGTCCTGGGATGGGTCGTTGGCACGCGAGGAAAGTGTATCTGACTCGACGACTGTCAGAGCCTGGACATCGTTGCCCGATTCAGTCTGAGAAACCTACAAAGTTCTGTTAGCAGTGTACAAATGTCAAAGATGGTGATGTAGATGAAAGAGCTAGAGACAAGAAGTGAAGTAAGAGAAACACGAGTCCGAGTAGTCAAGTTATGTATTGACTATCTTCAGATCCCGTTAAGCTCGATGAAAATGTAGCAAGAGCCTTTCTCAAGCAGGCTTGTGTTGGTCTAGCATTTGCACTGAGCTGCATTTGCATTGTCGCGTCGGGCCTCGCAGCATCCATCACCACCAGAACACTTGCCAATCGACCTCCACATATAGTCGGCAATGTCGCAAACCACAATCATAGAGTTATTCTCTCGACAAGATTGGACCCCGGACTGTTCCTGTTTGCAAGAGCCATACGTGGTGGTCGGGACGATGGTGATAGAAGGGATAGATGGAAGTGAAGTGGAGGTATCCTCAGACTGTAAACTTGCCTTGGTGGTATCCAAGCCATCAATCTCTCGCTCAAAGACAGTCATGTTCCTGCAGCAAGAACACTTGTCAAGGCACTTGGTACCCTTCTTGCAGTAGTGGTCGGTTTGGCAGAAGCCGTACTGGCAGACCAAGACACCAGTGTGGTCTGGATGTAAGCGTACGAAGTCAGCAGATGTCTCACATTCAGCTCGCACAATGATACTTACCGTTGGAGCACTCGTACGTCTTCTTGTCCTCGGCGTTGACCTCGGTGTCGACGTCGCGCCTCTCGGGTGCCTCGACTGCAGCAGCAGCAGTAGTTGTGGAATCGGTACAGCCAGCGCCTTTGCCGTCGGCGACGCACTCGTAGCTATTGACGGTCAGTAAGTCACTTTTTTAAAGAAAGAGAGAAGGTGAGGTAGCTTACGTGTGGACGCCGTCGTTCTTGTACTCAGAGGACGCAATGGCAGTGGTTTCGACTGGCGAGGCAGCGACGAGCGCCACCAGGCCAGCGAGGGCGATATTGATGAGCTTCATGGAATCTTACTCGCAGTTATTGGTGTTGTGATTATGCTTGTTGTAAGGTTCAAGGAGTTGATGGTGGAGAGAGGTAGAGGAGGAAAGTGAGGAGAAGAAGAAAGGCCGCAGAAACCCGGGCTTATGAGGAGCAAAGGCGGGGGCGTTTGTTTGCTACATTAGTAGGCAGAAGCTGATGGACGGTACTCACCTGGGCTTTTCAGGGTTCAGGATGTGGAGAGTGAGTGTTTGGTCGGTGCGGCGCGGTGAGATAGGGATTGGGGAGGTAGTGAAAGTGGAAGGAGCAACGTGCACACCATTCGTGCTCCGCAACCGGCAATCGGTCGACCGTCTTGATGAGCCAGTGAAGGAACTGGTAGCATGCGTAGTCTAGCAATCTGTACGAAGTGAAGTACTGAGCAATAAACGATCAAAAAAGACAGTTCAAGCAGAATGTGGCACGGCGACAAGGGTGCAAACAGCTGTACGGTACGCGTCTACACTTCCAAATACAGTGATACAATTTAGCACAGTACGTCCTTCACCTAGAATGCAGTTACTTTACCGCGGTCCGGTACATCGCGTTGGCGCGTCGAGAACACCCCACATTCCTGGAGCGCATTACATAGCACGAGTGCTCATATGTCACACTATATCAGAGGTTGGAGTGTTTGTAGAGATACGAGTAAGAATGTGAGCAGGATTGTAGCTTGAGAAAGAAGAAATGCTTTTGATTCATCATAAGGATGCAGCTAGGCGAAGAAACCATAATCTATCGCTTGATGCAAACGCAATCAGTCATTCAAGCCTCTATAAAACGCCGAGCAATGCAAATCTGCATGGTCTAAGATATCATAATGCGATCGTAATCCGAAACAGCCGTAAAGACATTTACTCAGCCTCGTCATCAGTGTTGGGGGGCTGAGGTGTACCCTAATCAGATCGTTAGCAAACTGTTCTCAATACCAATGTTGGTGCGAAAGGGAGAAACATACCTTTGGACTGTTCAGCCAGTCAATGTACCTCAATCTACGCCTAACCTCCCTATCCTTGAGTTCCTTCTTGGTCATCTTCTTCTTCTTCCTTGACCTGAACTTCATGTCATCTTTGCTGCCCTCAGCGTCACTCATGACTGGGGTACCCGTTGTAGACGGCGCAGCGGAGCTGACGTTGCTGCTAACGTTGCTGGATCCAGGGCGCGAGTCTTCAAAGCGGTCCATGTTGACAGCGAGATGACCCTTGTGTGTCACGCGACCGTCGGCAACGTGCCATTGCTCGGGACAGAGAGCACCAACGAACTCTTCGTTATGCGAGATCATGATGACACCACCCTTGTAGTCACGAATGGCAACAGCGAGACCACCGAGAGAGTCGCGGTCCAAGAAGTTGGTGGGTTCGTCGAGGACGAGGAGATGCGGGTTGTTCCACATAGCACCGGCAAGCACGACCTTGACCTTCTGTCCTCCGGAAAGACCGGAGATTTCGTTGTGGTTCGCAATCTCGGGGTCCATACCGAGATCTTCAAAGTGCTTGGAGATGACCTTGGGCTCGAGGACACGGTAACCGAGACCCTCACGGGACGACTCGTGATCATCAAACTCTTGGACAAGCTTGTTGAAACCCTTCTCAATGAGCGTCTCACGCGAGATATGCGAGTTGAACTTGGGCAGCATGTGCAGCCACTTGACTTCGTACTGGAAGGTCTTCTTGTACTTGGAACGACCAATGAGCGCCTCGATCTTACGAGGACCTTTGCCGTCGCCTAGGTCGATGGGAGTATCCATCTGCTTCTTGTCCTCCTCAGTGAGCACACGTGTCTGCTTCATGAGCACCTCACGATCATCACCGTTGGCGTATCGCCATTGGAGATACTGGTTGGGTGTCTTCTCCATGTGCATCTCGACGTGCTCAAGAGCGTGCTGCTTGATGTAACCGATACGCAAGTTGGGGTGCTTCTCGACGGTACCTTCTTGAGGAATGGTCTCGCCAGTAAGCATCTTGATAAGAGTAGATTTACCAGCACCGTTGGCACCGATAATGGCAACTCGAGATGAAAGAGACAAGTTGCACGAAGCATCGACAAGCGACGGCTTGGAAGCACCAGGGTAGGTGTAGGAGCAGTTGGTCATGCGCAGGATGGAGCGAGTGTTCGACTTGACACCAGTGAGGATTCCGGGAGGAGGGAACTTGAATTGGACCTGAGTAGCTGAGAGAGTGTAGTAGCTCTTGGCTTCAGGCTTCTGTCGAACGAAATCAGCAAGGTTACCCTTGTAGCAGACCAGCTTCTTTTGCTCGTAGTGGTAGATGTCTGTGCAGACTTCGTCGAGGAAACCGGAGTCGTGGGAAACGATCAAGCTGGTAATCTCGGTGTGGGACTTGAGGTACTTTCCGAGCCAGGCGACGTTGGCAACATCCAAATGGTTGGTAGGTTCGTCGAGAAGAAGCACGTCGGCGCGCATAAGCATAGCACGCGCCAAAGCGAGCTTCATCTTCCATCCACCGGAAAGAGAGCCGACCTTGTGGGACTGCCTGCCTTCGGGACCGGCGGTGAAGCCGACCTCCTCGAGAACCTCTTCGATACGCTCCCTGCTCTCGTCGGCAAAGCGCGGGTCGCGAACGATGTACTCGAGAATGGAAAGATCGGCGTCTTCTCCTTGGTTGTGCTCGACGAAGCAGGTCTTGACTTGATCTTGAGGAGGGAAACCTTCCAGCTTGCCGCTTGCGATACTTCGCATGAGTGTAGACTTTCCAGCACCGTTACGGCCGCAAAGACCATAACGGTGGCCCTTGAGTAGGCGAAGGTTGGTGTGCGAGAGGAGCAACATGCCACCGTAACCGAGGGAGAAGACAGCGTTGACGATCTCGACCTCACCATCATCCTCTTTGACGGGCTGGCCGAACTTGCGGTGGTCCTCGTCCACGTAGAACTGGTGCACAGCCTCTGCGACCTTGTCGGCGTCTCCAGCGTTGACCAGAGGCTCCAGGTAGGGCGCAACGAGCTTAGGAATACGCTGAAGCTCGCGCTGGTTGACTACTTCAGCGATCAGCTCAGAGATGTAGTTCTTGGTGACAGCCAAGACCTCCGCATCGCCAGGGAAGTCGAGCAGCTTGGCAGCAGCGCTGAGCTGCTTCTCAATGACCTTCTGGACATCTGATGGCTGTACCCTGGCGATGGCGCCGCTCTCGATGTTGTGGTCTGGGTCGGCCATGGCCTTCTCGATAACGTCCAGCGCGCGCTGACCGATCTCTCGAACTTCGGGTAGCGAAGCGCGATCCTTGACGGCCTTGACACCTGGGCGGAGCTTGGGCAAAAAGGTGCGGGCCTCGATAGGGTCGTGAACGAGCTTGGTCAAGTTCTCGACTACGACAACGGTCTGACGAGTGACCTCCTGTGATGTGGTGGGGGTGTTCAGGGAGCGCTCAAGCAGAGGTGTAACCATAGCAAGGACGGGGGATGTGACAATAGCGACGAAGGTGGTTTGCGAGAGAGCGTGGATGGCCTTCTGCAGACTCTGTGTGGAGGGGTCTTCGATAGCCTTGACAAGGAGAGGTATCCGGGGCGCAATGTCGTCGTTCTGGAGGAGGGTGGTGAGGCTGTTCATCGTCTTGATGGACTGCTTTGCGACCTGTCGAGAGTTAGCAGGCTTTCTTTGTGGTAGTGTATGTGATGTCTTACCTCAGACTTGAGGTCGTGCATGCCGGCCTCGACAAGGGGGATAAGACCCGCGAGCTTCTTGCCCATGGCCTCACGTAGAACATCCTTCTCCTTCTCTACCTCGAGGCTCTCCATGCCCATCTTGGCCTTGTCAGCCATGCGGCCGATGAGCTCATAGGCGAAGGCAGCACCCTGCCACTTTCCGGACTTCTTGCCCAAGTACTTTGTCAGCACAGGCAGGAGGCCGAAGACCTTGGCCTCAGCGCTGAGGTTCTCAAACAGCGAGTCGAGGGCGTACTTGGCCGACTCCTTAACGGAGCCAGTCTTGTCGGCCAACAAGTCAAGGGTTAGCGGTACCAGACCCTCGTCCTTGACGAGAAAGATGACCTCTGTCAGGCGTTGTGTGCGTGGGAGACGCTCAAAGAAGGCGCCGAGGGCGTTCATGGCGCCCTCTCTCTGCACGGCGTCCTTCTTGTTGGCCGCCGATTTCTTGAGCTCGTCGAGGATGCCATAGCCAGTGAGGCCGCGGAAGCCGACCGAGTTCTGGAGGAGCGTGGTGAGGGCGTAGGCGGCGTCTACCGAGGCGTGCGACGTCTTGGCTGTGACGATGCTGCTGATAAAGGCGCTGACGTCCTCCTGAGAGGGCGCTGGGGCGGCGCTGGCCTTGTCGACGACGATAGCAGGAGCCATGGGCGGCGACTCAGAGTGCGGCATCTGCGAGAGAAGCCTGCTGTGGTTGTGTGCTGTTCTGCGCTTGAAATCCGCGACGAGGGATTTCTTTTTTGGAGGGGCTCCTTATCGATAGGTATGGGCGTGTTCGCGGCTGAAGCCTAAGCGGTGCCCAAGAGCGCAAAAGGGTGAGGAAACCCGGGTATCAAACGTGTGAATGTAGAGACGCCCCAACGGAAGAGTGGAGAGTCTATACAATACAAGAAAACTGAAAAAGCGAGGGGGAGGACACAGGGAAGGGAGCGTCGAGGGGCCGCCTTGTATATTTGCGCGCTGGACTAAATTATTATTTCGCCCACGGGTCAAAGCGCCGCTTGACTGCACGTTTTTCGTTTTGCCCGCCCTAGTCCGCTTCGGCTCCCTGCAGGGCTGATGTTCGCCGGATATACCATCCTGCGCCTACACCGTATCGCTGCTTACCAGCTGCACATGCCTAATTGGTGCAAACTGAAACATGGCAAAGGGAACTATCGATGCAACTCTGATGCGACAAACTCGAAAAGTAGACCGACTCCGAAACCTGTGCCCCAGTATCGCACGCGTCTCATGCCTGGTTACAACTCACGCTCTGATGCTCGAGCATCATGTGCAATTCCTACGAAGCTTTGCTTGTCGGTTCCATCCGCTAGCTGTACCC